TCATATACGGTTATGCCCCCAACCCGACGCTTTCGTTATTGCGACCATCTTTGCAGCCAAACGACTCTAATGACGAAGAAGAACTCGAAAAAACGACAGGATGCCACCTTGATGGAACCGAAAGATCATTGCATGTGGTTGCAGAGCGACGAGACAGCGTTGATAAACTATGTCATCGCCAACAAATCGAAAGGGGGAGATGGCCTCAATTTCGATAAGACGTTCTGGAATGATACTGCTGTGGAGATGGTGAAACAGCCTGTATGTCGGAAATTTCCTAGAAGCATTGCAATGATGTGACATTGCAATTGTCATTGAGATGTCACTCCCACGATATCACGTGGTATTCTAATCGATAAGAATAACTGATAATCGTGACAATTATCTTGTTGATGTTGACATATCATTCCCACGATCGTGCGCGCCGTTTGAATGCATTGGAATGCGACTCGAGCGCCACTGTAACATCTCCATCGATAACATTGATGTCCATATTCCCTTCATATTCTTGTATTCACACTTACTTTTGAGTTTTGTACACCTTCATGCCACCCGAACGGACCTCGATCTGTGAAACATGCAGCCAGAAATTCAAAAGTCGTGGTCTTGCTGCCCATCAAAAGGCCTGCAGGAGGGATGCTATACGGATGCAGGAAGATCTTGAGAGACAGAATGCTCGAGCAGGTGAGTCTTCTATACTTTGTTCCAAAAACAATGAGTATAATTCCTCTTGACAGCTTCTCGAGCACACACTGAGCTGTTGAACCCTCAATCTCATCCAATCCTGCATCGATCACAACAACCAGGCGTTGTCCCAAGGTTTGATTCATTTTTTCCATAGATTCGTGTTTTATTTAACAATTTGTAGGCTTTCATGCCGCTCCTGCTGCTTGTGAACCTACGTTTGACGACTCGGAGTATGTACATCTCGACGAACTTGGAGGTATGTCCATTATTTTATTGTAAATAAACTTGTCAATCATCATAACATTATATAGGTCTATCAAATGATCACGTCCTTCCACCTGCAATACAGCAGGATGATATCAGGACAGAGTATCATCCTCGTAGTGGCATCCCTACAAAGACTGATCACTTTGCCGATTTTCGCTGCCACACTGCTGCTCCCTCACTCGTACCCGAAAACACCACTCCCTGGGAACCGTTTTCCTCGCGTATCAACTTCGACTTCGCTGAACTCATTCTGAAAGCCAACCTCACGAAACTGCAGACGAACGAACTCATCAGTCTCATCCATCGTGCTGCGCTTGAAAGATTCTCAGTCACCGACTATGATGGCATCTGTAAGCTGTGGGACGCTGCATCTTCACGTCATGCAAAAGTGAGCATCCGCCGAGTACTGACTTATTATACCTCATTGACAATCAATTTTCAAGCACAGTTCAAAAAGGAAGTGATTTCTGTCCCGCATAAGGACCAGGAGCACAACTTTGATGTCTGGTATAGGCCGCTCTGGGATTGGGCATGTGACTTGTTGAAAGACCCTCGCCTTGGTCCACATTTCGTGTTCGATGCTCAACGGTTGTACAAATTTGACGGACAAGACTTTGTACGCTTCTTTGACGAGCCATGGACAGCTAATGCCTTTTGGAATAGTCAAGTATGTATGTGCTACTAAGTTTGAATGTTCTAACAATGTAAATGCATGTTGCATAGTCGTCCTTGCCGAAGGATGAAGGAAAGCCCTTTGCTTTCATTTTATATGCTGATAAGGCAAAGCTCTCTTCATTTGGTCGTCAAAAGGCATATCCCGTTATTGCACGATGCGCGAATTTACCTGTTGGAATACGCAATGGTGAAGGTTTCGGCGGCGGTCGCCTTGTAGGCTGGCTTCCGATTGTATGATATATTATTCGATTTGCTGTTGGCTTCTATGCTTATTACTAATTTTTGTAGGTCGAAGAAGACAAACAGTATTCCGGGACTCAGTCCTTTGTCAATTTCAAGAATGTCGTTTGGCATGAATCGTTCAAGCGTCTTCTCAAATCAATTGCGCTGCTCTCGAAAACTGGTTGTTGGGTCACATGTTGGGATAACATCAAGCGTCTCTTTTACCCGCTCATTCTCATTTTATCAGCTGACTACGAGGAGCAGTAGGTGTATTGCCTTGTCATTATAGTTTTCTAATGGTTGTTCTACAGATGTGTTATGGCATTGATACGTGGAACCCAGTGCAAATGCCCTTGTCCCGTTTGTCTCGTTCCTAGAGAAGAGCTTGGGAACGTACTGACATCGTATCCACTGCGAACAAGCGCGTCTATGCAAGCGACGATCGCAGAGGCTCGAAGTTTCAGTCGACAAGAAGACAAAGAAAAGCTATTGAAGTCTCAAGGCCTCCGCGACGTAGACGTAAGTTCCTTTCGCTGTATTCTCATTCTCAACTCTCATTGATTCCTTTTAGAATGCATTTTCAGATGTTGCTCACACGGATGTCCATTCTGCAGTCTCATTTGACCGCTTACATGTAAATAACGAAGGTAATTTTTCTGACCATTTGTGGACTCAGTTTCAGGAACGCGTCAAATCAGTTGGTCGGCAGATACAGTCTCAAATCGATGTACAGTACGTTTTTCAACTTCGGGCACAGCAGCTATTGACTTAACAACTGGAATAGCTTTGACTCAATGCCTCGTTGGCGCAACATCAATCATTTTAACCATGTCATGGACATATCATTCTCTGATGGCTCGAAGTATGAAGATATCTCTAAGGTAAGGTGTTTCATCGACTCTCACTTGTACTGATTCTGATGGTTCCATAGCTTATCGTATTTGCTGCACATGACGTCATTGACCGAGGCACTCATGCACTCCCTTATCTGCTCCTTCGATGCATCCGTGAATACGTGAACATCGACATGTACGCTGCTCTTGAAGTGCACACATCGGAAACCATTGCTGCGGGCCGTCTGGCCATAATGGAGTTCACACAACTATTGGATGTCAGTTTCTTGTTTGGGTTGTGTTAAAGTTTTACTGACAATCTACATTATATAGCGATATAGCGCAAAAGACGACTCAGGAAAGAATTGGGCATACCCGAAACGGCATGCATATGCCCACTTGTTTGATGATATCGAATTGAAGGGTGCTACGCGGAATACTAACACCAAGCCAAACGAGAAGTGTCATGGCCCAATCAGACGGATTTATCTTCGGCGGACGAACTTCAAAAATATTGCTGAACAGGTGTGTACTCTCATTTGTTCGTGAAACAGGACAGAATTGCATTGATCTTACACAGGTACTTCGCCTCGACCATCGCTTCCTCATTGCACATTCAATTCGTTTGGATATCGAGGACTATGATGACCTCATTGCATCTCAAAAGGACCCTTCGTACTCGAACAGTGCGGACAATGATGAACACCTCGACAATGACTTGGACACCACATTCCATGTTAAGTTGGGTGCAGCGCAAAACGAGCAAACGTTTGCGGCCTTGGAGCAAGAGCATGCAAACGACAATGCATTCAATCGGTTTCGCATCAAGCTTGCAGACTTTCTGAGTGATTCCCTCCCTGCTCATGGAATACCGCTACCTGGCGGAAAACGAATCAAGTTCATGCCTGACGAAACTGTATGTTGTTTTGTTATTTTCTGATTCACAACTAACACATAGAATGCAGGTAACTGAGCATCGCTTCGTAAAGGTCAACTTTGAGTCCATTGTGGACTGGCGCACCACTACAGACTATCTTCGATGTAGTCCTTCATTTCACAACTTCCCTCGATATGACTGCGTCATCCTTCAAACTCAAGCCGGAGTGATATTTGGGCGTTTACTGATGCTTTTCACTTGCGTCGTGGATGGTCAAACTCATCCAGTTGCTCTCGTTCACCCATATGATGCTCCAGTTGGACAACGCTCTCTCAAAGATAAACACTTTCAGTTCTGGCGTGTTCGTCAAAGACCGAGGATCTCATCCGAATTTTTTTCAGTACACTCAATCATCCGTGGCGCAGCACTGGTGGAAGATCATAGCATCCCGGGTGATTACCTGGTTATTGACACAATTGATACTGACATGTTCTTGCGCATGAAGGTGATGCACAAGTCTGCCGGTCATGTGGAATGAAGAACTGGCCCCGTCTTGTCTTATATCTCTGTCATGCTCGCCTTTTGCTCAATCGACACTCAATCCTTATATCCCCCCCATCCCTGTCATCTTCACCTTTTGCTAGATCGACACTCAATCCTTATATCTCGCCCATCAAGCTCACCTTTTGCTCGATTGACACTCAATCCTTATATCCCCCCACCATTTGCCTTTCGCTCAATCGACACTCAATCCTTATATCTCGCCCATCAAGCTCACCTTTTACTCAATCGACACTCAATCCTTATATCCCCCCACCATTTGCCTTTCGCTCGATCAACACTCAATCCTTATATCTTGCCCATCAAGCTCACCTTTTGCTCGATCGACACTCAATCCTTATATCCCCCCACCATTTGCCTTTCACTCGATCAACACTCAATCCTTATATCTTGCCCATCAAGCTCACCTTTTGCTCGATCGACACTCAATCCTTATATCCCCATCATGCTCACCTTCTTGGCTACCGTCTCAAAACATGCTGAGACACTTTCTGGATTGGATATCTCAGCCGCTGGCTACTCACACTCGCCATGAGGAAGCCCATGTGTTCATTGGTGTCAACATAAGGTAATGATTACACTCTCGGTTGTGCCATGTAAGTGAACCACGCATGATTTTACATGTTATCATTGGATTGACTTAGTCTATTCAGGGCCTAATTACCTTGTTAACAACACGAGGCATCGCCTAATTCCTTATATCAGGCGCCTCGGACGACTTTTTTTTCATTACCTTTCCTTTCATCAACCTGCTCTGGTCATTTCCGCAATCACAATGCCACCATCGAGCACCATATCCCTCGCTGATCTCGAACAGGTATGTGTAGGCTCCGTCACTGTTGCCTATGTCTGAATCTTCAAACTTTTATTTCAGGCATTGCGAGAAACACAACTCGAGTTGCAAGAACTCAAGGATGTCAATAAGGAGTTGACGGAGGAGAACAAGATCCTCAAGGCAAACCAGCCGAAGCGGAAGAAGAAGGGTCAGAATGCCTCTGAGGAGCACATGGCCTTCGACGAAGAAATCCGCTTATGCGGTCGCAAATATGGTGCCTGCTACGAAATGTTTGCACCAGACAGGCAACTTCTTCAGCGTCCCAATCCTGCATTCGCTCCACCTCTCAACGAACCATCACGCTATGAAACGCAGGCCTCAGCGGAGTCAGCCTTGCTCGCAGAGCTATTCAGTTTACTCCCATCGCACATCCACCCTCTCGTTGCGGATAATCACTTCGCAGATGTTGTAAGTAACGTCTTTATTTCTGAATCATTAACTCTTGCTGATAGTACTTAAGTTTGAGGATGCAATGAACAGTAGCCGTGCATCCGAAATCAAGAAACTGCGCTCCAAAGCTGGTCTTATCTTTGGTCTCTCTGAACAGTATTTCGCTGATATAGCGTATGACCGAGCAAGTGTACCTGAGATCCAGTGTCTCCTCGGTACCTCTACATCCCAGCGTATGCCCAAGCCTTTCCCGCCCGTCCTTTTCCCAAATCTCGTCGAAGATCCATCGCTGAAAACGGTCTTTGGAAATTGGGAACTCTTCGGCAAGGTGCGTGATTGTGTCTCTTAATTCAATACTTATATTTATCTTATAACATATCTTACCCATCATGTTTTCAGGCTATCCGGATACTGCTGTGGGGTGAGAACGGCTTGACTGCGCTACGAGCAGGAGGGCCTCCGCGAAATGGTAATAGGTGGGAGGTGACATCTTTAACGCCTGGTTTGTTGGCGTGGGTGGGTGTAGTTGTAAGTTTTTGTGTGTCGAAAGAGTCTCCCAGCTGATGTGTTTTTGTCAGGTCATTTTCCTACTGAGTGCCGACAAGGAATTTCGCTATTCCGGCAAGGGCGAGATGACGAAGATCCAGTACAGCTATATGTTCACCTCATATAAGAAGATTCTTGTCAAGAACTGGAACACGGAGTACACACGCGACATTGTGAAGAAGCTGAATAATTATGTCTTCTCCAGAGGTTTGAGAACAACTAACTCAATGTCAGATGAAGAGGATTTCACTGCGGCTATGGATCGTGCCTTAGCGGGTGTGACTGAAGGCGAGGTGCCCACTGCGCAGCCTGAACCACTTACAGAGGACATCATGGACGAGACGGCTGCTGATGCCGAGGCTAACAGGGAGAGACCAAGACCTAGCAGTCCTCTTACATCTGAGCCTGACGAGGACGAAGTTGGTAATATTGTTACAGCACCTGCACCTGTGAGAGGCCGTCGAGGAGGCAGAGCAGCCAGACGCACTGTATCTAACACTAGTACCCGTACTACCCGCAATGCTCGCACCACTACTTAGGCTTGACTACATATAATATAAGACCAGATAGAACAAGCTTGAGCGGATTATCTAGAAAGACTTGACGACAGCATTAATGGAGTTAACTTTGGTTAACTTGAAGCTGAAGGTAAATTTGGAGGCTTGCGTGGAGATGTGTTCTGAGTTTGAGCTGGATAAACGGGGAATTACTGGGGAGCACATCGTGATTCCTTCGAGGACGGACTGCTTGAAGTATTGATATCAATGCTGTAGAGTGGTCCTCTAATAGAGTTGGGGTTCCCTTATAAGAAAGCCCTTGTAGTCTAATGGTTTTGATTACGGACCGTATCTAATGTTACCATAGAGTATATAGTCTAAGTCCCTAGTTCGAATCAACCTAAGTGCAAGTAATAAAATAAGTGTATTAGTAAGATAATTAGATAATAGTAAATACATAGATAGTTGGTAAATTGTAGATAGTAGATAACATAATAGATGGACGGTAGATAATATAGTAGATAGCATAGATAAATCGTAGACAGTAGTTAACATAGTAGTAGATAAATAATAGATGGCGAGATCATAATAGGATAATGACGATGGCCAGCAGGGTACATAAATGGGATTCCCACGGACTGTAAGTTTATTTTAATGCTATTGTAATAATACAAAATTTAATGTTACAATGGGCATTGGCATGGTCATTGGCACCACATTGCCACCGGCACCTGTCGGCATTTCAAAACGGGGCTTACATTACTTTCCCATTGCCACGGGTAGGTTGTCATTGCGGCATTAGAATGCATTACAAGGCATTAAAATGAAACTCAGAAATTTCCGACATAATGCAAGGTGAGTCCTGCCACAGATATCACACCGTATTCATCTGACTTCTGCCTTATTCTAAGGCGCTGCAAAGACTGCAGAGGCATGTCAAACAAAATGGTCATGAGTACGTACTTATTTCTACTGAGTGGCTGCTGGCAGTACTGATCTCTACTTTTCAGATTCGCAAGTTGTATCAAGTCATCTACAAGATAGCGCACGCCTCTGGAATCTCATACAGTCCAGAGCTTGGTGCAAATATCGGGCATGAATCAGAGATGATCTGGGCAGACTACACTAGGGTATGTTTTTTTTATCATTTCCTGTCATGCCGTGTGCTAACTACATACATAGCACAACCCCCAAGCAAAGCCTTACAAGACGAAGGGCTGGCCTCATTATGAGGCGCTACATGGTATCATGTCAGCGCAACCAAGCACCTGGGTTGGTTTCCATGCGGGCATTGACAACGCCGACAACGCATTAACACCCAGCATAAGTGCCACTCCTGGGCCATCCAGTGCCAGTGACGTCATGATGGCGTCACTGGAGGATGCACTTGACCGTGTGGAATTCAATGCTCATCCTACTACTGACAACAATAACGACACTATGCACGCTGAGCCAGGGACATCCGGTCCTCCCATCGCACCCCTCATTCCCATCTCCATTCCCCCCACAGCTTCTACTCCTGTCACGCCCATCACGCCCATCACCCCAACCAGTTTCAACATCATGCAAAGTCGCCCTGCTCCCTCCACTCCTGCATCTTCGACAGCTGTGAAACGCAAAGCTGAAGGGGACGACAGTTCGCGTCATGAGTCCCGTCCACCGCAATCCTCCAAAGGGAAGTCGTCGTCAAAGTCGCAGCGTCTATCAATGCCGTCAGCATTGGAAGGCTTGGGAGGAAAGATGGCTGATAGTATCGCTAATGCAACGACAGCATTTCAGGAGACGGTCTCCAGTCATTTTGTTGAGCCTGTCCCCCTCCGCAAACAAAAAGCCATTCTACAGGTACAGGACGAAGAAGATCTCGACGCGCATGAAATTGTCACTATGATTAATTTGTTTCAAGCTGATGTTTGTGTTGCTGATTCGTATCTCAACATTAAACGTGATATCGTACGCAAAGTCTTTCTTGCACAGTATTTAGAGGACTATAGGAAGGCGAAGGAGCTCTAACTACACTACAATTTGTTGTAGTACTAAATACATCATGTTATCGTTCTGGTGCTAACCATGCTTCTTCCTCTGCATCCAACCAGAATGGTGTTTCTTCCTCTGCCATGAATGACTCATCTTATGAAAAATTCGTATCACGTCTCCCGACTCCGCATCCAACCAGAATGGTGTTTCTTCCTCTGCCACGAATGACTCATCTTACGAAAAATTTGATACATTGAGAAAAGTGCTACAGTAAGAAGAATAGCGCTACACTAAGAATTAGTCCTGCACTCCAGGTGGCATTGGTTCCCCTCTTCGACGTCTCTCTGCAAGATAATCTAACCACATAGATTGCGCGAGTTGGTCGTGATGTTCATGTGCACGTGTCCTCGCAGCTTCAGTTGGAGGACCGTCAGCGAGCGTACCGGTGTACTGAGGCCCCCACTCGTCTGACTCAACGTGTCGATAGTCCAGTAAGTCGTTAGGGTCGTGGATACGGATTATATTGTGGATCAAGCAGAGAGCTGGAGGAATGTGAGACTGGATTTCTGAGTTATACTCAGGGGGAAGTAGAATGATGCGGAAGCGTTTCTTGAGGACGCCAAAAATATGTTCGATAACGTTGCGAAGCATTGCGTGTCGCAAGTTATAGAGTTCCTTCGCATTGCAAGGCCTCAAAGGCAGATAAGTATGAGAAGAATAAAATATTAGAAAATGACATACAAAAGATTTGCACGGCCCCATTCTGCAAGGTGATAGCGTACACCTCGATAGGGTACAAGCAATTCATCGCATGCAGCGAATCCGGCGTCTGCTAGATAAAACTTCCCCGGCGGAATGGTGAAGTCCGTCAAATGCAGCAGTGTGATAGACATGAGCGTCTGCTGCGGACCCCTGGAAACCGCTCAGCATGTACATAAAGCACATGTCAAAATCACAGGCAGCAAGACAATTCTGTGTCAAGTTGCCCTTGCGGTCATGGGCAGCATGACGATCAGATGCTGTGGGGTGACACGCGATATGTGTGCCATCGATGGCGCCGATAACATCGGCAAAGTATGGGTAAAATTTCCTGGTTTTGAGGATAGTGGGGGGAGTGGGGGCCTGTGGACTGGGGAGACGGACATACGTGGTATAGATCGGCTGAGATGAGAATGCGATCAAAATTCGTTTAAAATACCTAGAAAGGAGCTATTGAGTTAGTACAGCCGGGTTCAAAGTCATGGGAGGATGTACTTTGATATAGTGTCGTTTGAGCGTTGAAAACGCTCACCAAGATGGCGTACAGAAAGCCCAGTGACACAGGCATATAAGAAGATAGCAAGCTGTTCCTCCAGCAGCACATTCTTTGAGTTGTCTATTCCGCTTTCACGAAGCACATTCAATAATACAAAGAAAACATGGCGGCGGACGCCAAGCTCGCATCGCACGCGTTCAGGGTGGCCAGTAAGGAGCTCGTTGACCCAAGCAATCCCCGATAGCACCGAGGTATGGTATGGTTCTTTCTCATAGTGGGTTTGTATGTAGGAGTTATAGGCGTCCACTACGATGTCAACCACTCCAGCGGCCGATACCATCAGGTTCTAAAACACATTGATGATTTGTTGCAGGCGTTTTAGATCTCCCTTCTCTGCGTCATTTGGATCCCTCTCATCATCTCTATCATCTTCCACATCTCTATCATCTGACTGATCACCCGTGTCATCGGAATTAGTAGCGTCGTCCTGGTGGTGCCAAAGACGCGAAAGCATACTGTTGGTATTATTGTACAATGAGCTCTACAGCGTGTGGTGTGCGGTGTGCAACGTGCTCAGATCCTCGAGTCTGTAGTGTGACAGTGCAGAATTCAAACTCCGAGCTTACTTAAGTTCGAAGTTCAAAATCTCGTCAAAACTTAGCCAGATTCGAGTTCCCGAACGGAGTCTTATACTGTAGAGCTACGACACTAGCTTCGTCACGTGCAGCGTGTGATTATGTCACACTCAGTGTCACTGGTTCGAATGACCATGTGACCTGTGACCACACCCAAATAGATTCGCCCGCGGGTGCTTCGCCGCTTGCAACCATCTGACATGCCGCTGCTTTGTGATTGTGTGACGTGCCAATGGATGCACTTCTTGACCATATGGCTTCCGGGGGTGAACAGGTCCGTTCTGACTGCCATATCAATGCAGATGGTGGACTTTCGTGTGCAAACCACTCCAAAGTCTATGATGTGGGTGGCATTGCCGCTGAAGATGTGGAAGGTGGCTCGAACAGTGTTCCGACGGTTGATTATGGGCGTGGAAAGCATAGACGCATCACAAATTCGATGTATAATGATTTTTGGTCCCATTAGTGCACAACCTATGTTTTCCTATGTTTTTTTCCGAATGTCACAAATTAGCTTCGTCCCACCAAAATTCATGTGACGGTCACACCAAATAGATTCGATTCGTCAAGGGCTGTGACCTGTGACGAACCTAGTGTCGTAGCTCTACAGTACATTGAATTTGTGATGCGTCTACGCTTTCCACGCCCATAATCAACCGTCGGAACACTGTTCGAGCCACCTTCCACATCTTCAGCGGCAATGCCACCCACATCATAGACTTTGGAGTGGTTTGCACACGAAAGTCCACCATCTGCATTGATATGGCAGTCAGAACGGACCTGTTCACCCCCGGAAGCCATATGGTCAAGAAGTGCATCCATTGGCACGTCACACAATCACAAAGCAGCGGCATGTCAGATGGTTGCAAGCGGCGAAGCACCCGCGGGCGAATCTATTTGGGTGTGGTCACAGGTCACATGGTCATTCGAACCAGTGACACTGAGTGTGACATAATCACACGCTGCACGTGACGAAGCTAGTGTCGTAGCTCTACAGTATTCCCTTCTACATATCATCTGGTAGTACTACTTATTTCTGAATCTACTCGTCAAGAACATCGTCAGCTTGAGGAAAGTCTGGATCATCAACTCCCTCTGCATCCAAGTCAAGAAGCTCGTACAACTCAAGCTCAGCATCTAAACCTCGAATGGCGACTTTATAAAAAGATCCCAGCCATTCCTCCGCATGAGAATAGTCGAGTAAGTCTTTGATAGCAATGTGAGAGAATGAACCACCAGCAGCGCTGACGGGGACTGAGTGCATTGTTTCTGTGGCAGAAATCTCCTCCTCCTCCTGAACAGCTCGGATAAGGTCTGCTGCAACATCACTTATCCCTCGCCTCTCGAAAGCAAGGCTGCGTGGCTCTCGTTCACTGCTTTCTCCCAATAGATCACCACCAACTGCATGGACTATTTGAGTAGGCTCGGCCTTGTCAGTGTCCTCGGTGTTGCAGTGCCGGCATCGAAGCCGCTTCTTGACCACGTCATTGCGTACATGCTCTTCGTGAACATACATCTTGAGTTCTGCCAGAAGGGTGAGTGTCTCAGTTGAGAGCTGATTTCGCCATTTCGTGAGAATTGCACCAAACATGCTAAAAAGGCATTCACAAGAGGCAGAATTTGGGCAGATTGAGAGAAGACGCTGGGCAATAGTATGAAGTGGTCGACGTGCTGAACCGGGATGCAATAGTCCTGTCCAGATATCAATTGGATCAACTGAAACACCCTGAGGACTATGTTAGCGATGTCTTCTGAACTTGAAAGAATTGGTTTGATGAAGCATACCTCCTTTTCTGTGCGATATAACAGTGAAAGCTTGTAGTTGTCCATGTATGCGAAGTCATGGGAACTATTCAAATAGTCGTCCAAGTCCGTGTAAAGATCGAGTGGTATATTGTTAGTGTTGTAAAAACGGCGCCAAAGACATGCAAAAAGTGTCGCAAGCCCCGCACGTGTTGTGAGAGGTACATTCTGGAATGGAGAAACTTTGTAGAAAGGATTCACAATGATGGCAGCGATGAAGACTTCTTGGTCACACTGTTCCCAGCGGCGCTCGATGCTCGCAAGAACAGCTGTATGAGCTGCAAGATCAGTGTCGTTGTCGATCTTGGAGTGGCGAAAGTGCAGGAAACCAAATGAAATTGCAACATTTTCGGGTCTTGCTTAGGCTGCTTGATGAACGTTCGTCATGAGGGAAATTGGCTCCAGCAATGTTTTCCATCTACAGAGAGCATTAGTTCTGATTTTTACATTTAGATTTGAACCATACCTTGCCAATGCATGCCAAAATGTCACATTTTTGATTGTCGCAATGGCTATTTGAGTCTTTCTGCGTGACCGTACATCTCCACCTGATATCAAATGAGCTTCATGCATTGTTACAAGCAATTCGAGTGCAGGACGAAGCTCAAGGAGACGGCGATAGGCAAGATAATGTGACATCCAGCGCGTCAGCACTGCTCTGAGAACTGCAAGTGTTTTTCCAATTGTCACCATCTGTATTTCACGGAGAATAGCAAGCACACGTGTCTTGCTGCGTAGCCACGTAATTAGCTCTTGTGCCATGTCTCCATAGACCCCGTAGTCATCTTTGACCTTGAAAAGGTCTCCTACAATGAGATTCCACTATCGTTGTGTCGTTTGTAATCAGCAAGTTGTGACGAATTATGAAAATCACCATACCTGATGAGCCAAGCAATTAGGAACAACAATGTGGGGTAGCTGCTCTCGAAGCAGACGCCGAGCCTTTCGTGATTCACCAGATGTGTCTGTGGTGCAAGCGAGAACACTTGCCCCCCACTTGGTCTCGATTCTGCTGATTGCGTCTAACATCTGCTTGAGAAGTTCTTCGGCAGTGTGAGGGTCCATCGAAGCATCGTGAACTTTAATCATGTGCAACTAAATAGATAATTAGTAAAATGATTGACAGTCTCCAGTTAGATTTACCTTTCGGCGAGCAGTCATCATAAACCCCAGGAGATGATGGTGATTTTCACCAGTCCAACTGTCGCATTGCAATGTTGCATCAGCGCCTTGACATTCCTCTTTAGCGGCACCTTTGAGTATATTAAGGGCGTGGGGCAGGACACATTGCGTTAAGACTTTTGCAGAGGGAATTTTCGCTCTTGGGAGAAAACGGTCACACAAAACTTTCCACTCATGATTTTCAACCCATCGGAGCGGCAAGCCAGCGCTCGCAGTGAGTCTTGCAAGTCCGATTTCCCAATCGGCTTGATCTGCAGCAGTCCAAGCTTGATCACCGAAGCCGTTAAGTTGGTTGCCCAGTACTATGGGAGAGAGAGGCGGAAGTGAGCTAGAAACAGCCTGAGAGTAGTATTGACCAGATTGGATTAGACGTTGGCGCTTCAGATGGGATGGTAATGAGACTTCCAAGAGGGCAGGACTTGGACTGACGGACAGCGAGTCGCGGTAAAGGATACTAGAAGAACTCGAGGCCGTGTCAGTCTCAGGAATTGACAGTGTAGGCAAACTCGGACGTGCAGACTGCACAGTCAATGACGAATTGAGATCTGATGTGCATGGTGGGCTGGCAGCGAGAATGATTGGAGATATAGCACTGAGATATGCTGGAGTTGTGTTTGGCTGATGGGCCCGAGCACCTTTTCGTGGTGAATATGATTGGTGGTATTCCGTCCGTGCTTGTGAACGGACATTCTCAGAGTGCAATGTGCAATCACGCAAGTGACATAATAGTGTCGTCGGCCGACTGATTAACCAGGTGCGTTGGGGATCATTCTGGCCACTGGCCCAAACTAGTACTCCGAGTTAGTAAAATAAAGCTATTACAAAACAGGCTTGCGTATGAGTGCCTGCTATTGCCATTTCATCCCTCGGTGCATCTCACTGGCCTGCGTGAACCTGCTGCTCATCTATTGCCTGCTCATGTGCAATGCATTGCTCATAGAGCCTAGCACACACTACCTTTGCCTTTCCGCTGACCATTGAAGCTGGGTCTTTGACAGCATAACCTGGGTGCTCCACGAAATGATCCCACCACCATCCTTGGTTTGATCTCTTGCTGGTCTTCGCCATCAAGTTGGCGTGTCGAAAGTCGTGAGTCCATCTTCGAGTTATAAGCCTTGAAGCGTGCCCTTGAACCGAACACACGAAAACCACACGTTTATGTGAGTAATGATATGTGAAACGACACACGGATAACATCTAATCAAAGATTCTAGCATTGACCAGATATAGTATAGTTCGTTATAGTAGGCCCAGGAAACTGCTGAAAGTCGTGTTCAGATGCACATCGATAAACTTCGCCAGCTTTCCCACGAAATCTGGTCAATGACTGTGACTTTGGTTCACTGACCGGCAGAACACTGCTTTCGGTCCACCGGGTCATACCCAGTTTGTACTAAGCTAGTCTGAGTTTAGGAACCCACGCCTCTGTCAGGGTCGAAGTGATCAGACAAGCATCAGTCTTCCACGTGAGCAAAATCACCCACGCATCTGTTTTGAACCAGTGTTCGTCCGGTCGCCGAACGTTCACAAAAGTCAGTGAATGTTCACCGGTGAACGTCACTATGTCGACAGGTAAACGTGAACAGCTATGGTACCAGGAGTCCGAGAGAAAATATTATATAATCGTATCTGATTGGCTAAGGCCCGCATCACCAAGAAACTCGTCAGTCATTTTACTCGTCCAAAATCTCATCTGCCTGCGGAAATTCTGGGTCGTCAATACCATCGGCATCCAAATCCAACAGCTCATATAACTCAACCTCCGCATCTAAGCCTCGTATGGCTGTTTGGTAGAAGGATCCTAGCCAATCTTGAGCACGAGAAAAATCAAAGAGATCCTTGATAGGAATTTGCTGGAAGTCTGACGGATTGGTAGCTGCCTCCGTAATCTCGGAGATGGTGAATGTCTCTTCATCCTCGACAGCTTGAATCAAGTGTGCAGCAATTTGCCGTATCCCTCTGTGCTCACGAACTTCATTGCTCGTCTGCTGGGAATCATCGCCGAAGGCATCTGTGTCACCCTCTGTAGGGTTAGCCTCAGTGGTATTCTGGCAGTAGCGCCGTTTGAGACGCTTCTTGACGGAGCCTGTGCAAACATGAACCTCATGGAGGTACATCTTTAACTCTGCGAGTAGCATAAGATTCTAAGTGGAAAGCCGATTTCGCCATTTCGTCAGGATTGCGCCAAAGATACTGAAAAGACGCTCACATGAAGCAGAATTTGGACAGATTGAAAGAATTCGCTGAGCAATTTTCTGGAGGGGCTTGATTTCGGAGCTGCTGTGTGAAAATCCATCCCAAATATCGAGAGGATCAACCGGTGTGCCCTATGGGTAGAAATAGGTTAGATATTGAGGAATACAGCTCTGAGTCTAGTAAATATATTACCTGTTCCTTTGCGCGAGATACTAAAATCTGTGTATATATATCGAGTGGCTGGAACTCGGGTGAACTTTTCAAATAATTATCGAGATCTGTAAAAAGTTCGAGTGGTGGCACACCACCATAAAAACGCGTCCAGAGGCAACTGAAAAGGGACATCAGCCCGGCACGTGTTGTCAGGGGAATATTTTTGAATGGTTTGTCTTTGTAGAGTGGGTCAACGATAATGGCGGCAATGAAGACCTCTTGATCAATTTGAGCCCATTGACGCTCGGCACTCTCTAGGACCGCATTTCGAGCCACAAGATCAGTTTCGTCACCAACTTTCGAATAACGGTAGTAAAGAAACCCAAACGAGATTGGAATATGTTCAGGTTTCGAGTGGGCAGCTTGGTGAATATTCGTCATTAGCGCAATTGGTTCCAAAAGATTTTTCCATCTAAATGGTAGTGCAATGTCAGTCAAAATTATGTTATGTTACAACAAGAATGTTCCTACCGAGCCATTGCATGCCAGAATGTTGGATTTTTTATTGTCATAATGGCAGCTGAGGTCTTTGCTCGTGGACGAGCATCACCTGTAGATCGTATCTCTGCTTCATGCTTTGTTATCAATAGCTCTAGTGATGGCTGAACATCCAAAAGTCGTCGGTATGCTAAATAATGTGATAACCATCGAGTGAGAACAGCGCGAATGATGCTCAATGTCTTTCCCATGGTTGACATTTGCAATTCACGAAGGAGTGCGAGAACATAGGTTTTGCTATGAAGCCATGTAATTAACTCTTGTGCAAGGTCACCATACTGCCCATAGTCATCCTTGGCTTTGAAGAGATCCCCCACAATAAGGTTAAACTGTGAATAGTAGATGAAGTTAGCTCACATACTATTCTCGCATCGACAACCTACCTGGTGAGCTAGGCAGTCAGGTGTTACCAAGTGCGGAAATTTGGTGCGAAGTAGTCGTCAAGCCTTACAAGACTCTCCAGATGCATCAGTAGTGCATGCAATAATAATGACTCCCCACTCGCTCTCGACTTGATTTATTGATTCGATAATCTGTTTGAGGAGTTCTTCGGCATTGCGCGAGTCACCAGATGCATCGTGAACACGGACGGCATGTAACTAGTAAGACAAAGCAGTTGGTTCAGCCACGAGACGGAAAAGCTCGTAAAACATCCACAGTGCTTACCTTTCGTTTTACAGTCATCATAAAACCAATCAAATGATGGCTATTCTCGCCAGTCCAGCCATCACATTGCAGAGTTCCGACTGCACCACGACATTCTTCTTTCACAGTGGCTTTGATACTGCGGAGAACTTGAGGCATGACACGTTTCGTGAGAACCTTTGCTGATGGTGCTTTTGCTCGAGGAATAAATCTATCACAAAGTTTCAACCACTCTGGATTCTCAACCCATCGTAGCGGTAATCCTGCACTCACAGTTACCCACGCTAACCCTGTTTCCCAATCTGCCTGGTCAGCATCAGTCCAAGTCTGGCTGGTTGGCCAATGAGCTCCGACGAGTGGTGACAAGACAGACCCAGTAGTGACAGGCTGCGAAACAGAGCGATATGGACCTGAAGTCAGGCGCTGGCGCTTCGAGGGAAGCGAAAGGAGCGTGATGTCAGAAATTGCGGGACTGGGTGCACGAGAATCAAATGCCAGTGGGCTTGGTAAAGATAACAAGTCCGAAGAGCCATTAGCATGCGGAGACAGCACTGAAAGACTCGGAATGAAGAGACCAAGAGCTGGTGGAGCAGAAGATGGAGGATATATTGAATGTGCAGCTGATGATGGTCCTGCGATCTGAGGGGGATCTTCGTATAATTGAGGTATGGGCAGTGTAGCATGCACTGCAGCCATGGGTTGTGTGACTTGATTGAAGCGAGCCGCAAGGTCAGCTCGCGCACGCGAACGAACACTTTCCGTATGTAGCTCGCAGTCTCGGATGTGCGTCAGGAGTGTTTTTGGACGACTGACGTGCCAAATTCGTTGTGGATCATGTTGACCAGTAGCCCACACTACAATAGAAAGTGTTAGAAATAGATGGATGGTACAATTTAAGCTTACCTGCTCCTTTAATCGCGTCCTCGTCTCATACATGATCCCGTGATCCAAATTGTACCTCGAGTTCATCACGAGCCCGTTCTGCCGCAACATAATGCTCGAGTTGTCTGGTGCAGATTACCTTAGCCTTCTGCTGCACCATCGATGCTGGGTCCGAACTCTCATAACCAGGATGTTCTGTAAATTCCGTCCACCCCCAACCCCAATTAGTACTGCGAGTCTTCCTTTTTCCGCTAACCATGAGACAACAGTTGCGGAATGGTGGTGAACGAGAGCTCAAGAATGAGTAGGCGACTGAGAGCCACAACATGCCATATAGGTGAGGGACACGAGGTTTCTGCGTGGATTATTACAGCGTTAAGCCGTACATAATGATCAAGACACAAAACTCACCTTGATCAATAATGCTACCAGATGCAGCGAAGAAGGCGAGGTCGTGTGAGAGTGACGTTTTTTCATACATATGTAGCTAGACGTCGTCACTTGCGCGCTCGATAGAGTCGATACTATCATCTATACCGTCGAGATATGAATCGAAAAGCATCAGTCAATTTCTAAATATAGAAGATACAAAGGACTCATGGCACCCGACACGTTCACAATCAAGTGAACGTTGCTGACGTTCATCGACTTTCCCACACTTTGCGTTCAGTGAATGAACACTGCGGTCACTGACTGGCAGAACACTGTTTTGAACCACAAACTTTGATATCTTCAGTTCACTATTCCCCATACTAGGTCTTCCCTTTAATCAATAAAAATACCACAGCCAGCTGCCGTCGTTTCATGGTAGCATGTGTCACATCTTGATTAATATTTACCATCCAAAGAATTTAATTTTTAAAGATCGCACCTTGAAAAAAATCATTTCATGACTGCCATTCATTTTTCCCCGCGAGAGGATAGTAAAGGATAGTAAAACTGGAATTGGGTTTCACTTGGCGCTTCACGAGAGAGGGAGCAGATCGCGAGAGATCCGATCGTGTACTCTATCTAGATGGCAGCTTCAATGGTTTTCCCATCCTCCTATATAATAAGCTGGTAGCGCCAGCTAAAGTGGCAAAACCCGCTATCTACCATAGCTGCTTCGTCAATTGCCGTGCCACCATCAGAGTCAAATCCCAAATGGTTTAATCACCCTTGTCCTTGCCAGATGCATAACACCAGTCCTATACCATACGAGCGCTCAATTTAAATAATCATGTTGCTGTCCGTAGTCTGTATCTGATATCTTGCTCAGATGGAGCAGAGAAGGCAGGAGCATATCAGCTCGGCCAGCCGACATGCTCCCCCTACAGTCATTTGGACAGCCTGATCACTGTCAAGTCGACATCATCCTTTACACATAAGTAGTGCGAGACAGGCGTCTGATCTGGTTCATGCCAATAATTTACCGCACTCAGTAACTAGTAGGGCAGAAGGGAAAGCCATGATTGTACAAGACCATTGGATTTTTATTTTTATTTTTTATTTTTGGATCCTTGTTTATTGTCCTGTGGGGCGGGGCCCTATGGTGGACACTACCTACAATATCGTACTTTGCTAAATATATGTCGTGGCTCTGGTGTGTCGATACTAATCAATGGTCCGTGCGAGAGCAGGGACTGGTGACGCCGTCTTAAGGCGTTGGAATATTGTGTTACATCTTGGGTGCGCTTCTCCTACCCTCTGGCTGCTTCCTCCTTCTTTCTACCTCATTCCTTCTCCTTTGGGGGGGTGACGTCTCCGAAGACCTGTTCCATCCTTCTTGTGCGCGCAATGTATTTGAGTGTGGCTCTGATTCCTTTGCTCTCGTTCAGGAGATACTTAATGTGGAGCTGGCTGCGGTCCTACTTCCATGCGGAGTGCATTGCAGTTGTCTGATGAAATTGGGGCACACTAATAGGAAGTGGTGGACGGTTTCTTCGTGGGCGTGGCATTCCTGGCATGTTGCCGACGGCGCTCTGGCTACGCGGTGAAGGTGTTTGTTGAGTGCTATGTGGCCGGTGCGTAGTTGAAAGAGCAGCTGTTCCGTGTTTTCTTGGCAAGTCTGCGATTTTGCTGGCGAATTTCTTGGACGGGGCCGTGTGATCTATGGATTGAAGTCGGGTGTAGCGGGGTGATTCTTTCATGATGCTAGCGGCTTCGTCTTTGATCCTGCCATAGAACTGCTGTTTGAGTGCGGATTTGCTTTGCGGGAGGCTTCTGATTGTGCCGTTTCTGGTCAGGAGTGACTTAGGGAGTTCGTGCGCTTCTGAAGAGTCTCCTGACGCGGCTTTCTTTGCTTCCTCGTCCGCTGCCTCGTTGCCTGGTATGCCTTTGTGACCCGGCGACCACCGGATGACTAGTTTTCTCCCGTCCTTGTTGGGTAGCAGGTTGCGCAGGTCGTCGTGGAACGTGTCTGCTAGGTGGTGGCCTGGTCTTGATTGGAATGCTGTCGTGGCGAGTATCGCTGCTTGGTTGTCTACTCCTAGCGCCATTGTCCCCCCCCCCGTTTCCTCCTTCCTCTTTCAACAGCTGGATTGCCAGGATCATCCCTACCAGCTCAGGCCTCGTATACGGTGTGTTCTTCATCGCTTCCCAAATGAAATCGCTTCCTTCTCATCACCTCCTCTCCCCTCATTAGTATTGCTGCGCCTCCTACTCCCCCGTCTACTGAAGATCCAGTCCGAGTATACCCGTAGGTCCTCCATGGCGAGTATGTCGTCTTCTACGGCTTGCTGCGTTGATTCTGCGATTTGCGTGTCGACGTCCGGTTCCCACTTGGGGTAGTGTCTGACCGGTTCAATCTTCTCGATTTTGGATGGGTTAATCTGAAATTCGTTCATCAGTCTATGTAGAGGTGAGGGGTGCCGTTTTCTCCCCTAGAACTCTCGCCTTTCACTGTATTCGTATACCATTGGATTTTGAAATCGACAGCCAAAAATGATCATGACGGTTGCCCGTTTTGCCCCAGAACTTCGTCTACAAGACGATCAAACTGCCCCAGCAAGGGACGAAGATTGAGATAAATCGCCATCATCAGCGGGCTCGGTATGTTTGTCGTCACCACTAAATATACACGACGTTTCTGAAATAGTAGAGGAAAATCAGTAGGTATAGAAAAGAGGATAAGAAGACGCTCAGACATAGATCGAGAATAGGGATTGCAGCTTATGACACGCCTTTACCTGCGGTCCGCTTAGCACTACTGTCACCGAAACTATACAACAACGAGGGTAACTTCCAGCTTTTCACCGAAAAAATCGCACAGTTGCTTTCCAACTTTGAATGAAAAATTGTCAAGTAGTCACGGTATGGTTACGCTCGCTGGAACTCTCCGACTCGCCGATTCAGAGAAACCTTGATAAAAAAAACCTCGGCGGAATGCTGCTAAGCTCCAGCAAATAAAAGTTTACACATACAACTTTCGCCTGACCCGGATCCGAGTCGGATGATTGTGTTCTCAAATAACAAAAATCTTGTATTAATTATTACAGTCGAGCCATGAGTTCGCGTGATTCATTCATTGTCCTTCTCCGTGGCCCAGATAGTTGAAAACGTATTTCAGACCAATAAGCTATCAGCCACCTGGGCTTCCGATGCTTCGCGAACACTTCATCATCTGTGTACTCAGACAGCGGAACTCCACAAACGCGTAGAATCAGCTGTCTGGGCAGTTTATACCGGTTCTCGTTGTATTTCAGTATCGGGCATCGAGGCCTGGGTTGGTTGCTAGACCTTCCAGCATGCCACTTGGTGCAAGTGTGGGCGGGTGGTTCACTGACTTGCACTAGTGATACAACAAGAAATGAGTTTGTCTACATAAACCTCGTCTTAATTATACCTCGAAACGCCACAACTGAAATAAAACACACTACGAGGGTGAATATCTCCTCCATGCAAAACCGCTCGGCAAGCATTCCCCTACACAATACTGCTAGTTGGTACATGTACACGCTCCTGGAAGACAGTCGAATCCATGCTAGTTTCTGCATCGGAGTCGGCCACGAGTTTAGCGTGATATTCTCGAACGCTAAGAATGAGGCGTGGTCCCAGCACAAACATCTGCACGACCAATAAAATTTGAAGAGCACAATAGGATATCTCAACTTCCATAGAATTTGACTCCTACAGAAATGATGAGCAGTAGTACAAGTAGATGGTAGCGACAGGTCGGCACACCGAGAGCCCTAGAGAGAGATAACCCAACTCGAGGCAAGAGACACAAGCAAAGCTAGTACGTGCGGAACTTGAGCAGAAGGGATGACCGCATTCACATTACAGGCTCACCTTGCAAAATAAAGCACGTGGGATTTTATCAGCACTCCGAAACAGTCCCCGATGGTCAATCCCGTCGATGGGCCGAATCGTCGCAGGTCACGGAAGTGTTTCACAGCAATCCAGACTGACAGACACAGTGCGAGGACCTCCCAAACAGTGTTGAGCACCCAGACCATCGAGGCCAGAAGCTGAAAGTCCCCCTCATATTCATAATTGCACATATACGTGCCAGAAAGTATCAGCTCCTCTAGTGTTTGTCCAATGCAATGAACCGTGTTCTTCATGTCAACAAATAAAGCTTACCCGCTGCAGAATCCTTGAGTGTTATTGCCCCGATTACTCCGCAGGCGATGTTAACAGTCAAGAAGATAATAACAAGGAAGATAAGCATCATTCTAGATCTCTGATACATGGCATGTAACCGAGCAATCATGATGACTTGCATCGTATTTCAGTCGAGTCGATATCACTGAAATATTGCAGCTCACCGCCCAGCATGGCAGTTATGACTAGATTTGTTCCGTTCAGTGCGTAACCCATAATATTACCTGAAACACCCGATTAGTGATAACCTCGTACTAAGATCAAACACTCCGGTTCACACCTATCGAGTCATTATTTTGACCCAAGTTCTATGCTCAGAATCTCACTCACCCCTACATATGATTGTATTCGTTTAGTGGGAATGAGATGGTTGTGGAGTACTCACTGCATCTGACAGCAAGAACGATGTCATATTTTCTGTGTGCCATCGGTCAGAAGAATCGAACACAGCGCATAAGAGACTTACGCAGAACGTTGATACTGATAATGAGAGATGGGCTATTAGTACTGCACCAACTTGTTGGCCACGAAAACATACACAGAATATGGTATTCCAATATATCGTATCTAGAACATTTTGGAGTCAGCACATCTTGCCAGCCACGCTATAGTATAACATGAGGTACGAACAACGAGATACAGCAAAGTCATGAGAGACCAGCGTTGCCTCTGTCGCAAATTTGTTGTATTCTCCTGTTTTTCTGCTGATATGGGACTCTGTCACTCACCCAGATCAGTTCAATCTATGACACCATTCTTACTAGTAGTAAGGAGTTGGGTGCTCCGGCAATGGCACCGACTTACCTCTTGTCCGAATGTCAGTACTGGAAATATTATAAGAATATCAGCAGTTTCCGAACACTGTCCCGCTCACCCCAATCGTACACCACCACGACGCTGGCGGCAACTGCGAAACCGCAAGTCAATGTTAGATCGAGACATACTGATGCTACGAACCTATCCAATAGCTTCAACATATGTTCAAATTGATTGCCAGCCACCAACTGGGATCATTTGAGACTACGGTCATATTCGAGGGATGGGTGTGAGTGAGTGGGGGATGTTTGGGGTGTATGACGATCTAGCGTTCGTGCTAGCTATACCACCGGTGACAGCTCCAGTGACAGCCCAACGTGATGAGGTCGGGTGAAATATGATGATCCTGTATTTGCATAACACGAAAAGTGATGAGCTCTGAAATTTCCGATCAAGACGCGCTGCATTGCAATGATCGTTATCATCGTACATTGTATCGTTCTCGTATCGTTCTCGCGTCGTTCCAGGCATAGTAGGCCCGAGTTGTCAGCGTTTCAGCGTTCAACGTTGTGACCTGCGAGCCGAATAACACGCACATGCCATGCCTGCGCTAATCGTGACAACAATCTAGGTTCCATCGTCGTACTAGCATACACTGCCTAATTAGTAATGATACAGTGTCGAAAATGTACTACCATGTCACGTGACGTCTACAGCCAAATTGCTCGTTGCGGGTTTTCTCGCAAGACGACAATGTTAACGAACGTCCTACGACGTCCGCAAGGCCTATCTAAGTTTTACTCAACACAAAATAGGTCGTTTGTTCCTCCTGCGTCTCTAAATCATTTTGATTTTCGCCAACGTCAACGCGAAAAGCCACGTCCTACGACTCCAACGTTTTATACCGCTCGTCCCGAGTTCTACGACCAGCTCTCGTCATTGGAGTCGGCCCTCCAGCATGCCAAAACAGCGCTCACAACATGTCATCTCCTCCCCCTTCCCAAGTTTGCTCGGGAGGCCCTCCCACCGCGTGTCAACGCTTGGGTTGACAAGCGAGAACTCGCCCTGAAGCTGAGAAGCACCCTCACGACGAGCCGCTACAGACGGGTAGTTCTCGTGCTCAACGAGCTCGAGACCTATAGGTCCATTTCGGAGAAGGCTGGGATTATAGAGTTGCAGGAAGGTATCGGAGCTATCACAGAGCTATTCGAGCGCGCAGACGCCGCGACGATGCTCGCGAGGGGAAAGACCAAACCCGTCAAGCTCGACGAGTATGGGCGAAGTTACACGCTTGGGAAGCGGAAGACGAGCTCCGCACGAGTGTGGATCGTGCCCGTGCAACAACCTCCCGCAGACAAATCCACCGCCTCCCTCTCCATACCAGCAGCAACAGAAACAGACTCCGCGCTTACGGCCCTTCTTAACCCTAATTCCTCGTCGAAGAGCAATGAGCCTGTATCCGTCGCTCAGATCCTCGTGAACAACACTCCCCTCTCGACTTATTTCCCTATTCCTGCTGATCGTGCTCGCGTGATTCACCCAATCAAACTCGCTGGTTTATTGGGCGCATATAATATCTTCGCCATCGTACGCGGCGGAGGTACATCAGGACAGAGCGGTGCGCTCGCGCATGGTATCGCCAAGGGCATAGCTGCTCATGATCCAGCCGCCGCAACGATTTTGAAGAAAGGTACGTATTTTTGTCCTGCACTTAACAACTTCGACTAATGTTTTTGTCCGTAGCGAAACTTCTGCGTCGCGATCCACGTATGGTCGAGCGCAAAAAACCTGGTCTTGCGAAGGCACGCAAGCGGGTATGTGTATTTTTCGTTATGTTCTTTCTCTCATTTGTTCACCTTGTCTACAGTATGCTTGGGTCAAGCGGTAGCTATTCTCAGTGTGTTGCGCAGTGCCTATGTCTCGTTCCATTGCTTTTATTGTGTCACCAATGCTCCATCAGTTTGACAATTCTGCATGAAGTACATAAGTGAATGTTGTCTAGATGTTTTCACCTCCATCGCTTGATACGACAACGGGAGGTCATCGCTTAGGACACTAACCAAGATGATTCTTCGTGGAGTCGGAGAGGTCAAGATATTCAGTGACACCTCCGAGTCAGGCTGTCAGCCACACACCTCTCAGATGGTTCTCAAATTTCAATCATCCTCTGGACATAGTAGCGCACCAATTGAGCCTCAATCGTTGGTTCGTTATAAACCGGTTCCGTCTCGCTGTGTAGTGGTCCATGTAGGATGTGTCTGCGCTCACTCAGCCGTGTATCCTACTGTAAAGAGTTGGACAGACGAGCGCCCATTCGTCCTGCATTCCACCACAATGACATCCAGCAAGTCATCCCCACGCCTTGCACTTCGCTTCACAGCTTGACCGTTTCACGATTTTCATTCACCGGCATAGATGCCAAAGATAAAAGATATCATTACATTACCTGGCACGAGTATTCCATAAAAAAGCATAAAATATGCTACAATACATCGCCGCATGACTGAAGATTCGGTCCAATAAGAAAGGCGCCAAGCAGCGAAGATTACCAGAAGTCTATATTTGAGTAGGGATGGATGGAATGGGAGAGAAAGTCATTGGAATAGGACGTTCACTACCTCGCTTTGTGCAAAGCCTGAATTGCAATGTGGACACCGCCGCTGACGTGTCGAGATCCTCGCCTCGACGCATTGTTTGCAAAACGCTGGATAGGAGGGAATTAGTTCGCTCATGCGTTATCGATTTCTAGCAATGATACGTACTGTGCGAGCACTTGGTGAGAGCGACTCCGCGCATGTTTTCTTTGCATGTCGAACATTTAATGAGTCTCTGTGAACCCATTCAATAATCACTTCCAAACGCTGAAGAGGGTGTAGCATACCCAGACAGACGCAGCCTCTTCCATAAGGTCTGCTTCCTTTTCACTTGCTGAAGCAGATTTCAACTTCTTCATCTCAACACGGAGTTTATTAACCTCGGCTTTCGTACGAGCTAAGTCGTCGTCTCTCTTGAATAGACAGCCCTTGAGGTGGTGGATGTGGGCGTATTTTTCGTCGGCGACCTTTCGAACCTAGGCAAAGAAGTTACGGATATGGACCTGGCAATGATGCAAAATCGTACATTCTTCATCATCTCTTCGGTACATTCGGCCTGCTTCTTATACATTAGGGCATCGGTTTCAAGAACATTGAATCTTGTTTCTGCTTCATCCATCACTCGATGCAGACGCTGGTTGGCTGCATCGAGATGACCCTGAGTCAAAATGACGATGGTAAGAGACGAAGGAGAGGCAGTAAAGGGACGCACTATTTGTTGTTGTAGGTTTTTCTCGCTGTCAGCCAATCGTTCGACAACCTTGGCTTGTTTCTCGAGGTTCCGAATGGCGTTTTTCCGCTCAATCTCGACGGACTCCCTGTCGCGCATGGCCGCAAAGTACTTGTTATCCGCCTTCGCTTTCTGGATGCCAAGTGTTCATTTAACCTGCCGTACGAATGAGAAACGGCGACGGACCTCGTGTGCGCTCTTAGCGATCTTTTCCTCCGCCGCGGTCAAGCTCACCACCTTATTCTTTAATTGCCCATCCAAAGCCTCCCATGCTCCCGAAAGCCTTTCCACCTCTGCATAAATTGCGTCCTCCGCCTGCTGATGTTGCTCTGCAAGAAGTCGCATTTTCTGGAGCTCATCTTCCTTCGCTTGCAATTGCCTAGCGAGGTCCGAAGAGGGTTCTCCAAGGAGAGATCGATACCGTGATAATTCTGTTGTGACGGCAGCGAGCTCTTCTCGGGTAGCTGCTTCTGACGCAATATGTCGTGCAATATCGGGTTGCTCTTCTCGTATGGTGGACATGGACTGCTGAAGTGCGGTGAGCTTTGATTCGGTTTCACTGTGTGATGTCAATGATACCCGTCTCCACACTTCAGAATATGATACGTACAGCAGTTTCCTCCGAAGACCATCTACGTATTGAAGATCATCAACTTTTCCCTCCCAAAAATGCTTCATGAGATCTTCATTGCCGGCATGCGCAGCTAATTTCGCCTTATGTCTCCTAACCTCCGACTCAAGTTGCGTTATCCTTTCCTATTCGCAATGTATCAACAACTTGGTATGAATCTGTGTGTGACTGGCGCACCGCTCGTGATTCGGCGAGGGCCTTGAGCTCCCGAGATGACTGATATTTTATATTTTCACGACTTCTAAGTTCATTTAATTCGGCATGCAGCAGCTCACGTTGGTCGCGAAGGCGAGTGAGATCTGCATCCCGCTTAGCAAGTACAACTTTGAGTTCTTGGTTCACTTGTTGCGCAGAAGCCTGACAAAGATGAAATGAACAAGTAAGAGGACAAGAGTGGAGTAACCTACCCGAGTCTCCTCCTCAAATTGTGTCCGACTTGATTGCAGGTCTCGTATCGTGACGTCCAACCGTCCTATTCTGCTGTCGTTCTCAGCTTTCGTATGCTCCAGTTGATCCCTACGCTCAGATAATATCTTGTAATGCACAGTCCCAGAGACCATTTCAACTGTTGGAGCGGCGCGCTTTGATGTTTTAATGTAAGTATTGTCCTGTGGAAGGTAATGATTGACAAACCTCAACCTCGAGCTTCGCTATGGTCTCCGCCTGGGTCCTAATTTCTGCCTCTAGTTTACTTGCACGTTCAGAGGAAATTTTGAGCTCCAATCGACAAGCTTCGATATCTGACAGGGATGAATCATTATGACCATTTATTTGAGGCGGCTAGAACATGTGAGTTCCATACAATAGTGAGAAGAACCCGTGGTTACTGACTGGTGAAGTTGATGACCCATGATTTGGGGTGCTTCCTTCCGCTGGGCATGGTTGGTCCTGGCTTGCCTCATCCTTTGCCCCACCCTTTGTCTGCATGGCTGCAACGGTGCCACTTTGCATACGGTCTAACTTGATCTCCGCAGCAATAAGGTCGTCGTGTAGTTGTTCCTTCTCTGACTGGACCTCGTCAAGCCTCTGCTGCAGCAGTGCTATCTCAGAGCGAAGGGCAATACACTAGGTCGAGTCAATATGGTATGGTATGGCCCACTGAAAATACTGACCTCGGTCTGTGATGTCTGACTGCGTTGATATGCCTGATCATTGAAGGTGACCGGATTTAGCTTCATAAAACTTGTAATTAGTTCTTCGGTTGCAAGCATGTTCTTCTCCAGTGCAGCTTTGAGGTTCGAGTCAGTTGAAATGTGCTGCGACAAGTCAAAAATATCTAGTACAATGTTTAACAGAAGCCAAGTCGTGGAGGGAGTGCTCGACCCACCTTTCGCATCGACTTCGACGGCTGGGAGTTCCTCTGGTGGCGTCAGGGTTTGAACAGTGTCTACCAACTATCCCACCAGAACGTTGATACCCACAACTGAGATGGCAGTATCATATAACATACCTGCTTCCAGCATGCGGCAATAGCTACTAGACCTGCCTCGCACGAGCTTCTTCTCTGCTCAAGTTGAGCTATGCGCGCCTGATTCCGCTCGTTCTCTCTCGAGTAATGCTTCATGCGCCTGAAGATGGCCTCCTTTCGAAATAGCTAGTAAAGAGTAAGGTTTTTGTACGCCGTAAAGTTACAAGAAATGCCAAAATTACCTCTAGCTGGTGGTTGTCTGCAGGTTCTTCTGCGTCGTAATTAGCACTCAAGCCGTTGACCTCCGGGCTCCCACTCGTGCTCGTTAACACCCGCTTTTTTGCCTGAGCAACCTCTCCATCGTCTGGCAAGGGCCTCTTTCTTGATTCCAACATGATGATGGATGAAAAGAGGCGTTGGTAGGACGCGACGAATGGAATAAACACCTTCAAAATGGACCTTAGCAATGAACAGTATCTGGGTTTGAAACTCCGATGGCTGTAGCGGGTTGTCGGGTTTATCGCCAACCCGCCTAATTTTTGCATGTCCTTCTGACCTGTCATGCAGACATTTGTCCGGAGGCTGCCCAGTTCATGGCAATGGGCGCTATACAGTTCTAGATCATCCAGAACTTCTCCAAAGTGCTTGGTATCATGCTCAGGTAGACGCGCTGCTTCAGCAGCAGCCGCGGTCGCCAAGTCCCCACCGGTGGAATATGAGCCACCAACTTACCCCACATATCAGCTATCAGAGAAAGATGTGCAAAGGCTCAATTTCCAGAGGAACATTGGTGTTTCCGCCCACATTGATTCCGGAAAGACCACTCTCACAGAACGTGTACTGTTCTATACCGGTCGTATTCGGGAAATTCACGAGGTGAGTTGGTGAATCTTTTTGGTTTCCAAATAGCATTTGTTTCGCAGTCAAATTTGTTCACATGGGACGCGACTTATTTTTTATTCGGCTAAGGTTCGAGGTCGGGATGCTGTTGGTGCCAAGATGGATAGCATGGAGCTTGAACGCGAAAAGGGCATCACTATTCAAAGTGCTGCTACGTTTTGTGATTGGGAAGCAACTTCACCTGTGACAAACGAGAAACAAAAGTATGCAATTAATATCATCGATACCCCAGGTAATTTGGTTGTCTAACCTTCTCCGTGCTGAAAATAATGCGTCTTTGCAGGCCACGTCGATTTCACCATAGAGGTTGAGCGCGCCCTCCGTGTCTTGGATGGTGCTATCCTAGTTCTCTGTGCTGTATCTGGTGTACAGGTGTGTAAAACATAGTCAAATTGGTCAACAAGATCTTATTATTTGTATAGAGCCAAACTACCACAGTTGATCGACAAATGAGACGGTATAATGTTCCTCGGATTTCCTTCATTAACAAGATGGATAGGTAAGTGCCCATTCGTCGATTTTGAAGTTCGAATTTTGATTTTCCCTCGCAGGCCTGGCGCCAACCCATGGCGAGTCATCAACCAGATCCGGTCAAAACTCAAGATTGCAGCTGCAGCGGTTCAGGTGCCTATAGGCGTTGAAGACGAGCTGAAGGGTGTAGTCGACCTTGTACGTTGGAAGGCCATCTACAATGAAGGAGAAAAGGGGTATGTCTCTAACAACTTGTCTTCCCCGGCTGTGTTAACCATATGCTGCAGCATTAATGTCGTAGAGTCTGACGATATTCCTGAATCTGTGCTCGATCTCGCCAAGGCTAAGCGTACCGAGTTGCTCGAACAACTTGCTGAAGTGGATGACGAAATAGGTGAACTGTTGATCATGGACGAGACTCCCACAACTGCCCAGCTTGTTGCGGCCATTCGTCGCGCCACCGTCGGTCTCAAGTTCTCACCAGTCTTCCTTGGCTCCGCGATCAAGAACACCGCCGTCCAGCCCATGCTCGATGGTGTATGTGCCTATCTCGCGAACCCCGCTGAGGGAACCGTGACAGCCCATGATACAACCCAGCCTGCATCCGCTCCACCTGTTCCACTTGTCCCTGCCTCAGATGCACCTCTCGTCGGCTTGGCTTTTAAGCTTGAAGAGGGACGGTTTGGCCAGCTGACATACATGCGGGTTTACCAAGGCACTCTGAAGAAGAGCGGTATCATTTATAACGCCCGCACTGGCAAGAAGGTCAAGGTTCCTCGACTAGTCCGTATGCACAGTAACGAGATGGAGGTACGCGTCTTTGCGGTTTACGCACTTCAGACCTCATGTCCTTGTGAATTAGGATATCGAGTCTATCGGTCCCGGTGAGATTTGCGCTATCTTCGGCGTTGAATGCTCCTCTGGTGACACTTTCACCGATGGTTCGACTAGTTTTTCCATGGTAAGCACGTTAATACTCTCCTGCTGGTGCCGGTCTCACCCATGTTATTCTGAAGACGTCGATGTTCGTCCCCGAACCTGTGATTTCCCTCGCAATCAAACCTGAAGGCAAAGAGACTCCCAACTTTTCTCGTGCCCTGAACAGATTCCAGAAGGAAGATCCAACGTTCAGAGTTCATCTTGACAAAGAGAGCAAAGAGGTATGTATACTCGTATGCAATATCACTCCTTTATTCAAGTTTCACTGCAGACCATTATTTCTGGCATGGGTGAACTTCACTTGGAGATCTACGTCGAGCGCATGCGTCGCGAGTATAATGTTGCTTGCACCACCGGTAAACCTCGCGTCGCCTTCCGCGAGACCATCACGCAGCGTGCAGAGTTCAACCATACGCACAAGAAACAAACTGGTGGCGCAGGGCAATTTGCACGTGTCATCGGATACATTGAGCCCATGGAATACAGCGAGGACCTTGGCCGTGATGTTGACTTTGTGAATGTCGTTATGGGAGGGAATGTTCCTACTAATTTCATTCCTGCTGTGGAGAAGGTACGTTGACGCGGTTACTAGAAGATCGACCATGTCTTCATGTTGTTGCACAGGGCTTTTACGAGGCGCTTGAGAAGGGCTCACTGTCAGGTAACCCCATCACTGGCTGCTGCTTTGTGCTCAAGGATGGTGCTTTCCATGCCGTGGACTCGTCTGAACTTGCTTTCCGAAACGCCACTATTGGTGCATTCCGCGAAGCTTATAAAAATACAAAGCCGGTCATTCTCGAGCCTATCATGACTGTCGAGGTTGTTGCCCCATCCGAATTCCAGAGTACGTCAGAACCCTTTTGGTTGCGTGAATGAACACCAACTTCTTCTATAGGTGCTGTCATCGGTGGACTAAATCAACGGCGAGGTACCATCATTGACAGTGAGGTCCGCGATGAAGAGTTCGTTTGCATTGCAGAAGTCGCTCTGAATGACATGTTTGGCTATTCGAGTCAGCTCCGCGGTGCGACACAGGGCAAGGGCGAGTTTACCATGGAGTACAAGGTATGTTATGCCTGTCTGCTAAAGGGTAGGAGCTTATGTTGTCCTTGTAGAACCACATGCCTGTACTACCCAACGTTCAGAAGGAACTGGAAGAGGCCTACCGCAAGACGATGCCACAGGCAAAGAAGTAGATTTATTACATTAATAGACATATCACTGACCTACATAGAACTTACAAGCCTGGATCGTGGCTTGATCTCAAACAACACTAGAGCCTAAATAATACACATCACTCCGATCTGATATCATGCTTTGTCGATACATCGTCCGAAGGGTAAGGTAACCTAGTGACGCGGAAGCGCCAAAATAACCACTTCGCTAGCTTCCAACTCCAATATTTCGCAATCCGCCTTGTCGCCGTTCCCGATTTGCGTCTCCACGCAAGTAAAGTCCATTGGCTTCCAGAAAGCTGGTGAGCTCGTGTATTCCAGAATAAATTAAAGTTGCCCGTTACCTTGTACAAAACCGTCATCGGTTGATCTAAAACATGCTGTAAAAACTGGAAAGGGAAATATTGGTAGGTCACTTACGCCAAATTGCAGTGTTATACATGATTCCTTGCCTTGCACTCGCTACGAATGCACGAAGAGTATTGAAGTCGGGTTTGTCGTCTGCTCCATTGTGAGCGACCACCACAAGGTATGCACTACCTGGCTCCTTCAGCGCCTCGTCACCCTGTATACCTCCCCCACCCATAGGAATGAAGGCCTGGTTCGTGTATGGATGACGCTCGACGACCTTGAGCTCCACACCACCATTAACAACTTTGGTCGGATTGCAGCGATAGACAGACAGCCCACTGCTAGCCCCCAGACCAGCTGGATACGACGATTCTAAAGGTGAAAGTTTATGGAATTTGGTTGCAGATCCCTGATTCGCAGGCGTGATCTTAATCCCTGGGGGAGCTGCGGTATGATCACTATATGCTTGAACGACTTGGCCAAAGGGTGAAAAGGCTTCTGGTGTAAGAGGAAGAACGGGTATGGTTTTGACTTGTTTAATTGCTATAGGGGCCGATTCAAGTGGCACAGCAGCACCGTTTTCTGCTGTGTCACCGGGTCTGACCGCAAGGTCTGGTGTAGTGGGACAAGGTCCCTTCGTACCATAGACTCGTACGCGCTTGATACCACCATCAGGATATATGGTAAGCTTTACGTGCGTATAGGCAATACAAACATCTGCTTCCAGTGCAAAGAAGTGCCTCCGATGCGGTCCGAGCTTGACTGGGGACAAAATCTGTGTCCAATCGGCGGCGTCGCTATCTGGCACCTCGTCTTCGCTGTACAAAGCATGGAGTTCACAGGTCTCCGGGAAGTTGCCCTTGAAATGTGCCGTGTCGATTTCGACCGTTCCTAGATGACCCGGTGTGCCCCTAAATAGCCACCCATAAGCTCAATTCATGGGACACCGGGAGGTTTCGGTGACTTACAATTTAATAATCACCCAATCCTTGTGGCCTTTCTGCCGGCTTCGCTTAGTCTCCCAACCATCGCCCATATCTTTACCTGCAGAGATATAGTACCGAAATCAAACTCCCGGGAAGCGCGAGACACCCACCTCGTCCTGGGAGAATCAGATTCGCGCCAACACCAAAATGTTGGTCAGACATATATGTCACGCGACCTCCAGCGAAGACATGAGCGAGGTCGAATACTTCTTGAGTGCTGTCAGGCTGGACGGGAGCGACGTTACCGTAGACACGGAAACGCGCCTATAATTAAACACGTGAGTTTCAGATTCGAGGAGTTGGACACGAGTGTTTACAATACCACCGTCCGGATACATGTTTAACTTGACAAACTTCACTCGTCCGGTTTCTGGTATCTTGAAAAGATGCCGCTGAGTCGGGCCGAGTGGGACACGGGGTAATATTTCCGTCCACTGTAGTGTCATATATCAATTTAGGAAAACCGGACGCGAGATACAGACACGAACCTTTTCATTGTTCGCGTCATGTTCATCCAGTGATGAATCAATTATACCATCTACGGACACTTCAGGGGCTTCATTACCTACTCATTACGACGACCTTATCGATATCATTTATTGTGTAAAGATAAGACTGAGACAAACCGTTGAAATGGGTTGTGTCGATATCGAACCCGACGATTGTACCCAACGTACCAAGTTTAATGACACACCTGTGCGGAGAACACTTATATCGCGACATGTTATGCGGATCATACCTCGTCAACATACCAGTCGTAGGAAGGATTATGTCTCCGTGTCTCCCAGCCGCTATACAGCGCGCCATTAGGGCCAAACTGCCCTTTGAGGCTGGGAGCTGGCTATTGAGAGGGACTTGGAATTGTTTTGCAAACTCACACTGACCATGGAACTCACCTCGACTTCAAGCAAGTGAAATGCCTCAGCGAAGAACTCGTCTGAGACCTTCACAACTTTTCCTCCTAGTGCGACGCTGGAGAGCTCTGAATTCAACGGGTCGCGTGAGGATTGAACAAAGGGCAAATATATATAATACACACCAGTATTGGACTTGAAGGTTTCATGGAAGGCTTCAAGCGGGATGCTCTCGTATGCCATACTATTAACTTCTTTGCGTACAAGGTGGTGGATATAGGACAAGATGAATTCCTCCGCCGGCTCCCCCCGCTATCTTATCTTGCTGTGGAATCCCTCACGGACGAATTTGGGTTTTCGTTAATTCAAACACGCGAGCAGTGGCGCCACAGGCAGGGGTCTGTTCTAGATAGCAGAACCGGCTCGTACTAGTCCATAATCATTATGATCAAGGTGATCGAAGGAGCCAACCTCGTGGACTTCAAGTTAAAATCTGGATTCGTTTGGACCGCCGGAAGGAGATAACGATGCACATCGTTAGTAAGCATGGCTTAAAAATGTGACGGTGAGGGACTTCCGCTACTTAGCACGATACTATTTTATGCTCGCAGGGTAGGCTGTAGCTTCTAGCGCTCACATGAGTCGATTAGGAAGGTTACGTGAAGTACATACTAGAACTTGATGCAAGTTTCAGCGTAAAGTCCAACTGTTCAATCTCTTGATGCCGAGCATATGTAGCTCACAGTTAGGAGTAAGCAAAGCACGATTATGAGGCAATCTACCATGCAATCAGGTTGACAATAATAATATATATGCTCTTTGGGGTGTGAACTTGCAACGTGCACTTAACTGTTAGAAGAGTGCCCATACACCAGCTCGCCCTATTGGAAGCAATGATATCTCTGGCATGCACCACGACCACGGGTGAAACTGCCAGAACAGGTTGTCTCCGCTGTATATCCGACACCAAAGGTTTTGAATCACCTAGGAAGTCACGTATGCTATCCTTCAGACCAAGATGTGTTGCTTGCTTGATGCTGGAGGGTTGGGAACGCGTATCGTAATCGGGGAGTCCTCAGCGAACAGTTTCATGACTTGGAGCCCAAACTAGATATGAAACAGTTTAATCACTCTGAAAGGCAGGAAGAAAATGGCACCAGGCTCGGCAGCTTACAGCAAGACACTCAGCATACACCAGTCCTCCTTAATCCCTGCTCAACACCTCGACATCCAGGATCCAGAGAATGGAGGTAGCAGCAGCGCGTGCATCATTCCGATCATCGTTGTTGAGTGGTTTGAAAATCTCGAAGCATCCACTGGGCTGTCAGAGTAGGATGGTATTGTATTGAAGAAAATGGATGACACTATAACCGCCGCAGACTGCGCCACTGGTACTACTAGCCCAAAGGATCCTAGTATCGCGAATCAATCACGAATACTTGTTGTATCATCTCGTCCAGAAAGGCGTCAGGATATCCACTTAAACCAACGAGTCGTCATCGCCCTTTGCGTTCCAAGGTCCAGTTCCGCCACTCTGTCATGGCGGTAATGGGGGCATCGGAGGAGATGGTGCAAGGGGCGGTCAGTACAGCAGAGAGCTCATGTCGCCAGATGAGAAGGCGACACCGGCAAATGTCTCACCCGAGCTGTCTAGCATTGCGAATATTGGTATCGCGTTGTTGGACTTTCTTCCACGGATGACGCAGCCCTGGGACGATTCAAATCGACGAAGCTGCGGAACACAAATGTTACAGGATACCTAAACCAACGTCGTCCTCTGCATTCTGGAGTCGAAGTCGATGGTCTGAAGCCTAGAATACAGTACGTTGCTGTCCGCGTATTAATTCATCATCCCTCCCCGTCATCAGACATATATTCTGACTCACTCTCGCTTCCCTCCTGGGAAAATTTTCGCCACCTCCATCAAAGCCACCTCCACCGATCGGCAGAACAGCAACGGGCATGCCAAATTTCAGCACCAACTATGGGACAGACATCTTCAAACGAAGATGTGGCGCTTGGGAATGTGGTGAGATCTGGAGACGGCGGAAATACGCAAGGCGAGGGGTCTACATGGGGTTGATCAAAGTTTTCATCAAGCTCACAGTGAGAACATTTACTATAGCATTTACACTTCGGCTTTCTGCGAATCTAACATCAAATCTATCAGAATTACAAAGGTCCTGAGTGATTGAATTGCGAACCTTCAAATCCGTCAGGATGATCAAACGCCAATCATCGCCAATCAAGTCCGGTTGCTTTGCCACATAAGCGCCACGTGCAATAATTGTCATTGTCATGGCGCCTCACCCTTCACAGTGGGAGATTCCCGTCTGTATTCCCCGCATGTGGGCAAAATGCCACGTGTGGTCACCGTGAAATACCCGGAGAAGAGTCTCCGTTCGGAGAACCAATCAGCAGTTAGGCTTCTCTCGATCATGGGTCGGTCAACCACGTCGTTGAAGCGGTAAAGACTTCATATCTCGGACGTCATGAGTCACGGCAGAAACGGAGTAAGATTGCTATTATTACGCGCATCTGGAAATGAGAAGAGTGTCGATCACTCGAGGACATGACACGTGGATGTGAGTATCATCAAGCGCGTGCAAGGACGACACGTTTGACATTCCATGGGTCTTTCCATACTTGCGTGTTTCGCAAGCCTGCTGACTGCTGGAGTATACCCTCGACCGCATCTGCTTGAGCTCGGCCCACTTCCAGTGCCACGATTGAACCGTCACGCAGCACCCCTTTTTGTCTGAGAAGCTGGGAAATTATACGATAGAAGGACAGGCCATCCTGTTCCTCGGAATCTGGGAGGTCTCCCAGCAATGCGGCAGGATCTTCGTAATTCTTGACTGATACAGGAAGCTCATCATACTCTCGTTTTGGAATATAAGGAGGATTCGCCGTAATAATGTCGAATGGCGGCAGGAGGCTTTTGAAGACGTCTGGATCACGGAGATCACCAAGCACTGGCATGAATACGTTTTGACTGTATGGAGTCAGGGACAAGGGCTGGGATGATGGGATGTTACAACGTGCTGCATTATCTGCGGCTAAGCGGATCGCGTCTTGAGATATGTCTACACCATAAGCACGAGTACTGCCTGGTGGCCAGAGGTGACATAATAAAAGAGGTATGCAGCCGGTGCCAGTGCATAGATCGAGAATGGTTAGCGGACGGAGGGGGGTCGGCGTTAGCATATCCGCAAGGCGAAGTGTCCAGTCTTCAGTCTCGGGACGAGGTATTAATGTTGGAGGGCGTGTTAACAAGTCAAGTGGACCAAATGGCGTAGTGCCTAGAGATCTGCATGAGTTTAATAGCACATGGGATTGGTCAACTAGCCTGCACACCCAAGATATATTGAAGCGGTTCTCCACTCAACCTGCGCTGGAGCATCGCGGGAAGTGTGGGAGAATGAGATATGGTTAGAGCTTGCTTCATCCATTTGAGTTCACGTGTGGCGGTTTCACGACCGAGTGAAGAAACCAGCCTAGTGAATAATTGTTTCACAGCGGCCGTGTCACTAGGCATCCAAGTTAGAGTATATCCCAAGCAAACTTGATGGCTTGTCGTCCTTGAACCTATAGAATTTTTGCCTCATGTTAAACGAAGTGTCAAGCCGAAATTAATACGGACCGTTATCGGCAATGCCGACCGGTTTACGGCTATTTTTCTTGATTATGTAACTGAAATACTAAAAAAATATTATATGTACTTGGCAGTAATTAGAATTGATGTAAAAGGAAGGATATCAGTCGCTCATCGGTTTACGGCCGACGTCAAAGTTTCCCTTGCTTCCAACCGACGGTCATAATCCTTCTCCCTCTTATTTCTTACAAGTCTTTAACAGTTTACTTTGCTGATCATTATATGTGTTCATAACAATTCTCATGGCAGCAGATTCCGCACTCACTACTACATCTTCAGAAATGACTATGGTCGACCCATCCCCTGTGACTACTGCTGCTCCTTCACCATCTAGCGCATACGTGAATCCTTCTCAGATGGTCACTCCAGAACCACAGGCAGGCCCTTCTCATTACCGCACACAAAAGACAAGGTCGCTGTGAAGAAACGTAGACGCGATGATGACACAGAAGCTCCTCGCAAAAGCAGGGACGGTCCCAAGAAAAAGAAAGCAAATCGTGCCTGCGCGCATTGCCAGAAAGCACATTTAACATGTGATGATTGTAGGTCACCTGTTTGTTGCCCGGATCTTGCACATGTCAAACCTTACATATTTCTTCTAACAGCTCGTCCTTGTCAACGCTGTGTCAAGCGCGGAATTGCCAGTACCTGTACAGAAGGTCACCGCAAGAAAGCCAAGTATCTCCTCGACGATGACGAACTTCGTGCGTGCTGTTCTGTATCTCCGCTTGCCCGGTTAATTTGATCACGTGCCCATGACAGAACAACTGAAGAAAAAGGGCAGAGTTCCTGAATCGAGTTCAGAGCCCGCACCCGCGCTCCAACCGACATGTAACACGTCTTGGCCCTTTTGTTTAGTCGTGTGATATTCTGACACTGCTTGTAGCTGAAACCTTCCAATCGCACGATCCACTCTTTAATGTGTCGTTCGATCCCAATTTCACGTTCGGCTCCGAGGCCGCCAACCTAGAGTACTCCATACTTTCTGCGATCTTGGGTAATCCAAGTCCTCCGGAATCTGGTCCAGCACCATCTCCGTCACAACAACAGCCGCAACAACAGCAACAGCAACAGCAACAGGTTTCCCAGCCACTCCCAAATTCGGCGTGGTCCCCTGAGCCACTTCACGCACAACCCCAGTATATGCAGGGAGCGCCAAGCAATTTTGGGTCTCCGTTCGGCGATCCGCCTCAGTTATCGATGCCGCAGTCGGATAGCCTGTCTGCTTCTCAACCGTCGCCAACCTTCCTTGCAAGCTATCCTGCGCCACTGTGTCGAACTTCGTCGCCAGCACCGCAATACTCCTACGCTCAACCACAGCCGCAATTATCGGCTCCATATAACCCGCACTATTCGCGTGGTGTTATCAGTCTCGGTTCCTCAAGCGTAATACGCACGCCATCAAGGGATACTCGTTCTCACTCCTACGAGTCTTCGTCGCGGACGTCACCATCACCTACGATCCAAAGCGGTGATCACCATTCTGTTCGTATCTACTTTATCATACTGTGCCTGGCTTATCTTCCCATTCAGACCATCAACGTAACAGCGCCTTATGATTATACTGAAGGTTACCACTTTCTCATGAAGCATCTCCCGAGTCGGTGCGTATACTCTGTGTGCTGAGAAGTAGAGAGCTTCTGGCCTGTGTGGTCAAATCCTAATATTATCTTGGGTTGGATTGCCCCTGGGACCCTGGAACGTTCAGTTTTGAAAAGAATGACATATTGCGCATTGTCCGAGCACTCGCCATCTTCCGACCATCGCTTATTGCTTTGCAAATGCCCATGACGGATGAGGACGAAGTATTCGTGGAGAAATGTTTCCAAAGATCACTGCTCGTACGTATATTACTTTATTCTCACATGACGCTAGTTTTGATTTCCCATGTAGGAACTGGAAAAGCTTATATCGTACAGCGGCACACCGACGGTGGTCTGGAGGCGAACCGGCGAAATCTGCCTCGTCGCACCCGAGTTTTGCATGCTCACTGAGTGGCGTCTGGAAGACCTCGTTGGAAAACGCAAGTACATATACGAAGTCCGTATACTTTGTCTCTTTCTTGAAATCACGTTGACCTGGTGTTGGTGCCAGCTATTCGAAAACCAATCCGTCGTCGAATACTGGGAAAACTTCGCCTCTCATGCCTTTGAGAATACGACCAAATCGGTATACTCGCATTGCGTTCTCCTCAAGCCCTCCGGCGCGCCGATCCCCTCGACCTTTTGTTTCTCAATACGAAGGGACATCTTTGATCTTCCCAGCATAGTCATCGGTAAGTGATATCTCGACTCCCATCGATATACTGACGACAGGCACGCAAAAGGCCAATGGTTACCGCTCCTATGACCCGATGTCCCACCCGGATTATTGTGGTTCCCTTATCTATCTATCTATCTACATTTGTATCGAGATACTGCATTCCTTGGAGAGGATGGCTTAACTCTGTACATTACATTATGAACTTCTTATATTGCACATGATTTCGCTTGCGCTGCCACAGCAATCATAGAATCATTATTCTAGTACTGATATTCTAAACGTAGACAATGAAGCTAGCTTTCGGTCCGTCTCATTCCAATTCGTACAATCTATGCACGCCTTTATGAGCAACGGAAATATGCGCCTAGACTGAAGACAAGGTACCAACGAATAAGAACGAGTGGCCGGAATTGGGATTCGGTAAAACAATAGAAATAGTCCAATCTCGAAGGAATACAACAACCACACACTCAGTGCTCATTCCCTTTCTCGATGGCATTTACACTGCTCCTTCGATATTTGCATATTCGCTCTCGACACCTGGTTCGATCAGGCATGCGTGGGTGAGAATGAGAAACGCGGATGCTCCGATGAGCCAGAATAAAGTCATGAATGGAGAGGAGAACCACAGGAGGGGGATGCCGATCACGAAGAGCCCTGTGTAGAGGGTCTTTTGAGTGACGACTTGTCCATAGACTTCCTCTAAAGCCCAAAATCAGCCCCAAATCAAGGGAGAAAGAGATGGAGGAGTCGCACCAAAACGGTTGATGACAGCAAAGCCTCCAAAGAGGAAGATGAGGGATAAGAGAAGGAGGGGACTTGCGATACTAGGTGAGGGGACGACATTAGCTGTGGGTTCAGGGTTGGACTCAGCCTACGCACAGGGAATATACTGCAAGAGCAGCTACGATGAGAGTGTAGTTCCCCGAGAAATACCGAGTGTTATATGTGAGTCGCTATGAGTTCGGTCTCAGCATCGTCCTCGGGGCATACAACAACCACACAAAACGCACCGATACTGCCGTGTTAAAATCTGCAGGTCTTGAAATACGGTGGATATCAAAGAACTCTGCAGGAGTTCTGAGTGTGCTCAAGCGGGTTTCCTGAATAAAGTTCTTCACTATGAGCAGCCAAATTTTTCCTTTCACGCAGAGTACTACATACCCGGAAAGACTTGAGGGCGTCAACAACACGAATAGCAGCTTCCATAACTGTTTAGTAGTCTAGGTTGGATGGTAGTTGGTTGAGAGTATGGTCTGTGGTTGGTCTGCGGGCACGGTATTTGTTCAAGGTTTTTCTGCTGCGCTGCTGCTGCGTTCCGGCTTGAAGTTCGCGTGTCGGTTTTAGTGACCAAACAGTGGTGAACACGTCTTTGTTGTCAGCGCGCCAAATCGAGAGGCGTTTATATTTGATACCTCATTATCACCGCTCATCATTGTCTACATCGTCAAACTAGCGCTTGGGCTTGCATTATACTACATATCATCCAGCTTGCTATTTCCATTGACTACACCATGATCAGACGCACGCCTACCATGATTCCAATGTCAGATGCCGATGTCCAAGAAATCCGAGACCTCGTGGTAGACCAAAAGTCTCGCTTCGAGGCCAAGCAAAAGACCCTCCTCGCAATGAAAAAAGTGGCTGAACATCCAATCCAGCCAAACGACCCAGAGACCTTGCCGTGGTTCCAGCTATTGGTAGCTGAGAGGAATAGACGGCTCGGTATACCTGCCCCGAGCACAGCTATTCATGGGCCGAGCACCGGTCCGAGCACATCAGGTTTGACTCAAACGCTTCTAGCTCGAAGACTACTCCAAACTGACAGCCTCATAGGATCCAGTTGATATACACGCGAGGTAAAATACAGATGAAGCGGTGCTAGACGCAGTAGACCAAAGTACGAAATAACATGACACATCAGGGCACGGATCGTCGGGAGTCGGCTTGTCAGGGCCCGCTTTCAAACGCATTCCTGAATCCTGTACATCACGGTGTCATCAGCCCCATATCAGAAACGTCAGACAATATCCCCAAACTTACCATCAAGGTTTCTCCTATCACATAACGCTGCAAGGTCAGACCTCTGAAGGTGCAAACAAGTCGTCTTGAGGCTATCCCACAGTGTGGAGTTTGTCACACCACGTTTGTCATTCATGCCACTGTCATCCGCCACACCATCGCTATCTTGCAAAACTAGCGCATCGAGAATGTGTGACTGCGCCTCCTCATACCGCTGTCAAACTAACGTCAACAACAGCACAGCATCAGAGCTTCCCGGAACAAGCAAGACCCACCCGAAGATTAATGCAGGAAATACCCAGGTTGAACCTACCACATAACGCGTTTCACTCAGCACCCATAACAACCAACTATGAGGATAGGGTCACAATACCTTGCCCGTATATATGCAGGGTTTAGATCCAGTGCCCGATAATAGAACTGAAGTGCTTCCTCGGCCTGCCCATTATTTGCCATCGTGGCACCCACTCTGTTATACAGAAGCCAGTCCTGGTAATAATATTCTTCAGTCTCGCGCCCATAAACTCAACTTTGAAACACTCACATTCGGGCGGACCGCCAATGCCGTCAAAAAACAATCTTGCGCCTTGTTGTATTCCTATGAAATCAATTGACAGCATAGGTAATCAGTCCATGACTCTCGGAACAGATGTAAACGATCGAGGTCGTAAGCACGTACATCTGTCGTGTTTAGCAACACAGCAAGTGCCACTTGCACATCTGCATCCACACCTCCCACCTCGTCAGTACTCCGTGCCATACTGATAAGACACTCTATCAACGCCTCAAAATCGGGAGGGGATACATTGGTAGCCGCTGTCAATGTGGCGTTCTGTACCATATGGTTGTACTTGGGATTGCGGATCGCCCATTCTTTGACTGCGTTGTAAACGCCCATGCGGTTATTGTCATTCGTGTAAGAAACGGAGAGGGCAAGCCATGCGCCAAGATGTGTCGGATCGAGTTCAACAGAACGTTCCAGGGCCTGCACAGCCTTCTTTTCACGTTCGTTTTCCTGTTGTTTGACGCCAAGCTCGTACCATGCTGCGGCGTTATTCACATCGCGCTGGACAGCCGCCTCTAGTTTGAGCACGCTCTATTTGAGATGAAGCCAAGTCAGCATACATGTGAAAAAGAAAACTGTCTGGTAACTGACATCTTGGCCACGTTGAACTTCACTCACGTGCATTCCATGATGACGCGTCCTTGACGAATCGCCCAGGAGATAAGGATTGTTCTCCTGAAATTGGTAATTTGTCAAGGCTTTAATTCCCGTGGAAGTAGCTTCAAACGCATCCCAATCGCGCTGGAGTTCATGCCATGAACCTTGCTCGCCCGCGGATATAGTGTGGGGCACAGGTCCTGTATAATGAGCGTCCCAGTACTTCGAGAACTCTTCATTTTCTTGTTGAAAATAAGCATCGTCGGCATAATTGTTGTTGCGTTGGTGGCGATACGCCTCGCTTAATTCGAAAGAACCTTGATAGCCCTGGATGGAACTCGCTGGTACTGAGTGTACCCGGACAGGCTCCTGGACTTCTCGCACAGGAATGTCAACCGCACGCCCCTTTCCCTTGACGTTTACACGAGCAGCAGTGCTGCTTTCGCTGGGAACGATCTTGTCTTCTTCAACGATGACTTCGCCGTCTCGGAACTGACGCATGAGGCTCATGAATTGACTCTGGCGGAATTTGGGATTCTGCTCGCCCTGGACGGCATCAATGACACGTGCTGCTAATTGTGCCATGTCATCTTTCGCAGCAGGCTTCGATGCAACGTGAGCAGAATCTGAGACCGGGGCGACATGCGCGTTTAACCTCATTTCTTGAGATTGAAACTCTCTGTCCCATGATACCTCTTCAGACGATCTATGAGCGTTTGATTACATTCGATCAAGTTATAAAACGCACGATCAGTCTGCAGAGCAGATATTTGCATCGGCATTGGCGCTGCGGCCATCATGCCCGACATGGGACTCATTCTGTAACCCGCATGCGGGGCGTTCCAGGGTATACTACCTAACACTTGAACTCCGCATATATTCACCGTAGCCACCACAAGCACGCACCTTGCAGTCCTGGACTGATAGGCGCCGAAATAGGACTCTGCATTCGATCTTGCTGAGCCTCGACATGCTTGATCACAGATGCAGGCGTCTGCACCTGCTGTACCATAAAATCGCTTGCCCAGCCCGAGGGAAATGGGTTCTGGGTCTGCGGTGATTGAATAGATGTTTGAACTTGCGGAAGAACATCATTTAATCCAGCCAGATTAAAAGGCTGAGGGACTACAAGCTGGGTCGGGGGGCCCAGGTGTCGAATTAAAGAAACGTTCTGCATGCTGTTGTAGTTCAGGAGAAGTAGCTTGCTGGGTGCGGAACACCTGTGTGTGGATGTTATCGGGTTCATCTGATTAGGAGATTGTATTCTTACCTCTCGAGATGAGCCTGCACGTGTGCCACCGATGAAATCCTGCAGTGGGGTAGAATAGTTGATGACCCTAGGACTTCCCATAACCCCGCACGCACCTGCTGCACTCCGCGGTCTTGGTCGAACCTTTTGGATAGGCTCTGAAGTGGGTTTGACGGGCCGCATTCAGATCCACCGACAAGCATTGCAAGCGACATCGTGATGGAAGAGGAAGAGAAGCGGTGGATGAGTCTTAAGTCATGCACTTGATCTACAACACCCTGTAATAGCCGAGGAGAGTACATTTCTCACGTGTTTCTGCAAGTTCCCACGGATCGTGGCAGTATAATGGAGGGTAACATTAAGAGCAAAGTATATTAACTGTAATCCCACTAAAGGGAGAAAAAAAGCTGGGATCGATACAAGAGTGTACATCGGTGGGAATGAATGATGATGAGCCTATAGCTCAGGTAATCTTACATCCTGAGTGTAAAGAGGAATCATGAAGACATGAAAGAGAAATATCTAAAAATGTTCTGGGAGTCCATGCATGTCAACCACTGGAGTTGATTAACTGGAAGTGCTTGAACTGGGTCCTGGTTGATTACCGGGAGGGTGGCTAGGTAGTGGAGGACCCTGAGATTGTGTGATCGCTTGAGCATGTGCTGCAGCCTGCTGCTGAGCTTCTACAATCTGTCTGCATTCAGAACCACCTTCGGAACGAACTAGACCGCGGAATAGTAAGTATTTGACTGTCGAGAACTCCGAAAATTTCGACTTACGATGTCGCTGGAAGGAAGCAGAGGGAGATCGACGTTAGCGAATGTGTGTTGATAACGATATAGAGAAGTTACGTTTAGGGCATCCAGGCGGCTGAAGGTCTTTTTACAGCCCTGACAGATGTTGGATTGTGAAGCGCGTGGCGTGTAGTGCTTGATGTCGCCTGTGCAGATCATGACGTGAGCATGTCGTAGGTGAGTCAATAATTGGGAGAGGATCGATGACGCGATAAGGAACAACGGTCGGCCGAAGCCAAATATATAATTTGAGAAGTAGAAGAGTATTATGAGGAAGGGTCGAGTAGTAAAACTTACTTGCAGTCATGTTGTCTTGCAAAGCCTTTCTTGCAATCGGGGTACTCACACACATATGGGCGTTCCTCGGTGTGAGATCGAAGATGACCTGGTGGATGATGATTATTACAGAATACAGACATATGGTGTAATTGTGCACCTCTGAGATTGAATCGACGCGTAAATGTGCTCCCGCAACCCGGAACTGGACAGGCGAAATGGGCCTCATTCCTCCGCCTGCTTGCACTTGCAGCCTGTGTTGCTGATGTTGTGACCTGCTTCTTCTCTACTTGTAAAATAGGGGGAAGACGAGTTATTGCGGTTGGGGAAGTGTAATGGGAGGAAGCCGACCCCTCTCCCGCGCCGGATGCGAGGACTTGGGCGTGGGTGTATAACTCTGCTGATGTTGGGGTGTAGTAAGACTCCTGCTTTAACTCCGGTTGAGGTTGAATTGGTGGAAGGTTTGGTTGTGGATACGGTGATGGATGTGTGGTGTGTCGGAACGGAGAATTTGACTGACTCCTCCTGTACGCGTGACCTGGAGGATACTGGTCTGGTGGAGTAGTAGTGTCATTTGGACCTGCACCTGGAGGAAAAGATTGCTGTGGTGGTTGAGACATGGGTTCTGTTGAAATAAAATGGTGATTGTTATAAGGTTGAAATTGATGTTGAGTGGATGTGGGAGATGTCGACCAGTTCGCCCGTGTCGAATCCAGGTTCATGATTGATAGGACCTTTTTATTATTTAGGCGAGGGAATAGAGAGCTTCTTTGATTTGAAAGTTGTAAAGATCAACGGAAGTTCTGAACAGAAGCGGATGCTGAGACTTTTCAGGACAACGGGTGGGGAACGGATGACTGGATCTGGAGCGCTCTCCCTGGCGCCTTTTGAAGGGACAGAAAAAGATGCACAGCCTCTCTCCAGAACCAAGTTTTTTTTCTTAAAAAGATTAGAACTAAAAAATTAATAAAAATCCAGTGCAGCAGACCTTTGAACTAGTAAACCGTCGACTTCTACGATGTCGGGATTAACAAAGATCTCTCCAAGAGTGGCTGTGTCTCAGCACAGCTCTCATCGCCACACGATCAACTTAGCCGCCGGTTCCCATTTCTACCCGAGATGGTACCGGTCACAACGTTATTTCCCATCCCGTGAACATAATTAGATTCCAGCCAACCGAAATATTAACTATAGCTACAGCAGTACAGTCGATCCTCATCAACTACATTGTCCTTCAAATATATGTGCATCCAATAACCTCCTTCGTCTCAATAATTCACTCTCCGTGATCCGTTGTCCTGTCTTTCCGTTCCCTCCACGAGGCGTACCGCTCTGAGGCGTCGTACTAGTCGCCGTCTCAATATCCCCACGACGTAACTGCCCCAGCTTCTGCGCTTGCAACAACGTCTCAGTAAGCTCCCCAGATTCCCTTCGCGAACTCATCGGAGGTGTAGAGCCCACAGAACTTCCCTGCGTCATAGTAAGCCGCTTCCTAGCCACAAACGTGATACCCGAGTCGTCCGTCTCCGTTTCAGATGTAAATGGGCTAGGGCTCCCATCGGTGTGTGCCTCTCCATTCACCCGTTTCGGAGCAACAGTCGATGATTGCGGTGAATTTCTCCGTGACCGGATCTTCTTTGTTCCAGCATTATCAACAGGTTTGACCTCAACCCTGCCACAAGGGCTGCCGTTTTCTTTACCGCTGTACCTCACAAACGCATCTTCCATCCAGTCGGCCAAATCCTCCACCACAGCCCGCGCTTCGCTCATCAGGGACATCATCTGAAGATACCCGTGACTCCAATCAGAAAATAACACCATTTGCACCCAGTCGTCCTCCGTCTCCTTCGCAAGTTGGTCCCTCTCTTTCTTCAACCTCTCTAGCCCCTCGTCACTTTCGAGGTGCGCGGAGCTCATTTGGAGCGTTTCCCCAAATCGGGCACTCTTCCCAGAAAGTGCAAGCTCCAATTCAATTTTGCGTGCACGTTTGGCCTCGCGGACACGCCCCGCAAAAATCACAGTATCGTCCACAAATGGGTCCTTTTCACCGCATTGCATCAGAAGCGGGGGGAACTGCGCTAGAAGTTTCGCAGGTGTGAGGATAGGCGAGATAAAATAATCAGTGGCAAAATCCGGGTTGTGGTGGGGACCGATATAAAGGATAGCCATCGCGCGCATCTGTGGAGTTTCATAAATACCGAATGGGTTTGAAGACTAATCAAAAGTACGTACCATGCTGGGAGGTATAATTCTATCCTGGAAATACCCCGTGCGGCTGGTCATTGTCAATCGGGTGCCAATCAGTTCGCGCTTCTTGTCTTCGCCATTGGTAGACGTCGCTTTGTTATCAGCCTCCGCCACAGCTGCAGAGAGTTGTTCCTGCTGTTTCTCGAGCGTCTGATGCAAGTGTGCACCATCGCCGCTGCCAACACATTCAGGGTACACATATCGTACACGATCCTCGAGTGGCCGGTCCTCCTCTCTCACAGGTTCGTCCTCGTCGCTTTCAGAACCTGCCCAAAAACCACTATCGTCGTGTCGCATTGGGTTCGTTCGCGCGCTATCTTTACTAGCGCGCGTTCAACGATACACGGCTTATCAACGTGGAGTGATTCCGACTTGGTACCTGTTTCGACCTAACGGCGTCAGCGTCTACCCCTGTAAAATCCAACAATGTATCTTTCCAGCTCCTGCGTCTATGCAATTTCCGTCGTCCGGACCCGTGTTTACGGTCCCCCACCATACTCAGCGGGCTGACGTGTTGCAAGTGGTCTTTCTGTGACGCTAACTCATGTATGCCCGGAAGATTACCCGAGGACTGCTCCGAGCGCAGGACCTGGAGGTTCTCAGGGGACATCCACGAGGTAAAATTAAAGTCTAGCGCTGCATAGCTCAGCACAAGCGCGACAGGTGCGGGAAGAGGAACGGTAGCAGGGAGCGCGGCATTATGTTGTAAAATCTTGATCATCACGCCCACCACAAGTGTTGCACCGCTAAAAACACCGTGAATGAGCCGCATGCAACACACATGAATGACGTACGCAGAATCTCCTGTCAATATAATGTTAAGTCTCTTCCCAGACATGCCAATGCATCGTCCAGTAGACATGACAATGGCCCGATAGACATCGAAGCATTCATCAATCGCGAAAGGGTATGGATCTAGTACGTTAGTTAGTCAGACCAGGACAGGCACATTATATTGATAATTACATTCTGGTGCCTTTCCGTAGTCAACGGAGAGTACTGGCTTGCCTGTGCGTAGCGCCCAGGAGCGCAGTCGCTCATCGTGATGTTCCGGAGTCATTGCGACAAACCCGCCACCAGGGAAGTCAAGTATGAGATCCGTGGCTTGCCGAAGCTGAGGAGCAGGTGGCGCAAAGTACACATGCACCTTTAAAGGACGGTCGTATGTCGACGTGGGAGGCCTCGGCAGTAGAAATTTCTTGCATAGAGACATTCGCGGCGTCAGCGCAATTAAACGGAGCTATAAATATTTTAATACTACAAGCCTCAAAGCAGTGCGAGGAACGTCTTACATATGGGTTAGTAGTCTTCTCCCAAGTAGTTCTGAGCATCTCGACGGTCGGAACAGCTCTGTGCCTACGGATCTACGGACATGCGTGTTCTGTAAATAGTATTGATATCAGTGGCATGCACAAGAAGTACCTTTTCGTCAGCTTCATTGGCGTAGATGATATAATAGACGGAAAATAAGATAGAGCAGAAGTCTTTAAGCCATTTAGGGCGTATGGACATAGCAGTAGCAAATCCAGCATCAAGGCCAATCGCAATCCATGTAGCACGATAGTATGAGGGCGAGTACTGTATTACGATGGTTATGACACTCAAACACCAACAAAGGGCAGAGACTCACCAAACGAGCCAGAGGTTCCGGCGCTACGAGATTCCAAACTCGGATGAGATGAATAAACTGCTGATAACGTTCCAAAGACTCACCTCCAAAACCGGTGATCTTGTCCAAATTTCGAGCAGCATACACCGCAGTGAGTGTACTAACAATGATCTGCCAAGGCGAGAAACGTTCTAAAGGCAGTATGAAATCGGAATCTACAAACATGTATATACCACACTCACGCAAACGCCTATTGGCTCTTCTAAGCCATAGAAACCTTGGAGCATTGGGGCTACCGTACACCAACCGCCAAATCCAGAAAATGATGACGAGAAAGACCTTGTATTCACTAATAAGCAAAGGAATGCGCCAGGTTATGGTTGTAGCTACCTGAGTGCGTTTCCAAGATGGACTTGGTCTGCCTAGAAGATAGTCAATCATGATGAGTTGCGAGTAAGGAGGGGTGGGACAAACATGGACTACCAGGAAACCCCCTTTTACATGTGATTCTCTAATTACAGCACTTGCCTTATTTGGTGTACGACCATTTCTACTGTCAATGTCATGACTATTATTAGTCATGTTCGGCTGGTCATCATTGTCTTGGTACTATGTAAACTTGAGGTACTACTACTAGTAGCCTGAGTATGCTTCAATTGTCATCGAACGTGCGGTGACTGCACTTACGTCCTCTGAGTCTCTTCGTCGACTTCCGCATCAACTCACTCCTCAACCTATACATATTGCTATCAAGCGACGACTTACTGTAAAGTCCCATCTGTGTCGAACACTTGATTAAAATTGGACTTCGCAGTGGAATATACCCGCCCATTGCCTAGGTAGTCGCCGAATAAGCCAGCTGAGAGCTCGTCATCCAAGTTCTGCAGCAAATTAAGAAACATCTACGGCAAGGCTTTCAAAGCACGGTGTGCCATGGGTGACAGACGATCCCAGACGGTCTTACCCACGATATTCGGGCAAAGGGTTTCATGAAGTGGCCTACCCAGCGGGACAAGTCGGTGACACGTCATGAGCTGGATTAGCTCGTGATACAAAGAAAAATAAATTTCGTCAACCAACAGGTGCTGTCGGACACTTGAAAACAGAGTTTAGACTGGTTTACGGCACTACCCATTTCTTAAGTCTGTTTCACGGGAGAAGTTTACGATTAGCCGTGCTTTCTGGATGAGGCACTTTGAAATAAACACCGCAATACTGATCTTGAGAGTATTTCGGAAACAATAAGCACTGGCTAATTTAAGCTGAATTTCTGAACCGCTGTGTGAGCACATGTACATTTTACTTCTAGTCGGTATCCCGTGAGATCATACAACCCCACTTAGATCGAAACTAGTCTCGCCCTCTTTCCTAGTCGCGACGCCCTTCTCTGTGACAATCGCGGTAATTAATTCGGCTGGGGTAACATCAAAGCTTGGATTGTATATCCCCTCGAGGCCACTCGGGGTGATCATGACAGTCTCCTGCCTAACCTTTCCTTCGACATCGAATTCGAAGGGATGAACAGCCCCGCGCACGAGGCAAGCTTCGAGCGGCTTGCGGTGCTCGATCGGAATGCTCGAGCCGTCTGGGGTATCGAGATCGACAGTGCTGATTGGGGCAACAACAATGAATGGAATCTTATGCCGTGCCGCAAGTACGGCCGCATTATAAGTCCCGATCTGCAAGGGTAATAATAACCTCTAATAACTCTGAGTTTGGCTAACAAGTATAACGTACTTTGTTCGCGGTGTCTCCGTTCTTTGCTATCCTGTCGGCACCAACCGCTATGAAGGAATGGGAAGGATCAGGAGATCGGAAGATATGTTAACCTCAAATGGATCCTACCGATGGCATGGATTTTATGATGCTGGAATAAAGAACCAACCATTGTGTCACAGATCATCACTGAGGAGATCTGCATTGTCTTGAGCTCTAGCGCAGTAAGGCTGTGAGATGCAAAGACTCAGCGAAAGTTGTTGGCGATACAATAACCGATCGGCGGCTCACCGGGACCCTTGGTGGTATGGAGCGGTTTGGGTATAGTATGCTTTGCCTAGCTTCTTTTGCTCGTGCAGATATGTAATCAACCCGAGTGCTGTACCGTATCCCTGTGACACATTTATCGCTGTCAAAAATGGATACATTAACCAAGAGATGCTATACCGATGTCGCAAGGGAGCCTGTGTTGCACACGGTGAGGACATTAAGTTCTTGACCACTGCCTCCGGATCCCCTATCAAGTTCTGCAAGCCATTCACCGCCATGTTCTGCCATTCTTTTGTTGCGATCGAAATCTTCATCAGCTATAAGTTTCGCTTCGCTGATTAGGTCTGCTGCGATCAGTCCAACGGATTTTCCGGCATCTGTAGAAGACTGAAGGACCGCTTTCAGGCGCCGAATTGCTGCACCTAAATTAACGGCTGTCGGACGTGCGCCGGAGAGATAGTCGAGTTTATGGATCACATCGGCGGAAAGTGATTCGGGTGACAGGAGGAAGGCTGGTGGTTGAGCACTGTCGAGACCGGTTTGAATGTAAGCAGCAAAAGCTAGTGATGCCAACGATGCGATGGCCGGAGCACCACGAATCTATTATTCATTAGACACTGCGAACTGGATATGTATACATTTTTCTGACCTTCATGTCTTTGATAGCATCATAGGCCTGTTCGATAGAGGTGATTTCCACGTACTTTGTCGTGTGTGGCAAGAGCAATTGATCAATGATCTCGATCTTCCCATTCGATGTCCTGATAGACGTTAGCATATGCATAGCTGCGGCTTTCTTTATCTCCCCTAAGACAGGCGTGGGTGGTGCTGGTATTGACTGAGCAGAAGGAAAGCAATTGGACCTTCTATAAGTGGCTTTACTTTCGGGGAGTACTAGTCAATCACTTCTATGTATCACATGTCCTGGCACGCTGCATGCAAAGAAAGGATATGATAGCACAATGATAGCACCGCCTCTTCTCAAAAAATAGGGTACAAGAGTAATTTACATTAAGCACACGTTAGCGAAAGGGAACCAACTTGCGGTCCTATGCAGGCGAACGTAATGCAGCTGGATCCTACACACCAATATGAATGAAAACAACCCTCTGCTCGAGCGGCACTTTCTTTTTCACGGTGCACGGGCGTCTCCTCATCGCCGACGGCAGTATGACACGCCGATAAGAATGTGAACTCGGCGTGCCGAGTGTCGTTCTCCATGATGTCAAGTAGCATGAGGGGTATGTCTCCCATGGCGAAACGTGAATTGTAAGGTTGCTCACTGCCGCAAAGCTTCGAGGGCACCTGAGCCACACAAAATAGTAGCGTTGGCCTTCGATGGAACAAGTCAACAAACAAGATCGAGTTCGTTGTCGGTACCATTGAGCAATTTTACTTACCCTCCATCTCGTTGAGCTTGTCCAATCACCACAAAAGACGGGGCTACATGTGTCTCCATCGTCTCTCGATGATTACAGTGAATAGCGTCGGGGTATGAGAACAGCTCAAGGTATGGTTTCCGCCCACATCAGTGTCGCAGTGAACATCATAGCAAGCCATGGCCCGTGTAAGCTTTCCTGAAGCAATACGAAGCAGAAAAAGCAATCCAGGTAACCGAAGAACAATGAACGGAGAGCCTCTTGACAGTGTTTGATCCTGAAAGCCTTGAATAGTACGATCGAGATGGTTCCGATCGTTCGTCTTCGAGTATAAAGCGTACGCCTCGTGTGCATCAGTGACGACGTGACCAACCTCGCTCTACCAACAAGAGGTCGATGCTCTAGGCTGTCCGCAGTGCTACCAGCAAGTTGCGGTGTCTCCACACGTCTCGTTCTCAACAAAAGATATGGGTATTGTCTGTCGTGCTCGAGTAACTCTTTAGAGTAGTCTTAACCATACCAACAAGCTGACCTCGACCGAACTCAAGCGAAGCGTAAATGTCGAAATGAGCCCTTGTGAAAGTGCTGGAGGACTTCGGTACACGATAAAGGTCTCGTTCCAAGCAACGCTGCAGTCTGCCATTGGAACATTGATAGTTGCGTTCCACTGGCCAGAGGAGGTGGAGGCCAGCACATAAAGGCCAACGGGAGCGCGGTGAGATGGAATGATGAGGGCTGTATACAAATGGGAGTGTAGGCAATGGGAAGGACGATAGAGTCATACATACCTTCCGGTGCCAAAACATGTTTGTCGTGATCCATCCCGGGAGAAGCGATCGAATGAATAGGTCAGGTGGTAAGATGAAAAGCTCGAGGGTCGCAACTGAGTGTTGAGTGCGAGCGCCGAGACTGCATATAGGGCACATAGCAATGGAGGGATAGGTCCTAGTTAGGACTGAAAAGGCCTTTTTTATAATATCCGGCAACCTAATAAGTGCAACTTTGAAGCTTCAACATCGCCCTGTGGGCTAAATGAGAGTAGGGGAAATGGTGATGCCAATCACGCATATGCCTGATCAAAAAGTAAACCTCAAGCCCCTACTGGCCGAACGACGACCTCACTGATGGCATGATGCGACATTGCGACTCAGTGAGAAGAAGATGCGGCAGATGCCGGCCGGCCGCTCCCTCGACCTTCCATCAGTTTAGAAGCAGGTATACATGACACTAACTCAAACTTAATTCCAGATCACCAATTGCTTACGAGCTCGATGTATCGAAGAAAGGAAAAATGAGATGGCCTCCAAGTCTTTACAACAAACAAGGAGAAGAAAAAATAGTAGCAGTCGATGAATTCCACCACTGACACATCCACTCACTTCCTCACTCGCCCCCTGATCGTCATCCTACGCTGCATAATAGGAATCCCAGACGGCTTCTCGGGACTCGCATTCTCGCTCCCATCACGAGAACCCAAGTTCCGAAGCTTTCGTACGAAGCTCTCAGGGCTCGGCGACAACCGCTTCATGATTCCCCCAGGGTTGCGTATGGCAGCCTTGAAGGCGTCAGGACTAGCATCAGGACTATGCAAGTGTCTCCATACGGGCAGCTTGCTCCCACTAGATGAGGGTGTACTACTTCCTGTAGGTGGTGTCTTACTCGGCGTGGTAGGTCCTGTTGTGGGCGTCTGAGTAGACATGAACAGCGAGTCCTTGCTTTCCCCACTGGTGCCGAAGAGTCCAGGAGACCTCGTAGTGGTGGAAGCCGTAGTGTTGAGTACGGTAAGTGAGCCAGTGGAGTTCATCAATCCCAAAGAATCCGCAGAACCAAGGATAGCAAGGGATCCGGTCGAGTACTCGTTGATATGCTCGAGGAAGCGCGAGTTCCTCCTGGCGCTTACAAGCGTATTGGAACTTTTGCGCCTGTCTGAGTCCGTCGGAGTGCTGCTGACACCATAAAGCAGACTATGGAATGCGGAATTGTCGAACGGCGCGTCGGAGCTAAGGCCAGAAACGGTTGTGGGTATGCCCAGCGAGGCGCTAAGAGAGGGAAACGCGGGTGTGGAATCGGAGAGGCGGGATGGAATACTTGACCTTGAAACGGCCGAGGAATTACGACGGTGTCCGCGTCCAAGAGCGACGCGATTCAAATTCTGTTGGTGCCATCATCGCTATCTTTCGAATGTAGAATGTTTTTATTTGACATACCTGAATGAGGTCCTGGCTGAGAGTTACCGTCGGGCGTGCATTCTGGTCGTCAGATCCATCCTGTTCTGGATCCTCTGATTCAGGCTCCGCTCCTGGAGGTCCATCCGATGATTGGGAAACGTTGAGATCAATGTCACCCAAAACCACGGGGGTCGAGCGCCGACGTAGCTCATATATCGAAAAACGTGCTCTCGAGGGCGGAGTATGTTGCAACTGAACAGTCGATCCAGATGCAGAGCTCGCCGTAGATGCAACGTCAGAGGTAGAAACAGGTATAACCAAACCACCTTGCACAGAAGTCCCACCAAATACATATCTAGCAGAGCCTGCATTTGCCTCTCGCCTACGAGCAATGAGGGAGTCCACAGCGTGTTGACGGGCAGGAGTGAGAGGCTCATGGACAGAGGATATGTTGGACGAGGACGGGGGTGACAGTGTCTGTATAGCGGACATCTTCCTGAGCGAGGCGTTTCCAGAACTTGGAGACCTTCTTTTGCGCACGGACTTTGCGCCGCACGCTGAGAGTCATGTGCAGCGCAGATTGATACTGTTCTAGGACAGGGTGACTAATGACCGCGGGCTTCAAGCTTGAGAGTAGCGCTTCTGGGTCGCGGACAGCGTCACCTATAGCATCGACCAAGATATGATCTGCGGTGCCGAGATCAGAATCCAGCGCATCAGAGATCCGCTGAACGGTGAAGTACGGAATGCCAATATCGACGAGAAGGCCAGCGAGGCGCTGAAATCTGGATTCAAGCTTCTGGATGTGGTCCATACCACGCGCAAGCTGGTGCTGGAAGCGGGCAAGTTTGGTCATCTCAGTATAGAGCTCGTTGCGGGTCCGCGAAAGATCGTTGGTGACATCGGCAAGGTCGGCTGCGAGTTCGGAATTGGCCTGACGAAGGCGGCAAGCATCGCTTTCAGGCTGGTGAATGCAGCTACCAGTGTGCATGTCCAGGGGACGAGTTAGCCGCGGTTGATAAAGCTGAGCAGGATCGAATGAAGGTAGGGAAGCCTCAAGGGATACAAACACTGGAGCCGCTGAACCGTTGATTATGCTAGATGATGTAGGCCTGACGTCTTGGATCTTTCGGAATCCCATTGAGCAAGATGACCCAATCGACGATGGTGGAGAGGAAACCATGTGGGACACGTCGCCCTCAGACCTCGTACGACGATGCAGAAGCCGAAACGATTTGAAGAACCGCATCCTGGTAGTTGCCTGGTGGTAGAAAGTATAGAACAACTAGAGCTATGCCATAAGTACAGTGGTGACTAGGATGCGGCTGACACGAAACAAGGAGCCGCACATAAAATCATCTAAATATGACCTGGGGGATTCTGCAGGCTGGTCAATGCTATGTAATCAATTATCAACTACGTATGATGTACCGAATATTCGGCCCATCGACAACTTGTATTCAAGCTCCAGAGTCCTAACGCAAAATACCGAGTAACTTAAACAATGCAAGGGCTAAATGACAGACTTCTATGATGCTGAAATGATCGTCCGGACTCACTACGTTATTAGCGGTATAGTATGGTATAAGGAAGACGTATGACAAAAATGAGGGCGGGCGTCAAACTAACGCAAAAGACCATGAGGTGTATATATCTTGAGGGAGTTGATTTCCCAATAGGCTTCGGTGAAATCGTCGGGATTGTTGTCAACAACTGCGATAATCATGTATCAGAATTGCGAGCGATGAAAATTACAAGGGAGGCTTACAGCTGTCACAGGTAGAGGCTTTTGTTGCACATGTGGATGCATTCCACACCGACTCGGACCCAGCCCAGTCGCCCTGCAAGATTGATGGATAGGTCATAACGACGCCGCAGAACATAAAAGGGACACTCACACAAAATGTCAGATCAAAAACGATTCTATGTGCATTGAAGTGTTTGGAGTAGTCGCAGTTTATATTCGTTGGGAAGTACGCATCGGGTATCGATAGAAGCACTAAGTCCAGGGGGGGCTCGCCACCGAGAAGCAGCAAGCTGTCGCGGGTGATAAACCAGACCGAAATGCCCTTGGTGCTGCTTTTTTCCATGATATAAAAGCCACCGCCCACTGCATTGAAGCTTGCTCCGTAAGATTCTTGCTCAGAGAAAGAGACTCCGCAACCCTGATTGTAGTTTACGGATGTGTCGCACGAAGTGGACTCTGTGGACCTACGAACCAACTTGAGCGAATGATACGAATAAAGGTTGTAGAATATCGAACCCTGTCTGTAATCGAACCTTTGGCATGGTGCAATTCGGTGTGGTGTGGAGCGAGGCAAGATTCCGTTGATCGAGGTTGACGCCTTCGATGATATCAATTTCGCCACCGTAGGGCCAGGGCCCTTTCTCACTCAATGTCCACCACGCAGGCCACGTTGCACAACCCTCGGGCATGTGAGATATGTCGAGGACGAACAAGGCGTCATCGTAGGCATTCAGCGAATGTATGCGTACGCTGTCTCGCCCGCGGGCAGATTCTGCAACTTTCTTCGTGTCGTCAGCGCGCATGACAAACTTGCAGTCCGAAACTGTGAAAAATTGAGCAAATAAATTACGAGCGGAAGGAGAGACATACCAAAAGTCAGATTATCCTTGAGAGCGGTAGCTTGGTCGACATAGTTGACACGGCCATGCGTCAGATCGTCCGCTGTCTCCCAAGAAAAATTACCTAGAAAGTCATAACCAACATATGAGACGATCAAATTGTAGGTGAATGATGGGAGCAGTGACTGGGCGTTGACCACCACCACCACCAAGGAAACGAATACGAGTATGACACATCTAGTATACATCGTTGAAAAAGAAAGGACAGGATCAGGTTGTTCTGAGTTATAGGGAGCGGAAAGGACGCAAAAGGAGCGGGAGTCAGAGGATTAAAAAACTGACCTAGTCCTGACGTGAATGACACGGCCAACGGCCGAACGTGAACTTATTGGTATTCAAGCGATACCGTGACGGCTTCGGAGGAATAACGGCATCATCAAATGCATTCCGTCAGTCGGGAGTCGAGACTAACATGAAACATAAGTGCGACTGATAGACAGCTTGACTCTTCTAACGCCAAAAATCGACTCGAGCAGATGATAATCGTGCAGGTTACGGTGCAGACCGTCGGGTGTAATTGATACCCATCGAAGCAGAGAGTTCAGGCTGAGATCTGAGACCCGGGGTTCTCCGGCTCGCTCATCCCCGACTTCCATTTATGCATTTGATCGGTGGTCTGCTCTGGACGGTACCTTCATGCCCTTTGCTCCAGCCCACTTCGAGTCCGCGACTTACCTTCATCGCAATTTGTTCAAGTGCTATGAGACATGTCTGGGAAACATCTCCATACAGGCACATTCTTGCCTCGCTCGTGATCCTCCCTGGTTCTCGTACCCCGTTGATGACTATCGCAAGGCTGTGTTGCTTTGCGCACCGTGGCATGATATCTCGAGCGGGGTGTTCGCGTTGACCTCTCTAATATCTATTGATATCTCCGTCCAGTTGCCCGGGTCTTGCTGTGGCAATCGAAAGTAAATAACGTTTTGTTCCGGGGAGTGCACGCAAACTACACATAGGAGGCCATCAGAATGATATGGCTCGGTCTGCCACTTTCAATTCTCCCACATTTAGCTTTCGAATCATCCTCGGTCGCTCTGGAAGAGCCGACGACCGAAGGAGTGTTCATCGTTGAGGCTTCAGCAAGGCTGGGGAGGTTACATCATCGTCCTGACTGTCAGACTTACTCTGTCCTTAGCTTGCATGCATTCTTCAGGCCTCTAGCCCCATCAAAATGTTTCATTTGGTGGTGAATCCCGACATTTTGGTTAGTCTGTCGAGAATCTAGGTTGCCACGTACACATCTCGGGGATATACCTTATGTCTCTGAGATGACCCACATGAGGCGTGAAGGTGAATTCTATTTCATGGACAGACTATCACATAAAAAGGAGGTTTCGGCGCAATGACTGGGCCTAGTTAAGGCGGAACTCCGAGTATCTATACATTGCAAAAATCTTGTCAGCAGGTTTCGAACCGACTGCAGGAGAAACAGATTTCGATTCTGTTGTGGTAACCACTTGGTTAAGTCCAGTTAAGATGAGCCTCCGAGGAATCCATGAGTGAATGTGAAAGTGTATCCCGATAGAAAAAAACTATGTCGGCGGCAGGTTTCGAGCCTGCGCAAGTCCGACAGAAACATTTCGATTCTGTTGTAGTAACCACTTTGGCCAGGCGAAGTTGAACTAAACCTCCCGGGAATTGTCCATCAGTGAATCTTCAAGGCGTGTTCCGATAGAAAAAAACCTCGTCAGCAGGTTTTGAACCTGCATTGGTACAGTCCAAGACACATATTTTGATTCTGTTGTAGTAGCCACTTTGGCCAGGGTGAAGTTGAGATGACCCGCTGAGGAACTATCCATGAATGAATCTTCAAGGCGTGTTCCGATAGAAAAAAACCTCGTCAGCAGGTTTTGAACTTGCACTGGTACAGTCCAAGAGACAGATTTTGATTCTGTTGTAGTAACCACTTTGGTCAGGGCGAAGTTGAGATGAACCTCCGAGGAACTGTCCATCAGTGAATCTTCAAGGCGTGTTCCGATAGAAAAACAAACCTGTTGTTCGACAGGTTTCGAACCTGCGCAGTACAACTTGAAAGGGGGCAGAATTTGATTCTGTTGTGATAACCACTTGGGCCAGGACGCTTCCTGGCCAAGTTTAGACAAACCTCCGAAGAACTGTCGATGTCAGCAGGTTTCGAGTCCAAGAGAGTAGATTTCTAATCTGTTCTGGTGCCAAACGGTTAGCTATGACTACTCAAGATAGGCCATGAAGAATCCATCCATGAGTGAATGTTCAAGGCGTGGTGAAAGGAAAAAGATTGTTTGTCCTGTCACGCTTACCACTTTGGCTTAGCAAGACTGGTCAAGATGGACTCGATTCGAAGAACACACACCATGCATTGACAGTAGAACTACATGATTATTGATTTCGATTAGCAGTCATTTATTAAAAATGAAATAAAAAGATTGAACACAAAACATGCCAGGAATGAGCGAGTCGGGGGAGCGCCAGCGCCGTTACGATATATTAGTAAGGCTTACTTATTGGGAAGGTCAGGTGATACCCCCTGTAGGGGAACGTTTGAACTTTTTAATGAAACGACTGTAGCTCGCTGTGATGGCGGCGTGTCATAACTTTGTCATGAACTCCTCCTCCCTCTCTATATGAGTAACCATCCATGGCTATGTGTGACTAAGTCAAATTTCTCGTAGTATACATGATCATATTGAGCAGGAGCAGAATTAGATCGTCCTATAGTTGGCACGGCCCACGGGTACAATGTCAAGAACTCGTGGGTTCACTGACGCACACCATCTGAAATTTCTCCCAGCGAACCATCTCCTGGTCCCAACTTGTCAGCGACGTCTTCGTCATCACCGACTCCTCCACCCTCATCATCTACCCCTTCGACGGCGTCGACCGCCATTGTGCGGCAGCGCGATAGCATTACGATTGAGACGCTGAGAGACATGCTGATCTCACTGAGAGAGCAGACGACTGCGCTTTTGGAGGGCCAGGTGTCAATAGACCATATGCTGGACGAGTTGCGAGAGACACGCTCAGGTCCTCTGGACATCAAGGAGCTCAATAACCGGTTTTGGGCCATTGAGGTCCTTTTGCGTCAACTTATCGATAGACAGGTTGAGACTGAACGACCTGTACACATCCAGCCGCCATCAGAGTCTGTTTCTGATGTCGGGACAGTTGTAGACGCAAAGGATTTTCAGCGCTGGCAGAATTGGACGCGGCTCCTGAGGGACCGCGTCCCTCCTGCTGCACCCCAGCCACTTCCAGCTCGTGGAAATCTTGACGATGAGCTGCTAGCCTTATTGCAGGCACCCCTGCCCCAAGTGCCTATAGGCGTCCAGCCGCCTCCGGCATTGATCCCCTTCGCTTACCAACCTGCGGTACGTCTTCCAAGGCCAAGGAGTACCAGTCTAATATTACCGCCTGCTACGTTCCAGATTGCCACAGAGCCAGTGCTGTTCTCGCCCGAGATTCAACACTCACCTATCACCCATCCTACTCCAGGTTGCCGTGGCGGTCGGAGACTGCGCAACCGACCCGTAACTGAGGCCGAGACAGTATTTTCTGGTGCACTCAGGCCGCCTACTCAGCAACCGGTGCTACCACCCGGAGTTTTTTCTCCACCCCTGCCTATTAATATTCCTCCTGTGCCAGTGAGTACTACTGTTGAGTGAATCTAATCAAATACCAACCTTTCGCTTAGATCAACGTGCATGGAAGACCTCCAAGCGCACCTCAGCACCTTGGACGCAATGACGACACTCACGAGCCTCAAACCTGGTACCGTCCCCCAAGATTACCGGGCTTAGTACGTCGTTCAACGGATTTGATTTCAAGATGTAACTTTGATAATTCTGCAGGGCATGCCTCCTCCGCCTGTTATCCCTGGTCAACAAGGTGGTCGCCAATACGTGCCAATGCCTCCGGGACCAGTAAGTAAATCTTAAGGTATCATTTTCGAGGTTCTGATTGCTCTCTCCTAGACCGTAGTGCAATCACCACTCTCTGACACATTGATGAACATCCTTCGGGCAAGTTACGCTATTGATATCCTGTCGAGACGCTAATTGTTTTTTGCGTTAGGAACATCGTCTCGCCCAACTTGCGACCGTGGACCAACATCGAGAATTGATGAGGTACATGAGAGGTCTGAATGATTGGCTTGAAAGGGACGTGCAGGACCGTCAAGCAGAATTACGAGGGGTGACCGCTCGTGTTGATGAGCTCAGAAATGATCTTGCACGACTAGAATTAGGGATGCAGCCCAGCGTGCAACTACCAGGTGTGCCCCCAGGTCATGGAGTGATCCCTGTTGGACCTATCCCCCCTCCACCTGTTTTTGGTCCCAGACCTGCTGGATTTGTTCCTCAGGGGGTCCCAGAGCCTCCCTTCATTCCCACCTATGATGAACCCCGATGCCAGCGTGGGCTGCTGGACACGCCAGAACCTCAACATTACCTTCCAGATGCGCAAGGACCAGTAATTCCCGGTGCTTACGGTGGTTTTCCCCAACCACAACATGGCGATCAGCACGAGCGTCGCCCTGGCGCTGAAGATGAAAGATTTTTTCCCACGAGTCCTCCCCAGTCTAGCGATACTGGGCTCCTCAGGCCATTCGTGCCAGAACATCCATCCATAGTTCAACAGAGTGATGTTGAAGGTCGGAGTGATGCTATTTCGGATACCCAACACACCTATGCGCCCGACGTACACCACGTACCACACCCACCGGAGGATCAAATGTTGGCACCAGGTCATCAACAAGATACCCCTGCCGTGATACATTCCGGGGAGCACACACACAGCCATGGAAGCCCTCAGCCTCAGCCTATCAATTTCAATGTGCCTCCGCAACTGGCTCCCGTATGTTCCCTAAGGCTAGGCATGTCAGATCAGCCTGGGCCAATGCCTGCATATGGAGTCGGTTGGATACCACCGCCATCCCTATTTGTAGAGCCTGGTTCCGGACCTCCCCTGATAATACACCCAGCGCCTAGATGCGGGTCTAGATCTAGTTCCGAGAGTGTTTCTGGGAGACGCCCAGTGGTCATACAACAAAGCCCTCCGTCTGGCCCTGTCGTATTACAATTGCCGCCTGGCGAACAGGTCGCCAGACCTCCCACTCACCAAGAATTTGGTGTTTCTCCTTCGGGAGGCGGTCCAGTAGTGATTTTACCTGATCCTGATAGCGTTAGAGACTTTGATTGTTCACTATCTCGCTCTCGGTCACCTCGTAGAGGGTACCGTGATAGATATCCTCCATACGACGATCCTTACTCTCCTGATTATGATCACCCAAGACATTGGGATGACCGTCGACGCCGAGATTACTCACCTGAATATGGCCCCCGTCGCCGTTATGACGACTACTCTCCCCGACGGGGAGGGCCGCGTGATTATCACTCGCGATTACTTTCACCACGACGACGAGGCGAAAGACATAGAGATGATGACCCCCGCCGCCCCCGTAGACACCCCGATTCACCCTCTCCCACACGTGCGGAAGAAAGAGACCCAAGCAGGAGAGAGGGTCGCTCATCGAGTCACAGAGCTCCCACACGTTCGGAAGGAAGAGGTCCAAGCAGGGGAGGCTCACCGACTCACAGAACTTCCAGACGTCCCAGTTATGAGGAAGGCGATCGCCCATCGAGTCACAGAACTCCCACACATCTCAGTCACGAAGAAGGCGATCGCCCACCGACTCACAGAACTCCTTCACGTTCCGATTATGAAGAAGGTGATGGCCCACGGACTCGAACTCCTTCACGCCCCGGTTATGAAGAATGTGATGGCCCACGGACTCGAACTCCTTCATGCCCCGGTTATGAAGAAGGTGATCGCCCACGGACTCCCACTCGTCTCAGTCACGAAGGCGATCACCCACCGACTCAGTATTCAGAAGACGATGTACCTGGTCCTAGCCGTCACACATCTAGTCATGGCCAACGTACACCTAGTCATGGCTATCGTACACCTAGTCATGGCATCCCTGCTTCTCCGCGGTTTGAGGATCCTCCGCGGTCACCAACTGTCATTAGGATTGAGCATCCAGAGCACATGCACCCTGAATCACTCACCGGCCGATCCATGATCATAGCTCCGCGAGAACGCGCATTTTCACCAAGTACGTGGGTTACTGTGGGCATGGACTTATTCTGACAAATCTTCCAGGACGACATCCTAGTGATCTTCATTCGCAACTGCGTGATTCCCCCGATGGATATATTCCAACTATACCTTCCTTACATCCAGTGCCTTCTGTAAGGGACGGTGGTAGACGGCCACACTCTCGAGCACCTTCAGTAACGGAACATGATGATGGACAACCACCACGCCATCGATTGCTCCCTGCAAGGGGTGACGAAGCTGACCCAGGTGGACGTCGCAGTGCTTCACGATTTCCGGACGACGAAGCTGGCTCACGTCGCGCTGCTTTGCGAGTGACTCACCGAACTCCCAGAACTCCCACTCGAATTTCAGAAGCGGATGTATCTAGTCATGACCACCACACCCCTCGTCGCGGACGGTCAAGTGTTGAAAGGGACCCTGGTCGCACACATCCCAGTCATGACGAAGGCGATCACCCACCGATTCACAGAACTCCCACTCAATATTCAGAAGAGGATGCATCTGACCGTAGCCATCGTACCCATAGTCGCAGATGTCCCAGTTATGACGAAGGTGATCACCCACCGACTACCGGAATTCCCACTCGATTTTCAGAAGCGCATGAACCTAGTCATGGCCATCGCACACTTAGCCACAGACGGCAAAGTGACGAAGAAGACCCCCAGCGCGGACCTTCCAGCTATGACGAAGGCGATCGTTCACCGACTCACAGAACTTGCACTCAAATTTCAGAAGCACATGTACCTAGTCACGGCCATCGCACACCTAGTCATGGCCATCGCACGCCTATTCATGGCTTCCCTGCTTCTCCGCGGTTTGAGGATCCTCCACGGTCACCAACTGTCATCAGGATTGAACATGAGCACGGGCATTCTGAATCACTCACCGGTCGACCAGTGATCATAGCTCCGGGCGAACAACGCCCATTTTCACTAGGTACGTGGGTTACTGTGGGCATGGACTTACTCTGACAAACCTTCCAGAACGACGTTCTAGGAGCCCCACTAGTGAGCTTCGACATCAACTGCGTCATTCCCCTGATGTATACATTCCAACAGTATATTTAACGCCTTCTGTAAGGGACGATGATGGACGGCTACGCCGTCGAACACCTTCAGTAACGGAACATGACGATGGAAGACCACGCCATCAATTCCCCCCTGCAAGGAATGACGAAGCTGACCAAGATGGACGTCGCGGTGCTTCACGATTTCCGGACGACGAAGCTGGCCCAAGTCGCGCTGTTTCGCGAGCTCCGTATGATGAAGCTGATCCCTACAGACATCGCGCTGCTTCACAAATTCCGGATGACGAAGCTGACCCAGGACGTCGCGCTGCTTCGCAAATTCCGGGTGACGAAGCTGACTCCTACGGAGGTCGCGCTGCTTCGCGGGTCCCATCACGCACAGGATCGCAAGCAGGACGTATGCCAGCCACTATTCAACGGGATGATGGCAGCCGCCAAGAGAGTGAGATGATTCACATCCCACCGCCCGCTGATCATGGACACCCGCCAGATCATGATCCTGATGTGTACTTTGACCCAACGGCCACCGGATTCGATGATGCCCTTAATCGGCGGCACGAACGACTGGACGAAGTAGAACGTGAACTCAACCAGGTCATCCAAAGCGCTCATGAAGCTGAAGACCGTCGTGAAGCAGAGTTCCGAGACGGTGAAGAACACAGACAGCAAATCTTCCTCCAGAGCGAACAACGTCGTGATGATGAGGCAAGACAGCGCGGTGATGAACTATTTGCTCATTTACTAGAAGAGAGCGCGCGCAGTGTACCTTCTCTACCGGACCCCCCTCCTCCTGGATCAGTGGATAATGATTCCATCATCGAATCAATTTACGCAGAGGCAATTTATTGCCAAGACCATGCCGATGACATTTTGGAGACAGTTCCACTTGAGCGCGAGCACTCTCCTCGCGAAAGGGAGTCTTTTTCATCCGAGGAGCAGGAACGTGCTGAATTTGCCGCCGAGCGCGCTCGCATGTATGAAGAGTGCGAACGAAGGGTTCATGAACTGGAGGAAGAGCTTGTGCGCGTTCGTGGGGAGCTTGACAGCGAAAGGCAGCTGCGACAGACTGAGAACGAGGAACGGGCGGCTGCTAATGGACTTGACGAAGGCATGCGCGGGCAAATTACTTAATTACATAGTTGGTTTCGGAACAATGCTACCTCGGAGTGTACCAGGAAGAGGGAGCTTATGGGGGAAGTAAAGCAGGGCGGCACAATGTAGAATGCAATCTCGCATAATGTTAACCAGATATCAGCCTAGTTGTGATTGGGAGAAATTCTGAGGGTTAAGTACAAAAACACGACTCTATAGTGTCGAAGCATACGAAGTGGAGCTGATCACCACGAAATTGACGGTCGAGTGTCTGGAGGACGAGGCTGGTCAAAGATTCCAATGTGTGGCGGGACGTGGACGGAAAATTCTGGAAATGGTCGGTGTAGGTAGAACGGTCGATAATGTGGTTGGATTAGCTGCCGAGGCTTTTTGAGCTGTGGGAGCGTGCTGCAGAGAGCTTTGGACGACGCCACTGTACGGAGTGCTGCTGAGTGTTGCCGAGCGGGACTACAAAGGACTGCGAATTTCTCACGTTAATTCTCCAGTCCGAACTGGCTGACCGGCCATGCGTGGGGCTCGTGCCGTTCTCCGCGAGATAATTGACGCCCTCCAGCTTCGCTCATAAAAATTGACGGTCTAAACTCCGCTTGACTTTGCAATTGTCGGCAACCACGGCGAACGTTCTAATCTGGTAGACTCCTACCTGTAGATACTCAACCAATACGTTTTTTCGCCATCTCTTTGGACTGCAAACCTAGGCCTAGGCCTCACCCATCAGACCGTCAATTTTTCATACTCAACCAAAGTCCGAACTGTGTCGATTTACCAGAATTTTCCACCTCGATTCGATTCGCCTCCACTGCAGCTGGTTCCACTTGACCACTATGATATCCGCTGACGGCGCAGAGGCACTCTGGACGTTTTCTCAAGCATTGACGTCCTCTTTCTAAGCATCTTGTTCTGGTGAAGCCCGAAGCAAACTTCAAGCTAGCACAAGTTAGGAATACTATGAATGCATAGTGTATCCCTGTGGTGCAATTTGTGATAGTCCTTACTTCTAATAGGGTTGCCAAAGCCAACGGCCGAAGCAAAATCAAAGCCTACCCAGAATTTTTGTATAAATACCAACATTCGGGAGCTGGCAGAGGGACAGATTTCGGCTTTGAACAGGGTGATGCTCACAGAATCGGCCCTCAGCCCAGCTCCAAGGATCGCCGCGTCACCAATTACGGTAGGCCGTGTGCAACAACGGTTTGGAATTACACGTTCTTCTGCCAAGATAATTTCGGGGAAAGAGCAAGTTAAACCTGAAGTCTGCTGGCAATGCAAATGTCATCGTATTTCAGGTGGACAGCTTATGCACAGAACATTATCCAGGACATAAATGCAAGCTGACTTCCTACCGTCCCATTCAGATTTGTTTTTGGAGTCCCATATCATATCTCACAAATAATGCGTCTTTCCTTCGTCCTCGCCGTTGTTGCTGCTTTCAAGTTGACAGCGTCCATGGCTATCCGTGGTGACAGTGATTGTCCCGAGTCCTGCACCATGGGAGAATGCTGCCTTGGCTATTATTGCCAGGTTATAATAGTTGGCGACACTGATGTGAGTATGAGTAGTTTTCATCTGACACCGTGGCTCACTGACGTGGTAGGTGTTCTTATGTGTAAAAGGTGACCAGCCACCGGGCTACTAGCATCTGAGTGAGTCGTATTTCCGTTTTCGCCTTGGTGCACACTGCAGCGTGGTTGACGACACGACATGCAAGTAGTTTGTTTCTGAGTGCTCGGCTGTCATGGTGAACAAATTTCACCCTGCTGGAGCATTGAAGACCTTAAATTAGAGGAACATCTCGAACATTTGACTGCATAAACTGTGACTGAAGTACGTACAACGCGTCACTTGTTTTTCGTCTCGTTGCAAGCTTGCAGAATATATGTTAGATAAAGGTCTCACATGATCATGGGATGGATAGTCGGACATGACACATGTCAGCCAAAAGGAGTCTCCATTGAAGAAATAATGCACGATACTTGCGCAGTCATCATGATGCCATGTGTAACAGTGGATGTATCGATGACTTACCGTAGCGTTTAGAACATCATTCTAAATCTAAATCGTGGGCGTCGTAACGGCACCAGCGCCTGATTCGCTTATTACTGGCATGTTTTGTGTCCATTGAATTAAATGCAAACTAGTCTTGGGCAGGATTATTGCAAGTGGCCCATCAGACTGTGTGCGAACTTCTGACCTCTTACAAGCAAAAATCCGAGCACTCAGTGTCGGAACAGAGGCCGACATGCTGTAAGCTATCATGGTAACATTGATTAGTGTAACGAAACAATTGGGATCGTAGATTGTCTTGTTATAGTGCCTCACAAGACGCAGCAGACTCGGAGGTGCCCTCAGGTGTCGGAGATCCGGCTGAAGACAGAGGGATGAGTATATGAGAATACCTTCTCAGACTCAAAGTGAGTACGACCGAAAGTCATCTATATGCCATCAACTCCTATGCACAAAGAGATGCCATCAAAGACGACACTGCCACGACAGTGACTACTCTTGACAGTGAGAATTCAAAGAAGTCTGAAACCACGAGGAGAAAATGTAGGGCAAAGCCTAGACCGGAGCACGATATTAGGGGGATCATAATAGAGGAGACATGAATGAACTTCATGCGCAATATGATTATGGGGCGGACAATTCCCGCTACAGCAGTACTTAGCGGGTTTTGTGGTGTCATGGCTGTTTGTCACCAACAGTTCATGGTGTTTGATTCGCACGGTCCTGAAGTGTTTCTAATAATTGTGTCTACACCATCTTCGTTAGTCTTCAACTACATACTATGTAACATAGTACGTCTTCTATAATTGCTACGAAGTCCTCGGATCTTTCGCTGTTATCCCTACTCTTATTCGCGTCTCCTGATTCCACCGTGTCGTTGTCTTTTCTGCACAATTGCAATGTGCCGCGATCTGTCACCAATCATAACTTGAACGGGGTGGCTGTCGACTCGGAATGCACTTTTGGCCCTGCACGCGTTCCTACCGTGGATGGTTGGTACAATTCCCGACAGACCTTTCGACCCGTCTATCTGAATAGGTGTGGTGTCGAGCTTGGTCGTAATCGGCTCGCGCTCAAATTTTGGTTGCGTCCTGTGACTCTGAGTCTTCACCTCCATGTAAGTTTTTCCCCTCCTCCCTTGCGAACACCCCCTTACCTTTCGTTCATCAGGACATTTTTGGTCAAGGCACCTTCGCGCATCCCCGTGTGATGGACGAGGTTATTTATCCACTGTTCATGATATATGTGATTACCCTGAATATTATGATACTCTTTATTATCCCCAGTATCATCCCGCGATATTTGCTACTCCTAAGACACTCTGTGTTTAGCTCCTGAAGTGTCTTGTGTCCCATCATTGCCACTGTTCCATCATCCGTCGACTCTCCGTTGGTTCGTGCCAAGGTGTTTCTTTTTCGCGTTCGTTCGAACAGTGGCCCCCTTGGTTCTATTCAAGTGAAGAGACAATCAGATCTCACCTGGATACTGTTTTGGCCTATCCTTTGTCTCAGGTATTCCAGGTTTTTCTGTCGCCCGCCGGACCAAATCCAACTTCGTCGCTGCGATTTGCATCCACGTCCTTGAACTACGTGCGTCGCTCTTGGCAAAGCCTGTGCCCGATGTCTTGTGTAAATTCGCGTCAGTGTAACTTCCGGTTGAATGTGATCGGCAAAAATGCTGATGGCTGGTTGACATGATGGAGTCAAAGTTGGCAAGCCTGGTGGACGGATTGAAAATTTAAACAGATAAATGATTTGTGAAACGTGATCAACAACAGCAAGGTTGAAATAGGAAGCGGGCAGTGGAGTCGGGAACTGGCGCGTCCACGGCGCTACGATTTACAGAATATTTACCGGCAACGTTACTAATCTGGAGGGCTCTTGTCGAAGTTCAGTCGAACACATCAGATATCTCCCAAAACCTCTACCGGCTACGGCCCTTTCTGTGATAATCATTTGACACCTTATTTATCAGATGCTCGTCAAGTTGTCATTCAGTTCTCGCTGAGTCCCTTCTTTCTGTTATGCATGCCTCGGTGGGTCACTCCTGCATGGTGGCTTCAGCTTTCCGTTATGGGGTGTTCTAGAGTTTCGCGTTGACCTCTAGATCTGTGGCATCTCTGCCCAATGCCTGGGTCTTGCTGCAGCAATCAAAAGTATGTAAGTAAATTTTTGTTCTGCCTCAGCATCGACATACACACGCCAACTACGAACGATGATGATGGCTCACTTTCACTTCTTCCCCCTTTAGCTTTCAAGTCATCTTCGGTCGCATTGGGAGAGCCAACGACCGAAGGAGCGTCCATTGACGAAGATCCAACGAGGCTGGGAGGTTACATCACTTCCCTGACTGTTAGACTGACAGACTCTGTCCTTAGCTTACTACTTCTGGCCTCTGGCTTCATGGTGAATCCTGACAGTTTTGGTCAGTCTGGCGAGAATCTAGGTTGGCACGTACCCACCCCCGACGGGGATATATCTTAGGTTTCTGAGACGACCCTCGCCGGGCGTGAAGGTATTCAGTTCATGGACACACTAGTATCACATAAAAAGGAGGTTCAGGGCCTCGCAATGACTGGGCCTAGTTAAGATGGACCTCTGAGGAAAACATGCATGAGTCAATGCCAAGGTGTGTTCCGATGGAACAAAAACTATCATTCGGTAGGTTTCGAACCTGCGTAGTCCAAGGTAATAAGATTTCGATTCTGTTGCGGTAACCACTTTGCTCAGGACGCTTCTAAAGATAAACATCAAGATGCGATAGGACGGGAACTCATTTGTCGGGCAGGTTTCGAATCCGCACCACCAGGCACTACCCAAGAGAGCAAATTTCTAATCTGCCAAATATTAGCTATGAAATATAATGCATATTATATGGCTGCCGCTAATCACGGTGGCAGTGATTTGGCAAAGGATCTCCAGCTCGCTAGTGCATAGACGGACTGGTCACGAGTCTACGTTGAAGTTGCTCCTCGTAGTGCGAGTCATAATGGACACCTGTATCTTAAGATCTATCGTAGCATGCCATGGCAGAAACCTCGGGGTCTCATTGGGGTCAACGGAGATGGCCTACTGAACCAATTTAACACACGAATGAATGACCGAGGGTGGCAAGATACATTTGTGCTGGGTTGAGGTACTTAGTCCCTGCCAGTGAAGTATTCAAGGACGACTCCATGGGAAGTGCACGGTCGACTGCTTGTATTGTGAGTATACAACTGAAAGTTACAATGATCGATACACAGGAAACCGTATGCAGGGCAACAAGTAAAGAAAATAAGTAAAGAAAATCACTTTGAAGGTTTGCTGAGCGCAAGCCAACTCTTGGAACGTGTAAATTTAGATAGAAAAGCATCAGGATCTGATTCCTCGGCATTGGGCTGGTGGCCCTCTCCTGAGTCGGACGGTTCTTCCAAGCGAAGATAGTATCGGTTATCGGCATCCTTTTTAAGCACCAGAAAACAGCCCACAAGGAACGCCCATAGGGATGAGTCTATGTGTGAGCGTACGGGAACTTTCATATGACCCTGGAAAAAGTACTTCCTTTCGCCGCACGCCACAGCGTCTAAAGTCGCCCACTCATCGAAGGGGCGCAATCGCCGTGGTAGAAGGACTCCGTTCTCGTAACGCAATGATATCCAGGCGAAGCACCACATAAACGACTCCAGATCATGGCGATATAGGTGTTTGACTTCGCCTCGTTGACCCTCTTCGGTGAGAAGATCAAGCGCCATGAAAGGCACCGTGCCCGTGCGTTCGTTGCCCCGAGGACCTGGGTCATCCGCCAACGAGGATAGATCGTAGTCGTTTAAAACGCCTATGCGCTTCCCGTTTTTCCAGTACCACATCAAGTTTCCAGGGCTGACATCTCGATGATAGACCCCTTCCTTCCACAGAGTAAGATGGCCTGCAGGCCATGTCAACGAAGAGCCTCGTAAATGCGACGAAAATACGTACATAGGATACATTGATACCAAACGTTGAAAAGTTCTTTGTCGGGAACCTTCGTGATGGGTTGGAGCTTGGGGAATACGAGGATGTAGAGTACGCGACTGCCCTTGGTGGGTTCTGGAACACCAAGCGCTTCTCGGATTGCGGACGTGGGATTCGTGAACGTGTGGTGCCAAAGCAACTTAGGAATATGGTCTTGTACGGTCTTGTGCACCTTAGCGATCTCCTCAACCCTTTTCAGGATCTCCGGTTCGCTAGTGCGATGTGCCTCTCCCCAAAATATCTTGGCCACCATCCCATCCTCGGAGTTGCCGTATGTCTTCGTGAGCGCTTCGCTAGTGACAGGGACCACGTTGGTGGCGCGTCCTTGTAGTCCGTAGTGCGTCACTCTTTCGTCGTGGCTAGTGTGAAGCAGCAGATCCACCTCTCCAAGTTTTTCATCCTTGATTTTGAACTCGTGGCACTGTTTCCCCTCAACTTGAACTGGGAGGAAGTCCTTGTTTCGCCCCCAATCTTCAAGCTTGAATCGTTGGAGTGCATACAACAGCACCATGAACCGCGGGAGATCTTGAATGAAGTTGATGCCTGAGCATTGAATGATCCCTTGCCGATCATAATACCAGATCCACATTACATCGTCTGAAAAAGCTTCGGTAAGAGCGCGACCAACCTCGACAGACGAACGAACGCACCGATGACGATAATATTCAGCAAATAATTGACTCCAAGATTGGACGCAAACATTTCGGCGGCGTACAGACCCGTCTGGACGGTCACATCTAGATCTTCGTCCGTGTCTTCTTCTGTATCATCGGGGTTCATCTTGGATTTTTTCGCGGCGGATTCCAAAGGGTCCGCGGCTTTGCGCTTGGAGCTGGACCCACCCTGGGAAGGTTTGGCAGCAGTAAGACCAGAAGATAGAACTGCAGCTTGGTCGATTAAGTTTGGTCTCGGAATCCTACATATCATCACTTACATGCAGTGTCAGGCGCAGGTGGTGTTGCTGGCGTCTGCGAAGGGCCTGGCGCAGGGACTCCAGCCTTAAGATGGTCCACCGGCAAAAATTCTGGCTTGGTAGGGATATAGTCTGTCACTGTGTACGAAGGGGGCGGTGGGTTAATCCCTTTCGTCCTCCCTGGCGTCTTCCTCTTGAACTCGATGCAAGCCAGAACATCTTTCCAGGGGAGATTTTGCGGCTTTGCCATTGCATTCGCGTCCATGTGAGCCTTGCGCTTCTTTTTGCGCTTCTCGTCGTCATTGTCGTCATCCATCGCGTTGTCGTTCTGTTCGTCGTTCTGTTTGCCTTTCTGTTTGTCCTTCTTGCCGCCCTTTTTGCCACACTTCTCATCCTGGAAGGGAGCGCATGCGCTGTTCAAAGGAAGGATGACGACATCGGGCTTCCGAGTTGATTTCGCGGTCTGGTGGGTTTGGTACATGGGCATATCGTTCTGCTGACAGATCATGTCCACAGCGGGGACAGTAGCACGCATCCCGTCAACCTTGATCTCTTCAAGACAAGAGAGCGCGATGTTAGTGGCTCTTATGAAAGGGCCGTAAAACTTGTTTTCCGCTCCCGGACGTACGCTTGTAATCGTCATAAGCATGAAAACGCCTGTTCAGCGAACTTGGAACAAGTACTTACTAGTCATTGAGAGCTGTCTCAACGTCTGAAGATTTTACGAGCACGGTGGAAGCTTGTCCATTGCAAACCGGCAGAACTGCATTGAGGCACTTTTGTAGGAGCTCGGGTTGTTTAGTCTCGGGCGCGGAAGAAGCGCGCTGCAGGAGGGCTTGCAGCATGGCATCTACCTTGCACTCCTTAACCTGCTCGATGTCCCGCTGAATCCATGGGCGGACTTTCCTAACTCTTGACGGAATGTTAGGTATTAAATAAAAACAAGAAATGTGCGCACCTGGCACCGAGTACGCCGATGTTCTCACTGATGACGGAAGCTCCACGGCTGTTTGGGGTGGATTCTATTGTGGTAGCACCATGAGCTGGCAGATTGGCGCGTGGCGGAGTAGACGATGTGCCAGTCTCGCCGGTAGGGGACATGACGTTAGATGTTGTTGTTACTTTGACTGAGAGTTGTCAGTAGAACTGGTGGGTGGAGAAAACTAGGATGACAAGAAAGACGACTTCTTCCTACTTGCTTTATATCCGGTCGACCAATGTGGCGCAAATGTGGTGGACCATCGATCAATGATCTGATCAATGGATTGATGCTGGCAGTTGTGGACAGTTGTGGACCTACAGTTCGACTCCGACGACGCGTTCCCATCAACACGCGCACGTGACCCTGACTTATTTCAGTGACTCGTGACCAGTCAGGAATAAGCGAGTCAGGGGAACGCCGGCGCCGTTACCATTTACATTAGCTAAATTCTAATTGTAAATTTTTCTAGTGAATTCATTTACGACTTGTTTATGACTGTATTCTTGATTTCTTGTTGGTGAGTAGGTCACGGAAACATACAAATCGAGGCAAACAAATCTAGGATGTATAGGAAGATACAGTATAAATCAGGAAAGCTACAGAGAACAAAAGATAGAAAGCTTGGTGTAACGAGCTAACGAGATAGAATAAACTGATGAAAAATCCTAGTATCACATCGTAGATAGTCGTGAAATCAAGATCTGAAAAATCAAAAGGAAAACAAGATAAATACACTTAGAATACTGTGGCAGATGCAATAGATGGAGCGACAGACCCGTGCCGCTGGCGCTCCCATAATTTGTCCTTTGCGCGGACTTCGATATTCTCAAAGGCGGCGCTCTGCGACAATTTTACGCAGTCTCGTGTTCCGAGGACAAGAAGCTCGAAGAAGAAGGCAGATGCAGCACGCCGAGAAGCTTTCTCCGTCATCCTGCGGAAGCTCATAACGCGCTCCTCGTCATCCTCGCGGTCTTCGGGTTTCAGCTCCTTGCGAATGATGCCGAGAGCTTTTACTGTATTTTTGCTGTATCCTGTGCCTTCGCCGTCACCAGCAGCCTCCTGAGCCTGAGTGGGCGAGGGCCGCACATCGAAAGACGCGATAGGGCACGTCAGATCAGCATAGGTCTCTTCACCTTCTTCACCGTCGACAGCTGGCGTGGACGATCGACTTTGTTCCGTTGCGGCACCTTTGTCTTGTTGCAATCCCAAATCGTCATGTGCCACCGGGAATTCGCCACCAACGTCCATCTGAAATTCGTCCAAACCGCCCGTCATGTCGCCAAAATCAAAGCCACCGTCCGGAGCCATACTGGCACGACCGCCAAGAGCTTCACTAGCAAGTGCGATGCTCGGAGCAATACTGGCATCCCGCCGAGCCTGTTCGACCTGCTCATCTTCATGTATGCTCCCCTCAACCCTAGGCTTCTTCCTCCCTGCCTTGTCAGGAGATGCACCCCTCTTTTTCGATGGGAGGCCGGTCTGTAGAGGACGCATGAACAAGTCGGATAGTTCAGGTGCCAGTCCAGGGGGCCCGGCGAGGAAGAAAGTGCCTTCTGGCGTAACTTTGGTGGGAAGGAAGTAGGCAAGGGGATCCTCGCGGATCTCCATGAGCCGCATGACAATCGCGGAACGAGGGAGAGATGGATGCTCTGCAAGAATATCACTGACATCCTTGATAACGGGCGCGCCTAGACCACGACCAGCTCTGGCTCCGGGGCCATCGGTGAGCTCAGTAACAGAATCAATGATTTGCTTCTTTTCTTTGGGCTTGCGCTTGGCCTTTGCAGCGACTGTATCGTCAGCTAATTCTTGTGCAGCTGCCTTTGGTGTGAGGAGAAGGTCAGGTGGCGGTGTTGGCGGAGGCTCGGTGAGCGGAGAGGCTGTTCACTGAACGTCAAAAAAGTCAAGCGGAAAATATAAAGGCACGGCGTACACATTCGAGAAGGAGACCTGGTTTGTTCGGGAGTCTTTTCACGATCGCTCAAGGGGCGGTCCCCGAAATCGATACCCAAGTCAATGTCCATACCTCCCATGTCTGGACCAAAACCCATGTCCACATCCATGTCGGCGCCAAACGGATGTTCGGAAGGTTCTCTACTTCTGTTCGAGAAGAAATCTTCACCCTCTCCACCTTTTCCCATCATTCTAGAATCTAACGACTCTCTGGCACTTCGTGGAGTCGGGGCATCACGACCAACTTCTACGCTCCCGTCGATAACACTGACCGGTCCGTCTCCAAAGTCGAGACCAAGATCAAGCTCCCCAAAGTCCTGTGAACCGATACCATCTGATGGGCCAAGATCAAAACCGTAGCCAGGATCATCAAGGTCAAATTGCAGGTCGTCGGCGGTTTGAAGAGTAATATCTGCTTGCCGGGCGACATGATGACCTTGAGGTTCAGCAATACGGTCCTCAAAATCGATGTCCCTGGCTCAGCGCATGAGCCAGGGGGATAAGAGACGAGAGAATGTATGAGAATCTCACCAATTGATATCTGGAAGCAAAACGTCCAGGTCAAGATTGCCGCTTTGAAGTGTAATGGCATTGCGGTTGACAGCCAGTTGATCTTCCGTCATATCAACAACACCTGGGCGGAATGCCTGGAACGAGGTCAACATTTATGTGACACCAAAAGCACAAGACATCACCATCTTGATTTTGAGCAGCGCCTCGTTACAATCATCCAATAGATATTTCGCTTTACGACTGTAGATTCGAACAACACCGAGCAATAACTGTCCGCTTAAACGTAGTGCCATGACTTCAACCTCCTGTCCCATGATGGCATCTGGGATGAGCGTAAAGTGTTATTTAACGCGTCAGAAACATATCAGATAATGACGCACCCGCTGCCTGCTCAATATCCGTCTGTAGTGTCTGTGTTTTGGAGAGTTTTCTCTCCATATGCGCGGCGAGCCATACTTTGGCCAGTGGCCCACGGCGCGATAAAATAGCTTCTGAGTAAAACTTTTCCGGAGCGAGTCATCGCCAGGTAGTTGCAGCAGTAGACTATACGCACCATGATAATCCAAGCTTTAGAAGATGTACAAGAAATGAATAGAGAAGGTGTTGACCAGGCACCCAGTCGCGGTTTCGAACAACTTGGTCAGGCGGTGGCTGTGTCACAAGTGGAAGGTTATTGAACTGTGTTTGGCTCATTGACCTTTTAGATTTTTGTGGAAGCGGACTGGCCAAAGTCTAAGATGCTAGCTTCCACATCGCGAAACTCTCTTAAAAGAGTCTCCAGGAAAGCTGCTTCATGGTCATCCCAGTCCGAGTACACTGGAGTACTGCCTGTGACCTTTTCCCGTGAGTCAATTCTACCACTCGTTGGCAAACGCGGTTTTGAACCCCCATGCAGGATGTCAGAGCACCCAACAGGTCGCAGTAAAGTCTGCACCACGTTCGAGCTCGTCTACAATTCGGAATAAACCATGGTCCTTCATTCCCGACCAAACTTTTCAGGGAACTGCACGTGGTAGTGCTATAGCGCGCTACCAGTTCAGGTCTACCGGGATTGCCAATTCCAAGAAATCCATAGATGCTCTTAGAATGTGCAGAGAAATGAAAAAGGAGGGCGTAAAACCGGATATCATCATTTACAATAACTTGTTGGCATGTCTTGCGGAAGATTGTCAGACACTAGAGGCTTGGGCTGTTGTCGAAGATATGAGTTCTATGGAGATTGCACCCGACCGAAACACTTTCCATCATCTCATACATGTGCGTTCGTGTTTCTTTGGCCCCTATACCTTACCTTATCGTTTCACTATTGAACACAGGCATCACGTCGACTGCAGTCAACAGCTATGTGGGATATCCTCGATAAGATGGATGCAGAAAATATCCCTCCGAACGAACAAACTTTCCAGTTAATGATCCAACGCTACACAACGGTGGAGAAAAGAAATCTGGAATTCGCACTGCAATGTGTTTATGAGATGGGGAACCGGGGACTCGTCCTTGACCTCACGATCGCTCAAGATGTGATAGGATTGGCGGCAGAACTTGGCTTTCCCCGGCTCGCAGTCGACTTGGCAGAGAATTTCGAAGCAACCTCCGTCCGGAGATTAAGCCTGGAAACATGGATGAGATGTCTAGCATCATCTGCTGAAATTCTTTACGTGTGTGGTATTTCTATTCTGTGTCGTTTCCACCTGACATTCGATTGGAAGGCTGAAGGTGTTCAACGATGCTGGGAAAATGTTGTAGGCGACCTTAATATCACTCCAAATGAAGGACTCTGCCTCGATGTTCTCCATACTGCTGGACGTCACGGACTCTCTGACCTAGCAACAGATGTCATTCGTGTGCTCAGAATTCTGGGCGCTGACTGGCAAGAGCACCACTTTGCACCCCTCGTGGAAGCACTGTGTAAGGCCGGAAAACTAAAAGATGCCTTCGGCACACTCGACTTGATGCGAAGTAGCAACATCTTCCCTACTGCAATAACGGCCCGGCCGATATACGACTTCCTGAAGCAGGATATTGACAAGGTGGACGGCGCTTGGGAACTGCTTGACAAGCTGCGAAGTGAAGGCAAGACAATCGACAGGACCGCCATCAATGTCATCATCCGCGCTGCCATATCACTTTCAGATCTGCAGCGTGCCGTGGGTGCCTACAAGGCTTTCCCCGACTACAAATGCATCCCTGATATTGACACCTTCAACACCCTTCTTTCTGGCTGTATTGTTGCCAGTCACCGTGAACTCGGAGATAGACTGCTCCTGGAACTGAAGGAGTTGGGCATCAAGCCAGATGCAACGACCTACGAGCGAATCATCATCCTGTGCCTAACACAGGCCACATATGAAGACGCGTTCTTCTATCTCGAGGAAATGAAAGCGCAGAAGTTCGTACCGCCACGGAGCGTTTACGATGCCATCATTCGTACTTGCATTGCTGCCGGTGATTCGCGGTACACGCTAGCATTGGACGAGCTGAAGCAGTGTGGATATACCGTTTCGAATAGCTTGCAGACGTTCATTGATACTGGAGGACGAGAGTCACAACCAAGGTCATAGTGTTTATGCGTCAAGTTACATTCATCATCGATAGGTAGCTTAGCTATATCTACATAATTTACTTCCTAAGATGTGGGGTTTAGAATTGATGTTTGCACCTTTCTATGGGCCTCGTATGCGAGATTCCGAATACGTTGACCGCATATCGATCACTCCACATTTGTACGACTGCGTTACCTCGTGATTTGCATAGGAGACGTCTACAAGTACCATGTAGCCGGCGTGTCGGATTTCAAGATAACAATTGCGCCCTTGTATCCCAGAAATAGGACCTTCGGCTGTCGAGGCTCGAGACTGAGGGTTCCATTCCTGATCGCCCTGACCAGTGGTGACTACGAAACGGTTCAACAGATTCGTGCATTGCGATATATATATATATATCAGACGAACAGGTACTTGAAAAGCAGATACAGTTACTCCACCCACCCCTTTTTCTCTATTGCGAACACCTACTCCGTCATTCCAGGACGACTCAACGCCATGGTTCGTATATTCCCTCCCACACTGTTTGCTACACACCGTCTACTTCCTCCTGGGCTCTCCACCTGCACTCACAGAGTCAGGTTCTTCGTCCTCCCACGGGCTGAAGTTGGGCTTCCGAATCAACGGCAGCGACTGTAGCCACGCAGGTAACACAGCCCCCTTCCCCCCAAACGCTGGCACCGGCTGCGCCTCAGCATTAGTGTGCGCCGGAGAAGATGGAATACTTCCGACATCGCTGAGGCTCGGCAGACGCTCGAGGCTCGTATTAGTTGAACCACCAAGCGCACGTTGAAGTGCTTCACGTTCCGCTCGAGAAGGAGCAAAGGCGCGAAGGAGGGCAGATGGAGTCGAGGAATTGCTGTTCATGAGCCCATTCGGGTTCAGTGCATCATAGCAAGCTGTTGGAGGGGCGCTGGTGCGTTCAGACGTAGTCGGAACTTGTCGTCTTGAAAGCCTGAAAACTTTGGCATCAGGATTGAGGCCCTTGCGTTGCTTATCCTTGGCAGACGTTGAGAACCACCTGCGTGGTCCGGAATCCAACCCTATGGTAGCGGCATCATTGACAAGCGTGTTGTCCAGCGCCCGTGCGGCGGAGGGATCAGAGTTCGTGCGGTGAGGCGTGCTCATTTTGTCGTACATGGCTTGAGTGTGGTGGCGAACTTCGAAAGGATCATACTCAACGCCCATTTCCTGTGTGGGCGAAGGTCCAGTGAGGGACACAGGTGACGCACTGAGCGTGCTTCCGGCTCTTCCAATGCCGCGCCAGTCTCCAGAAGGGGAGTCTAGCACGCTAATGAGGCTACTTGGGATGAATGCTGAAGACGGTGTTTGGACATCAAAGGGAGAGAATGACAAATTCGTATGGGGGGAGAAGTGACCATGAGCAATTTGACCAGATTGTGATGGTTGCGCGAGGGAAGCGATATCGTTATCAAAGATGGCATAGCCCTTGGAGCGACGCGAAATAGCACCCGTTTCACTTGCATTGGGGCTGAAGTTTGATAGTGATCCCAACGACAGTCGCGGAGGTCTCGGAGAGTGTGAAAATTCTCCTGAATCAAGACCGCTCTGTGCGCGTTCCGAAGACCCTGGTGAAGAATGGATGTCTAACTGTTCATCAAAGGGACTGAAAGTTGAAGACCAGGATGGTACATCTGCTTGACCCACGTCATAATCATTTGCATTGCCGTGACCGTTGGTATGACCGTATTGCTCTTGCGTGGAGGCATGACCGCTGCTTAAAACCTGCATAGGGACGAACAGTGGCTCATTTTTCAGAACCTCCGTCCGCTCCCTAGCGGCTCCGAGTCGCTCGCGAGCCTCTGTGATTTTAGCCTCGAGCTCCTTCGCACGTGTGCTGAGCGCGGTGACGACGTCTTCAGTATCTCGAACCTCCTTCTTCTTCGCCTCGAGCTCCTGCTCCAATTCCTGTACTAGTCTGGCGTCCTCGATCTCAGCTTCTTCAAGCAAAGTCGCTCGGTCTGCCTCAATTTGATCCATTAACCTGCCAATTTCGTTCTCCAGTTCCTCAATGCGCCTCACAGCGCCCTCCTTCACACTACGGGCGGCCTTCAGCTTCCTCTCGGCATCTCTTCTCCCTGTTTCAGCAGAGCGTCGTGCATCCTCAAGCATTTTGGCACGAGTTTTCCCTTCGGCTTTGCGTTGATCTTCATCGCGTTTACGTATGCGCAGCTCGGCCAATTCAGCCTCCAGCACATCATGGGACGCAGTGGCCGCTGTTTGGGCCTCGCAAATTTGGGTATCTAGTTCTGTCACGAAAGCTTGCTGGGTAGTGATCTGCCTCAAGACTTCTGCAATCATCGGCGAATCATCGATGGATACAGATCTCGAAGGGCCGCATGAGATGGTCTGGGCAACAGGCGGTACGTAGACGCTAATACAGGTTTGGTCGGAAACCGATTGAGATACTGGAAGGTTGTGCTCAAGCGTTCGGTGATCTGTGTGCAGGGGAAGTGAAGCTGACTTGGGAAGTGGCGGAGGCGTCGAGTTACGGCGAGGAGTTAATCCAAGGCGCGGCGTGAAACGTTCACGATTACGCAATCTAGGTGGGGTGCCACGTGAAGGAAGCCTGGGACAGGGAACCGACTTTGCAAACGGTCGACCTTCTTTTTACATTAAGACGGAAAGACAGATTTGAGATCGAAAAAAACATACTGTTGAATTCATTGAGCTTGTCGAGAGCCTTAAAGCCAAGTATACCAGAGCTCCAGCCTTCAGCATCCTTTGATCCGATCATGGCATCGTGATACCACGAATCAACGAGACCGCCGCGCCACCAGTGACCGAATGCTCCAATAAACCAAGAATCTGAAACTACCGATCCATCATGATCAACACCCGACAAATTCCCGTTACCATGTGGACTAGTTGTGCTTGAACTACGTCCATGAGCCCCAGCAGCTCCGCGGGTAGTGGCGATCGTACAAATGCCAACACTATGGAAGATGTGCTTGGGAGTGCGTAGAGATACTGAAGCGCGGTTTGCAAAGTGAAACGGAAGGGGCGTACGGTCAGTCAGTGTGTTACGGTCCACGGGACGTGAGGAGTATTGGGCATCAGTATCAGAAGATTCGTCTGTGGTATCATCAAGATGGCTGAGGTGTTGGCGGAAGGATTGTTCAGTTAGATAAGCACGGAATGATGTCTCTGAGGGATTTGTGAGATACGCTGGAGGTTTGTAGGATCAATAAGGATGCATCCAATGGATGATCAAATGCAGTGGACAATGATAATATGCAAGAGTGAGGGAGAAACCGAAATAAAATGGTCAATATGTGCAATCAAAGAGCTTGAACCACATTGCTCACCAAGTATGAGCACTACAGCGACAAATACAAGAACAAAGACGAAAGACCTGAATTCACTGCGAACACGGGCGGAGTCATCCCAGAAATACAAGGGGGTCCATAGGGAGATCAAGCCAAGCCCGCCGAAAGATAGGCTCATTAGCAAGATAGTGGATGGTCTTGATGACTTTGCGAGCTTATGCACGCTGGGATGAGGATTACGAGTAAGGTGGGTGCGATTAATGGCAGACACCGTTGCAAAGGGACAATGACGTCCCCGTAGTTGAATTGAACTGTACCTGTAAAAAGTGAGTTCAGTTAGTGAGTTCGACGTTCATAATAATGAGCTCGCCGTCGTTTTTAGGGATAGAGACGTCGCCAACGATGATCACGTTGAGAAACGTTGAGAGTTTAAGAAGAAGAACAGCGCCCGCAATCAAAACACCGGAGTCGGAATTTTCGTATGTAAATCAGTGCCACAGTTTCACAACAAAACTAAATTCGCTATTAATCTTAATCCACGATCATGTCATCCACACAGCTTGCCAGTCTTCCTAATGGTTTTTCCTAATGGTTTCCCTGACAAAATTGACAGCCAATTGGGCAGTGCTAGCGGGACCGAAAATTGTTGTCTAAACTCTGCACCTTTTTAAAAAAAAAATCGATCTAAGCTGTTATCCATCGATAGTCGTATCAGTAACGTTACCCGACGGTGGAGAACATTGCCCTCGTTTCGACTTACCTTGGTTTTACATATTTGACGAAACATGCTGCCGGCCACGAGTTGGACAACGTGTCGTACCATTTATACGCGCAGGAATTTGCTCTGTAGTGGTCTAAGTATGTCCAGACTCCACTAAGGTCGCACTGTGTTTTTCATTCACACATACACCCTGCAGCAGACATGAGACCGTGACGCACGCACGATGACCCTGCACGATTTTTCATTATTTCTCTGGTACATAACCATCACAACGTCTATCCCCCTAATATCGTCCAGTTCGTCCAGCTGTGTGGCATGTGTCAGGGTTGTAGCTCATGACCAAATTGATGTCACTTCCTGGTCTCATTGAGGTATGGACGAGTCCACAGAACACAATGCTATATTTACTATGCATTCTGCACTACTACTGAGAAGGAAATATTGCACCAAGATCAAGAAACTTCCCATGACCTCTTTTGTAATGGTGCACCCGGGGCCGTATCCCAAATTTTGATTCGCTCGTGCACAGTAATAATACCTGCTTAGGTATTAGTCAGAGAGCATGAAATTTCCGGTCATCTGTTGCGTTGCGTCACGAGTCGATCCAGGAGATCACATCAGTAATCGATTCACTTCGAACCTCGTCGGCAGTATTGCGGAGAGGCATCAACGCATGCTTATTTTGACAACGTTGGAGCAGAAGGCCAGTAGCAATAGCTTCTCCTGGGGCCCGAGCCTTAAACAGTCAAGTACCTCCGTATGGAAGTGAGTAGTTTCCATTACCCCACTGGGTATCTGCCTTTGCTCAATTGCCCTACTGGGGCGTGCTTCGTGCATGTGATAAGGGGGATGTCTTCGACAGACTTAGTTGGTTTTACCATTTTTTACCCTCTGTTGCGAGCGCTCGGTGACATCCGAGCCTCGTTTCTCTTATACTCCACTGGAAGCTCTAATTAACTATGAGAGGGTTGTTAGGTTGCTGCGCAGTTCTGCGTATGATGTTCCTAGCCTTCCCCACGATCCAACTAATGCATCTCGTATACCAGTACAATTGCCGTCTGGCGTACCTCACTTGCCTTTCAAGAGTAGTTTCGATCCAGTCAGATCCTAAACTTGGAGATGATCGACGCAGTCTTTTTTCAAATTCGGTACCTCCTTTGCCTCGAGGGGTCTGCATGTACAAGAAGTTACCTCTCGTAACTTATTCGCTTTCTCATTGTTTCAGAAAATGGCCGATTGGAATAAGGATCAGTGGGGAGTGCAACAGGGACAGGGGAATTCGCCATTCTACGCTCTTGGCGGGGAGCCGAAGCCTGGACACTCTCAGCCATATGCGCAACCAGTTGTTCAGCCGCAGTACGACCCACAATCTTCTGCAAACCAAGAAACTCCCTTCGAAGACGGTCGGTTTCACCCGAAGAAACGGGTCAACGACATTTTCTTCCTGATCCTTTTCATTCTGCAGGTTAGTCTACGTTATTTCTTGCTGCACTCCTTCTTACTCTGCGGTAGTTTGCCGGGTTTGTCGCGCTTTCAGGAATTGCCCTCTCAGGATATGTGTCAAATAACGGGCTTGGGGGTGGTGTAGGCAATGGCTCTCAGGTGGGCTCGTCGGTGACCCTCAATCGGTGTGTTGATTGTAGATATTCGTCGGTATATTTGATTGATGTTGACCGCGTCAGGCATACTGCCTATCTTCTGTTATTCGTCACTGCAGCAGCTCTTGTCCTGTCTATAGCCTACCTGATGCTCGCACGCATCTTTACACGGGCCTTGATGCACATGACTCTCGTGCTGTCCGTAGTACTTAACATGTAGGCCCGCTCTAACGCCTTAGATCGAGTGTTATGCTGATCGTCACTCTAGTGCCATTTGCGCTTATTACTGGAGTACTGGTTACTATTGTGAGTGATACGAACATCGACCACCTCCTTTTGACCACGAAGCTACAGCCGGTGCCATCATATTCACCATCATTGCCTTGTTCTCGATCTTTGCCTATTTGGGCTTTAGGTCTCGCATTCCACTAGCGTCCCTTCTCCTGCAAGTAGTAATGGATGTCTCCAAACATCACATGAGCGTCTACGTTGTTGCCTTCATCGCCTTGATCTCGCAAGCTGCTCTAAGTGTGTAAGTTGCCGTTGCCACGCTTGAAGAAGTATTTTCACATACTACTATTAATTGCAGGTGGTTTTCTTATACACTGATTGCGATGTAAGTGTTTCAGTTTGCTGCGCAACCTTCAGCTTCTCTAACCATTTATAGATACACGAAATGGACACCTGGTAATCCAAGTAAGTTTGCATTACTAGTCAATTTAATCAAGTTTGAACGACCACACAGGTTGCGGCAACGGAACGTCTTGTTCCGGGAGCACTGTGGCAGGCCTAATATTCTATGCAGTATTCTCGTACCTCTGGACATCCCAAGTCATTGGTAACGTCGCCTTAGCCACTCTTGCTGGTGGAGCGTACGGAAGTGAGCATAGTTGGATGACTCGATTGATTCCATTATCTTATATGCACATCACAGGTTGGTATTACTTCGGGCCTCGAGAACAAGGACAGATGGTAGTGTTCTGCTCTATGCCCCCTCAGTTATGCTTATACGTTGATTTCAGCCAAAGCATCCAACCCTCAGCGCTTTTGGACGTGCTTCAACGCTGTCTCTTGGGTCAATAGCATTTGGATCCTTGATTGTCACTATTCTGGAAGTCGTCCGCCTTATCTTGAACGCTGCGAGGAACAATGCAAATGCGCAAGGGAGTTGTGAGTATCAATCTGAATTTTCTCTACTTTAATGTTAAATAGTAGCCTTTAATCAGTCGTAGAGGCGTGTCTTGCTTGCTGCGCAGAGTTCTTCGTTGGATGTATCGAAGGACTGGTAAACTACTTCAATAGATATGCCTACATCGAAATTGGTGAGTTACCTCATTTAATTCGGTTGTACTTACCAGTAACTTGATGTTATTAGCGCTCTATGGAAAGCCTTACATTAAAGCAGCAAAAGACACTTGGACTATGTTCATGGATCGTGGTACGCTCCGTCGTCGTTGTTTTTTCCCGTAAGCACTCTCACGATGCTCAATATCTTAGGGATTGATGCGCTTGTCAACGATTCATTGATTGGCATGAGTGAGTCACCAATTGGGGATGCCGACGTCTTCTGATGATGTTCGGCAGCTTTGATGTGGGGAGCTTATGCCATCGGGCTTCTATGCTCACTCTTCGGGTATCTCTACCTGCGCCGTGCGTACTGAATTCATGTGCTTGAGGAATTGGTACCATTGTTATTGCACAGTGACACACCCTGCATACAACGCCGATGGACAGTACACAGCGCCGGTTGTCTTGTTCGCATTCCTCATTGGATTACAGTGTTGTGCGTGCTTCTTTTTGGTCGCCTCGCTAATTCTACCTGATGATTAATATCTTGCAGCGGTAACAATGTCAACTGCCATCGAGGCTGGTGTATCTACTATGTATGTGCAGACCTCAGTATATGTGGATACTGGCTGATTTTCTCGAAACCCAGCTTCGTAGGTCTGGGAGAAGATCCACAAGTATTAGCTGCACGCGCACCCGACCTATTTGGGGTGAGAACTTCGAAGTCGCAGCACATCTTTGCCTGACCAGCTTTGCAGCTCATTGCTCTTACCTATCCTCGTGTCGTTCAAGGGGTACCGAGGGTCTGATGCACTTTACGTGGCGTTGTCTGGATATTTTATGTGGTCGGATGTGGCTTAGGTCGCTGCCTCAAAATAAGTTTTGCAAAGGGTCATGTCAAAGGGATGTTACGAGAGCTCTGGTATGTCGATATGAAAACATGTTACAGTGCTTTGCATAATGATGTAGACAAACCGAATGATTTCGCACCGTATTGCTGGACCAAAGTAGGACATTATATCACGCTGCCCAGCCGTATCTTCGATCGACGATGCCTGAAGGTTAACATCTATGTATACTCAGCCGCCAGGGGCTGGTGAGACTCATCCCACGTCATGCCTGCAGGTGATGACATTAATGGTAGCTTGTTATCATCGTAGTTGACGTGCGAGGCTGTTGTGATGTGCTCGTGCCAGTGGTGTTGTCCAGGAGCGCTGGATCCATCCTTGTTCGGTCCGGATATTACAGTGGTTAAAACTGGGTTTTCTTTTTTTAAAAAACCCCAATTTATGGTCCTTTGGGGTCGAAGACCCTGTGTAGGACATAGTCCTTTCGCGGAGGGCTTACTCCCACCTATTCTAACGTGGTTAAAACGTCGATGTATGGTGTCGCGAGTCGAATGTACTTGAAAACTTGGCCTGTCTCAATACCACTGGTTCCAACAAATCATTCACTAGATTTTACTCGTTGCCTTTCATTGCCCGCTCGCCTGAGCGCTTGAATTCCACAACTAACGTACACATTAGCCACCAACACAGAAACTACATCAGCACTATCTCAGTGCATCGCACCCAATCAGTTTGAGGGGGGCCTGATAGGAATAAACCTCCAGTATGACATCTCACCCGCGCCATCCTGCGTGAGTTGGACCTAATTAAGAGACAAAGTAAGACGTTATTCAACAGCGTGAAATAAAGTGTCAGTACCTCTGCTCCATCATCACCATTGGGCAAGTACATCAACAAGCCCGAAGTGTCCCGGATGCTGAAGAGAAGAGCCAGGTTACTCCCTGTAGACGCGTGATATATGTGATATTCACATCCACCTGCCAACCTCGCGGTACGATATATCCCATTCATAGGGTGTGGTATTGTAAACCACTTTCTCAGACTTTCGCAAAGTTTGTATTAAACTTCAAAATAAGGGGGAAGTGAAACTGACATCAACACCGATATAGTCGGAGTTGGATCGGATAGTGATCTTGCAGTTCTTCGGCCAGTCGCCTATGCTGGTGGCTTTGATTTCCCACTGTAAAGGCCATGAGAACTGGATGGTAGTGCAACGAGTTACCTGCTCAGTAACTTACCTCGATGCGTGGCTCAGCCGCAGCCTCATGACGGCCAGCGATGATGAAATCATGAAAACGAAGCCCGACCTTTTGCTCGGGATAGGCGACATTCTGGATGCGGTATACTCCATCCCATGGAACTACGAAGCTCATGATAGTGATTTGAAGTCAAAGGCTTTCGAGAAAGATGGGGATGCACTCTGCGATGACATCGCGGTACGATATATTCCATTCATAGGGTGTGGTATTGTAAACCACTTTCTCGGACTTTCGCAAAGTTTGTATTAAACTTCAAAATAAGGGGGAAGTGAAACCGACATCAGCACCGATGTAGTCGGAGTTGGATCAGTCTAAAGTGATCTTGCAGTTCTTCGGCCAGTCGCCTATGCTGGTAGCTTTGATTTCCCACTGCAAAGGCCATGAGAACTGAGTACTGAACGGTAGTGCAACGAGATATCTGTTCAAGAACTTACCGCGATGCGTGGCTCAGCCGACTCCTCGTGACGGCCAATTATAAAAACGAAGTCCTATCTTTTGCTCAGCCTCCATCTATGGAACCACGAAACTCACGGTAGTGATTTGAAGTGAAAGGCTTTCAAGAAGGATGGGGATGCACTCTGTGATGATAATCTGAACCTTTTATGCTGCACTTTATCCGAGTTCCGGTCAGAGTGCTTGCGAGTTAGCTGCCATCCATTCCTGAAGCCCAAGGAGTATCAGATGATCTGACAGCTTGCATGGAATAATTGCAGAAGTTGAGCGTGGAGTACCCTAGGATGATGTGCTTCCATTACACTTGCTTCCGCAGGTGTAGTAAGAATTTATCGAACTTGCCCTGGGATTACTTAGAAGTGCTGGTCAGGAGCAGGCCATTCCTGGAGGAGCCTATCAGGTGAGCTGACAGCTTGCATGGAAGAATAGATACTTGCGTAGATCGCGCGAATAGCACCGGCCGTCAAATCGCCAATATCATTCGTGCTCGCTATGAGGGTAAAGACAGGTGAGCACAAAATTGGACATCGGTAGCACGACTCACTGGAGTCATTCGTCGTAGGAAACTTCGTAACCGAGACCTGCCAGTCAGCAGTTTAACACAGCAGAAGAATCATAGGTATGCGCGAGGGCTCTGATCAGCGCTCAACTTACATAAGATTGACCGGGAAATATGCTTACCGAGCAGAATTATATAATGTGTTCAGGGACTTGTCTTCGGTTGAGAGCCGATCTACTTTGGAATGTTAACAGGCATTACTTTTGGTATGATCAGGACCACGAGGCCCCTAAGCAGCCTTTTCTTCGACCTGCCCAGCTTCCTGAAACCGCTGACCGGCAGGTTTCGGTTACTATGATATGATCAGTGTGTACGAAGTTTCTTACGACGGATGAATCCAGTGGGTCGTACTGCCAATGCCCAGTTTTGCGCTCACTTGTCTTTGCTTTCACTGGCATAGCGAGCACGAATGATGTTGGTGGATTGACGCCGGTGCTATTCGCGCGATTCACGCAAGTATTCATTGTTCCACGCAAGTTGTCAGTTCACCTGATAGACTCCATCAGGAATGGCCTGCACCTGACTAGAACTTTTAACTAATTCTAGGGCAAGTTCGATAAATTCTTACTACACCTGCGGAAGCAAGTGTAATGGAAGCACATCGTCCTAGGCTATTATTCGCTCAACTTCCGCAATTATTCCATGCAAGCTGTCAGATCATCTGATACTCCTCGGGTTCAGGAATGGATGGCAGCTAACTCGCCTGCAATCCAACCGGAACCCGGACAAAGTGCAGCATAAAAGGTTCAGATTATCATCACAGAGTGCATCCCATCCTTCTTGAAAGCCTTTCACTTCAAATCACTACCATGAGTTTCGTGGTTCCATGGGATGGAGGCTGAGCAAAAGACAGGACTTCGTTTTTATAATTGGCCGTCACGAGGATTCGGCTGAGCCACGCATCGAGGTAAGTTGTTGAACAGATATCTCGTTGCACTACCGTTCAGTTCTCATGGCCTTTGCAGTGGGAAATCAAAGCTACCAGCATAGGCGACTGGCCGAAGAACTGCAAGATCACTTTAGACTGATCCAACTCCGACTACATCGGTGCTGATGTCGGTTTCACTTCCCCCTTATTTTGAAGTTTAATACAACTTGCGAAAGTCCGAGAAAGTGGTTTACAATACCACACCCTATGAATGGAATATATCGTACCGCGATGTCGGCAGGTGCATGTGAGTATGACATATATCACGCGTCTTCAGGGAGTAACCTGGCTCTTCTCTTCAGCATCCTGGCCAATTCAGGCTTGTTGATGTAGCCTACTTGCTCAATGGTGATGACGGAGCAGAGGTACGACACTTTATTTTGCGCTGTTGAATAACCTCTTACTGTCTCTTAATTAGGTCCAACTCACGCAGGATGGCGCGGGTGCGATATCATACTGGGGGTTCATTCCTATCAGGCCCCCCTCAAACTGATTGGGTGCGATGCACTGAGATAGTGCTGATGTAGTTTCTGTGTTGGTGGTTAACGTGTACGTTAGTTGTGGAATTCAAGCGCTCATGCGAGCGGGCAATGAAAGGCAACGAGTAAAATCTAATGAATGATTTGTTAGGACCAGTGCTACTTAGGCAAGCGCTAAGCGCTAAGGTTTCAACACCCGGACCGAACGGGGATGGATCCAGCGCTCCACAGCACCACTGACATGAGAGTGCATTATATTCATGGCAACCGCCTCACACGTCAACTATGATAATCATAAGCTAGCATCGATGTCGTCATCATCTGCAGGCATCATGATAAGATGCGGGGTGAGAAGTTATTCATATCTTGTTCAGATCCGTATTTTGTGGCGCGAGAAGCATAAACGTGCCTGCTGCACGTTGGTGCCGCAGTCAGATTTGGAACAAAAAGACATCTGTCCCAGGGAGGATTCGAACTTCCGGCTTCGCAGATTGGAGTGGCCACAATGCGATGATTTAACCACTAATCGACAAGGACCTTGGCCAGTGGCCACCATCGATGTATCAAGAGGATGGGAGCGACAAGAAGCGCCAATTTGGGAGTCCTCGGGGTATTTAAATTTATTCAGACTCCTAGCTCCGTCCCGAACCTAGCCAGAGTAAAGCAGGGGAAATCCAAGGAGAGTCGTATGCGTCACGGGCAGAGTCTCAGGTTATTTGGGGGCAATTGTGCCGGCATAACCGTGCGCAGACGTGGCGAATCATTCTGCCACTTTTGCCACTTGGCAAATTTTTCAAAGCGTTACGCGTATGATAATGTAGGGTAAGTATCGCCACCAGGCCGCCAGCATCAGGGCATCCACATGCCACTGTCCATCATCATGCGAGGTGTGATCTACTATCATGATCTCGTCATCGACAGATGTTGGTAATCCCTTGATCCACCGTGACTGTCTTGCCTTCCAAAACTTCAATCCATCAACTGACGGTTCTTCCACAGTTTTTTCTCTTGTTCCAGTAGCGCAAATCCCGCATCGATTTCATTGAGTGATATAGCTTTAGGATCTGCGAGATCATCGTCTGAGGCGGTCCGCCGGTAGACGTGGTGTAATAGCAAATTACTCTCTACGAATGTCTACGTACCGGTACAAGGTTATATACAACTGAAAATGGTACTCTACCAGTACGGTGATACAAATTGCCATGAGTAGCATTGAGAAAGGTTACTGTATGGTCGTATACTTATATGGTGAAGAACTTGGAAGGTTATTAGAAGTTCTTCGCCCGTGATCCCCATTTGACGTCAACCGGGTAGGCTGCCCGGGTTCTGCCCAACTAGTTGGCGGAATGGCAGATTTTGCTCACAACACCAAATTGTCAGTAACCGTTACGGGTGCCTCGCTCAGGGCGTTCGGGCCTCTGCGACTCAGACCGAATTCGAAGTTGCAACGTTGATAATCTGCAATCAAGCGCGATGCATCGAGCAAAGATTGATGTATGAGATTTTGCGAAACCCAAGCTGCTCAAGAGTGTGATGGGTGGACGGTGACCGTAAGGTCGAACCTAGTTGCAAAACTACAAACTTTATAGCTAGTCACTAGTGTGCGAACTTGAAGAAGCAAAGACAAAGAAGGTGTACTGTATGATAGACGACCGTCGACGTCACTGTAGATTTCCAATCAATTCTATGAATACGTGACCCCGTATTTCGGCTCACGAACGTTAACATAACATCATGATGTGACAAGAGGCTGCATAAAATCGGCTAGGAAACGAGGATCGCGATATATGCGTACTTCCTTCCACGGCTGTCTCTCTCGTCGGAGCTTCAGGCATCCTTGAGATATTTGCGCGAATGGTTGCAGATATCGCATCGCTCCATACTCCGTAAATGGTCGTTACATAATATTCACAATAAAATCCCATTACAAGACATAACTGCCACCAGTGGAGTCACCACATCAGGAATATTCCTTTGCTCACTCACAATCTCCCTCAAAACCTCTGCTACAATGAGGAAAACATCATACGCAGCGACCTTTGCCGCTGTTCTCATTATCCTTGTCATCGTAGGTTGTTCAAGTCCCATTTGATGAACTACACTCATCCAGGGGTTTCCAGAATATTTTATCTTCACGTCTCCCGGACTGGTTCGCCCAGAGAACGTTTTAACCACCAAATGCCCGCCTGACATTATTATCTTTGAAGGCTTATTGCTAAATATGAAATCCCAAACGCTCAAGTCACCGTTCGCTATGGGTTAATGAAACGATGCGAGCGTTCCACCATTAGCTTTCCTGGTCCCGGCAAAGACGGACATCTAGAATACACCGAGTACGAATGCCGCCAGTTTCCGCTCCGTGTAAAGGACAAATGCGACGACGAAAACCGCCTGTTCTGTGCTCTGTGGACTTCTGCTCAATACTTCAGCGAGCTCGCCATCGGTTTTGCAGGAATGGGTCTGATCGCTTTGCTCATTGGTGTGAGCACGCACTCGAGGAGGAGAAGGGTCTGGAGAGCCGTGGCGGGGCTAGTCATATTACACGGTCAGTCTCTATGAAGCGCATGACGTCACGAGTATTCATCATATTCCGCAGCCGTGTTCCAACTTGTGACGTTCATCCTCGTTACCGAGCTGTATCGCAAGGACCGTTTCCCGGCCTTTGAGCACGCCAAGCCTGGTCAGTTTTATGGTGCCTTCTCGTCTTGTTGGCTCTAATATGTTCTTCAAAGGTGTTGGCTATGTCTTAAATGCTGTTTCTTGGGTTTCAGGGTTGATCGTTGGGGCTGGCGTCATTGTAACCGGTGTGGCTGCGGACCGCGGCCATAAGTGGGCTGCTGGTAATAGATCATATACACCCATCGAGGGTTATCGTCAACGTTACAGGTCATACACACCCGTTCAAAGTTATGGTTCAAATGCATAGTTCCCTTCTTCCTCTCTACAAGCACACGCTCGGTCTCGGTTTTTCTTGTACCATATTTTGGATACCTTTGCACTTGACACACGCACGGATTTTGTAAATATGTTAATTGAAGTCGCCCTCCCACTTGTTCATAAAGGCCTGATCTGAGCAAGATGTATGCAAGCTAAAATACCAAACATCAGTTGTGCGGATATAACATAGCCCCTCTTCAGCCCTCTTCGGGATAATCTACCTGATCATATAGCCTCAACGTTTCATTCCAGTCCCTCTTCCGCCTCCTTCTGACAGAGAAGTACTTCGCTCCACTGTCCCAGGTGCTTCTTACGCGACCCTTCTGCTTACCCCCACGTTCGACGAAGAACTTCTCGGGATCATCCGGTAACCCCAAAGTCCCCACAGCGAAGTTCATCAATCGCGAATGCAGATCTTGCCTTGTCATTCGTATCTCCTTCAGCGTCTCCTTCCCGACACATAGCAGCCTCGCCAGTGCCATAAATGCGCGGAAAGCAGACACCGCATCTTCCGTCCACCTCAGTGTCATCCACATCATAGCAGGGACGAGAACTGTTGTGATTGCGGCGGAAGGAAGCGTGAAGAGAATACAAGCAGCCCAGACGGATAGACCTGAAAAAAGCCCATACACAAGCTTATATTGCGCGATTTCATCAAAGGTGTCCCAGACTGGTCCAGTTCTCTTGAAATTGCGGACGGCAATGAACGTGGTAATAAATACGGGGGTCCAGAGCACCAGGCCTGGAAGAGAGATCGTGAAGAGACATATGAACCACGTCAGTCGAATAACCATCCGCATGGTAATCGTTCGCAAGGACAGCGGACGCGCAATGCGATCGTCTTTGATACCCCAGTGAACAAGCCGGTCTTGATAAGTCTTTAGACGGTAATTTAGAAACTGGTACATCCGTTAAAAGATGTATTACCTTGAGGTCACGCCGCAGTTGGTTGAGCTCAATGTCCTCCTTGGTGAATTCGATAGACTGATCCTCAGCAGCACGTTTGCCCTTTTGAGTGTCGTCGGAAGCTTTGAACGCCTCGACAAACGTTCTAGTGATTCGCACATAATCTCCTAGGCTCATACGTGTCCCAAGAGGTGCATATATACGCGTCGCCATCTTTGCGGATCTCACAAATTCCCAAGATGGCGAGTCAATCGCCCGGGAACTAATTTGTTGCTGCATCCGTGTAGTCAGAGCCCGAATTTCCTCCTGCTGTACAGGAGCGAGGAGCTCTGGATTGTCCTGGACCACAGGAAACTAAATGAAGTGCTTTATACAGATGTATATGCACCCACCTTGGGAGTGAACGTCATCGGGGTATTGAATGTCACCAGTACATCTGATCTGAAATGTTGTCGATGCCTAAAATGTCACTCGGTCGGTAACCAGGTAGACAAATGAGGGTAGTTCCTTACATGTAAGTGATTGAGCACGTTAGAATGGATATGGAAAAGTCTGGATCATCACGATTACGACTCAGGACATCCGAAACAAGACGCGCCACTAAAAGATAGGTGAAGAAGACATCAGCAGGTACAAATCAGTCGACAAACCTCCTGTCTTAAGGGGGGCAATAGTGGGATGGTAGCGACTTGCCCCCTCCGGAAATAAACAAACTGCATCTCCAAGTTCGAGTGCCTGTTAGATTTAATTGAACTTTCAGATGCCCTATATATACTAGTGGGCGCATCTTACGTCCATTAGCTTATTCATAACTTGACTGTTATCCACATCGCTGTTATTATGATCTTTGCGCCGTTTAATGGGCACAGTGCCTGCGGATTCAATCAGCCAACTGGTAAATGTCCGTTGGCCGAATTGGGTGGATTTTGCTGTGAGCCGCAGCATATTACGCGTCTACACGGCAACGAATTAAGTAGTGATGCCAGGTTCAAGGTCGTGGTTGCTTACTCTGGACGGCATAGAGGTTACCAAAAGACTAACGTATACAGACCATGAGTTAAGACGCTTGGTCAAGGTAGATGTATTCTCACAGTGCATCCGTCAGGGAATTAGGATGGTTGGCGCAGACAATGCTGAGTCGCAAAACCATTTAGCTGACGGAGAATAACCTGACTGGAGACGGACCATGGTTGCCCGGTCTTCGGTATAAGTTCAGCATTCTCAACGACAATGGTCCCATAGAATATCTTCAGCACAAACTTGAAGAGCAACCTAACACCACCGTTCCGAGTCAAATTGTGTCGAGATTGGTACGTCGCTGACCTCACCGAACTAAGATGTAAGACCAGGGCGTAGTTGAACCCTTGGGCATATTTATACGGGTCTCGTCGTGAAGGTCGTGAACATGAACTGTCGTGTGTTTATGGGAGGAAAGACTCGGAAAGGGTCTACCCTGCACTTACTAAAGTTTAGTCAAAGTAGTCTTGAGTATTACATAATCGAAAATTTTGATCAATGCCGCATGTCAGTAGTAGGACAGTCATTTACAAGTGATCTATAGGTGATCGTCATGGAGGAGGCATTGGCCAAAATACGGCCTCACACTACCTCAAATCTTGCCCACCAGAAAGCACCAGCAAACCTACTTCAGGCTTTAGAATCTACGTTTCAGGAAAAGCATACGGACAGGACACCTACCGCTTATTTTGCTGCATTGATCACAACTCTCGATGGAAGCATTCAAAAGAAGGAGACTTCACTTGGAGACGGAGACGTACTACCCGCAGAACTGTATCTTCTTGCTCTAGTGGCTCCCTTCGTCCCCCCGCCAGTTATCCAGACCAATCTCAATACACTTCTCTCTCTGACCGCACCACTTTTTCCTGCCTTGATGGCACATGCTCCTCCACTGAGGTCACAGTTGACTCTGTACAATGCTGTGTTCAGAGCCCTTGACAAATCGCAACTGGACGTTTCTGCAGTCCGCCAATCATTTGCATCTATACTGCAATTATGTTTGGATCCGCGACCAAAAGTGCGCAAGAAAGCAGCTGACATTGTGAAAGACGTTCTTTCCTTCCCACCGAGTCCTTTAATTCGGCATCCCTATGCTCAGCGGGTGGCTGAATGGGCTCATATTGCGCTTCAGCAAGCAAGCTCTGGCGCCCTACCAAAATCAAAATCATCTGGAAAAGGGTCCGATACCTCAGCTGCAGAGACAGCTATTCATCTCCTTGCATTCTTGCGCCCAGTACTTCCGCATCTTCCTCTTGATGTATGTTAAATTAGCTTTGAATCACCGTATGCTAACACAAATATTCGCAAAGGCTATTCCACCCATCACCACTACGCTCTTGACCCTTCCACGATTAGGAAATCCATACCTCTCCCAGGCTGCATACTCGATTCTTTCCGATCTTTTTACTGCATCTACTACGACCGGCACTGCCAGTGCAATTGAACAAATTCCGGCCGTTCTGAATGCCGTCCTGGAATCTCCGCCACCAAAAGCCGATAATTCCATCTCTCCATCTTGGATTCGTGTTCTAGGAGATGCAATGTTTGCTTATCATGTTGCGGACGCATCGGCCTGTGCTGCTGAGTTTAACAAAGTGTGGAAAACGGTGTGGTCGTACTTTGAGACGAAGCACCCACAAACTCGTAAAGCTGTTGCGGAATCTCTGGCTTCACTGACACGGTGCATCACGTCTTCTATCGTGAAAGACTCCATTTCGGACGGCGAAGCTGGCAAATCGCCCCTGCGAAGCATCATCTCGCAAATAACGAAAGCCCTCGACTCCCTGGCCTTTGCATCTGCTATGCAGGAGCTGCTCTCGGTTATTTCAGCTCTGGTCTCAAATTTGGGCGTTCGTGTGGACCCTGCGAAGTCTACTACTGCTACAGAGGCTTTACTCATGCCTCTAGTGTCGAAAATCGCCGATCTGCGGGTCCAAAAAGGCTTTGAGCACAAGGAAGCCGCTGATGCTGTGCTCTCAACCGCTATGCGAGTAGTGGGTCCCGCTGTGTTTCTTGCAGCTATTCCTCTGAATCTAGAGCCCTCGGACCGGTGAGTCATTTTGAAACGGGGAAAAGGACTGGAGCTGAATATTCATTTGTAGTCAAGCAGGCAAGGAACCACGCGCGTTCCTTTTGCCTATGCTCAACCAACCCCACCCATCGCTCCTTGGCCATTTTGTCTCATATTTCGTGCCCATGAGCGAGCGGATGTTCAATTTGCAGCAAAAGGCCGATAGCGAAGGAAGGCAATCAGAGGCGAAAGTATGGAGTGTGCTTGTCGCTCAGATATGGACTGGATTTGCGGGCTATTGCCACGCACCTTCTGACATCAAGACAGTACGTACGGCGCTCGTATGAAGGCTGTTATATTGATGAATATCATTTTAGGCCCTTACACCGGCATTCTCGCAACTCCTTTCTCAGCTACTTTACGGCCAACCTGATCTTAGGCCACCTGTACTAAGGGGCCTGAAGGCTTTGATAGAGTCCAACAAGATTATCGCATCCCAGGTCGACACAGACATGGGAGAGTCCTCGACAACTGATAATGCAATTACTCCCGAACAAGCTTCCAAGAACCTTGTTTTCCTCAAGACACAAGTAGAGAGCTGGTTTGCTGTCTTCTTCAACGTCTTCGGTAGCGTGGACAGGGATAATCGTGGCATGGTGGGCGACGTCATCGGTGTTTGGGCTGGACTCGCAGAGAAGCAAGACATTGCAAAAGCCTATCGCAAAGTCGCCGACCTTTTCCGTCAAAGCCTCCAACAATCAGACAACGGGAATACCACTGCAATGACGCAAGACCTTCTAATCCTCCTCATTCCCTTCCTTGACGCGCAAGACGTCGCCGCTCTGTTCTCGACATGCCTCGCGCAGGAGGTGCTATGCCACAAGGATAACGGCTGTACAAAAGCGTGGTTACAAGATTCTAGCGAAGCTTCTGGAGAAGGGCAAAGTAGAAGAGGATGCGCTCCAGACTTTCCAACGTCTGGATGAGCTTTCTGTTGGGCTTGCACCTGCTGCAAAGAAAGATCGGTTCATCTTGCTCTCTCTACTGATACTTCGGGTACCTAGCGAGTCCTTGCACATCATTCCTTCGCTTATCCCAGAAGCTGTCTTGGGTACGAAGGAGCCATCAGAGAAAGCCCGGTCAGCAGCTTTCGAGCTCATTGTTGCTATGGGTCAAAAGATGAGCCAGGGTGGTGTAGTGAAGAGGAGCATGGTGGATGGAATGGATGAGGATGGCGCCGAAGGTGAGTCATGGTTGTACTGCAAATCTCAGCTATTGACATACTCTTTGCAGCACAAGCAAGCATTAACGAGTACATGACCATGGTTGCAGGAGGCTTAGCAGGAGCTTCACCACACATGATCAGTGCCACCGTAACCGCCGTCTCCCGTCTCGTTTTTGAGTTCAGGGGTATGTAAGTTGACGTCGTGACCGCAACCTATCTAACGATTTGGGTAGAATCCATCGATACCCAGATGCAGACAGAGGTCTTCACGACTCTTCTCGTTTTCCTCTCCTCTGCCAACCGTGAAATCATCAAATCTACGCTCGGCTACATCAAGCTTGCGATTCATACTTTGCCTACTGAATTGCTACGACCACATCTAAAAGAACTCGTCCCTGCACTCCTCGCCTGGTCTCATGATCACAAGAACCACTTCAAGGCAAAGGTCCGCCATATCTTCGAGCGGATGATCAGGAGGTTTGGGTGGAATGACGTGTATCAAGCGGCAGGTGAGGATCAGGCCGCGAAGGTGTTGGTGAACATCAAGAAAAGGAAGGAAAGAGCTAAAAGGAAGAGAGCTCGAGAGGATGAAGACGAAGAAGACGAAGAGGCTGGTTTTCCTGGGTGTCTATCATTTACTATTGCTGATGACCTTATTCAGGCGACTAAAGGAAAGGTTCCTACAGGCGATGCCTTTGAGGACGTCTTGTATGGCAGTGAAAGCGAGTTGGACGACAGCGACGAAGATGAGCAGGTATCTCGACCCGTTGCGGGACCGAAACGGAAGGGAGTTGAACAGGGAGTGCGTCTACGAGTGGATGATGATGAACCGATGGACCTCTTGCAGGGTGTTGCATCACGATTGACCAGTAGGTGTGCATCATGTGCTTGCATCCACATCGTTTACCTCTTTACAGACGCCCAAGCCAACCGACGCCGCAAGCCGGGTCAAGATGCAGGTCACTTCAAAACTGACACTGACACTGGAAAGATTGTTATCAACGAGGACGAGGAGTCTGACATCGAAGTCAGCTCTCGGAAGGCTGCCAAAGACGTTGCTGGCAGTGCATATCGGGAGAGTATGACCTCAGTGGATGGCTTTACCCGCGGTCCCAATGGGCGCATCAAGTTCAATAAAGATACTAAAAAGAGACGCCGCGAAAATGAGGACGAAGATGGAGATGTTGAGATGGCTGATGGTGCTGCCACTGCTACGAAGAAAAACAAGCGACCCACAGAGCCAAAACTGGGTCACGAGTTCAAGGCAAAGGTTGGTGGTCTGCTGTGTTTGTGCTCACATGATCTGATGCTCTATTGCAGAAAGCTGGTGGTGACGTCAAGAAAGGCGGCGTGGATCCGTATGCTTACATGTCGTTGTCTCAAGCCGCGAAGAAAAAAGGCCGAAACCGTACTGGCATTGCTGGAAAACGTTGATAAGTTCAGCGCAGATTACCAAAAAGCGCGTGTAGATTTGTACTCGGATCATTGCTTGATTGTTTTTTTCAACATCTGCACCAGGCTGTAGAATACACTTGTCAACCGTACAATGTTTGATCATGAGGAGTACCGAAAAGACCATGACCCCAACTACTAGGCTGCTTCCAGTTAGGAACCTCTACTTGCAACACCTTGGATACCACAGCTGCCATGAGCTGGGCGTCCGCTCTGTTGTCCCCCTCCATGACATATTGCAACAGACATACAGTCGGGATTTGCCATGTGTCGGAAAGTGAGGAGAGCATTCGACGAGATAACCCACCGCCTGGTATGAAAGGTATAGTTGTCCTTTCTGCATCTGTATGCAGGAACTGGGAGACTGGTGAAGTGTAGACGGGTATTGGCAGAGTTGTGAGGGCGGCCAATGGACCAGAAGTCAGATCAGGTGTTCCAGGCGGGACGATCTGACAAGTAGGTGTCCTAGAATCATTGGAAGAACATCAATTCACAGCTAAGACATCGAATCATTGCAACTCAACAGCATCTGAGGATCAGTCCTGTTGGACATATCTACTCCGCCAATGAAAAGGACACCTGAAGCTCCTGAGGTACGGATGAATTCCAACAAGGAGTCGACAAAATCTTGCTTAGAGGACTGGTAGAATGCAGGATAAGCACGGTGAAAATCACGTCTGAGTGACGGCTTTACTACCTTTAATGCGGGAGAACGTTGCTGTATGACTGCGACATTAACATCATCGCGGCCAAAAACTAGCCTATTTGTTAGCCCAGACTCTGGCAACACATGTACTAGGACATACGCTCGAGTGGTGTTGTGACGCCAGGAAGATCGTCTTCACGTGCTCCGACGACAGGAACTAAGCTCCTAGGGTCGAATATGCCTACGCGATGCAAGGAAAGTGAAGCGATCAGGAGATCAGCCGCGAGCTGTGCAACGTTCGCGACAGAAACAACTGGCTGCCTTGGAGAGTTTGTCTTCAGTGAGCTGTCTTGAATCGGATATCGGCATACGCACAACGACGAGGACTTTGCCCTTTATACTGAAATGAGCAGTCGGGTTATAGAATGTCATGGCCTGCGAGGTTGCACAGTGAAAAAGTTCAATAGTAAAAGCTGAGTACTGAGTACTTGTACGCGTCGATTTGGTTCTTATGTGCGATTACGGTTGGTGACCTACATATGACTTGCAAAACTGGACTCGGCCACGCGTACTACCTGCGCCTCCGCAACCAGGAATTTATTTCCTTATTTGCACCGGTTGAAACTTGATGGTAGTATTACCTTCATCGTTTCTCTATTTACTACATGCATATGCAGGGACTCCCGGCCCGCCTATAAAGAAGGGACGACTGTCTACCTTCTAGTCTGCATAGGAGAGACTATGTCTGCTTGCCATCAGTCACTCATGAGCTTCAGTTTCAGACAGAACCAATGCCAACCGCTGCGGTGGTGTGTGTATCGCTTTGTGGGATATTTTGAAGGTGCGGTTTACATTATGAGCAATGATCCAGTAGAAGTTTAGCATCTTACTTGCTGTCAACAATTTTGATGGAGTGGCATCCGCAAATCATGTATGAGGGGGGTGCAGGATAGTGTGTGCCATGGTGGGCGTACTACGTGGTTGTAGTGCAGAAACCTCTGGTGGGAAATCAGAACTGCCCAAGAGCAAGACATGATATAATGGGCTAACTCGATATAAGGTAGATGGATGTGTATCAGCGAGGATAAAACAACCTCTCAGAGCGAAAAAGGCCCAAGGGCCTGAACACGCTAATCCCAACGAGAAAAACCCCACCATAAAAAAAGGAAAACACAAATATGCATCAAACCGTCAACATACGCCCTCCAGAAAATGTGCAGGACCGATATCATCTTGATCAATACCCAGTCAGAAGTATTGGGGAGGAGCTCGTCGTCTATTTCAGCCATGTAGACTAGTCAATACACCGAGCGAAGTAGACTTTGCCATGGAACTAAAATCAGATATATATAAAAAGACAAGACATACACAATTTCGCCTCTAAGAAGGTACGGGACATACACCGGGAGTGCGGCGGAGACAGCAGAAGGTGACAGGAGCTACTTATTCTCAGGGAAGCCAGCGGGAGGAACGGAGAAAGAGATACTGAAGATAGATGCATATGGGACTCAGAGGCCAGGAAAGGCAGCAGGAGGCGTTTGAAGGTGGCGGTATGTGGTGATAATGCACTTTGTGACACTGTTGGAAAGCTGAGACTGTAGCAGGTGCACAAGGCAACATGAAGTGGCCTGTGGATGTAAGGTGAGAGTAGATGTTGGAAGACCGCGGAAAGTTGTGGTTGTGGTTGATTACAGGAATAAAATCTGCAAAGGCCCTCACCAGCTATGCGGAAGAAAAAACAAAATGCACCTGCAGAAGACTTAAACAGCAATTTCCTTCTCCGGTAAGCCAAGTCCCGCTTCAGCGTTTCCGTCGTGCTTGGCTGAATTAGAAGCTTGGAACCAGTCGCTTGAGAGCCTGAGAGTGATTGTCAAACATCCAGGAAAAAAAGGACACTTTCACTTTAATCATATAGTAAAGAGAAGAAACCATAATATCTCTTTGGTAGTATATCGGATAGTACACCCGCCTGTCATGTAAGAAACACGACCGCGGGAGAGCGGGGTTCGACTCCCCGCCAGAGAGTTATTTTTATTTATTTTTCACTTGCCTATCACGATGGTTCTGTCGGACTTGTCCGAGTCACCCATCTTTCTTTCTTGATCCCATCGACCTCACTCTCATTTTCACATCACGTACACATTCACCATGTCAGCGTTAACGAACCTCCTACGAGCAACATGGAACAGAAAGTACGCTGAATCCAACACCGAGTGACATCGATGCAAGTTTGAGCAAGAAATCACAATATTATATAGAGAGAACAGCTATCTTCATTCGTCTATGGCCTGTCTAAAGGACACCAAGCAAAACTGGCCGAGGTTTAGACTGAAACACGACTTTGCACCTTAGAAAGAATGGGCTGCTGTGAGCTGTGATCTCCGAAAGATTAAAAGTGAAAGGACGCAACTAGTTCTGGCAGGAAGCTGAGTTACTATGTGCGGGAGGAGAGGCTGAGTGTCGACGACCTCTGCCCCTTCGGCGACGACGCCCGGATGAACGTCTCGGGCGCTGGGTATGATGAGTGGATGAATGATCATCCGACTTATCTCTGGAGTGCAAAGATTGAAGGCGCTGCAGGCACGGTCCACACATTGAAGAAGGGGAGTACACACCACGCAAACACAGAGTGCGCGGGGCAGTCACAAAGTCAAGGAAAATGTGTCAGCGAAGGATGATCGAAGCAAATATTAAAGCAAACCTGTATGTCGTATTCATCATCACGGCGGCGGCGGTCTTCCCACCAGCTCTCGCGAAAAGTCATCGTAATCTCTTGGTGATCTAGAATAGAAATGTCCCATGCCCCGTCGGTGAGGGGAATGGCTTTGTGCCACGCCCGCCGCTGCTTATCCTGGTAAACGAGCAATGCGCGCTCTTCAAGAGGGTCGGTGGAATTCCAGTACTGATGACACATTATCGCTTGCCAGAAAGCTGTAAGCATCTGGATACGCTGGGCTGCCCAACCACATTGTTGGAACAACTCGAGTGCGCGAGGGACAGCCTGAGCGAATTCCATGATGGTGAGGCTATGGTCGGGAATGACGCTAGCATCATGAGCGGCACCCGCTGTAGTAAAGCTCCCAGGGCTTGCAGAACGCCCCATCCCTTCGTCGGCGGCGGTGGGATAATTTAATCGTGGATCTGCCCGGAGACCCCTACCAGTCCAGTAGTAAAGTTCCACATACTGGCCTTCAACGACCCTTTGGAAGGCAAAATCAGAAATGAGGACGTGGTGTATATTGTACGGGCGCGGACGGTCGGGAATGGGAATGTATTTGAGAGGATTTCGCTTCCGATCTTCCTCGAGAAGCGAGGCTTGGAGTTGACACTTGATCTCTTCGTGGAAGAGGCCCTGCTGTTTCGTGACGGCGGCTTGGTCTTCCTGAAGTTGCCGCTGCCACTGGACTTTACGGGTATTGTTGGTAACTGCCCACACAGCCTGCAAAATTTCGACAACTTGAGCGTTGTCGTTGTTCTGATTAACAAATCGAGCGCGGATAGCTTGATAAATGTTGGAGGGAAAGTCCGGACAGGGTTCTAAACCTGGATCAGATGCCAGTCTATTCATAGTGGAACAAGGAGGTTGGCTGGAGCTGCTGTAAATACTAAGTACTGTAAGATTTTTGTCAAGTAGAGTCGAGAGCTCGGTGTCAATTGGGACGTTATGCATTTCGTACACATGCATAGCCTGCGCGCGCTTACGCAGTCTATATGTAGTACGCACCTTAAAGACGACTTGGACTGGTGGGCGCTCGACTTCCTTGACTCTGAACCAACGCACACCCTCAGCTTACAACAGGTGATTCTTGTGAGTAATGAATATTAAGGCTCCTCTACAAGGCAAAGCTGACTTCTGACTTACCAGAGCTTGTGACTTACCAGCCACGTCCAATTTCCGAAAAGATCTCTTGCGAATTCTCGACGAAGGCAGTCAAAAATATGCACACGGCTCGTCACCTCACCAGCAATCTTTTGTCATTACCGGATAGCTTGTCGAAGTTCAAAGTTCAACTCGGCAGACTTATCTCAAATTCCTTTCTGCCAATGGGGGACTCCGATGCGTCGATCACGTATTCCTCCACCGCTGAGATGCAAAGTATACCAGCGATCACGCTGCGAGGCCATACCAGCCGAGTACGGTGTGTCGTGCACCTGCCAGGCGGACACCGCATCATCACATCTTCGTTAGACAGCTCACTCCGGCTATGGGATCTGAAGAGCAGCGCGCAGATTGGCGACGACTGGAGAGACGAGGGGGACAATGCAGGAGTGTACACTATAGCATTGTCTCCAGACGGCAACACTGTCGCTAGCGGAAGCGATGATGGAAAAGTAAGGCTGTGGGATATTAAGACGGGAAAGGTTATCACTAAATGGACAGGGCACACTAAGGATGTGTGGTCAGTTTGCTGGAATGCAAATGGTAAGCGAGTTTTGAGTGGATCTGCGGACGGGACAGCAAGAGTGTGGCATGTCAAGAGCGGCAAAACTGTCCTGATAATCAATACCCGGCACCAGTGGGTGGGGAGCGTGATGTACTCGCCCAACTCGAAAAGAATTGCAACAGGTGGATACGACGACACTGGTGTAAAAATCTGGAATAGCAAGACGGGCAAGTTGATATTCACAGTCCCACACACTTGGCCAGTTTACTGCTTGGCATGGACATCGGATGGAAAGAAAATTATATCTGCGTCATATGACCTGATCATAATATTCGACACCGCCACTTCGCAGCAGATTGCCGCACTCCGTGGTCACAAACACTTGATCCGCTTCATCACATTGTCTCCAGATAACCGTCTCCTCGCGAGTGCATCATGGGATAGAACAGTACGTTTGTGGAATCTCGACACGAACGTTTCACTCGGACCACCCATCCAGCATGATAGTTTTGTGGAGTGCGCAGCTTTTTCTGCCGACGGAAAGCTGCTAGTCACTGGGTGCGAGGACAGCAACGCGTACGTGCGTGATATTCAAGACATCCTCAAAGAAGCTGAAGACTCACTATCCGATACTAATGTGGGTGTCAGCGTGTTACCTACTCACTCTTGTTGACAATCTCCTTGTTAGGATGGACTCGTACTGGAGGCGTCATCCAATGACGCCCCGGGAACGGAGCACACACCCCACCCCTCGCAGGACATAGACGACAGGTCATTTTTGGACGTATGTGACGTATTTCGTGAAATTGCTGACTTATTATAACATTAACTTACCAGGTTGATGCTACCCGGGGTGTCGATGAACTCCCACCAGCATTTTTCGACGGCATGCAATCCGACATTCATGTGCGTCATTTGCATGTCTATTAATTAGCTCTTATCTAGACCTCCGTGCTCTCGTCTTCCGCAAAGGATGGCGCCCAACCTCATTCCTCTTCCAGTGCATTCAGCCGCCTTTCCTCGTTCCTTCACCGTTTTCTACCTGACAGTGATGATGCGATTAAACCTCCGCAACCACCAAGACCTTCAGGGTTACATCTACGCGTGATCATCGTTCGCCTGTCCTCACTCATCCACCGTTCTCCGTTCGATGATGATGCAGAAAAAGAATTTCAGCAACCCCCCCACGCCCTCTGAGTCACGTCCCCATGCGCTCCTTGGTCGTCTGTCCTCACTTTTACCTCACTCTTGGCTCAACACCGACCCAGCAACTGAACCTCCACAACCCACAACGCCTTCTGGTTCACGTTCGGATATACACATCGGCCGCCTATCCTCACTCTTCCGCTCTCCGCCTGCTACCAATGAACAAATCGAACCACCAGTATGCCCAAGGCAAACCATTTCCTCTCGTCGTAGTCCTCATGTTGTCGAAGTAGCTGCAATGCGGGACAAGCAGGAATGTCTTTCTTCATTGTGCTTCAATTGCTAGAGTCTGATGATTCTATGCAGGCATTATATGTTGCTCCGCGACCGGAACGAGATCGTTCCCGCGCCCGGCTTGCTGGAACTTCTGCAACAACCGTGCAGTCACCACCTCTCTCATTATGGACTCATCTCGTGCTTTTTCTCTGTTGTGCATCTCAACAGGCGGACCAAACGCAGCAGCAACTGCATGATCAAGTCCGAGCCCAGGCGTCATCGCATCCTCAGCCTCCTGCCACTTCGACGTCCACGACACGGACGCCTACTGCACTTGATACGAGTACTAACGCGCCAGGTGTCGCAAATGCACAGTCACGACGTGTTCCATTACGGGCTCGTTTCGTACTTTTTCTTTGCTGTGTATCTCCTACACATGATGATGGCCATCGATAGTAATGCCCGGTATATATACAGCTATTAATCATTGCATTTAGTTCTCTGAATAGAGTTCCGATGAGAATCGCATATGATTTCACACAAACTAAAGAACGAACAGGATATCTAACTACTTGGATACTGTGAGGTGTCTGGCAAGTAGGAAATGGCGCTATGATTAGGAAAAGGGACAAAGGGTTACGGTGAATGAGCGAGGAACGTGAATGATGTTGAAAGTACGCAGTAATTAGTCAAAAGGGTGATGTGATTCTATCGAAGGTTTCCAGTTCGAGAGAGGTACCGTAGATACGGCCGGAGCATCCAGTCATGCTGCGGCATAGATTTAGCGGAGCTGAATGAGGCAGATGCCAACGTGCGTGAAGGCCAATTCTGAGATAAGAGTTTCTCCTCAGAGAACGGAGATTAAGGCTATCACATGCAACGTGTACTGCGGGCGCGATGCATTAATGTGCTCAAATACTGATCTAGGAGTGACAACAATTAATCTTCCCTAAGCAGGCCTTGAACTTAATACTTTTGGTGTTAACGCGAATTGGTTTGCTGCGCGAGATCAAGCGCTCCGTCCTTACGTCATGTAGACAAGGAGTCAGATCATACTTAATAGAAGGAAGACAGTCGTTCATGTTCAAAGTGCATACAGGCTGTAGTTACAATCAACAAATCCAATAGACATCACGATATAGGCTCGGTCAAGATAACGTGATCGCAATCTCATGTTACATGAACAAAAAAGTCAAAGTGGAACGTTATCATGCTGCATAGTATCACCTACCACTGTATGTTAGTATTTGAGAATGCCAGGTGTTGGATAGAACGGACCTCCTGAGTTAGTCGAACGCATCAGTGTCTTTAAAGACACATCAGGGAATCGCGGGAGAATGCGACAGGGAAATGTCTCCGGACGACTAAATAAGAGGTCAGCAGACTACTTTCTGGGACAAATGGAATCATTCAAACACTGTGAAACCATTGGTGAACTTCGGAACGACCGGGATCTCCATGCCGTGTTCATCAAGAGCCTTGTGGGCCGAGAAAAACGCCAGGAAATTCGCCATCGCGATCCAAAGTGACGCGTCCACGAGATGCCGTCCCACACTAACAAGCTGCTTTCAACGGAGGGCGAAGGAACGCGAATAGATACTCACCAAATCCGGCGACCCCAGCCGAAGCTTATACGCATAGTATCGCTGTTGAGAGACCCGTCGTCTTCGAAAAATCTTTCCGGTTTGAATTCGTCAGGACTGGGATATTTCGTTGCATCGTGCGTCATTGCCCTAAAAGGATCGTTATTTGGATACATTAAGGATAAGGATAATGAGTGCTTTCCATGCGTTTGGAAATACAACAACACCTAGCAAAGGTCGTCAGCGGCCGTCGTTAGATCAACATGATACAAACCTTTAGGAATGAAATAACCATTGTAGATGTCACTGGTTGTTGTTGCGTGTGGGATGCCTGTAAACATTGTCAGAGGATATTTAGAAATGATGTGTTGTGGACAAACCAAATGGAACCACTGGGTGCCACCTGAGCGTTTCACGTAAAACAGCTTCTAGGTAAGGCAACGCTGGTCTATCGTCGAAATTGGGGAGTCTATCTTTGCCAACAACTCGATCGATCTCCGCCTGCGCTTTGGCTTGTACCTCAGGGTCGAGCACCATAGCAAGCAAAAACACAAGTAATGTGTCAGTGGTCTGAGTCAAGGGCAAACTGATTATGATTGGCAAACGAAGACCAGGAGAAACTCGCCGTATCAGTTGCCGCTGAAAACAAAAAATGGGGATCGAGAAGAAAGAATTTTTCAACTTGCATACCTACGAATGCAACGGAAGCAGTCTCCTTGATTGCAGTTATATTGACGTCGTCTTCTTCACTGGTCCTGTTCAAAGCATCAGCCACCAAGCACGGCCCCATGTCGTTGGCAGACTGTCGGTGGTTCGTTAGTTGGATGTACCTCCATTGATGGGGTGCTTCACCATCCTCTCTTTGACATATTGAAAGGGTATCTCCTTCACATCATGGCCTGCCTGTATACACTTGAGTGATGCTCGCTTAAATGTGGCACCGGGAAACCAGCTAGGTAGCTGCAAAACTAGAAAAATTACTGAGTTACTTTACATGCAATCACTGCATGTGCAAACATACGGAAAGGGAATGTTTCCATTAACATCATAGCAGCTGGTGCGAAACCATCGACTATGAGTTCCCCATACCTTGTAATGGCGTTAGCGACATGATCGTCCTCAACTTTCGCTTCACAGTCATATATTATAGACAACATGAATGTCATAGTAAACCTGGTAAAAATCAGCTTCAGCGCGAGACCAAATAAATTGTCGCAACCGACATCTGAAAATGGTTTGGATAATTTTCAGGGTCCTGTAGAAAACTGAACAACATTTTGTGGGCGGAACGGAGTTGCGCAGCGTGATAAGCAGGTACAGCAGTTTGATGAAATGCCTGATGAAAGATTCGTCGGTGAAGGCGCCACCTGCTTTTTATCAGACATCCATCAACATAATATAGAATAATCTATACCTGTTTCCATATGGCATGAACCCCGTGTTAAAATCTGAAGCGAAGCTGACAACATTTTGGCGATTGATGCGGACCAAGACTCCAAGATGCAACTCACGCTTCATAAACAATTGACTGGGATCTATCTGAATATATGCCGGAACGCCGTTCAAAGAGGTCTTTCGCGACCTCCTCAGAATTAACAACCAGGATAGGCTTGCTGAGGAGACGAGCATAAATAATGTCACCTAAGGAACAAAATGAGTCGTCATGAACAGATACCCGTCACAACGCACCAACCATGTGTGGACCTCCAGGCATTAAAGGTCAGCCAGGGCCGAGCGGAATCAAGACTGAGAATATTTCCCAGTACTGGAAGGGGGGTAGGACCAGGCGGTAGTGGGGGACGAGAATGATCGAGCCTATATTTTCGACAGTAGCTTAACACAGCTACTACCAAGGCTGATATTGCCAAGTAAACTCCAGGACCATCGTTGAGCATCGTTAGATAATACTTGCTGCCCAATGCCAGGTACTCGAGGGAGGAGGATGCATTAAAGTCTAGGTCAACTTGAAGTATATATCGGACTAGGCTCAACTGAGCCAAACAAATGGTGGATCTGCGCATGGGCCATCAGAGATTTCGTGAGTCTCTGATGTGATGCAGGCTGCTGATATCTGTTTCCATTTTGAAATTTGAAGGCCAACAATGCCGTAAAATGAAACGGAGATTGTCATAGTGGTGCCAGTACTAGCTAGTGAGGAGATAAGAGGTAGAACTACGAATGCGGAGCAACACGGCGAACTCACAGACCAGCAACAAAAATGCGCGAGCTTTCCTGTCGCGGGGTATGGCGGTGAGGACGACTAAGCGCGTGTGGGACAGGCGGTACATGCCATCATGGACGTTAACATTAATCACTGCGGAAACGAGAAAATAACTCTACCCTGACTCGATCGACTTTCCGGGTATAACCCGACGTAAAAAGTATGAAGCTTTACCTTTTCCAGACTCAAATTCGACCTGGCGAAATTTTCAACGTTATAGACCTGTGAGATCAATAAATTACAGACCCGTCAGGTTAGAAGTAAACACGTCCAATCAGACCAAATACCAACGTTCGTTTTAGCGCCTATAACTCTAGCCAAACTCGCCCTCTTCATAGACCAATCATACATGACCCGACGCTCGAGTTAACATCAAACGTCTTTGGTGAGTTTTTCGAAAATTTCGCCAAGTCCGTAACTAGTACTCAAGCGCTATGGCAGACAGTACTATTGCTACCTCGGAGACGAGTTTTGCAACAATGGAGTTAAGATTCTGTAATTGTTCACCATACGCCGTGTGAGAGCCATGCTGTATCGACCTTGATTCATTTGTGGTGCTGCTTTTTGCTGACGAAACAAATAGTGTTGCTGATACTCGTCTGGAGAACCGCCATGGCCACCAGAACTCATACCAAGCAACATCTGCTGTTGCCCACCACCATACATATAAGGCCCTTGGCGACCGAGATCTGGCGATGGTGTAGGAAATCCCTGCTTATGAACAGATCATGATTCATGCTGCGGTGGGTTATTCCCGACACCATGGATTGGGGACAAATGTGGAATGGAGTGTAATTGAGCACGGTACGTCTCTGGTATTTGCTGCTGGTTGTCTTGATCGACCCCTGTAGTATCTTGACCTGGGTTAATCGGAGCACCGCTGGGACGCCGTTAAGAGGTCTGGTAACTGGTTTGTAAACATGGCGCACTAGAAGGAGAGGAATGAAGGATCCCAGCTGGCCCGCCATTGAGCAGCGCGGATACCTTCTTCGTCCGTAATAACAAGCGCAGAAGAAATTATTTTTTCTGCAAAAATCACAGAGTGGCCCCCGTAAAAAAAACGTCGAATTCATGTACCTCAGGCTAGAAAATTCAACTGTAGCAAGCAGAAAGCTGAGCGACATCCATTTCCGAAGGCCGTCGGAATTGAGAGCCATCGAATCTCGCATGAACGAATGCGAGCCAGTCACAGCCAAGCTCGACATCGCACCCATTCAGAACGTCTATTAGGAATAGTACTAACCGTCAACGGTCGCCACGCGCACCAGGCCAGAGGTGAACTCCACTGTTATGATTGATAAGACAACGATACGGTCCCAAGGACCGCAAAATCACCAGAAACAGACGTGTTTAGGGCAGGGGTCTGCAGGAGTGCGTTTTCCACCAAAAAAAGTTGACAATGTCATAGGTCCAAACGGTCATATTGGCACCATCTAGTGAGTGCGTCTGCATGTCGGATAGTAGTACAGGTAGATTGAGAGGGTCGTGACACAAGCAGCCATTGTGACCGCAACATCGGCCGAAAAGGTTTGTGCTTGTTGAATTCAAAGGCTCTTGCCAAATCTATCTACGTACTGCTACCTTACTTTAAATTAGTACGTTCGCATGTACTACAATGAGCTCTTCCTCAAGCGCTGCTATTTCGAATGGAACCATACATAGGACAAAGATACTCTTTCTGGGAATGAGAAGGCGAATCTCTACCTTTTATCCTTTTGCCCATCCTAACTTATCACAGGAGCGGAAAGACCTCCATGCTCCAAGTCCTCTTCGATGATCTGCCAGTCAAACAGACTTTTTACCTCGAGCCTACCATGCGCGTTGCAAAGCATTTCATTGAGTGTGCACTCGTTCATGACTTCTACTCGTGCTTAGCACTGAACATCGTTTCTCAGCACCGTCATCCCGTTGGAGATATGGGACTGTCCAGGAAACGTCACCGTCGACACACTCGGCGCATCTCTCGCCGATTTCTCAACTATAGTCTTTGTAATAGACATTCGAGTACGTGCGCTGCGTTTATCTGCTGATTGCCGTCCTCATCCAGATGCACAGGATCTCTACCAACATCCTGTCTCAAAGCTTGTAGAGTTCATAGTCGCTACATGCCAAATCAACCCCGACATACATTTTGAAGTATTCGTGCACAAAGCGGAAAGGCTTCAAGAGGACGACAAGATCGGTACGCCAGTCCCGCATGCATTCTTTGCTCGTGACTGAAACAGCACGCAGAAAACTTCCGCCAGATACACGAACGCGTCATGGACCGCCTCGTAGACGAATCTCCCGAATTTGAGCAATTCCCTCTCAATTTCCATCTCACCTCTATATATGACCATTCTCTCCGAGAGGCGTTCTCTCGCGTGCTTCATAAACTGATCGATTCCCTGCCATATCTCGAAGAACTATTAAATGTCTTTTGCTCTGTATGTGCCTTCATTACCACTTGTCTCTACGGGTACTTCTCATCGCTCGCAGAACACAGCATCCCCAAAGGCTTTCCTATTCGACACATCCAGTAAAATTCACGTCGCAACAGATACCTCACCAGTAGACCAAGCCACGCACAATCTCTGTTGTGACTATTTATCCATGCTCAACTCTTTTGGACCTCTCTACAAGTACGTACGTATCGTAAGTTTCCCTCACACCCTTAAACCATCCCATCAGGTCCAACTCTAACGATCCACGGACGAGTCGGGTTTCCCCGACACCAGCACCAACGCCCCCACCCACAGCCACGACATCAACTCCCACCTCCAGCACCACTCCCGCCGGAACACCGCCACTCTCCTCATCGTCATCTCCCGTTCCGCCCTCAAAGCCCCACTTCTATCCCTCAGCAGCGACGTCACTCTCACCTTCACGCCCAGGGACTACACTCACGTACCACCTCGTCACGCCGCACCTCGCATTGCTCGCACTCCTTCCGACGACAGTGTATGATATGCGCAGAGGTTTAGTGGAGTGGAATGTCGTGTGGTTTAGGGAGGGCGTTAGGGAGATATGGGAATCTGGGCTGCGCGGGGTTTTGGAGTCGTAGTTGTTGATGGCCAGCGTCCTACATTTGAAAGTAACATTTCCTGCAGCCTCAGGTAGGCCTTGATTCATGGACGACGGATCGTGTGAGATCGACGGTGTCTGTGGGTTTCGATCGAGCAGACCGACGCGAATGACTGCTTGACCTTCAAGGGCCGGGCCAGAGCCTTAGCACCCTTTGCGACGGCCGACTTAGAGATGGACGACGAGATAGAGCTGGATGGTGAGTGTGACTGGGTAGACGAAGCATCAGATGCCTTCTTGGTGAGTTGGTTTTCATGGAGAGACGACTTGGTGGACTTACTGGTCTCGAGTTTCTGCCTTGGCTTTATGGTAGTGACTCGAGCATCTCTGTAGTGACTCGCGTGTAAGCTCGATAAATTGCTAGAATGATTCACAGGGGCGTGAAAGACATGACAAAAATCAGTATACTATTCAGTTGTGATCCTCAAGCTCTCAGAGAAAGGCAACACGGAGAATCAATTAATCATATGATATGATAGCAGTGTTCCGAGTGCCCAAACACCGCTAACCCGCGGTCACGGTATATATGCTCAAGGGTACGACTATCCTACACCACACCCGCACCCTCCAAACCCATCAGTATAGAACAGCGGTGTTACCCGTGCCCGTGCGTTTCCCTAACATTGCAGTCTGAACAAAACGGCATATCGTAGAGCATTACAACTCACAGCAGGTACAATGGCCAAGGACCGTGCGAACAAACCACCAGAAACACGTGTTTAGACGTTTTCCAGCACATGCTAGGATTCCTGATGCCTCGCCCCTAAGAAACATCAATGTGGCCAGCAACGCCTATTGATTCAGATCGATCAGATTTCGTCAGGTGCGTTCATATGTTTCGTGGGTGTGCTTATCAGAACCCCCGACAGGATCGAGGGTTTGACTTCGATGTCCGCTGCATCTCCTACTCCGCAGCCATAAATGCGCAGAGTGCATAGTGAAGAGCTTGAGGAAGGCACCAACAGTGGAGATGACGTTACCAGCGTAGATAGGACGAGTGAAAGTGGTGCTGCCTCAGGCTGATGCTGCGTCATATTCGAGAGAGGCCCTAAAATTATGCCCTAAACGTGGAACAAAATCATTAGATTTGGCATGGATGCCAGAGACGACGTACGTGAAGGCGAGTTCCGAGATAAGAGGTTCTCCCTGCAGCTACAGCCTACCCAAGCAACGTGGTGTGGAAACGCGTAATGCATGAATGTGCAGCATGCTCAATCAACTTAATCTAGAATCGAGGCAATGATATGATTAGTTCTTCCTAGGCAAAATTTAGTAGACGAATGAACTTTGTAAGTCGTTCCATTTAATGTTTAATTGAACTTTCACATTCTTTGGGAATAGCTCTTGGCTAGGCATTCTTCACAACTGACATTCATCTCCTCGAGGCTGCAAACGAGGCGAGTGACTTGACTGAGACCATCCGTTAAGGCAAGGTAGATGCCCGCGGTTACGCCGCTGCGACTCACTTGCGACTCTCGCTGATGGATAATTAAGATTTACAACTCCGCCGAATCTTGGGGTTGTCTCGTAATATTTGTTGACCAACTCCCAGTCACTGTAGCGTCTATCAAAAGGGGAGTGCTATTGTTCGAACAACTAACGTGCGTATGGCAACAATCTGATCACATGCAAATAATTGTATTAGCATCTCAGGTTAGAAAGACAAGGCCAAGTTGCGCCAGAGACAGATTTCCCAAGACATTGGCTTCAAAGGACGCGTATCAGCTGGTAATCAACCAATTGAACACATCCTGTGAAGCCTCGTGTCAGAAGAGCTCTATCAGTACTCCTGAATTAGTTCATTGCATCGGCTGCATCTGTAAGTCCCCCAGGCACCTCATGATCCTTTCATTTAAAAGGCGCCACAGCTAGTTGAACTTGTGGTACTACTCCTAGTAACCCAACATGTCTCGACGCCCAAGTTGTAGTTTTACAACTCGCCAGGCGGTTGCCGCCGTGGCACGTCTTGTAAGTTTGAACACATTCCAAATGCACATAATCGAGGAGGAGATGGAAGACCGTCATCACCGGGCGCGTCTTCTGATGGATCTTCTCGACGCCCAAGTTGTAGTTTTTATAACTCGCCAGGCGGCTGCCGCCGTGGCACATCTTGTACTTTTGAACACATTCCAAATGTACAGCATCGAGGAGGAGATGGAAGACCGTCATCACCGGGCGCGTCTTCTGATGGATCTCCTTCACGACGCAATGCTCAAGGCCCTCAACGCCAAATATCACCGTCAGGCCCACCTCCTCGAGGAGTGTGTCGATCCTTTTGGCAGACAGGACGATGTTTTCGAGAGTTCACCTGCCTTGGTGCACATACCCTCCCACAGGGTCAGGATAGCAGGCGATCTCCGCAGCCTTTCATGATCCCCACACAGGCTGCGCAAGCGTTCATCGCCCCATTCCTTACAGAGAAAGGTCTATCAAAATTCGTAGGAGGTGGTACCGATGGCTATTTCCCTCAGGATGCTACAACGTCTCTGACTCCGTCAGAGGCCCAAAGCCGTTTGAGGAGATTCTTACGAGATGACTTTCGATTCAAGACTGCACCTGAGATCTACGCCTTTCTCATACCACTATCGAGTGCCAATCTTCAAAATGGCTCATGGGTGGGTTTTAGACATGTCATGCAACTCGTCATGATTAACTGTTAGACCCAGACTCAAGAGGAAGGACAGGTATGTTGCCACTACCCGATCCAAGTGTTGTGTTGACGATGATAATCCCAGTTACTACTCGAAGCCTTGACTTCGGTACGTTCATTCAGGATCTTGTGATGCATACTCAACCGAAATTCGCAGAACACTGGTCGACTTCGGGTCGCCGACATAGTGACTTGGCCCCATATTTCCTCAAAAGCAACGATGGGTCGCGAAATTCTTTCATTTCAGAGAGGGCTTATCCCCCTGCTTAGAGTACGTCGACATATTAAACGCCCCGTACTAGTATTGACGTTGTTGCAGTATATGTCTTCCGATTTCATTGTTCAGAGCACTTTAAGGACTCAAGCGAAGTATGTGTCTTCAATTCGTCGTGACGCAACGCACTGAGCTGCCGCTAGTCAACTGTACATGACGGTTTTACAGAACCTTCCAAGTTTTGCAGATGCTGTCGAGAAGTCTATGGACAGCATCATTGCTTCCCGTTCCTTTAGTGACCCGGGAGCTTTGGGAAAAGATCCTGTTGACGCACAGGCGTTTGCATCCATCGCTGGTGTTCTGCACGAGTAAGGAACTGTCACTATCTTCATTATTATTGCTGCAATCCGCATTAGGTTTCTTGTTCGCTTCAAGAACGCTGTTGCGACATATCCTCGGCTGGCACCCTTGGTCATGAACTTGCAGAAATGGTTTGTAGAGTGGAAAACTGGTGTCCAAGCCAATCCGCCTTCGTTCGATAATTTTCTTGGAGGCCTGCAGCCTACTGTACGAGAGCTGCTCATTCAAACTCTTAACGAGAAGATTAACAAGCTGGTTTCCATTGTTGAACGGGAACAAGGAAAAGAAAAACGTCCTGATCGTCAAAAACAATCCGCCCCCTCCAATGAGGGCATCCTTGCTGCTCTCCATAGCGGGTATCAAGGTCCGGGTGCCGTACGTGAAGGTGGACCTCGTCACGATAATGACTTTGAGGACATCCATGACATTCGCGTTGCTCCCACTCATGAGGAACTCATGAGCCGTATTCCCCCGTTTCTGCCAGTCAACTTCTTTGGTGCTCCTCATCCAGCACCTATGGAGAGCATGCAACGCTTGCTCGACATCCAGTTCAGGCTTTTGCGAGAAGAGTTGACGTATGTTGCTGTTTGGATAATCTTAGTTAGGCGCTGACTGAACTTTGTGCAGCGCCCCTTTGCGCCAAGCTGTTCAGCTCGTCCATGATGACTTCAAAACACAGCCGCGTAAGAAGACCAAGCTCGCAGAGCTTCTAAAGAACAGGGGAGGAAAGTACCGTGGCCAGGCGGACACACAGGACAGTCTCATGTTTAACGTCTACACTGGCGTTGGTTTTGAGTCGCTCGTACCTGACTGGAGAGGTATCTCTGCAAGCGTCGTCGTCGACACGCCCCCGGGCCGCGCGCGCTCCAACAACTCCCATATGCGAACTTCATTCTGGGAGGGTGGCAAGCGCCTTTCCCAGGGCGGCTTGATCGCCCTTGTGTGGCAATCTGGCAATGATATCTCTGTGCACCTTGGGGTGGTCGCCAGCTCCCTTAGAGATCTCACTGAGTATGTGAAGCGCGATCCAGATCGCGTAAAGCTTCGCATCGTCTTCTTCGACACGAAGTTGGAGTTGCGTATTTTGCAGGAGCTCAGGAACCCTCAGATGTCCGGACAACACATCAAGTTGTTGGTCGAATCCTCCGTCATGTTTGAAGCCATCCGACCATTTCTCGAAGCTCTGAAACGCGAACCCGAGCTAATCCCGTTCCCGCGCTATCTAGTTCACCGGCCGCCAGGATTTCTTAATACTTGCAAAGTGGACCCTCCACGTTACTCAACGATGCCTGGTTTCGCGTTCAATCTTTCATGTCTCTTCCCCGACAAGACAGACGTGGAGGACTTGACGCTCTCAGTGACGGATCATCAATCTATCGAAAATGCGCGTGCTGAGCTGCGGCGGAGTAGCCGCCTTGACCCGAGCCAGGCAGATGCAGTTGTTGATGCACTGACGAGAGAGGTGTCCTTAATTCAAGGGTGAGTGTCGCACCCAATGAGTGTGAATGATGGCCTGACAGTATCTTCAGTCCTCCAGGGACAGGAAAGGTAATAACTCTCACCCAACCTGTTGTATCGCTCTGACTCGCACATCCTAGAGTTATACCGGTGTTGAGTTGCTCCGTGTGCTGCGAGCCAATGATGTCGGCCCCATCTTGATGATCGCATTCACGAATCACGCACTGGATCACATGCTTGGCTCTGTGCTGGATGCAGACATCACCAAAAAGGTTGTCCGTTTGGGTTCTCGCTCGGCAGATGAGAGGATTTCACAATATTCAATCGAGACACTGGAAAAGGTGAACGAGGAGTCTCGCCTCAACAGAACGTTCTCCAACAAGCGCAGGGAACTCAAGGGGATCCAAGAAAGCATCAGGGACTTGATGTTGAAGGTCCTGAAGGATGACTTGGAATCGAACTCCACCGAAGTCATTAAGTATATCTCAGTCTTGCATCCGGAGCACTCCGAATACCTGGCTTCTCCACCAATATGGATTCAGAACATCAAGTCCCTTTTCGGTGGTGACGACGACGACGGTGCAGGTGAATGGCAGCAACAGGGCCGGCGAGGCAAGACTTTCGTCAAGGACATGTCATTCTATGCATTTTGGAGGGACGGATCTGATTTGGAATTCATCGGAGCTTTGAATGATGGCTCATACGCACCTTGGAAAACCACGCCTCCGCCTAACGAAACGACAGGCAACAAGTATAATCTTTTAGAACAGGATTCTTTGCCCGAATCGGATGATGAATACATGACGACCGAGGAGGATGATGACGAGTCGCTCTCTGAAGACCTGCCAGTCGAGGACGCTTGGATGAGAGTTAAGGTCGAGTCGCCATCTCCCGAAACTGCTAAGGAAGTCCATGTTGCTCCCACCAAAACTCCCGATTCCTCCATTCTGTATATCGATCCTGAATCTTCTGACGACGATGGTCTGGGTCAGGCAGACTTCAAGGACCCTGAAGGATTTCTTGAAGCCATCGGATGCTCGCAATGGCCTGTTGTTCCTACTTCTAATCGCCCCTTGAATGAACTCCTCGATGATGTCGACGACGTTTGGACCATGAGCAGGGCAGAGCGGCACATCTTGCATAATTTCTGGGTTGAAAATACGCGCATAGAGTTGGCTGAGACACAGAAAGGCGAGTTTGAGCGCCTTCGTGAAGTTCACGAGGGTATACTGCGGGAATGTAACGAAGGCAAAGAAGAGGTGCGTGGCTGTTTTACTTCATTTATCAGCTGGATCGAATGGTTGTCTAGGTCCGTCGAAATTTACTGCGCAACATCGATATCATTGGTTGTACCACGACCGGTATGTGTGTTTCCAGTATTTAGTCATGCTTCTCCACTTACAACGTGATCCTCACTAGGCGCAGCAAAGTTGGCCACGCTCTTGGGGGTCAGTGAATGAGATTGACGTCATATCCGTTTGATCTGAGCTCTTACAGGGTCTGAGTCCTCGAGTCTTGCTTGTTGAGGAAGCTGGACAGGTTCTGGAGGCTCACGTGCTCGGAAGTTTGGTGCCCTCGATTGAGCACCTTATTATGATCGGTGACCCCTTACAACTCCGGCCGACACTCAACAATTTCTGTGAGCGCTTCATGATGAAAATAATATATGCGTTCTCTAACATCCGACTAGCGTTGTCCATGGATAGCCAGAGAGGGCGAGATCTCTATAAATTTGACATGTCCCTGATGGAACGTCTTTCGAGCTCCGGACTTGCTATGTCTCGGATTGATGTACAACGCCGAATGCGGCCTGCAATTTCGAGTTTGATTAGGTGGGTCTCTTCTTACATACCAAGCGCATACTGACTCTCTATCAGGAACACGCTCTACCCCAGTCTTGAAGATCATGAACTTGTCCACCAATATCCCTCTGTCCGCGGCATTGCGAAGAATATGTTCTTTGTCAATCACAACCATAGGGAAAATGAGGGTGCAGAAGACTCTGCCAGCAAGTACAATCTATACGAGGCAAGGGTTTTTATTGTTTTGATGACTTGGCTGTTCACTGATTCATAACAGGTGGCAATGATTCGCTGAACTGGTGTTGTATCTGTTGAGGTCTGAGCACACAAAGCTCTTCGTAGTTTGAGGATTGACCTGGTTTATTCAGGCAAGGCTGCTACTCTGAGGAAGGTGATATCGTGGTTCTTTGTGCCTACCTTGGTCAGCTTGCCAAGCTGCGAGATGCCCTCGCTAACGAGGTGGCGATTGTGATTGATGAGCGCGACCAAGCTGCTCTTGCTGACCAAGAAGGAGATGATGAAAATGAGTTGAGTTGTGGGATCACTATTGAACATGTAAAAGTCACGAGAAGGGTATGTATTGCTGTTGTGAGGCAGTCTCTTTGTGTGCTCAATCAGCTTCTAGGTTAGATTGCGTACGGTTGACAACTATCAAGGCGAAGAGGGTAGAGTAAGTGTCTACACCAGTCTCATTTCATTCTCTGAATGTTTTCTCCTAGATTGTGATCTTGTCATTGGTTCGAAATTCCGGCGACCTGGACGATGAAATGGCTATGCTTGGGTTCACGCACGGAACCAGACCTAGTATCGGTTTCCTAAAGGTGAAGTAAACAGAGATACAACTTCGAGGCGCGCTCTAAATTCTGATTTCATGTACAGTCTGAGAACCGCACGAATGGTAAGCTGTTTAGTGGTATAATGGTGTGGTACGCTGAACATCGTGCTCTAGTGGCCTTGTCTCGTGCACGCGAAGGCCTTTTCATTTTTGGGAATGCTACCAATTTGTCCTCCAGGAGTCGAATGTGGCGGCGTATCATCGAGGAACTGGAAAGGGACGAAGCCCTTGGTCCAGCACTTCCTATCATTTGTCATCAGCATCCGGAGACTATCGAGTATGTCTGCAAACCAGGTCAACTACCTCAAATCGCGCCTGATGGTATGTATGATCGCTCCTTGAACTCCAGCAATGTATTGAATCACGTTTTCAGGAGGATGCATGCGACCCTGCGACTTCCGTTTGAACTGTGGTCACATGTGTCCATTCAAGGTAACGTTCTCCCGTTCAGTGTGACATATGAGGTTAACATTCCTTTTAGTGTCACAGCGATGATCAGAAACATGCTTCCGTAACGTGCATGCAGTCATGCACGAGGCTTTGCAAAAGGGGCCATCCATGCACCAAGCAATGCGCTTCCCCATGTGGCGATTGTTTCTTCCCGGAAGCCGATGTCGAACTTCCGTGCGGACACTTGAAGGCCTCTGTTCCATGGTGTGTCATGATCATCTCCAGCCGAAAACTTGATATGGATGCTTTATTTCTAGCCACGGGATCAGCGCATTGGAAAACGTCTACTGTGATTTCATGGTTGACAAGAAACTGCCTTGTTGCGAGCATACCGCTCGCATGGCATGTTCGACTAATCCAGCCACTTATCTCTGCAAGGCTCCATGTAACGGGATTATGAGTTGCTGTGGAAGATCATGCAACGCAAAGTGCTATGAATGCCAGCAGAAAAATACACCTTCCGAAGGAGAACATACACAAAGGGCACAGCATGCTGCTCACCCCTGCGAGAAACCACTTTTCTGCGAGCATTTGTGTCAGGATCCTTGTTCCGATGACCACAAGCACACCATCGCCTGCAAGAAGCCATGTAGGCAAGCCTGCTCTCATGCCCGGTGTAAATTGGTGTGTTCGATGCCTTGTGCGCCGTGTCAAGAGTCATGCACGTGGTAAGTGAAACCTCCCGAAATTGGATTCCATATTTTCGCTGATCGACATCTTCAGGAGCTGCCCGCACCATTCCTGTCCTGTACCATGTGGCTCTGTCAGTGTTCTGTCTAGCTTCAGCTGTTTCGTGCTTTCCTGATGCTCCATTTTCAGGTTTGTGCAAGGTTGCCATGTGACGTACCCTGCAACACAATCCTGCGTTGTGGACACAAGTGTCCTTCTGGTGAGTGGTAAATCACTTCCTCGAAACCTCGTGCTCACGTCGTGGAAAGTCTGCGGGGAAGATTGCGATATTCAAATTTGCCCGCAGTGCGCTTCCGATGACAAGAAACGCCATGTCGTTGATTTCATCATGCAGCGCACACTATCCGAAGTCGCACCGGAGTTGCAAACCCTGGATGAGATGTTGATTACCATTCCCTCGTGCAAGCACACGTTCACCGTGGAAACTCTGGATGGTCACTGCAGTATGAATGATTTTTACTTCCAGAACGAGTCTGGACAGTGGCTTCGTATGCTTTCCCCCATCGGATTCAGAAAACCCCCTACGTGTCCAACATGTCGTTCGCCAATCACAGCTCCCAGATATGGTCGCATCTTCAAGCGAGCTGATTTAGATATCTTGGAGCACAATGTTGCCGCCCGTATGTCTCGAGCGCTTCACCAGGTCCAAACTGCCATTCTCGGTATTTCTGAAGATGATATGAAGGCTACGGTCATCCGTGACGCAGCTACCATCAAAATCCGCCCCTCAAAGCCCCCAAAGTCCGCTTCGCAGGCAAAGGCTCGTTCTGAGGAGTTGAAGTCGAAGAAGGAAGGCCCCACCTCAGAACGCGCCCTCAACTCTGCCAACACTTCCTTCCATATTATCGATTCAGCGGTGGCCGGAGCTTGGGGTAAGATTACCCACGGATTATTCGATGCCTACAAGGCGGCGACTGCAGTTGCCGAAACACGCTCTGCCCACCTACATGCCTGGGAGTCTGCATTTTCATTCCTCTACCATCGCGAAATGGCCGCTCTCGTCAACAATCCAGCTCATATGCCTGTTCGGCCGCAGGAAAATGCGATGAGGCTTGCGAGACTGCAAGTTGGCCAGTCGCGTCCGCTAGCTGATAGACGGTTCATCGTGGAAGCTTTCTGGTCCACGTTGCATATTCGCCTGACTCTGATTACTCTGGGTCGCACGTGGCTGGAGGAGGTGGGCAAGCGTGAAGCTGACTATCCGATGCCTCATTTTCAGCAATGGGCAAACTACGTCAAGTTCATGCTGCGGAGTTGTTCTCTTGATGTGACCAAGGCTCTTGAGCTCGCAAGGAGCTCTGAATCCCACCGACAGGTCACCAAGACTTCTCTTCTCCACATGCGTGTCAAGCTGGAAAACTTCCGATTTAGCTTATACATGTCCAATAAACTTGGGAGCATCAAGGCTCAACGATCAGAGATAGCAGAGGCTGCGAAACAGCGCGGCCGCGAGGCGCAGCAATTTATGAGGGATGTAGTCGCAGAGCATTTCGCAAACAAGGTCACGCCGTCCCGAGAGGAAGAGGCTTCCTGGGTAGCAGAGAACTTTTCTCGTGCTGCGCAGACGATCGTGGATGAGTGGGAGGCCATTAAGGAGGCCGTCAGTAGATCCACGTTTTATCAGGAAGTCTCGTTAAAGGAGCAGATGGAAATAGTGCGAGCCTTGAACTTCGGTAAGGTTTATTGTTCCTGAAGCTGCAGATCTTTTTCACAGTATTACAGGCAGCACTGGACACTTCTACAACTGTGCAAATGGTCACACATTTGTGATTACCGAGGTGATGCCATTTGAGTATTTGGTTTATTGCAATGCTAATTCATGTCCGCAGTGCGGAGGAGCCATGCAGCGCAGTGTTTGTCCGGAGTGTGGCTCTCCCATAGGGGGAGAGAGCCACCGCCTCGACAATACAAATACCAGAGCAACTCAGTACGACGAGCTTGCTTTGCGAGCCAACCCAAATATAGCAGGAACCCCTTGGGCCAATCCTTATTAGAGAGCGCTTACGACTTCAACTGTCACAGATGCATATGTGCCAAACGATATTCTATAATTGACTAACTAAATAGCTTTTAAAATACTTCTGCACTGCAACACTTACTCAGAGAAATTGATGATCTGGCCAGATTATCTTCTGCGCTCGTATTTCGACGCATAAAAAATTCACAACTGGAGTTGAGAAACATACTATGGTACAAGTTTGGATCATGTCCATCGGTTCAGGCGTGCCAAGGGGCTCGCGTACAACAAATGAGGGTGTTGAAGCAAGGGAATCACCAAATCAGACGATCGACTGAAATGATTCTAAATCGTCATTTCGCTGTTCCTAATGGGAACAGTCTCGTTCTGTACTCTAGAAGATCCCGACGAGAATATCAACTTTCGGGAAAATATTTTAAACGGTGTACTATTGTCGGACATGAGGTGCATAATGAAAAGTCTACACGAGTTGAACAGTCTATAGAAGTGGAACAGCTACAGGAGTGGACTGTTGCATAAAAGGAAACGACGGGATGCTTAGCTTCAACAATATAACATCGTAAGTCAGAATTGTTGGGTGACATGATGTAAGTCTTGTATTAAGTAGAGTCCCGGCGAATGAAGGACAAAAAATCATGTTTGAAAGTTTCCCAGCAGCTGGCAAGCTCAGCGTCGAACCTTCAGACGAACCGAAGTCAAGCTTCATAAAGCATAAGTGATAATAGTGTCAACATACCACGGCCAGCTCTCTTTCTCCAGCAAATTTCTTTCCAGTAGTATACGACTCAAAAAGCCCTGTTCGATTGCAAACAACCAAAGCTTGAAGTTCAGCTTGTAGTTGGTAGTCGTGTAGTTGTACCGGAAAACCGACGATTGGATTGTCTTGTAGACGGTGCCCATTCCGTGCTGTACTCGCTCCAAAGCCCATCCATTGTAGATAACAGGGTCGCACTGAAAAACGGAGGAAGAGGGGTTCATTTGTGAACGCAAAGCGACCCCACGTGTATCTAGAGGCAGTTTCCAAGTATAACAGTCTCCAACGGTGCGGTCTGTGAAAGGATAGAAGGGGGAATTTTGTGGGGAAGTGCCGGTCGGTACTGTGGAAATCCATGCGAAGCCGCGTTGGCCGTACTTGATCACGACAGTAAGGTCATGCAGCGGTCTTGCCCTCCAAACTGAAAGAGTCTCCCTCTTTTCAAAAGTCCCCACTGGATACAGAGAATAAGCTGCGTCGAAGGCTATGAAATTCATAACGCAGGCTGTATGCACATGTGCGAGTCCGTCGAAATCAGAAACCAGCAGAATAATCTTATGATATTTCGGGACTCACTGGAATGAAAATTTATGATGGCATCGAATGGGCTCGTCTTGCAGGCTATAAGTTGGATCTTCAAAAGACCATCCGGACTACGTTTCTCGATTGAAAGTACAGATTCAACTCCTCTGATTTGGTAGTATAGTAAGAGCTCGTCATCATCAAGTGACTCGTCGCGGATTTGAGTACCATCCCATTCATCAGACACGATTTCACGGTAATCTCCAGGCTGAGTCGAGTCTGGCCTAAACTTATATCCTTCTCTCTCGACAAGATAGTCCAACACTTCTCTCACGTGCCCTGGATGCACGTAAAGGTCCATGTCAGATTCGGGATAAAACGTCCGATCCAGAAATTGAAGTGCGTTCGAGCCCGCAATAAGCGTCCCGGTACGTGCCTGTAAGCTGCGAAAATTGAGAGGTTCGGAAAGATAGCGAGAAAGATGCCGGTGTATGTTGTAGGCACGATGAGAGAAGTCCTTGGATGCAGCGTACGCAATACGACAACTGCGACCAATGCGTACAAGCGTGTGGGGCGAGACGCAAGAGAAGATGGCATCATAGATTGGAGCGCGACCAAATAGTTCGCCTACTGCACATTCGTAAGCAAGTCGAGGTGGTCGTTGACTGGTGTGTTTGGTTGGGATTGACGACATGTCACCGTAAAGTCAACTGAGGACTACCGTCAATATCTGAAGCACTCGTTAGATAGAAGACAACGCACCCTCGAGTAATATTTGGCAAGTGGGTTGTAGTGGGTAGACGTGCGAAGGCAGACTTATCTGCGGGACTTTTGATACTTTGTAGTCAGCAGCTCTGCGCCACGATGGCTCTGACAGCTCTGATACGTACGCCGTATAAACATCATGTTCATTTACGAAGTAGCTATAGAGCCTTGAGGCCATATATCGAGAACTGAACTCCGCGCCACGGTGGTTGTTTATATATAGTTGGGTGTAATTACGTATATATTATCAGTTCATGTGAATTCGGTGTTCCGAGTTGCCGCGAGCGCTACTGCTTAAAGTACTGAGCAGAGCGGCGATTAGTAGCAGCTCAAGCAAAACACAAGCATCAAAGCCACAATTGTCTTCCATATTTCCGCAAAACATTCTTGAAGTCGATTGAGGATCCATGTCTCTGCAGGGTTTGATTTCTGGATCTGAATGTGCCGTACCGCTGAACCCGCTGTCGCAAGTTCTGAAACACACAGAAGGAGACAGAAGCTTGCAGCAGGTCTGTCAACAGTGCCCGAAACCCGTAATTCATCTAACAATAATGCGAACAGGATCGTGTAGCTGGTCCTTCATCATCCCGAGTCAGTTTTTAATACATTCTGCTGTCATATGTATTCATTTCATCCATTAGCTCCAGCACCTTCCAGGATCAGCTCCAGCCCAAGCCGCCGAACAAGATGTCGCGATGGCACGTCAGTTCTTCGAAGGACAGCAAAGATCAGGTGGCCCTGCACTTGTTGCACCTCCGTATCTTCATCCTGCAGAACTTGCTCGCAGTGGCAGAAATGAATAGACTTCCAGAATTCAATGAAGCATGGACCACTGGGGAAAGATATCAGCCTCCAATACAGAATAATGTGACCCAAAGCTCATGGGCAAATGAATTTGGCGGTGCTCAGCAACAACCCATTAGCAGTTCCGTCATGCAACATCCAGTTGCACAGATGCAGATGCCTGAAAGTGAGTTTCCCTGCGTAAACTTCTGAATTTTGAATCAACGTTAGGCATACAGCTCAGAGACAGCAATTCATCGGTTCACATGGGATGTATGGAACACCCATGGGTTTGTATGGGAACATGGGACAGCCGTTCTTCCAGGGATTCAATGCTACTCCCCCGAGTGCAGACGCGAGCAAAGGCAAAGGCAAAGCCCGCGAAGCTGATTATGAAGCTGCGTTTGCTCAGTACGCTGCCTCGTTGCAAAATCAACAAGAATCCACCTCTAGGATCGTTGAATTGGACGATAATGCGGCTACTTTGGAGCAGGCCATGGAGAATGTCAAACTTGAAGATTCTGAACTGAAGACTAACGAGAATTTCAAGGAGTTCGTCATTTTATTATTATTATCATCATCATGTGCCTACTTAGTTTTCTGTAGCGCCTGGAATCACCTGCAAAATTCGGATATACCACCTCCCACGGAAGATATCGGCAAATGGGAAGCACAATTCAACCAGCTGATGGGTCGTGATCGCGAGGAGCTCGACCAGGATTACTCTACAGCCATGCAAGGAGCTTGGAATGACGGATTTGGAAATTTTAATGAGAGTGCCCTCGAATCCAAGTATAATGATGATGGAATACCTATCCTGAGCGAATATGTGTTCGGTGAGTCCGATTTGACATATCACACCCTCGTTTGTTCAACTATACAGAGTCAAACAACAAATACCTTGATCCGTCTTCGTCTAGTCGGTCACCACTGAGTGAGGCAAAGGCTTTTTTGGAGCAGGGTGGATCGTTATCTGAAGCTGCCCTTCTACTTGAGGCTGCTATCCAGAAAGGAGAGCTTGGTGAGGGCGGATATGAAGCATGGATACTCCTTGGCGAAACTAGAAACATGGACGAACGCGAAGACCTCGGCTTGCGTGCACTGACCGAAGGTGTTCGCTTATCAGAAGCTGCTAATGCTAACGGAGTAGGCATGCTGGTGCGTATTCCATCTGGAAACTTCTTCCAGCCCCCTCTCATGACAGAATGTCTGCAGTCCTTGGCGATCTCATATACCAATGAGTCTTACGACCGGGCCGCTTATATTATGTTATTGCGATGGTTAGAAGCCCGTTTTCCTGACTTTCCGATCTCAGATGAGACCCGGAGGGCTGTCTCGTTGCACTCAACATGGGACTCTCATGAGAAACTCACAGAGACCTTCCTTATCCTGGCACGACAGCAGTATAATCAGGGGATCGTTGACCCTGATACTCAGATTGCCCTTGGTGTACTATTTTATGCAACAACAGACTACGAACGTGCGAAGGATTGTTTTGAGAGTGCCTTATCACAGCGCCCTGGGGTAGGAAAGCTCCGGCCGCTATCATCTTATTGTCACTGATAATAACGCCCAGGATTACCTACTCTGGAACCGATTAGGGTCCTCTCTTTCTAACGGGAACAAACCTGAGGAAGCCCTTGGGGCGTACAGGGAAGCTTTGAATTTGCGCCCTACTTACACTCGTGTTATTTATAACGTTGGGGTAGCGTGTATGTTTTCTAATTAATCCCCCACACTTTCTTAAGCTGATCTCACGCATAGGTCTTAACATAGGAGCACACAAAGAGGCAGCAGAACACTTTCTGAGTGCACTTAGTATGCAGGAAAGCACGGGCGGTGGTCAAACTAGTGATCAGTTGTGGTTGACCCTGAGGCGCGCCTTTATTGCCATGGTATTTACGTTCGCTTCTATCATCTAGATGGCATGCTGAGCTTTGTTCCAGGATCGCAATGATCTTGCGGAGTTGGCTAAACCTGAGAACCGCTCAAATTTAGATCTCTTTCGCCAACAAGGATTTGATTTCTAGTAATTTGGTCAATGCAGTATAGACAAATTGATGCAGTACGCCACATATAGACCATAATCGGAGTTTTGTTTGGTCCTTGTATCCGCGATGGCACATGGTGCTGTGTTCATCGGCTCAATGTTCAAACGTTCAAATCTCGCTGCGTCTCTCTGGCAGAGATATCAACATGGAGTAATCACTATTTGAGTGTCAGCCCACACGGGCTGCGCATGTTTCTCTTTTTTATTTCACTCCAAGCTCACTCACACGCGTGTCTCCGAGTGCCTTGAACAGATCGAGATTATGATGGGTCCACACTGTTGGTCAAGTAAGTAGCCTATACAGTGCCTCCGTCATCGTTGCCCTTCTGTCACGACTCTGAATATTCTGATGCGGCAGACTCCGGCCGGTGCACTTTTATCTTATCAGGTTTGGAGAAGAAGTTGATCTTGTTGAGTTGGCTCATATGACATTGACAACCCTAGATGGTGGCATGCATGTGTCATAAGTTTTTATCTTGGAGCAGAAGTTGATCGGTGACCTTTTCAAGTTAGCTGGGCCCTGCGGGGCTGTGTTGACATGGGATTGAAGGGGACAATGCATGCTTTGATTTTCCGCTTTTGCATCTGTCCATTTTGGTCACTCCGACCCACGGCGCTAATGGCTAACAATATAAAATGGCCCCTCTTTAGCTAACTTTTCCTCCAGCAATCCGCTATATTATCATCTGCCTCACACACCAGGTGAGTTGTCTGACTCGGATCTGACCATGACGAGCTGACACCGTCTTGCAGCTTAACCGCATTAACCACCATCATCATGTACAACACCAACACCGAGCAATGCACCAGCTGCGGCGTCGCCAAGTGAGTTTTGCCTTGCGACATTCCAATGACGGTTTCTGAATGTCTGTCAACAGCTGCGCCTGCCAGTCCGGCAGCTGCAACTGCGTCAAGAACTAAACACCACGCGCAAGTGCACTTGCCTTGCCGTCGGTATATCATAATAAACATATGAACATATCTGAATCCGTCTGACGTGACTTGTACTGTTGTATTGAAATGCCAGAGTTGTTCTGGTCTTGATAAAGCTGACAGTAAAGCTTGACTGCAACATCCCAGCCAGCCGATAGCTTTCGTTGAGAAGATCGAAGATGCGCGAGTGCTCTCTAGACTCTACGCTTCTAACCCTATCCTAATGTTACCGTCACGTGCCAGACAGCTTACTAAGTCTCTACCAAACCAACCAACCAACCAAAACCAAACCAACCAATCAATCAACGTTCAATTCAACCAACCAACCCTTCAGACTTCTGTCTGTGCCAAAGTCTTGCAAAAATTTCTGTCTCTCACTGCGAGCCTCCCTCAGCAAGCATCGTGATCAGTGTTTAAAGTGTCGCTCGAAGTTTGCTGCAGACGGCCGACTGTCGCATTCAGTTTCTATTGTTTCAACTTTCTAATACCAACACTCGGACTCGTTCAAGGACTTTCTCGTTGTACTATCGTCTGCCCTACGCACCAGTAGACCAGTGTATATTAGTAAGTCACTAGCACGGGATGGCCAAGGCTGGCCTAAATAAATACCACGGAAGTCGGGACTCAGGTTGAGTGACGACTGACGTACGTCGGAATCGTTCTCTGTCAAGGAAGTGGTCAGGAGTACTGGTCATGAGTCTACTTATTATTATCGTGCAAGGAAAGAGATCTACTTCTCAGCTTCGGGCCGTCATGGGCGTAGTTGATTGCTCGGCTCAGGTCATTCCTAGGTCATAGGACCTCGAAGGTCGAAGCTGATTCGGCCCGACTATAACGATGCATGCCTTCAATATAAGAGATGTGGTGATAGACGGCTCTAGCAACATCCACCCACCTTCATCCAACGTCAGTTATGTCTGGTGTAGAGATGTAAGTTGACCATGCACTGGGATATAGGTAGTATGATAAATCTCACTTGCAACATCCAGTCATTCTGTCCCGCGTCCTACTGGGGTGCCCACCCCGGGAAAACTTAACAAAATATCCTGTCAGTTGACACAAGACAAGGTATTGATTACTCGCCCCTCTTGTTTCCATTCGCTGACGTTCGCTGCGCTTGAAGGCTCGGGGAGGTGCCCAGGCTATGTGTAAGTTCTTGTCCTGAATGACACTTATCGTGCGATTAACCAAAGGTGTAATATAGTATATGCCGTTGGTATGACAGAGGAAGACATGAATAAGCCTCAAGTACCCTCATGACAACTTGTGGTTTTTACATTGCCTTGACCATTCACTAGATCGGTATTTCACCTATCTGGTGGGAAGGTAATAATATCAGTCCTGTATGCAGAAATTGGTGCTGAAGTGCGTTCTTCAGGTAACCCATGTAACTCTCATCTTGTGTGTTTTGCTCCCTGTTTGCGAGCGTCCGGTAAATTGATATCTGTGTAGCTCGATTTGTCCAAGAAAGTCAAGGAGGGCTGCACGGAGGAAGGTTTAGTTGGCTTAACCTTTAACACCATTGGTGTTAGGTGTGTCTGGTCATCTTCTCAAAGAGTATGTACTAAAGCTAGGTAGTGATGCTATTACAATGGGAACAGACGGTAAGGTATCTTTAATAAATTCCCTTTGGCATGTCTGATTGTGTCTACTCAGGAATGCGGTACTCGTGCGTATCATGGAAGTCACTGGCATGATATCCTGTTAATATAGCATACCAGACTCCCAAGTCGTGATCTCATTGCGGACTCCATTGAAGCTGTAAATGTCCTCGCTGAGGCTTTAATTCCACGCTGATTCGGTTTTTTGTCAGGTCACACTTGTGAGAGGTTCCATCTTTTAATAACATCTGGATGCTCAAGTTACTTGATTTATGTAAGGCGCAACATTACGATGGCAATATCTCAATACCAGGTTGCGACAAGAACATGCCTGGTGTCTTGATGGCCGCCGCTAGACACAATAGGCCGACCATTATTGTGTACGGTGGTACAATTCAAGTTGGGACGCGCCATGTCGACTGCCCTTCCATGGGGTACGAGAAAGGCGGGACTGTCAACATTTCAGACGCCTTCGAGTCTTATGGTGGGTGGTTATCCGCCTCCAAATACTCCTAAGCCTTGAACTGGAGTCAGGTGCCTATGCCGTTGGCCTCATCAACGACGAGGAGCGATTTGATGTCGTCAGACATTCATGTCCTGGCGCTGGTGCCTGTGGTGGTATGTATACGTACGTGTTTCGTCGCTTTTAAGCAGAAACCTCCTCATATGACCTAGGGCCAACACCATGAGCTCTGCTCTTGAAGTCCTGGGCATGTCTCTTCCCTACTCCTCGAGCACACCGGCAATGTACCCTGGTGAGTTAGAAAACACTTCTGTTGCATGTAACATTTTGAATTTGCGTATTAGAGAAGGCACAGGAATGCTTCAAAGTTGCCAAGTATATGAAACGTCTTCTGGAGCTTGATTTGAAGCCAAGAGATATTCTCACCCGACAATCTTTCTTGAATGCAATCACTATCGTCAACGTCCTCGGTGGCTCAACGAACGCCGTTCTTCACTTGCTGGCTATAGCTCGTGCTGCTGATGTTCCCTTAACCATCGACGACTTCCAGATGATCTCGGACAAGACTCCATACCTTGCCGATTTGAAGTACTTTCAAATTCATAATTCGATTGCGTTTTCTCACAGTATTGTCAGGCCATCTGGAAAGTATTATATGGAAGACGTTCACAAAATTGGTGGCATACCCGCAATCATCAAATATCTTCTTAAGAATACCGATCTTATCGATGGTAGCCAGATGACTGTTACCGGAAAGACCCTGGCTGAAAACCTCGTGGATGTTCCTGAGCTCGACTTCGAAAGCCAAGACATCATCAGGAAGCTGGATAACCCCATTAAACCCTCTGGTCATTTGACTATTCTCAAAGGTAGCTTGGCTCCTGGAACCGCTGTTGCCAAGCTTACAGGGAAGGAGGGTTTGCGCTTTGAGGTGATTCACGGTTATTTGTTGATTCCATGACATCATGGCTAACGGACACCGTGGTGGTTCAGGGTGTCGCTAAATGCTTTGATAGGTACGGCGTAACGCAAAACCTTAAGCTTAGTTTGTTTCATATACTTCATCTTTAAGTGTGCACGACTTTTATCCTGCGCTCGAGCGCGGGGACATCAAGCATGGAATGGTCATGATATTCAGATATCAAGGACCGAAGGGTGCGCCAGGAATGCCAGAGGTTGGATGTTATCCTTGACATCATTTCTTCCATACTCATAATTAACTGCAGATGCTGGGTACAGTTGCATTTTGAACAAGCCCTACAGTCCTCCTAATTCCTTTACGCACAGGTCCCACCGCCGCTCTTGTAGGTGCCGGGCTGGGCAACTCAACTGCGCTGATCACGGATGGTCGTTTCTCTGGAGCATCCAGAGGTTTCATCATTGGTGCATCTTTTACGCAACTTCTCTTGAAGACTAGAGCTTATTTCCAACCCACCAGGTCACGTTGTCCCTGAGGCGACCCTCGGTGGTCCAATTGCTCTTGTGGAAGACGGCGATCCCATTGTCATTGATGCAAAGAGTAGGACCATTGACTGGCAAGTCGGCGAAGAAGAGAAAGCACGCCGCAGAAAAGCATGGGAAGTCTCGGGCAAGAATGCCCTCAGGGAACACCGAGGTATCTTGTACCGATACGCCCGTGATGTTGCTGTAAGAAGTTTAGTTTTATGGTTCAGCCTCGCTTGCTAACCATACTTTATAGCCTGCTAGCGAAGGAGCCTACTGCGACTGAGATTTCTCTTACTACGGTGTATGAGAGGGTATCGAAACGATTGAGTAACGTGGTCAATAAACATTATGCGTTAAATCAACATGTCATCGGTAAATACAGAAGTCAAATATTTAACATGATTTTGGGTCTCTCTGTTGGTACAATCAGGTGTCTGGACTTGGAAGAGACAATGTTGTCATTACCCCAATATCTCCGCACTACTGAACGTGTGACACGTACAGTCCAAGTATACATAGCCTTGTAAGTCATAACCATAACAGCTGAACAGATTGACATATCCTCTACAAGCGCATTGCATCCTTGGTCAGGTATTTGCCGAAGGCAGCCTGAGAATTAATTATCCTGAATGTGGTCCGTGAATAAATGCACCGCAGGACAACGTCCCAAATCGCACCTGCACCACAGCGGACAATATAAAAACTATGTCTCGCTCCACGACATATTATATAACTTGCTGCGCGCGTCGACAATGCATTGCCTGACATGAATTTAGCACCTCCGTTTGAAAAGTGAGTGAAGGAACAATGAAAGAGTGTTCCGACCAAGGATTTCTCACGGGACGGAAGGATGGCACCCGACTCCAGCATAATCATACGCCATCTTCACAGCAGGGGTGCCTGTGACCGCCCGTCCCTGTTTTGAGGCATCAATACAGCATCCTCGTGACCATGTGAGTGCTCTGCAGTGCCAGCATGGCAATACGGGATTCCGTCTTCCTTGTGGCCCCATCACATCACAGGCGACCACTCATCTACGAGGTTGGCCAGTACCTGGAAGTGACCGCATGCAATCGGCTGGAGCCCGCGCGGTTGGTACAGTCCCGCGAGACTGAAGACACAGCCAAACACATACAACAGCACGCATCAGTTCCATATCTGCACCGTGCACGAGTGTGTGAGGATGCTGTGACGCCTGTACTTAATTTCAGTAAAAATGCGGACCTGGTTTGGAAACATAGATATTATTATTAGAGTCGACGTTTGGAATTGACCGCGAAACAACGCCCGGGCATTCTGTCTATATCATGAATGTTAATGAGGTTATGATTGTTGTTCAAGAATTCAGATCTAATGCTAGGTCGAGTAACTTACATAGCGCAGGCTTCGCAACGAAAAGTGCAAAATAGAGCATATTAGCGAAAACCGACTTTGCGGGTTCGTTGCCAGTGATACCTTTTTGTCCGGTACCGCTTCTCCGATCACCTTCATCTCGAATGACATTTGCGATGTACCACGAACAGTGCAGACAACAGTCACTGGACAACAGCCAGGTGAATATAGCCCATTAAACATCCCCCTCCGACATTAGGATCTCACCGGAATAGCTTTTACTCGGGTTCGTATCATATATGGACAGAACGAGGGCACTCTATCCAGCACATGCTACGACAAGGCCCAAAGGGAGATGGCGGCTTTGTGGATGCTAGGGTGTGCATGTAACGGAGAAGGCTGAATCTCTAATCGGCCCGTTGGACCTGTATACACATCCAAGTCGAACACGCCACGCATGCACCAGAAAGTAACGGGGTTCAATTGTGAATCCCAGTTGGAAGTAGTCGCCATGTGGGAGGCCGAGAATGGAGGAGGCAGCACACCATATATGCGAATTAAGTATATGATAATCTGTATGATATGGACCTCAGGAATGCGCGGGTCCGTAGGCCCCCTATATATCCCTCTCGACAACCTCGTCATCTTGATCTGTGGGTAGGAATTGGTTGCAGAACGGAGCTTCTGCTTGCCATTCAAACCAGTGGGCCACTATATTCAAGCGTGGATCGTGTCCTTGATGTCCGCACAGCCTGCATCTAATGTAGTTCGGTCTATTCAGAATTTCAGAATTCGCGGTGGAGTAGCAACACGACAAATTTCTTCACCATTTTATAATTCTGACATTCGCAGACTAGAAATGTCATGGTGTACCGCGTATACGGTTCAAGACCTGATATCGACGGTCATGACATTATTGTTAGACGGATGTGCGTGCGCTGTGCTCGTTGGGTTTCTTGCCTCCTTGCAAGATAGCTGGATCTGGGGGTATAATGTATGGTTCCATCTCATTGGTCTCTTCGGGAGAATTCCGATTTTTCGATTTCCGGCGTTTAAGTAAATACCAGATGAGGCCAACGATCCATGCGATGCCTAGCACACCTCCACACACGCTGCCAGCGATTATTGGTGTCAGAGCCTTGTGTCTAAGTACGATGTGAGCTGAACATTTGAATGTAAGCCGAAGGGTCAAAGGACACGTACCCATTAAGGGAAGCAACTTCAGAGGAGCTCTCTGCGCGAGTTGCTCGAATTTTCGTTGCAATGCCATGTCCCTCCCAGTGCATGTCTCTTCCGGCTTCTGTTCAGCGGTAGGACAGATCAAGTAGCCTTCAAGATGTGTCTTCGTATCTGTACTAAGTAGGATCGATTCTTCAAGGTCGAAGGATGGGAAGTGAAGAATACATGTGCTTGACTCACGAGCAAGTCTTGTCGCAGTTTCGGAGACTCTGAGAGCTCCGCAAACTGCCGTCACGGTGGACTGTTTAATTTAAAATTTGGCAAGTTCATTACGTCAGGCACATTAGTGCCACGGGTAAGTTCACGGACTCACGGTGCCACGTTTGGCAGGATGGTCTTGGGCCGTTGCTTTTGTACAGTGATGCCGCATGACGGTCGATTCGTTCGTGTCCTGTGTCGCGGTTGATTATATGATACTTATTTGTTGGCAACAGACTGGTCATGATCACAGCTGTGTTAAAGTCACAAGCTTGATATTTGATGTTAAGGATCCGGATTTGCCAATATACTAGTACAAGCCCATCGATCGCCCCTAGGAACCCTTTGCCAAAAACTGTCACCTTGTAGATCTGTTCTGTGCAAAAATGCCAAAGCTTCCTGCCTTGGACCGCATGTTCATAACCGCAGCATGGTTACAGTCTATAATTTATGGTATGCATCCTTATGCAGCCTTTAGATTCAATGCTGAATCATATTCCGCTCGACAGGAGTCAAGTGAGTTGAAAATGGAGAAAGGCTGACACCGGGCTCATTTTCATCGATAGCTGCGTACTATTTGGCGTATGCATGTACGCCATATTTCGCAAAAAAAGGGCACATTGGTTCGTGTCATTACTTGTTCAATTATTCGCCGGCACTCACCTTTGTATCAGGATTATTCCTCTTTCATGCATCTACCACTTTTCAATAGCGACAGTGCATAACATCATTTCCCTTATATATGCTCTGCGGGCCCTCACAAATCCTGCTGTAATATCCGTCCCCGACGGAAGTACCTTGTACTTTGCCAGGGTTACAGTCTTGTCGATGACGATGATTGGACTGTATATTTTCAATGTGGGTATCATATTTCTGTCGTGAATCGCACTTTATTATGCCTTCTTTCAGGTTGTTATTCTGCATTTACTACTCGTGAGTAGTAACTACCTCCGTGTGGAGGTGTTGAACCTAACACTCCCAACAGATCTGGAGGCTTTATTTGGTTTGGGATCATAACTTGATCCTTGCTATTGCCATGGTAAGATATCTTTCCATTACCTGTCGCACCTTTTACGAGTGTCGAGATCGCTAGTTAATTCTGGAAATTGCACACTTCTGTAGGCCTGTGTACTTGAGTTGGCTGGCAGTTTAAGTGCTAACATTGCTTCCCCGCGTAGCAACTGGCATCGGGGCCTGGGCCATGGCCATACGGTTCGGTGTCGTCCTTACACGGGATTCCGTGGCTTTGTTGAAAGCTGATCTCGCGTTCAACATCGTTCTCACTGTTTGTCTTACGTCTTTGATCGCCTATCGTCTTTGGCGCGCGGGAAAAGATACGTTTGGTTTGACTGGCCATAATGCGTACAAACCTGCCGTATACACTATCATTCAGTGCGGTGCAATCTATACCAGCAGCATCGTGGTAGTATGCGCTCTACACCTCTCCGGGAGCCGCGCTGGTGTCATGGCAGACTACGTTGGTATTCAGTTTGCCGTCAGCACTTTATATTTCTTCTTTCTACATAGTCTCACGTCCTGCTAGACCTTGACACCTCTTCTTCTCATCGCCACTCTTAGCCTTGGTATGAGGCTTGGAGAACGCGACGAGGCACAAGACATTGTGGAACTCACTTTCGCTCATCCAGTCCAGGTCAATATTGCCGAGGAGATCCATACCTGCCATGACGACACCATGGATCCACGACCTATCCGGCGGAATCAGAGTTTGCCGACATATAGTGACACTGAAAAGGAACATTAGCTAGGATCATCTCATAGGTTTTTCTTTCCAGTGAGGGACGAAGGGTGGACATGCCAATAAGCATGGATTTAGCAGTGCTCGGTGTTGCACCGGTGTTTGAACCGTGAACTTTATTTAAGGGGTCACTGGCCCAGCACAAAGAACGGTATGATCAATAACAACTCCGAGTCCTATTGACACGTTCCGAAGACAATATCATAAGAGATACGGAAATGATAAACTGTCAGATATTCAAGGACTTGGGAAATTACAGATTGGCATAAGTTGGCATATTCAAGGAATCGTCCTTTGAGAGTACTGTGGATCAAAGACCAAGCTCGGTATATACTTAAACATTAGGGATGCAGGCGGCGTACGTAACAGCTGGAGTTGTGTGTTAAAGGTCGTATATATAGAACGAAAGATGAAAAGCAGGCTACGAAGAATCAAAGCGCGACGGAATTACTTGATCTTACAAAAGTCTGGCCCTTCACTTGGGGAACTGATCTTGTGCCTGAAGAAAATAATAATAAGTAGCGGATCTGGACCATTTGAAAAAATGCTTATTTACTTGACTTTGATGTGCTGCTTGACACCTTCCAGCATGAAGGGCCGGTTTGAGCCACTGCAATGTTGGCAGATATATATCAACTCGGTAGAAGGTTTAGACTTCCGAGTCGTGCCCGAGTTTGAGGGCTTCTTGGTCTGACTCGGAGGGGTAATGAAGAACTTCATTGCTGGAGGCGGTCTCTCAACGACGCCTTGGTCATAGCTAAAATCAATCCCTTCAGTCGTAGTAGTGATTCTATGCCTACTACGCGTCAAAAAAGGTAAAGTGAAACGTAAAAGGTGATGGCTTACGATTGCATATGTTTAATCACGGTGACCTTTGTAGTTGGATTTTCGTGGTATACATCGCACTTGTTACAACGCCACACTTTCTCAGTAGCTCCGGGATATTCAGGCGCACGCCAACTTTGCATGACTCGAAGTTGTTCGGCACTCAAGAACTCCCAACGAGGTTCTTTGTGCGATGGACCTCGTTGGTTGACGTAATGGAAGACCTAGAAGACAGTAAGTACAGTATCAAAGTCACAAACACAGGACGAACGCCCTGACGCCAGTTCATCGCCATCCGGAAGGATCCTCCATTCTCTGACTTCGGTGGACAGTTGGAGCAGAAAAAGCGACACTGGAGGTCGTCCATTGTAGTTGCAGCCGTAGTTTTGGCATCGAGACCGACCAAGCTTAACAAAGAACGTGCAGCGGCAACCCCGTGCTGAGAGATCAAAAATGTGCAAGATGATGTCGACGCCGATGTTGCACAACTTCGGTGAGCGTGATACTGCGCTTTGTCCCATGTAATCAACGGGAAGAAGCGCGGGTGAGTGCATTGGAAAACGGAAGTCGCCAGCTGCAATAACATATCATCTGGGGCATCGATTCCTTGGCTTCGTAGTGCCGTGGTATCTTGCACGACATCAGTGGAGAGGGCAAGTAGTCGTGTCAACTCGAGCTTCCTTTTATGCATATATTCAGCACAAAACTCTGGAAATCTTTCCGCAAAAGCATAACAAGGTTGAATATCTTCTTTGTCTCCAGTGGGTGGGCTTTCGATGAATTCCGAAACATCGCATAGCTTCAAGAAATCTTGAGGAGGAGGCATGATAGCCTGTGGCAACGGCCGCACGTATTTCTTGTACATATCCATCAGGCAAGACTTCCGGGCAGACGAGACTTCTCTTTGGTTCTCGAGGCGCCATTCTTCCTGCAATTCAGCAAGCTTACGCTCGACTTTTGGGATCAAACGCTTCCAGCCTGGAAATCAACAATGTAAGGATGAATCTTTTCAAATGTAGCTGATTACTGACGTGCATCGGTAAGCTCTTCATCAAGTACGCCATAGTGATGACGCTCGAACATGCGCTCCACATCTTTAGCATCGTGGCCGAGATCGACTAGTCTAGCTTGGAACCTAGGATAGAGGATCAAGACATGATTAGATGACGAGTCAATTAAATCTACTTACAGCTCTGTATTTTGGCTACGAAGCTCACGGGCACGCGACAATTGACGGCTACTGTCCTCGTCCGACCAAGCGCTACAGACGGCTATATGCTTGGAAGCTATTAGATTTGGTGAAACCACTTGTAGGAATCTTACATCGATATCGGAATCAGCATATTTCTTGCGTGATTGCTTGAAGTCTTCTAATGCTTGTTCGGCACCTGGTTTGAGGTACACCTCCAGCTGTTTTGCCATTTCCAGTACGTCTGCTGACCAAAAATACTTGCAGTCAGTGTTATGATCATCATCATCTCTGCCAACTGCGCAGGAAGATCAGATACCGATAAGCCATGGTAAGACAGCACGCACTGCTACTGGATGGGATCAAATCCATGATAATTGGATCGCATTCAGCAAATTCGTGTGGAATGGCGTGGTCACAGATTAGGCTTGACGAATCGTTGGCCAGATAAGAGCATGATAACAAAGTAGTACTCACTTCTCATTGAGGCATGGGGTACATACTCTGCGCCTGATACCAAAGTCTATCTCCCAAATTCCCTTCTTGCCACATTCCTGAGCTTTCGGTCATGAAAGTACAAAAGATGTAGATGGAGATCAGACACACTTCACAGTGAGAGCTGCCAAATAATAGGTCAGCCCATTCCACCTCAGACATGCCAGGTAGGCAATCGGGAACACCACCACGGTTGACGCGAGCAGCTTTCCAGACTGAGACTGCATTGTTAGATGACAGAACCTTACGGAAAGCCTTGTGGGTGCGGAACAGATGTTAAAGGTCTACCGGTTCCAAGAGGCCAAAAATCTGATTGGAAGCAGAAATCAAATCAAATAAGTAAGATGCATGTGCAATGCTCATTAACTTACCTCGAGAAGGATATCAGTTGGCACAGTGACAATGAGGCCAGGAGTTTTCTTTCTTCTGCCAGAACCTTTTGCTGCGGGTGCCGTTCCCGTATCGGTTCCTTTGTCTGCCCTGGCACGCTTTGTCGCGGGTTGTCTATCTGGAACTTCGAAGCAAAAGTTAGTGAACAATGATTACTATCATATGCCTCTCCACCATAGTCACCTGCACTGTCTTCACTGGGCGCCTCGCACAGGCTGCTATGCTCGCTACATTGGCTACTACTATCTTCCACTGAGTCTGTGTCCAGGTCCGTTAAATCGGAGTCCGAGGCATAGTCGCCGCAATCCCAACACATGTGAAGACCGTCGAGAGGGTTGCAAACAGTAGTAGGTACCAGAGACGCCCACGATGCGGGCTGAACGTAGTATAGAGCGGCGCAAAGCAAAACTGGAAAAGTCGCGCTTTATGATGAACTTGTCTCAAATTTAAAGAGTTCAGTATGCATTGATGCCGAAGGTGACTAGTACTAAATCAGACGGGGAAACAAAATATTATACTCGTGTGACATATATTGGCCCGGGAATGGCGGAGATCGCGAGCTCGGTGGTAGATGCTTAAACGCTTAAAGTTACTAGGGCTTGGTGGACTGTCGAATTTATATAGTAATTTGGAGTTCTCGCCTAGTTAGTTGTGCGCATGATCGAGGGCTTATATCACGGACTTTGAAAAACGCAGGCGGCATATCGCAGCTATAACTGTTTTCATGGGTAGATTAACTGACATTCTGAATATAGACTGTGATGGGGTCTGAGGTTTGTATGTAAAAGCTGGAGGGACGCCAAAACCAGTAACCCCTGCAGACCTGTGCATCAGGATCAATTGTTCGAAGCTCAGTAGCAGGAAAGGAATGCGCACATTTGCATACAGTAGGCTGACAGAACCCTCCCTACTTCGTAGAGTCACGGATTTACCGGCGAAGGCAAATGATAAAGCAGCCACGAGCCGGATCCGCTACCGAAGTTCAAGAGAAGGTTCGAATGAGAGCGATGTACTGTAGAGCTACGACACTAGCTTCGTCACGTGCAGCGTGTGATTATGTCACACTCAGTGTCACTGGTTCGAATGACCTGTGACCTGTGACCACACCCAAATAGATTCGCCCGCGGGTGCTTCGCCGCTTGCAACCATCTGACATGCCGCTGCTTCGTGATTGTGTGACGTGCCAATGGATGCACTTCTTGACCATATGGCTTCCGGGGGTGAACAGGTCCGTTCTGACTGCCATATCAATGCAGATGGTGGACTTTCGTGTGCAAACCACTCCGAAGTCTATGATGTGGGTGGCATTGCCGCTGAAGATGTGGAAGGTGGCTCGAACAGTGTTCCGACGGTTGATTATGGGCGTGGAAAGCGTAGACGCATCACAAATTCGATGTATAATGATTTTTGGTCCCATTAGTGCACAACCTATGTTTTTCCTATGTTTTTTTCCGAATGTCACAAATTAGCTTCGTCCCGCCAAAATTCATGTGACGGTCACACCAAATAGATTCGATTCGTCAAGGGCTGTGACCTGTGACGAACCTAGTGTCGTAGCTCTACAGTATTCCGCTCGCTGCTCATCTAATTCCAAGGCTGTTATCTGTGCACTACCAAAACTCACGAACTCAAGAGGACACTTTGACCGTGCTAAAAATGCTTTAAACTCCTCGTGATGCCACTGCATCCATACAAAACCAGCAATAAACTCGCGTAAATTGGGGAGTGATAGGACATTAAGCAGGTTGGACCCGTTAGTGATTGATAAGAGCGGGCTGGGACGATTAATGTGCAAGATTTGAAGCTTCGTGTGCGTGCATGACTCTACAGGTAAGGGGTAGGGCATGGTATAATCTAAAGTCATGAAAATTTTGGCTGAGGAGAGGTTGGGAGCCTGCTGCAGTAATCTGGGGAGTATATTTTGTTGGCAAACATTGATCTCAACATGTGTGAGGTGGGGCCATCTGGAATTCTTGAAGGGGTCGAAGTCGGCCAAGTAGAATGAGAACGATACTAGTCTATTAATTTCGAGACTGCGCAGGGTGAATGAATGGTTCAAGATAGATCGTGCGATAAGGCTCCTCTCACTGGACTCATTGCTGATCCACCCATGGATGGTAAGCACCTGAAGTGCTGGAAGGCCATTTAACAAAAGGTCACGTGTGGCGGCGCAGTAAACGATATGAAGAGACGAGATTTGATTCGTGTAAGGCTGAAGAAGGTCGGTCAAAGGATTTGGGCGACACATGAGTACCAACGACAGTGGAAGTCCTCGTGATCGCTTGAGCCATGTGTTGTAGCAGAAGGTTTCTCGCCGCCTGTGCCAGCAGTGGGAGCTCATGAACCCACTAAACAGTCTGCACCATAAACTTGGTGAATTCACAGCAACTTCCCTCCATCTTCGGCAAATCCTAGTCAACAGCATGGGAGATCGTGACTTTGATGGGGGCAATAATTCATCGAATGGTAGGAGTGTGTGCATAAAAATTTCATGTAAAAGTTCGGCTGGTAAGCGAGAGACAGCCGGTCCAACTTCCTCGTGTATCACGGAGTGGATGATCTTGTCCCGCTTGTCAACGAGGCGCTGGTCATCAGTGATGACGGCAGCAACGCTCCGAGTCTGGTCCGTACGCATGGCAGGGTGGCCAGTATCGTTGGAGTGCTGTGTTTTATGATCTGGCATCTAGTTATTGTCAATACTGCGGTATCAGATATATCAAAATAGACATACGATTGGTTGTGACTGCATCAGAAGTGATTGATGGTTAATTAATGAGACACGGTTACTTACAACTAGGCACTTACAATGTTTTGCTTGTTCGCCGGCGCTTTCTGACCCAACTTAGTTGGATGGGCGATGCAGAGGAGCGACGCTATGGATAAAACGTTGACCATTGTCGTTGAGCCACGAATAGGGGTCCATTCAACCTGATCATAATGAGCGGAGTTTAGACTTGTAAGAACTGATGAGCCAATGATGAGCGGTCAGATATTTGAGGATTCAGGATATCCACCTATCAATTACAGATGGCATACTTAAGGAATCGTCCTTTGAGATCAAAGACCGAGCTCGGTATATACTTAAACATTAGGGCTAGGGATGCAGACGGCGTACGTAACCGCTGTAGTTATGCGTTAAAGGTCGCATATATAGAGCGAAAGATGAAGAGGAGGCTACGAAGAATTAAAGTGCGATGGAATTACTTGATCTTACAAAAGTCTGACCCTTCACCTGGAGAATCGATCTTGTGCCTGAAGAAAAAAAATCAATAAGTAGCGCATCTGGACCACTTGAAAAAAATGCTTATTTACTTGACTTTGATGTGCTGCTTGACACCGTCCAACATGAAAGTCCGACTTGAGCCATTGCAATGTCGACAGCGATATCCCAACTCGGTAGAAGGTTTAGACTTCTGAGTTGTGCCTGACTTTGAGGGCTTATTGATCTGAGGGGTAATGAAGAACTTTGTTGCTGGAGGCGGTTTCTCGACGACGCCTTGGACATAGCTAAAGTCAATTCCTTCGGTCGGAGTAGTGATTCTATGCCTACTACGCGTCAAAAGAAGGTAAAGTGAAACAGAAAAGGCGATGGCTTACGATTTCATATGTTTAATCATGGTCACTCTTGTAGTTGGATCTCCGTAGTATAAATCGCACTTGTTACAACGCCACACTTTCTCAGTAGCTCCGGGATATTCGGGCGCACGCCAACTTTGCATGACTTGAAGTTGTGCGTCACTCAAGAATTCCCAACGAGGCTCTTTGTGCGATGAACCTTGGTACTCGACGTAATGAAAGACCTAGAAGATAGTAAGCACAGCGTCAAAGTCACAAACACAGGACGAACGCCCTGACGCCAGTTCATTGCCATCCGGTATGATCCTCCGTTCTCTGGCTTGGGTGGACAGTTGGAGCAGAAAAAGCGACACTGGAGATTGTCCATTGTGGTTGCAGTCGTAGTTTGGGCATTGAGACCGACTAAGCCCAATAAAGAACGTGCAGCGGCAACCCCACGGTGGGAGATCGAAAATGTGCAAGATGATATCGACGCCGATCTTGCATAATTTCGGGCCACGTCTTGATTGTGAGAAGACTGTCTGTGATACTGCACCTTGTCCCACGTAATCAGTGGGAAGGAGCCCAGGCGAGTGCATTGGAAAACGGAGGTCGCCAGCCGCAGTAACGTATCAGCAGGGGCATCGATCCTTCGGTTTTGTAGCATCGCAGTATCCTGCAGTACATCATTGGAGAGGGTAAGTAGTCGTGTCAGCTCGAGCTTCCTCTTATGCACATATTCAGCACAAAACTCGGGAAATCTTTCCGCGAAAGCATAACAAGGTTGAATATCGCTTTCTTCGTCCCCAGTGGGTGGGCTTTCGATAAATTCCGCAACATCACAGAGCTTCAAGAAATCTTGGGGAGGAGGTATGATAGCGTGTGACAAGGGCTGCACGTATTCCTGGTACATAGCCAACAGGCAAAACTCCCGGGCAGACGATACTTTTCTTTGGTTCGCGCGGCACCATTCTTCCTGCAATTCGGCAAGCTTACGCTCGACTTTTGGGATCAAACGCTTCCAGCCTGGAAATCGACGATGTAAGGACAAATACTTTCAAATGTAATAGATATCACTGACGTGCATCGGTAAGCTCCTTATCTAGCACGCCATAGTGATGACGCTCGAACATGCGTTCCACATCTTTAGCATTATGGCCGAGATCGACCAGTCTAGCTTCAAACCTAGGATAGAAGATCAAGACATAATTAGACGACGAGTCGATGTAATTTACTTACAGCTTTGTATTTTGGATACGGAGCCCACGGGCACGCGACAATTGACGTCTACCGTCCTCATTAGCCCAAGCGCTACAGACCGCTATATGCTTCGAGGCTGTTAGATTTAGTAAAATCACTTGTAGGAATCTTACGTCGATATTGTAATTAACATATTTCTTGCGTGATTGCTTGAAGTCCTCTAGTGCTTGCTCAGCACCTGGTTTGAGGTACACCTCCAACTCTTTTGCCATTTTCAGTAAGTCGTCTAACCAAAAAAACTCGCAGTCAGCGACATGAATACGATCATCTGTACCAACTGCACAGGAACATCAGATACAGATAAATCATAGTAAAACAGCACCCACTGTCACTGGATGGGATCAAATCCATCATGATCGGATCGTATTGAGAAAATTCGGATTGAGAGACGCAGCGACCAAGACAGACTAGGCTTGCCGAATTGTTGGCTAGATAAGGGTATGATGATAAAGTAGTACTCACTTCTCATCGAGGCATAGGGGACATACTCTGCGCCTGATACCAAAGTCTATTTGCCACATTCCCTTCCTGCCACATTCCTGAGCTCGTGGTCATGAAAGTACAAAAGATGTAAACGGACACCAGACATACTTCACAGTGAAAACCACCAAATAATAGGTTAGCCCATTCCATCTCAGACATGCCAGGTAGGCAGTCAGGAACATCGCCACGGTTGACACGAGCAGCTTGCCAGACCGAGACTGCATTGTTAGATGATAGAACCTTACGGAAAGCCTTGTTGGTGCGGAACAGATGTAAAAGGTCTACCGGTTCCAAAAGGCTAAAGATCTGATTGGAAGTGGAAGTCAGAACAAATAAGATGCATGTGCGATGTTCATTGAACTTACTTCGAGAAGAATATCGGTTGGCACAGTGACAATGAGACCAGGAGTTTTCTTTCTTCTGCCAGAACCTTTTGCTGCTGGTGCTATTCCCGTATCGGTTTCTTTGTCTGCCCTGGCACGCTTTGTCGCGGGTTGTCTATCTGGAACTTCAAAGCAAAAGTTGGTGAATAGTGATTACTATATGTCTCTCTGCCATAGTCACCTGCACCGTCTCCACTGGGTGCCTCGCCCAGGCTGCTGTGCTCGCTACATTGGCTACTACTATCTTCCACCGAGTCTGTGTCTAGGTTCGTTAATTCGGAGTCCGAGGCAAAGTCGTCGGAATCCCAACACATGTCAAGATCGTCGAGAGGCTGGATAGGACGGTAGGTACTAATGACGCCCATGACGAGTTGAACGTAGTATAGAGCGGCGTAAAGCGAAACTGAAGAAGTCGCGCTTCGTGATGTGTTGGCGGCTTGGCTCAGATTTAAAGGGTTCAGTCATTGATGCCGAAGGTGACGAGAGGTCGCTAGATCAGATGGGGAAACAAAATGTACTCATGTAGCGTAATATTGGCCCAGGAGTGGCGGAGACTGACCATATCGCGAGTGCTCGAGCGCTCCGAGTCAAGCGCTCAAAGCTCGGTGGTGGATGCTTGAGCGCTTAAATTGAAGTGATCACAGCACACGGCGGACTGTCGATTGAGTGGTTCCTGTCGAGATCTATTGGTTCGCCGTATTTGCCTAGTTGCTCGCGTTACCGTGATCGAGGGCTTATATCACGGACTTTGAAAAGCACCAGCGGCATATCGAACCGCGATAGAACTTTTTACACCATGGCTCAATTCACTACAACAACCGTTACTTATCCGCTAGCAAAATATTCGCGATCATATCCTACGAGCTCAACCTCCTCTCAGAACGCTGCTATAGATCCAGAATGGCAACATTTCGTCCACCCCGTTATTAACCTCTACTTGGACGCGAAGAAATCTTCCGCAGGAAATCTTGTCTCTGTCCGCCTTCGAATTATATGGAATTTTGACAGCAGCACCAATAGCAAGGACGTCGATCAAAGAGAGATTATCCTCGTAGGCTCTTTAATTACTGAGGGGCAACGAACCGCACTAAAAAGCATAACACTCAAGGAGGATCTTGATTTACTCTCCTTCTCGTCGATCTCAAACTCGAAGACGAATTCTGCGCAACCCGACCATGGTCTTCCACTCAAAGCTGTCTATCGAGATGCTGTTGTTGGGATTCGGTATCTGCACCCGAGAACAGCAGACTCGACCTGTCAACCAGTACATATGTGCCGTTCGCTCCAAACATTTTACCAAGTTTTTTTTAGGTATATCGGCGCTTTCAGATCACATTCACCACTGCAACGAGCGCAGCTCAGTTTATCGATGCTGTCCGACCAGTTTGTCCTTGTCGATTGAATCCACAGCCGCAGCCTCTGGTCACTCGCATCCCTACTGTAGCTACGACAGGCCTTCTTGACGACATTTCCCGTCGAGGTACTATGCTCCCAACTGTTTCACAAGATCGGCCATCGATAGGCGGAACCCCCCACAGACCAGCGCCGACTACACTCCTTTCAGAAAATCCATCATCCGAATCCGATTTACCGGTATTCACACCATCGACGCCGGTTAGGTTCACACCTGTGGCTCTGAGCAGCAGTTCTGCGAAAACGACATCCGTGGCTGCATCCTCTCACGACAGTACCTTCGTTACACCTCCAGAAACACCTCGGATAACCATCCCAAAGTCTAGCCAATGCCAGGCACCGTCTGGCTCCATCAGTTCTACCAAAGGCTCTTTACCTGATTCTTCCCAGCCGTCTTCGTCTACTCGCAGTAGTTCAAACACGATGCCCCCGCCTCCACTGCCTTCGAGCGTCACACGATCTCTTCAATCGGAAAGTCGATCATCAGAAGGTCGTAATTCAACTCGGGCCCAGCTTGTTGCATCACTGTATGACACACCGGCCCTTCACAAGCTCTCCCATGCAGAGCTAGAATCCATCGTAGCACAAGTCATCAGAGAGGAAGGTTTTGCCCAACTGGTAAGTGTTCTCGAAGTCATCAAATGAAAGGAACCATAACCTCAGATGACGCTGCTAATCGGATCCCCTCAGCTTGCTTCCTTGGACACCATGTGGAGAGTGAAGGGTTTTCTTGGTCAGTGATGCCTGATAGTCTTGAACATATCCATTTCTTGCTATCCTTCCAGTAGAAATTTTGCGAAATGTTGCCTTGTACAGGTATAAAGTCTCGGATGTTACTGTCAAGTACCTGTCTCGTCCATTGCTTCCATCGATGTGCCAGCAACTTGCAAGTCATGAACGCTTTCCACACCGACACCTCTAAGTACCGTTCCGATCTTCTCTTGCTCTAATGCCTGGCATTCGGACTCGCTTTTCACCATCAGCATGCCAGCAAACCCAAGTGAGTTGATGCTCAACGTCGCCCCCGACTCTCCTAGGGTATAGGTTTCCCAGCGTCGCGGGATCAAGTGCATGTGTTCCAAGGTTAGAATCACATTATAGGAAGGTGTTCCAGGCGGGTAGTCCGGGGCATGTCGTACGGTCGAAATCACAAGATCCAAGAGGGATAGGAATGGGAGGAACAATACTTGTTCGAGCTGCTCCGGTGACGCACCATTCGACAGAGCCGGAAGCCGATATACATGGTTAGCGTATGGCACGGATGAGAGCGAGAAGGGTTTGCCTGAGGATTACTCAGGGTGAGATATCTAGTAGAGTAGTAGCAGTATAGAGTAAGTACCTGAGACTTCAAGGTTTGCGGCTTTGGCTAATCTTTCGATTGGAGGTCCATCATCCTCAACTTCGATGAACTGGATATGTTTGTGACTTTGACTGGCTCCACTGTTTGATCCGCCTTTGATGAATGCTCAGTACATCCTTGCCATCGGATCGTCATGTCACGAGAGATCCTCACAATTGTAGAAAGCAAAATAATTTTTATGTGCTTTCCGGGCTGCAAGGAGCAGCAGATAAGTTTGGACCAGATCATGAGGCATCAACGGTGAAGTTTGCGGCATAAATTCTGTCGATCATATGCATCAGCGCGTGATCATGGAGTTTAGATAGCTGGTAGGGAACCTTTGGTCACAAGAAGGAAATGATGGGGGACGACCGAGTACTTGTTTAGCTGGATGCACTTGAGCTGATGCTCGGAGGGAGAACTTAGTTGAGCGTACCAGTACACCATATTCCGCCTCGGATGATTCGTCGCGCAGATCACCAACGTGAAGATTTGGGACATATGGAGGTGCAAATGGATCAGAGTTCTTGGAGGTCTCGTCTATCTGATTAGATGGTGCGATTCCCGCTTCCCCAGCAGGTACCGGTTTCTTTTGAAGTGCTGTACATAGGCGAATCTCCCACTGTGAATCGATCACTCGTATGAACTATCATTGTGTTGATGAAAGCAGACGGAAACGGACCTCTATCCCGATCTCCTCATGCTTGCTCACTTCCGAGGGGAAGAAAAACAGATCCCCTGAAGACTGCGCAGTTTCAAACCGACTGGGTAGTGCAGATATGATATCAGAGGCCTTCATGACTGAACTGCACATGTCAATATTTGGTCACCGGCGTGTGAGCACAAATCGGCAAGTCGTAGTACTATACCGTGACTGTACAAAGTAATGGTCACGGCGCTGGCGCCAGCCGACTCGCTTATTCTCCATAGAAATATGTTGTAGGTTCAAAACCTGCTCAACAATCCTTCAATTCCTTTTACCACACCTTGAACATTCACTCATGGATGGATCCTTCATGAGGTCTATCTCGAGTAGTCATAGCCAACTGGCACTAGAACAGATTAGAAATATGCTTTCTTGGGTGGTGCGGATTCAAAACCTGCCGACAAACTTTTGATTTTCCCTCTCATCACACCTTATCGCAACTTCAATGACATTCATTCACGGACAGTTCGAATTCGGAGGTTCATATCAACTCGGGAAGTGTCCTAGTTACTATGACCTAGGCCGCCGATGCATTACCTACCCCTTTCATCACACCTTGACATTCACTCATGGATGGTTTCGTCGGAGGTTCATCTTAACTGCTCTGAGCTAAGCGGTTACCACAACAGAATCGAAATCTGACTGTGCAGGTTTGAAACCTGTCGACAAGTAATTTTTCCCTCTTGTCACATCTTGACATTCATTCATGGACAGTTCGTCGGAGAATCATCTCAACTTCCTGCTGGCGAAACTGGCTGGTAACCACAACAGAATCGAGATCTGTTGCTCCTCGGCTGTGCGGGTTCGAAACCTGCCGACAGATGACTTTTTTCTGTAACACGCCTTGAAGATTCACTCATTGATGAGTTCCTCGGAGGTCCATCTTAACTGGTCTTAGCCAGGTGGTCACCGCAGCAGAGTTAAAATCTGTTCCTCCACAAGTTGGACTTCACAGGTTCGAAACCTACCGACGAGAAGGTTGTTTTTACTCCAAAGCACAAGTTTCAGGAACATGAAGAGGATATATGGATTTTTACAACAACGCCCATATCATGAGTGCTTCATGGGACGCATCATTCAGAAGTGGAACAGTACCGTGGCACAGGAGGTGTCGGACAATAACGGAAAGGCGGTTGGAACACCCCAGGTTTGAAACCTGCGATGACAGGGATCGGAACACCTTGACATTGACTCATGACTGGTTTCCTCATAGGTCTTTCTCAATAATTCTAATGAAGTGGTTACCACAACAGATTCGAAATCTGTTTCTCTTGGATTGCGCAGGGTCGAAACCTGCAACTTACTGTTTTTTTTTTCGGAACACGCCTGGACAGAATTCACTCAGGGATGGTTCGTCGGAGATTAATCTCAACTGGTCTGAGCCAAGTGGTCACCACAACAGAATCGAAACCTGCCGACGATAAGGTTTTTTTCTATCGGAACACTGTGCACCTTGACATTCACAATGGACGGTTTCGTTGGAGGTTCATCTCAACTTCGTCCTGACCAAAGTGGTTGCCACAGCATAATCTAATCTTGGACTGTGTCAGTGAAGGTTCGAAACCTGCCGACGACAAGGTGTTTATTCTATCGGAAATCACTTTTAAAATTCACTCATGGATGGTTTCCTTGGAGGTCCATCTTACGACAAGGTATTTTTTCTATCGGAAAATGCCTTGAAAATTCACTCATGGATGGTTTCCTTGGAGGTCCATCTTAATTGTGATGTTAGCCAGGTGGTTACCGCAACAGAATCAAAATCTGTTGAACCTGCCGTCAGCCGACAACAAGCTTTTTTTTCTCTATCAGACCGATGATGGATCGCGATGTGGAACGGCTTTTGAATCGAGCGTGGATCGCCAACTCTGACTCCCCCTATTCACTCATGAATAGTTTCGTCGGTTGTTGATCTTGACTGGTTTCAGCCAAGGGTTACCACAACAGAATCTAGATCTGTTTCTCTTCGACTGCGCATTCAAAATTTGCCGAACGACACGTTTTTGATGACATTCACTCACGGATGGTTTCGTGGAAGGGTCACGTAACAAGCCAAGTGGTTAGCCTACACAACAGAGTCAAAATCTGTTTCTCTTGGAGTTGGTTCGAATCCTGCTGACAACATTTTTGCGGTGCATGCGTCTTCGGAGGTCTTAACTAGGCCCACTCTTTATTTATGTAATAGTAATAGTCTGTCCATGAAAAGGAATTCACCTTCACGCCCCGCGAGGATCGTCTCAGAAACATAAGGTGTACACCTAGATTCTCGACAGACTGACCAAAACTGTCGGGATTCACCACCAAACAAAAAACAAAAACATTAATGGGGCCGGAGGCCAGAAGAATACACGTAAGTTATGTAAGGACAGAGTGAGTCTGACAGTCAGGAAAATGATGTAACCTCCCAGCAACGCTGAAGCCTCATCAAAAGACACTCCTACGGTCGTCAGTTCTTCCAACGTGACCGAATCCCGATCAATCTGTTGTCTGCCCGTCGCCCGAGCCTCAAGGCTTTCCAAATCGAGATATGCTTTTCCACCCCACCCACCATATATAACATCTTCACGACCAGCGGTGCACGTAGGTTCACATGTGACATGTGTCGTCTGAAACCCGATGCTTGATTTCTTGATACAATCATGATTTACATACAACAGGGAGCAAATGATATCGAAAAGGGAAACTGGTATGCCGTAGTCACAGACTGACAGTATACACCTTGAGAAATTTGGGAATTGCATGCATAAACGCACACGTTATGCCTCACCCACTCGCCCTTTGTTTCTTATTGCAGCCTCCATTTTCTCTCTCAATGCTAATGCGCGGATATAGAACATTGCAGCAATTAATGACCACAATGCCGCATTTGTACCCTATTGTGTTGCATGAGAAAGTTGATAATACAATACGTATGGAAACTCACTTGGTAGAATAATACCGTTCCGGCTGCTTGCATTATCAGTAACACCACTCTAAGAGCGATGCTCCTTTGTATGGCAGTTCCCTTAAGTATGGGAAGGGGATATTCCAGCGCGACCATGACAAACCCGAGGGCCATTGTAGCTATCTGCACAATAGGGAATTTGACAATAACGGTGATGAATATAGCAAACTTGGGTGACGGTCTACGCAAGATATCATGAATATAAATTAGTACGCGAATTCTTCCGACACTCACTGCAGACCACCGGGAGAGCGCAAGATGCCACCAATGAAGTCCCAGAAGAACTTGCGAAAGAAGAAACCCCAGAAACTAGCCCATACTGCATCTGTTAACGTCAGGTAAGATGGTTTCCACCAGATAAAGGGATGTGACGTACAAACACTCGCCGTGAGGGAGATGTAGCGACTTAATTCGTGCCAGATGAGCTTTCCCATTGGTTTAAGAGATCGGTGGTCGACAAAGGGGTGGATAGCCGTAGAAGTGAGTGTGTCGAGCGCTGCTCGGAGTCGGCTCAAAAGACAATTGTTGGTGTGTCGAAAGGAAGCGAATGGAAATGTGCTTTAGTGCACAAGGAAGAGACCAGCTCAACCAATGTAATGAAAGAAAGTTGGTGGAAAGATGACTTGAACTCGGAAGCTAGTGATACAAAGATGAGGACTTTATAGGACACACATACACTCGGGAGAACGGCGAAACTTGGCACTGCTACGTGACCACTGCACATGGGTCTCTAAGGCAATCTCCGGCTATTGACTATTTTTACAAGGGGCGTGCCGCGTGCATTGTCTATAAAGCAAAAATGGAAACTCAACATTTCTTCAGACGAGGCGATTCATTGTATTGCGAAAATTAATTAAATAAAAGCGAAAGTGACAACATCAACCACCAACGAGCTCAAACTCAACAAGTACTACAATTGAGGTGTCCTTGCCTAACGAATCGAATAAAAAATTCCGGCTGTCAGTTGAGGTATGTCAATCACTCCGTGAATTCTCTGTGTCCTAGAATATTATGATCTACGTAACAAATTATCTCACCACCTGTGACAACCGGTACGCGGCGACCTGATACACTGCACTACATCGCCAAAGCTCCGTTCTTCCAGTCGCGCGCATGTATCAGATAACGTGCAGTTGCGGTGTTGAGCGGCCAGAGGCAGTATCCAGGGAAAATCTATCTTTAGGATGACTTCAACTTGGTAGGTACTTACCTGAAGGCGGTTATAGAGCTAGAGTGCCCCAGTTGTCATGAGATAAACATGAAAAACACAGATTAATGATATAAACAAAGTGCTATTGGTGCACGGCGCCCGCCACCATCACCATCACTTATCTGTTCGTCACGATAGGCTTTAGCTGTGCTCCTTGAATGAATCCGTGAGAGTCAAGTATTTTGAACCGTGAGGAAGAGAAGACTATCCCCGAGGGTCATCATTAGGAGGTTTGTCGACGGCGATTGCTTGAATACTAGTACTTGGCAGTTACTGTACTAGTATATGGGCCGGTAATGCGAGTGGAGCCACTTCAAACGCTACCGTCAACAAAGACAAAGCAAAGATTCTCACGATATAGCAGGGCGCCCTTAGCCTCTATCGTCCATGGCGTCCAAGAAAAAACCTGCGAAAGTGCCACCTGTTCTTTCTACCTCAAGAGACCTCGTGCCAGTAGGGCCACGCCATGTTCAAGCCTCAAAACATGGAGGCAAACGAGATGAAAATGGTTTCAAACCCACTACTTCTCGAGCCCTGGTCTTACGAAATGGTAAATTTGGAGCAAGAGGCACCGGGGAGGTTATGCTTTCAAGTAAAATGAGCGGCAGGGAAAAACTTGATTTGCTTGCAGGCAAGTCGTCCATCTTGTCGATTAGCACGCAATCGGCTCATTCGAGGTACGATGGCAGAGGACCTTGTCAATGAGCATGCACGAACTGCTGTAATGTCACCTCTGAAACTGGCAAAATGCATCAAGATCGCAGACTCTCAGTTCAATGGTATGCGATCGCATGCCTAAGCCATACCTTGCGTCTCATGTGATCTAGCATATTTGGATGATATCACTAATTTACAAGACCCGGAATCTTTCCACCGGAAGATCACCGAGGAACTGAATGCTCGTACACCATATGGAACGACGAAGAATGGCAGGGAGGTACGATCAGATCCCTCCTATGTGGCGTCCATCATCGCAATCAGGTACGTCGTCTAATGCTCCATTTTTAAATGACTCGATCATCACATGTCGGCTATGTAGGATTCACAATACGTACATGGTCGCTTCAGCATGGAAAATCGTCGTTGACTCTTTGCGAGCGCTTGAGAAGTCTGGCCTCAATGACGCAACGGCTCACATTCAGCTGCAAAAGGATCAGGGTTTACTAGCTCGTTATCTTGTCGTTTGTGATCTGGTCTCTAACTTAGTTGATCTTGGTCAAAAGAAATTCTCTGTGCTTGCCACCACTACGCGTACGGCAACATCTTGTCAATTTTGTGCATCACACGCTCTAACTATGTGACAGCCCATTATGCTCGTTACTTCAAGGCGATTGAGAACACCGATCCAGGTGAACCCGAGATAGCCTTTGATTGGGCTGGTCTCAAGGATGCATGCAAGTCATTCCTAGACTCCATCATCATTGAGCTATGCTTTCCCAAGCAACCCTATCCGAAGAGGATTCTGTACCACATCCTGCACGATGCAGTTGATGAGTCTCCGAGAGAAGCAAAACGTTTTCCCCAGACTATGTGGGATGCCGTCGGCGAATTATCTGTATGTCGTAGAGCTGCAGGTCTTCTATGGGGTCTCCCTAGCTGACTATCGGCATCCGTAGGTCGTGTTGGAACTCCAGGAGCTTCTTGATAGTCCTTTGTTAGGACCGCAGGGTGAAAAAATGAAGCAGACACCTCGCAAGATGCCCGAGCAGTATGAGCAATGGCTTGATGCGCAAATATTTTCCCAGCAAGCATCGAATAACTATGCCAGTTTCAAGGACCTCGTTTTCCCGCTCAGCCGCACTGAAGACCGGACAGTCCTCAAAGACATGTGGAAACATGTCGACGTGGTACGTTCTGCAGTAATCTTCTCATCAGTCCCGTTGCCTTGACATTATAAATTATAGAATTACAACAACGTTTCCAACATGTCCATAGATACTCTTTGGCAGCTTGATGAAGCCCTTCGCCGTACACCTCAATGGAGTGCATTCTATGTCCCTCTCTTTGCAGGTCATGATTCAGATTCAGACGATGCGGGTAATTTGGATTTGATCCCAGTCAAGAGCAAAGGCGGAAAGAAAGGCGGTGGACACAAGCGACCATCGAAGAAGATGCTCGCCATCACCGACGGTCGTGGAGATGACGATAGTGATGGCTCCATGCCTGAGCTCCAGTCCGTCTCCGACTCTGACGAAAGCGACGACGATATGATAGACTCTGACCAGAACTTTGGCGATGAAGACGACGACAGTGATGAGTACGGGACGGAATCTGAATATGATTCTGATGAAGAGGAGCAATATCGCAATATGTTGCGAGAGGCTATGGATACGGCGATGGCCATTCCCGAATTTTTCGATGCGAAGACTGAAGTGCCCGAGTTCGAAGCCATAGCTGAGGAGAGGAAGGGCAATCCGTTCTTAAAGCTCCTTGGCTCGTTAAGAGGTCGATTTAACAGCTCTTATGGTTACCATCTACTTACAATGGTTGCGGAATACAGGACGTATGTTCTCATCGAGCGCGAAGCTCAGTTCTGAGAAGCGCGGTGAACCTCGCAAGGGCATTTTCGCTACCAAGGCTGCCCCAAAGCCCAAGCCAGCTCCAGCCCTTAAGATCGATTTGTCCGGTATTCCAGAGGATGAGCTACCTCCACTGCGACCCCTTCCGACTCCTCGGAAGAAACGAGTGCCCAGGGCCCTCGGGGCCAAGCCGCCACATGCTGCTGGTTTGTGTTCGTCAATGCTTCCCCGTACATCCAGACCTGATTTATTCCTATGCAGGAGCCTCTTCTGCACAGCCTAAAGATACTCGCACGACAGTCGAAGAAGTCGACGATGAGGATGACGCCGATGCCGACACTGCTTCTGCTAGCAAGAAGAAGAAGAAAAAGAAGCCCAAGAAGAAGAAGACTGACACAGATCTGCCTGTCCTCCCCGAAGATGCCCCCGCGTCTCCTGTGACACCTGCAGCGCGCGTCGCGTCTCCCCCTTCTAGCCCCTCAAAGGCAAGCCCTGCTAGGAGAGCCAGCTTGAACAGCTCGGCGACAACCCTTCTCAACAACATGTCGACTGCTTCACTGCCGCTGACAGAACAGACTACCGCTCATTCTGGTCATTCTTTCCTGCAGGAGATCTCTCAGAAGGAGAAGATCAAATCTCGTCCTGATCATGCATCCATGTTCAATCGCGGGTTTTTGACCAAGGGCAAAGACAAAGCGAAGGATAAAGAGGAAAACAAGGATACTGTAAACAACAAACACACGTGGTTTTCGAAATTGGGTAAGAAGACGACTGGATACATGCATCAGCTGCTTCGTGCTGGAGACGACGAGAGACGGGGAGCAATGAAGTGGGAGAACTTCCTCAAGGTGCTTCGTTTTTGACATAGGTATCGATTGAGGGGATGCTCATGCACGTCCACAGGTTATGCGTGACATGGGCTTTTCTTATGATCCCAGTACCGCCGGGTCATCTGTGCGATTCGATCCGCCCAACGAAGGAGATAGGGTATGTTATTCAGTATATCAGGAATTCTACCATGATGCTGACCTTCTTACACAGTCCATCACATTCCACAAGCGTATGTACAACCTCGCTCAATTAACTCCCTTTCTGATCTTCGTTTATATAGCTCACCCGGATCCCACTCTGTATCCTGTGAAGATCAAGGAATTCGGTAAGAAGTTGAAGGAATACTATGGATGGGATGAGGAAGATTTCCTGAAGCGGGCCGCTGCTGCTGCGTAATTGCTTTTTGATCGTTTTGCTCAAATCATCTTCAGGCTTTGCCTATTGTTCTGATAGCGATATGTTCCTTTATGATACACGATGTAATGTATGAGAATGTCCGTAGGAGTGTGGTATTCGAAATGAACTGTTCATCTCACCCCTCATGAGCAGCTATTTGGGGTATGATCAATTCATATGGGAGGTGGTCCTATGACCTTGATTGCGGCTCTATTTAGATGAGCCTTGGATGCTCGGGCTGGAGCACAATTAGAACTAGTCAGGCACAAGGCTCTTATACTCACGGCGGCCGGTTTCGATTGCGCTAATCATGCCTTGTTGCCAGTTCTCAGCAAGTGCCTTGGACATGGCAGGGTCGCGGTTCCGCAAGGATGCACCGCCATCGCGAAGAGAGAACCATAAGAATCGAATTAAATCCTCGCAGAGGATGATGATTTGAGCGGTGTCGGTGCCTCGGCGCTCATTGACGCATGAAACGGTCTCCTCGCTGGCCTCGTTTATTTCTTCTAGGCGTGCAATGAAACTTGCTCGAGTTTCGACACCTCCTCCATGCATCTGTGGGATTTCAGACGTACTGAGGATATCGTCGGACAGTACTCACTCGGAAGAACTGCGAAGCACTCGGAGGATTCGATCGACGCTCAATTTCGATCACAAAGCTGTGACGCTGCATTTAGCTGCTAGTACGAGGTGACATATGATCAACTGACCAATGCGTAGCAAGTCGGTCCGGTGGACTGTTTGCAAGATTCATTGCCCACATCGCCCAGTTATGCAATTCGTCCCTCCAGTTATTGATCCACTTGGAAAGGGCTGTATTTAAGGCATTGCTGGCAGGGTCACTTGCAAGGCTCTCGCGTAAATTTGGGTTGCATCGTAGCTTGTGGGTTTTCCACGACGCGACCTGACATTCCTTCGAGCAGTAACGTACCAGTCTGCAAAGGCCAGAATTAGCTAATAATATTGTAGGCAGTGAGGAGCGGCTCCTCCGCGAGTTCTACTTACCGGCAGCGACCGCATGTCTTGACCTTGTCGCGACCGACGTCGGTATTGCAGTACATACACCGTCCTTTGAAATCTTTATCTTCTGAAGACATTGCAGCTGCAGAAGAAAAGAGCAGAGCGCTGGCGGCAGCTGCCAAGTACCGTAGTGAATTTAAGTATTAGGACATGTGTTGATTACCTAATTTCATTAAATGTAATACTTGTTTAACCACGAATGGGCAGATAATAACTTGGCTCGCCGTTAAACGATGGCGGCGAAGCCTCCGCCTGCACGACCGCACATTGGCCTGCACTCATCATCATTCAATGCAAGATCTAACGCAGACTGGGGAGAAGACGATGTTTGGGATAGTGGATCGGACTCTGAATCACCTCGCCAGTCCACAATCTCGAATTCGTGGCGGCTCCCTCCTTCTCCATCATATAGACGCCAGTCATCTCCGATAACAGCACCAAAACCAGTCCCTAGAGCCTCTAGCAACTCTTCTTCATCCAATGTCTCATTCTCCTACACTCATCTCAGTGCGCCAAGTCCAGGCTCTTACCCTTCAAATACCGATACCGCTCAACCTCCAAGGGGTGGATGGACAATGGTTAGAAAATCTAGCACTTCACAGGATGCTTTAGGTGCCAAGTTACCCAAAGATATTGATCCAAATGGCGATGCGGACGTCGACAGTGACATGGTCGTAGGGGATTTCGAGCCAGAAGTGGAGCAGACTGCTGGCACTGGCGCTAAAGCTAAACTAGACCAAGGCTCTATCAAATCTGATGCTATCGAGCTTATGAACGGTATTGACTTCTATTAAGTTCATTTCCACATCTAATCAGACATCTAGATCCATTTTACAGGTTTCTCCGTTCTCCTCAACCACCACCCCAACCAAGATTTAATCATAGAATGGGCCATTCCCCACGTTCGAGTGATGCTGAGAAGCTCCTGCGGGAGAGCTCAATTCGCACAAATCGACGAATTAAATTCATCGATTGTCTTAGCAAAGATGATGTCAATATTAGTGCGCGCTCTTGTAGGCTTTCACTGATCATGCACCTGAGGTTTCATAAATAGGCGAACTCCGTAAATTAGCTTGGGCGGGTACTCCCAACGACCTAAGAGCCGCTGTATGGCCAATTCTTCTCGTAAGTCATATTTCCTGTATATCCTTACCTTCTAATGTCGATGCTTAGGGTTACCTCCCCTTGCCATCAAATCTTCGGGCTTCCACTCTTGCAAGAAAGAGAGGAGAATACTCATCATTGGTCGAACTAGCGTTCGCTCGGGATCGCCAAGGGCTCGACCAACAAATATGGCATCAGATCGAGATCGACGTACCACGGACGAGACCTGGTGTACGTTTATGGATGCAGGCATCCACTCAGCGTGTAAGTCATTGCGATGCTATTCCAGCAGATGCTAATATCTCTGCCGCAAGTAGAGTCTCGAAAGAATTCTCTATGTCTGGGCAATACGACACCCAGCAAGTGGATACGTTCAAGGCATCAATGACCTTGTTACCCCATTCTTCCAGGTTTTTCTCTCCGCTTACATTGGTATGAAAATATCATTTCATGACTACTTGTAACGTTAAGACTACTTGCAGATTCGGACCCCGAAGAATTTGATACCTCTCTGCTCCCGACAGCTGTCCTGAGTGCTGTCGAGGCAGATTCGTTTTGGTGCTTGTCACGTTTGTTAGACGGCATTCAGGATAACTACATCTCAGCACAACCTGGCATTCAACGAAGTGTCAAGCGCATGGCAGAGCTGGTTGCACGTATTGATGGTAAGTTCCTTTCCACCTGCACGCAATGCCTGCTGATGATCGAGCAGCCCCCTTATATGCACACCTCGAGTCCCAAAATGTTGAATTCATGCAGTTCGCTTTCCGTTGGATGAACTGTCTTCTGATGCGAGAAATCAGTGTGAAAAACACGATCCGCATGTGGGACACGTACCTGGTGAGCTGGTCACACCTTCGTAGGATATCCTTTATTAATCGTATGCTCCCAGGCTGAAGGAGCGGATGCATTCTCTCAATTCCACCTTTATGTATGCTCTGCATTCCTCGTCAAATGGAGCGAAAAGCTCCGGCAAATGGACTTCCAGGTACATCCACCTTTGTCTTCTTAGGATTGCGTGTCTTACGTGTGCTAGGGTATCATCATGTTCCTGCAATCCCTCCCGACGCAGGACTGGGGAGACCACGAGATTGAGATGCTTCTCAGTGAAGCTTTCGTGCTCAATTCCATATGGCACAACGCTCAAAGTCATTTTAATGCTAAATAGCTATCTTATCCATACTCCAACGGCGCAGCGTACGTGTAAGATATGGTCTGAAGTACGATCTATGATGCAAAGGGTAAAGCTTCCCGAGTCTTCAACAACTCGGAGAGAGCCCTTCTCAGAAATGCAACTATGCTAGATGATGCTATGAGCAAAGAATACGGAAATGTGCAATGTAGAAACGGAGGTATACGAGGGAGTGTGTAAAATTAGACATGAGCAACATTAGAGACATGAAATTACCAACCCCTCAATTCGACTCCTTGATAGCTGCTACCTCGCGATCCAAAGCATTCTTGAGTTCCTGAGCTTGCTCAGGCGTTTTTACACGGATTCGGAACGATGCCGGAGCACCTTCATCGTGTCCGACAAAGGATATCATCGTCTTCATCAGTGTTGGGGTTAATGACACAAACAACCTGAAGTTCTGACGGCACGCGTAGGTAAGCAACTGGAGTTGAATACAAAATGGTAGAGACTAACAATGATAATCCTCCCGGTGGCACTGTTTCGCATCAGTGCGCGTCGTGCGCCTGTCTCCTTATGTTTCTTCAAACGGAACATACCTATCAAAAGTCAGCAAGATTGTGGATGACCCCAAAACAAAGAAACCCTGACCAACACCCAGGTCCTTCCACTCGGACTTGTCAGAAGTCTTCAAAAGCTTGAAGACTTTAGCCTTTACAGTATACGTCGTCTCTTCATCTTCTTCACCCTCGCCTTCACCATCGTGATTGCTAGTCGGCAGCAACTTTGCATCGTCTTGCGTGCCCTCGTCGCCGGCAGCAGGTTGAGACCCTGATCGACTGGCGGTGTCCATTGACGGAGAGACAGACTTAGTTGGTGGAGCACCAAAACTGAATTCCGTGGGGGCGCCGGATGAAGACGCAGAAGCCCCATCTGCAGGCTTCGCGACGCCGAATCCAAACCCTACTGGGTTGCCAATACTCCCCCCTCCCGCCTTCCCAAACGTAAATCCGTTTCCTTTCGGTGGCGAGCCTCCGCCAAACGTGCCGAAAGCACTGGTGGGTTTGTCGGCGGCGGCAGATGCGAAAGCGTTGGTAGGTGGTGTGAAGGAGGAGCTACCAAACAGACCGGTGGTACTTCCGGTTTTGGATTCTTCGTTTCCTGTATCGGTTTTAGCGGATACTTTATTGAATAGGTCTGAGGACCCTGGGGTGAAGAAGGAGGGCGTCTTTGAGTCAGTATTGTTACCAAATATTGAGGTTGTGGTGCCGAATGCTGATGTTGGCTTTAAGTCGGAGAACGTGGATGATACTGCCTTGGATGACGCGAAGAAGTTGGGAATGCCTGAACTAGATCCAAATGCGGATGAGGAGGATTTTGAATCATCTTTGTCTTTGCCGGGTGCAGGTGCGGCTGATGGGGCGAATGAAAATGGACTCGGACCTGACGAGCTGGGATCATCGGATTTAGGCCCGAATGAAAAGGCGGATTTCGGGGCTTCCGAAGTGCCAAAGGGAGACGGCGTTGCAGGAGTATCTTCACTCGTTTTGGCACCCATACTGAAAGTTGGAGTCGAGTTCGTGCTGGAAGATGATGTAGAGAAGGGGAAGGCACTTTTGGGTGCCAAGCTCTTATCCGTTCCATTCGTGGATGAAGTAGGTAATGATGAGGAGGCAAGGCTACCGAATCCAGAGAAGCCCTTTGGTACTGGAAATCCAGTCGTTGAAGGTGCAGCCTTCTCGAGCACAGGAGGGCCAGAAGCTGGTGCCTTCTGGCTAGTGGCTTTGGACGAGTTATCAAGATCTGTTTGGACGGTAGTCCGCAGATTCTTATAACTCTCAAGAAGGCCTGCAATGTCAATAAAGGGATCCTGGTCTACAGCTTTTTGGATCGCTGACAAAAAGGAGACGTTAAGACCACGAATAGACTTGTAATAATTCAGTTCTGCGTTGTAATCTTCATCTGAAGTACTCGAGGATGCAGTGACAGTACTCGGTGATGCATTGGTAGTACTAGCGGCTTGTACGACCGATGCAAAGCCTTTTGTAGCAGCAGACGCAGAAGGCGTAACGTTTGAGGTCGCGAATGCAGTGGCAGCTGGAGGGGTGAATGAGAAAGGACTTGGTCCAGCTCCTGAGCCAAATCCTGAGAAACCACCAAATTTCGGAGAAGCGGGGGGTTCCTGAATGGACTTTTATTGGAAAGATTTGCGAGGCATTGACTAAGTACTCACCGAATCCGCGGATACAAGAGGTGCGCTGGGAAGTCCGGCGAAAGACAAAGCTTTATTTGAAGTCACGGTTCGCTTGGGCAAACTACGTATTCTGGGTGTTACATGATAAGCGTTGCTCACTACAGTTCCTGGACACTCACTGTCGCTTTACGAGGACAGACTCGTCTGCCTTTTGGAAACCCTTGCCAGGGTCTTCGACTTCCTACTCGCGTCAATGACCAGTCAAGACAACGGGAAGAATTGTCATCATACCTCTATGTCGTCCCCGTCGTCCTTGCTGATTTGTCTCTCTGCGCCTCTCTTCATGGTGGACAAAGCACGAACAGACTGACCCAAGGCCCTTCAGATTAATTATTACTGTTCAAAGTGAAATATTAGGTAATCAGACAGATTGTCGGAGTTGTTGGGGTCATAGTGCTTAACTCAAAGATACGCTATCCCTTTCTATCGACCTCACTGCGGCTGCTCCGTGAACCCGCTTTTCGCTCGTCAGTGATGTCAACGACAACCGTAACGGCCATGGACTCTCGCTCTTCATCACCAACAACACCTGAATCTTCCGACGGTCATCATCCTGTTACCCTACACCATGACCATAACCTATCAGCCTGGTATAACTCAATTCGTCCAAGGAAGACCTTTCCCGAAATTGGCGTTTGGGACAATGAGCCTATGCGTAGTGTCATGAACAAACCTGACAACGAGAGGATGCTCCAACTTGATGACCTAATAGATGAGCATGCCTATGAAGAGTATGTCTTGAAAAGGTTCTCTTGTCCGATCGCTGTCGTTGACGTGTCATATACCCTGGTTTAGCTCGGCCTGTTCTGCACCAGAATCCTCTCCTATTCTGCCTCAAGTCATTCCAGATTGTTTGAAACCGGATGCAATCCACCCGACAGGCGACAGCTGTGTATCTACTGCGCAAGCTCCTTTAACTGAGTCCGACTATCTTGTTCCCTCCCAAATGCAGATGCATTGTTCACCTGTAATCCCTCCCCCTGCTGTGCGTTCACCCAAAAGGGATTCATCTACCGCTCAGCATCGAGTCGTTTTTCCTCCACGAGAATCTTGCTACAAGTGCGTCTGTCTTTTGTTCGAGTATCCAGTTTTTCATATTTTAATCTGTGAAGCCTTCCTATCCTGACCCCTAATATCCCCGAACACGGCACAAAGTCTCGTGTAGAGACTCAAGTGCGCGTCACGTTGGACTTGGCGCATGCTAGCTCATCGTCAGGGGAACCGTACTTGTACGATAGGGTCGGTTCGTGGAAATGGCTAAAACTTCCACCAGGGACTTTCACCAAGAAGCGCACTCGTCGGGAAGGGAAGATAGGTACTGATGATACTTTTCTGTCCCTTGCACAAACTCACCATTAATCAGACCCTTCTCCCTTGGATATGTTACACCTTACCACGACCGTGACATGCGCTACATCACCACACAATCGCGTGCTAAGCTGCGGAAGCTGTAGAAACCGAGAGGTTGGTACCTCTCTATCATCAGAGTTCCATGCTAACTTTGTTTTCCCTTTTAGGCAAAGCGCGTGGCTAGGAAAATCGCAGCTCGTGTCAGACCCGCCAGGTCTGGCTCAGATACCCCAGAGGACGGTAATGAACGACCAAGAGGCAACAAGGAAGACACGACTAGCATCATTCAGTTCAACTGCCCCGAAGTCCTTGACTTCGAAACAGGGTCGGTTGTGCTTCCCGTCCGCATCACATGCTACTGCAGACATCACCGCGAAAAGGTCGGGTTTCATATCCATTTCACGATGATGGATCATACTGGACGCATCGTCGGTTCGGGAACGACTCCTCCGATTATGATTACGGATGACCACAAGTCGACGACCAAGTCGAATTCTGTGTTCAATCTCCTCACTGAAACCGAAATCGACTTGTCCCAGATCACACCAAGCAGGGAATTGGCGGACAAGCGTGCACCCTCGAAACGCAAGGCAACAAACGTGAAAGGCCAGCCAAAGAAGCGAGCAAAACCATATGACGCTACTAGTAGAAACGGCCTGGTGAAATTTGTGAGAGAGGCCAGCTTCACGTCTCAGCCTTCAACAGTGCCTAGTTCCCGGTCTCCTACACCCCCTCGCCTTCTAGTGCCCACGCCATCTTGCTCATTATCTCAGATTGAAAATGGCACCATTCCTTCCGCAGCTATGTTTGGTGTCAATGGGTTTCAACAGCCAGAAGATGCACAAGCTAATTCATTCGTCTCAAATCCAGTAATATCGCCAGTATCAAGCTCCATATCATCGCCTCTCATTTCTCCTGTATCGCCGCCCATCCCACAACTTGTTCCACAACCGACGTCATTCCTTTTCTTCAACTCTATATCACCTGCCCTCGTTGCCCCACTCACTCTCCCTAAGATCCACCGTCTTATACCCGCTTCTGGTCCTACACATGGCGGTATTGAAGTGACTATCCTTGGTGAGAATTTCCACCATGTTCTTCAACTTAATTGCGTCTTTGGAGACGTCCCCGCAAGCTCTACTCAACGTTGGAGCGACAACACCTTGGTCTGTGTCCTACCCCCTCGAGCCTCCCCGGGTGTTGTCGCTGTTTGGTTCGAGGGCTTCGAGAAGACAAACGATCCCTCGTTCCCTTCTCTGTTCACATACACTGACGAGTCAGACAGAGCCCTGTACGTCACACCGATAGCATTTTACCTTTTTTCGCTTAAGTATTTCATTTCCAGGATGGAGCTGGCCCTACAGGTCGTCGGACTCAAAATGACAGGCAAGATCGAAGACGCAAAGAACGTCGCTCGCCGTATCGTCGGAAACGCAGGAAACGAAGACTCTCCAACATCCTCAGACGCTAACGACATGATGCACATCGTTGCATCCTCGTCTTATCGCGAAATACGACCACTTCTCTTCGTACGGTCGGACGAAGGAGAAAATTTCGAGACCACGATCGTCAAGTTCCTTTCCATGATAGATGTATCCGTCGACAACCAATCCACTATCACCATGAGTTCTGCAGTTTCGCACTCTACATCTGATGGGCAGACGCTCTTGCACCTCGCGTCGTTCTTGGGCTTTGCGGAGCTCACGAAATTCCTGATCGCACACGATATTGATCTGGACGCACGTGATAGGAATGGTTATACGGCTCTTCATTTTGCTGTGTTGTCTCTATCCAAACCTTGTTTGGAGTTGCTGGTAGCGGCTGGAGCGGACTTGGAGATCGTGAACGGACTTGGGAAAACCCCAGAGGATATTGCCCCTGAAGGCTTATTTGATGATGTCACCCCGTGGCGCTCGCCTAGTGTCGAAACAGAAAGCCAAGATGACGCTGATGGTGAGAGTCAGTGGGGTGACGTAGATAGTGACGAGGGAGAACTCGTCATCATCAAACGCCGACCGGCACGTACTTTCCGTCGGCGCACACAAGATACAACGGAACAAACAAGCCCTGAATCCCACGCGGAACAAACCCCGGAATTGCCCAGCAAAGACACAGATACCAGGATACCTCCTAATGCAAGGGACGAGAAACAGACAGCGTCTTTTGTGGATATGATCCAGCGAACGCTTGCGCAGCTGCAACCTCAAGGCATCATACCAAACATACCTCAGCTTCCTCTTCCACATCTTCCTGGGATGCCTGCTGTCCTTTGGGGCGCTCTTCCGCAGATCCCGATGGTGTTCCCCATCTTCGTCCCGATAACGGGGTGGCCGTTCCTCGGTGACAAGCGGGAGGAACATCAAGTCGATGGGGAAGTGAGGGATGCTGCTCATCTAGCGGCACGGGCAGCGCAGGAACTAAAGGCGACTTTGGAGAAATGGATGACGCTCGCTATGGCCACTGCGACGCTCCGTCCGGCGCCTGTTGAAGAAGCGCCTCCGATGTATACACCACGAGAGACGCACGAGGAGCAGCTGGGGGAGCCTGTGACTAGTACGTCGCGCGTCGAGGAGCCCTCTGCTCTCGACGCGGAGGCACCTGCGCGTCCTGCAGGAAGCAGGCGCGTTGGTTATGCTACAGCTTCTGTGCCAGCTCAGGAAGTGGAGTCATATGGTTATAGGCCTGTGAATGATGCGCAGAAAGCGCAACATGGGCGTAAGTGTTGTACCGGTATTCTAAATGACGAAGAGTCTGATTGTTGCCTCTTTTCAGGCGACCGGATGCTCGTCCTGTTCTGGCTTCCTATTTTATTGAGTATGTGCACTTCAATTTTTATGAAACGTGTGACTGATATTTTTCCTTGCAGTCTCTCTTATGTGGGCTCTGCACCACGGTGTTCGTTTCGTTCTTCACGCTTTCAAGACGACGCTTTCTCTCAAAACCGGTCTTCGTGCATGACTATCCTAGAAATTACATATATGCACACTCTCAACGAAAAAAAAAACTGACCGAGATTGTCGAGGACCACGCTTGTACAGTACACAACCCGGTCTGACTACTTGACGTATTTAATGACGTATGTATGCACATCCAGTATATTGATGCATATCGACAGCGAGTTTAAATATCGTGTTTCTATTTTCCCCTGTGCTCCTTGAAAGATGCCTGGATACCCTTGCCAGCTTTAATATCAGCCATACACTTAGCATCGATGTCTTGTCCCTTCTTAGCAAGCTCCACGACTTTGTCTACCATATCTAGTGGCACGCAAACGACACCGTCTTCATCCGCGACGATCCAGTCCCCTGGTGTCACTGTGACAGGGGCGAATGCGTCTGGGCCGTCGCCCGCGTCTTTGGGATGAATGGTGAGGGTAACGTTTACACCGGATGGTCGTACGAAAGGGGACTGCCCGACTGTCGAATGACCACGCGCAAAGACCGGGAAATCCGCTGCACGATGTTCAGCAAGGTCTCTGCAACGTCCAGAGATAACGACGGCGACAGCTCCCCGAGCTTGTGCACCCGCAGTCATCAGACCACCCCAAACTGCATTCTTTGCTTCTGCGCGATAGACATGAGTGTGAAAGTTCGGACATAGAACGGGGAGGGGAACAAACTGAACGAGGTGGGGCGTCGACGACGACTACGGAACCTGGGGTTGCGGTGTCTACGAAATGGGAGGAGAGCTTTGGAGCTGATTTGTCTGATGTGAGTACCATTTGGACGGTGTATGCTGGTGCGCATATCTTGACTTGGGAGGTTGGGGAGAGCATATGAACGTCTGGGATGTGTCCTCCGTTTGGAGATCCGAGCTTTATGAGGGCATCTGAGATCTCACAAGCAGAGAACTGTGATAGTGGGCATGTGGAGGAGCGCGTTGACGTCGACATTGCACGGCTGATACTAGTAGCGAGCAGACGGGTCCTCGCAATCATGAATCAAGTAGTAGGTATGGGTGCCCGCTAGCATGTCCGTTCAATAGGTACATATAAGGCCGTAACTTCCCAGTGAAAACTGGACCTTACCGGAGGACCGTATAATACCGGAACGACCGACGATAGAGAACAATCACCTTGCTTGCAAGGTCATATGGCATGCGACGAAATCTGAAGATCTGGCTCGGACGGACTATATGTGCCAATAATAAGCAATAATAAGCAATAATAAATATCAATAAATCATCAGTCTCCCATCATCCACAGATCTGAGTCGCTCTCGTTTCTCCTACTCACCAACATCAGGCGAACGTCAACACGTCATAATCCATCATGTTATGAAGCCAGCAGATATCGAGCACGATTCTTGTGTCTGCGTATGTTCAGCTTGTCATGGCAAAGTACTGCAGCTCCTAAAACAGTGGCAGGGCATATTCTATCTCTTCTCCTGGGCGAGACCGTGCAAGATGATAATGTCAAGTCGGGCTTCTCACTGGACGAGCGTCAAAGGAACTTGCTACTGTGATGGAATGTGACTTTGCATTACATAAATAATATACAGTCACCTTCCATCACAGCACACAATGTATAGTCCAACAACGACATAGCTGATATCAGAACTTTTTACAAAGCTGTGCCTCTCCGTGTTTACGACAAAGATAATTGAAATTCGTCGAACCTACAAATGTCAACAAAGCATTGTGCAACACCGTCGCTGAAGTCCACACATACTTACTTTCCACAATGTCGACATTGAATGGTCCAGGTGCAGGTCTTGTAAAGACTTCCACTCATCATACCCCTCCACCGCCAGACCTGCCAAGAGAATCTATACAGAGGTAGAGGAGATTGCAAGCACACAAAGGGAAAATACAAAGAAAAAGATAACATTCAGGTCCAGGAAATGTCAGTACTAGTGTATCACGGTGACCTGGCTAAGACCAGTTAAGATGGACCTTCAAGGAAACCATCCACGAGTGAATTTTCAAGGCATTTTCCGATAGAAAAATACCTTGTCGTCGGCAGGTTTCGAACCTACACTGGCACAGTCCAAGAGACAGATTTAGATTCTGTTGTGGCAACCACTTTGGTCAGGACGAAGTTGGGATGAACCTCCGAGAAAACCCTCCATGAGTGAATGTCAAGGTGTGATAGTGTTCCGATAGAAAAAACCTTGTCCTCGGCAGGTTTCGAACCTGCACAGTCAGATTTCGATTCTGTTGTGGTAACCACTTGGCTTAGACCAGTCAAGATTAATCTCCGGCGAAACCATCTCTGAGTGAATGTCATCAAGGTGTGTTTCGAAAAGAAAAAAAACAATAATCGGCAGGTTTCGACCCTTCCCAATCCAAGAGAAACAAATTTCGAATCTGTTGTGGTAACTACTTCGTTAGAAGTATTGAGAAAGACCTATGAGGAAACCAGTCATGAGTCAATGTCAAGGTGTTCCTATCTCTGTCATAGCAGGGGGTGTTCCAACCGCCTTTCCGTTATTGTCCGACACCTCCTGTGTCACGGTACTGTTCCACTTCTGCATCATGCCGTCCCTTGAAGCACTCACGATATGGGCGTTGTTGTGCAAGAAAACAAAAATCCATATATCCTCTTCATGTTCCTGAAACTTGTGCTTTGGAGTAAAAACAACCTGCTCGTCGGTACTAGTAGGTTTCGAACCTGTGAAGTCCCACTTGAAGAGGAACAGATTTTAACTCTGTTGCAGTAACCACCTGGCTAAGACCAGTTAAGATGGACCTCCGAGGAACTCATCAATGAGTGAATCTTCAAGGCGTGTTCTAATAGAAAAGAGTCGTCTGTCGGCAGGTTTCGAACCCGCACAGCCGAGGAGTAACAGATTTCGATTCTGTTGTGGTTACCAGCCACTTTCGCCAGGAGGAAGTTGAGATGATTCTCCGACGAACTGTCCATGAACGAATGGCAAGATGTGATAAGATGGAAAAATCACTTGTCGACAGGTTTCGAACCTGCGCAGTCAGATTTCGATTCTGTTGTGGTAACCGCTTAGCTCAGAGCAGTTAAGATGAACCTCCGACGAAACCGTCCATGAGTGAATGTCAAGGTGCTTCGTGGGTATGTAATGCATTCTCGCTACGGCAGTAGTGGGTTTTCCGTGCCATGGCCGTTTGGACCTCATCGACCAACTTTTTGGTGAAAAATCCATTCCGGCCTCAAACACGTCTGTTCGTGGTGTTCGGTTCGCAAGGTTCTGAAGGGCTGTTTCTAATTATCGTGTCTGCGCACATCGATCTAATTTGTTATAGACGGGGATTGCAAAGCCAGCGTGTTACGTGTGTCTATCACCTTGAAGAAGGCCAAAGAATGCGCCAACATTATAGATGAATAATTCCGCTAGCATACATCCTCATGACGATGACCACTAGTAACCGTATAGTATCCTGCTCGTAAATATGAGAACACTGGACGATTGAGAAGAATTATCACATGCCTCAAGACTGAGGTAAAGGACCTCTGTAGATGTCGAGTACGAACTCGACTCCATATTTAGAGACTTTATTGTTCCACTCGTCTTTGGACATCTGAAGAAAAACGGAGGTGCCAGTTGAGTCTGTATCTTCGGTTAACTGCTGTAGCAGCCTGGTAACTTTGTCTCCTTGATGATAGTCGAACAAGCGACTAGAGACACGCTGCTGAGGTCGCCATGAAAAGTAGAACTCAAGTCCGGTGGAATCGTCTTTTTGGGAGTCTTGGATGACCTTTTGAAGTGACTGATTACAATATGAAAGGTCGGCGCGAATGTGCTCGAGGACTTCACCGATCGGTTGATTGTATGGCTGGGTGAAAGCGGTTACTCACTTGTCACCTCGTCATTGACTATCGCTGAAACAACAACAGCACAAATTGGATTAGGGTCACGGTCGGCAGTAATTGCCACTGAAAACTCGACGATTGTAGCATCAGTAACCTTCCCCTTAATTCCCCTGTACGGCTGATCAGCAGCAAGAACCGCTGCTTGAATCTTGGGAAACCACATCTCATTTTCAGCCCAGCTCCACATGTTTGGAAGCAGAGTCGCCGTCGCTGACAACCCTGCGTGTTTCTCGAGGAGGTACGTGACAATATCTTTCAGTTGTCCATCAAGAGCGATTTGTAGTACTGTTCTGGCAGTCCAGTCCCACAAGAAAAGATTACAAGACGGTTCAACGAGGGCTTTTAGGACAGGAAGCAATTGCCTTCTGCCCCAAAATACCGACTGGAAGAGGAAAGTATGGATAGGGGTAGAACCGTCGATGGTGAAATTGACATCTGCGCCACGTTAACGAAATTTGCGGATAAATTCGGGTAACGGCTTCCTCGCCACAACGGCCATGTGCAGAATGTCGTTAGGTAGATTGACCTCTTGTGACAGCAAGAAATCCACAGCGCCATCCATTCCAATCGCAGCTGCCCACGAAATTGGAGCATAGGAACCGTCACGAATGACATATGTGTCGGATGAGCGGGGTCCGATGGAATAAAGCTTGTTGAGATCGACACCAAACTTGCTGAGAACAATGAGGAAGTCAGGGCTCTTGTCTATAGCGAAAATCAAGGGAGAACCCCAACCAGGGGCAATATTCACGTCCAGGAGATGGGGGTGCTGCTTAATGAGGGATTCGACCATCCACGGCTTTCCGTGTTCAAGCGGGACGAATAGAAGTGAGGGCGAAGTACCAGCGGCCCTCAACCACCTAAGTTCATCCTCTTTCGGGCAAAGTTTTTCAGTTGCAAGCACGCGATGTTTCTTGGTGTTTCGAAGAAACTCCGAGTTTAGCTGTGACAGGGCATCCATAACGTCAGGATCCTCATCCGAAATATGTCCAAGGTGCTTGTATCCTAGAATTGCATAGCTCATTAATGGATGGTCATTGCTGACATTGGCAACATCAGCACAACGTAGCCGAAAATATGGTCGCATAGCTGGATGTTCATCTATACAAACATCGGTTTCTGAGCTTATATGCGTGAAAGATAGTATCGCACCGTCTGCGCAGATCTCATCCACAAAGTCGCATAATACATACGTAATCAAGATCTTGCAGATCCGTGCATGCATGTCCGAGATCGATTTGAAGATCTTATTAGGGCGACTAATCAAGTATTCCTGGTCACATAGCGCATCAGCGGATGAGCAGGACGAAGGAGGTTAATGTATCATACTTTGACACTATAATGAGACAGGGCGACGATGCCAGTTTTTTCGTTGTAGGTCACAAGGCTTCCGCACGCGACCACGATATCCATGGTGTCCATAACGCCAAGGTCCTCATTGAGACTCGACCGCCCAACTTCGATCATCATCGTTTCATTCAGCTGTTCAAGCGTCAAAGGGGTGAATGCGCCGACCAGAAAAAGCAGGCAACGCTGGGCAATCGGGCCATCGTCTTTTCCTCTTTCTTCGATGGAGTGAATGATCCTATCATACGTTTCATATAGTCCTGCTGGAAGGTCATCGAGGGCTTTCCGAATACTGTCGGGTCTTTTGCACGTCACGATGACGTCCAATTGACACTGAACCCAGCGAAACCTGCGTGTGATAATATGACGTGAATTTCCAAAGAACGAATGCAAAGTGCTTTACTTACATGCCCTCGGCCTTTTCTAATAATTTCTCTAAAATAATCGTTCTAAGTGGTTCGGATAGGCGTGATAATTTCTTCTGAGTCTTAAGCTGCTCAGTAATGTGCGCACATATATCTGCTTTCATCTGTTCTGCGCTGTCTTTCAGCGACACGGTGGGGAGATCATGAAAGGCTTCTTGGATGTCTGCCTCGCTTCTACCAGTGACGAAAAGTCGTAGTCGAGCATCTTCGGCAAGGTTTACAAGGTGTCTGACCAGGTCGGGGTAGTCCTTGCATTCGTCCAAGGCATCAATCACGAGGATTGGTCGGTGAACTAGCGCAGACGCTTCAACAAGAAGCTTACGTAGAAACCCCAGATCTGTGGGATGCGGTTTTGCATCACGTTGTTGCCGCCAGAGGCTTCGCAGAGAGTCAAGGTTCCCTTCTGTGTTTGATTCTTGCTCCCCGCCTATCCTTGTGATCCAGTCGTCCTTAGATTGTTGAAGCAGCTGAACAATCAAGGGCCGCAATACAACAGCCGCGTTTGTCGTCCTGTCGTCTCGAAAATTGCAATAAAAGTAGGCGAGCGTTTGTGGCTCTGCTTTATCGCTACCCTGAATTTCGTCCACGATGGCTGAGCTGAAATATCACAAGTCAACGTAGGCTCTGAAAGCTCTCCAGACAAGTCTAAACTTACACAAGGATAGTCTTTCCGTGGCCAGCTGTTGCGGGTGTCAGCCACATGCAATCAATGGCAAATGATAGAACTAACCCTGACCGGTCAACCATAGGAATGAGCGATCTGAGTTGTTCCAAGCCACATACTGATCGTTTTGGAAAATCCAACGACCGGTCCTTGGGTTGCGCTGACCACGCGACGTAGCGTGCTTTTCAGCACAAGACACAAGATTCATCCATTCAAATAACTTTCGACGTTCCTCGGCTTTGCATGTTTAAACAGGCTGAGGAGGAAACTGACAGTCAGCGACTCACTTTGTTCGCGCACCTTTTGTGCAGTAGAATGCTTTGTCAATTCCTCGACTCCTCGATTACCTTTCTGAACTCCTAGATCGACTTCCTGGAGTGTCCGACTGACTTGCTGGAGTTCAAGCTTGACTTCCTTGAGCGTGCTCCTTGGATGGTATTGATATTAGCGATCATCACAAGCAAGTCAGCTCACCATGTGTCGATTGCTAAAATTTTTGTAATCTCGCCACAGTAGTGTTTCAATCTCTCGACGATTGCGCCTGCTTCCTTTTCCTTGAACGGCCATGTCAATCTGGATATTGTCTTCATCTTGCCGCTCTCCCTGGCCTGCTCATTTGGCAGAATGTTCTTCAGTTCCACCAGTAAATGTGCGACTGGTCCGTCTTCGGCCATCAATGTTGAAAGTGCATGGCGGAGATTGTGTGGAAGAGAGCTATCGTTCTTCGAGTCGATCTTTGTGACTGTGGTTAGGACGCCACTGATTGAACTGAACTGATTGAGCAGACTCTGACAGGACGAGTCAGCGTTGCGGACAGAAGCAACATATCCTAACAAAAGAGCTGAAGCTTGTGCTATAGTTTCAATGACCTGAAGAATAGTGAGACCGCTGGTGATGGGATCCATCTGGATAGCGGAAAACGTAAGACTGACAGCACCCAGGCAGCGCCATGACTTTAAATTAAGGAAAGGCGCCTATTAGTTCATTTGCAATATGTTGGGACCATGGTGCATAGTACTGATGATGATCGATAAGAATCAATGATACATCCATATGTGGAACTTAGTATTGTTGGCAATACTGCGCCATTGCATTGCGGAGCAAGGTCTATCTGAGGCAGGACGGAATCTGTCTGCCTGGTGCCAGTCAGAATATTGTAACCTCGGAACAAAGATCTTAATAATTATTCAAGCGAAGCCCCGGATATATGAGGAAATAACTTCCCGGCTGCGGAGGCTAATTAACTTGCTCACCCGCCCTCGGCACATCCGACCACCATGGCACCAAATTCTCCAAGCTCGCCATCAAGGCCAATGCGCAAGCATCTCAAGAAACTGTCAAAAGCCATAATGAAATCTTACCGAGTCCAACTTCCAAAATACAACTTACCCATTCGACTGCGCCCGGTAGGCTTTCCTTGGGACTATCACACGAAGTCCTAGTCACTCACGATCACTAAATTCATCAGTGGTTCCTCGTATTCACCTGCGTGATAATGGTAATACTTGCTTTCTTAGGTTTCACAAACTTTTCCAGGACCCTACCCCTGAACGATAAGTTCCTACACTTTACTTGCTTGTGTGTCGCAACGGGTGTATTTTATTTCATATTCGACGTCGAGGAGTGAGTTTTGACGTTTTGGCTTACTGACGCTTTACTGAATATTTGGGTTTAATTGCAGAGAAGCTCGTAGAATTTGGTTCTGGCGCCATTCAGGGCTGATATTTACCACTGTCATATGTTTCTTCTTTGGAGGGTTCGTGAGCGAGATTGTGCAGTCCATGCTTCCAGTACGTCCCCCTTTCCTTGTCTGAGCGAGTACGACGAGACCATGCGGAACTAGAACAAGGAATTTCAATCTGGTGATGTGGTGGTATGTGCTCTTGACTCTTACGTTTCTCATTCAGTAATCATACTTGACAGGCAAATTGGCTGGGTTCCACTGTCGGACTCTATCTCGCGTATTATATTGAGAAATATTACCGTGCGCGGAGAGAGGTGAGCCGCTTCTGACATCGTCTACGTAGCGATCTCACGTGAACCCCAATTTCTCAGATCGCACGCCTATACCGACCCTTAGAGACGGACGATATCTCCGATGTAGACGATGTGTCAGATAATGAAGGAGGCTCTGGAACACAGCTCCTGCCCTTGTACTCTCATCCCTCAGCCTCATCCAAGTCAAAGCCTGTTAAAGTCGCACGCTTAAATGACGTCTGGGACGAAAGAGAAGAGTTGTTTGATATTGGCGATGACAGCGGCGAAGAGGATGGCGCAGGCACACCACGACCGCAGCGCCAAAGTTCTCAAGACGTCCCCTCCCCCCCTCCAAAGATAATTATAACGAGTTCATGAACGCTACGGGATTTTTATGACATTATGTACACCATCATTTAGTAGCGTAGCATGCATTTGCATCTCAATAGATCTAACTCAGAGGACAATTGCGATCGTGTTACACCCTATGAAGGTCCAGCAAGAGCTTCAACGTCCGCTTGTCTCAAAATAAGGTCTTTGACTCGCTCCTAGACAAACGGTTCATGAATGCAAAGGAATTTTAATGGCATCACATACACCATCATTTAGCATAGCATCTATTTGGATCAAAATCATCTATGACGGATGTGATGTAGTCTATCCAATGCTACATACTATGAAGGTCGAGGAGTTTCAAGCACTTCGACGTCAGCTTGCATCGAAATAAGATCGCTCCTAACAACATCGATCTCTTCCTGCTGTTTCCCGGCAAGCTCTCGCAGTCCTTCATACGCCGCTATAGGAACAACTGCGACATTTTTCTCGATGCCTCGATCCAGAGTCACCTATCAAACAAGCTCATAAGTCCAATCCACGCAAAAAACCCTCTCAATACTCACCTTCAGATCCCTCTTCAGTCCCTCCCCAACCCTATCAGCATCCTCCACCCATTTCCTCTTTGCTCGCTCCCATTTCCCCACCGCCCATCTTATACTAGCAACAGCAACGAGCGCACCAGCACCTAGCGCAGTACCTGCTTCAGAACCAGCGCCAACGCTCAAAGCGCTCTCTCCAAATGCAAGCCACCATCCTACACCAGCACCGCCAAACATACCACCAAACGCGCCCAACACTGCGTTCTGGCCATCACGGTGTAAACGCGTGGTGGTGTGTTTTGTCAGCTGGGAACGTCGTGCTTGGATGGGGCGAGTGAGGGCATCTGGGGTGAGTGCGTATGTCGGGGAGTGTGTCAATTGACGGAGGTGGTTGTCGAGGATAGAGGATTGGAAAGCGGGGGACGAGGATGGAGACGCGAGTTTGGCAAGTTGGGAAAAGGTGGATGATGTCAGGGATGCTTGGGTAGAGGCGAGACGACCCGTTTGCAGGATGAGCTATAGGTTATCAGTTTAACAACAACAAAAAACATTTATGCGATGCGTGCATACCTGGTTTTCAAGTTCCCTACACCAGTGCTTATCCAGCGCGGAACTCACCAAAGAATCTATCTCATCAATGCGCCATATCATCTTCAGCCATGACAACGACTCTAATAAGGCTTTCATCTCTTTCGAGCCGCGAAGCAGAGCTTCATCTATTCCAGACTCTACAAGCACCTCCCTGTCTGTTCTCGCGCGGACTTCCTCGACTTGCGATTGCAGCTCGCTTGCGCCTGTAAAGACGCGGTCTATCGCTACACGTGCTTGGGATACCGACCGAGCGCTAGCATATAACGCGCCCTGCATTTGTATCACAGCACTCCGAGTGCGGATAGCTAACAACAACGATGACGACGATACCGTGCGACTCGAGTCCTTCAACCCAAGCATCCCCGCCAAGACATCACCAAGAAGCGATATCCTCGACCCCATAAAATCGTCCTGGTATCTCTGAATAGCAGTAGGAGATGAAGGATCCGACTTGAGAGCAGAGACGGCTTCCAGTGCACGAATAGGGTCCACAGCAAGAATTTTTCCGGGGGTGCAATTTGCAGCTGCCAGTTCCTTGGAAATGTAATCTATCGCATGTCCGGATACGCTAGAAGCGGTGAGGACGAGTATTGTGTTCGGTCTTTGAAGAATGTATTGGGCGTTGGAGATGAGCGTGGGTAGTGGGGTTGTTAGTGGATTGCAGAGGAAGATTAGCACATCTCCTTTGAGGAGTATTTTGGGGAGGGAAGGATCGGAGGAAAGAGATGGGATTTCGGTGAGTTGGACGGGGAAGGGGTATTGTTGGAGCCAAGATGCAGGGATGGTAAGGGTGCCGTTGATGAAGGAGGTTGATGATCTATAACTGTTCAGAATATCTGTTAAGCATCCTGCATCGACATCGAACATAAAACATGGACACACTCAATTGTAAGGTAGGCAGACTGGTTTTTCCACCGGTTTCGTAGGATGTCGCTGTAAGCTTCATCAGTCGTAAACGGGTTTTCGAGGAGGGCTGTGATGAGCTCATGAGAGCCGGCCCACTGGTCAGCTCCGCATACTGTAAAGAGGTAACTTCGTCGGATACATGAACATGAAAAAACGGACGGAGCACTCACCAACTACGCGAGCACTCGGATGCACTTCTGACGTGGAACATAAGTCTGCGTCGACCTCGCTCAAGAGTTCACTCCAGAGTTGGGAAGACTGTATTCCTCTGTCGGTGGTAGATCCCGGTAGTGCACGAGGTAAAAATGCTGAGATTCTGTGCAAGAGAGCTGAAATCTCGTGTTTACTTGAAGATGCCTTCTTCGCTAGAGAATCGTTGGAGGTTTGAGCGTTACTGCTGTATGTTCGGGTGCAGCTGCTGGCGTTCCGCCACCGGCCAGTAACAAATGACCTGGATTGTTTTGCGTCATGCAAGACAGAGAGCTCAATACTGAGATTCCTTAGCGAAAGGGTTGTACGACAAACATGGTGGCGAGCGGCTAGACATGATGGCATTGAGTGGGACCTTCTGCTAGTGCTACAGGCCCGGGTCGTGCTACCGCGTTGATGTCGAGTGCACGTGACTCGTGTAGGCACGCGCAAATCTTCTGCCAGTAACGGGCTGGTGGTACTAATTAATGCTGCATCTGTTTCTCTCCACTCTCGCTATCACATACTTGGTACGAGATTCACTTTCAGATATACCACATTGTCAAGTTGCCGACCGCTGCAGCGATCATGACCTGTCTGTATCGCATCTAGAATTCAGGATATATATATGTTGAACCTTGTCACGGTGGTTTAACTATGAGCAGCGGGTCGGTACTTCAGTGACAGCTACAGCACCTTCCAGTGCAAAGTCAAGTTTCATCATTTTCAATCAACTAAAAACAACAACGAATATCATCCCTTTAGGCCGTATAGACGCTGGATGGAGCTATATCTTGCAGGAATGCCTGTCTACCAGGTTCGCAAGCTCCCTCACATCCATCTTCGAATACCATGACTCTAATCTTAAATGGTATCAGTTTGTGGTCCTTCATCAGTTCGTATCGTCTTGGTAGCTATTTTATAGGTTCGTGGATGTCTAGTCAGCTCATGTCGCGATCTAACCTGAACTATGGTTTCGTAGTCGCCGCCTCTGCTGGAGTGGTGTACGATTGGGGTAAGCAACGTAGTATGAAAAATCGGAGATACTCTTACGATATTTTTAGTACTGACTTTTGGACGAGAGGTATGTTCATATCATGACCAGAACAAGAATCTCACTAATCTTGGGTCCATAGGTTGAACTGATCTGGGTGCGCAGAGTGCCACACTAGAAAAACAACTTGAAAATATAATTAATTTGCGACAGAGGCAACGCTGGTCCCTTATAACCGTTTTGTTTCTCAGTGTATGTAGCTTTTTTTATAATTGTTTGTTGGCAAGGTCGTACTGACATGAGGGTATCCTAGGTGCGCTACCTTGGAATTTCATATGCTGTGTAAGTTTGGTCGACCAAGTTACTGGTGCTGTGCTCATCAACCATGTCTCACAATCAGTCTCACGGTGCTGTGTATGTCACCTCATACATCATGTTTGTTTCTTCTGACCGGCTGCATGCAGTGTCTGTTCCGACGATCTCAATGACAGGTGGTGTGAGTATTCTGCAACAATGCGTGCTATTCCAGTCTAATCACCTGCACTCCCATGTAGGGGTGAGTGAGATCCTTTACCGTCTTGCTGATTCAATATAAATAAGTGCCACAGCTGTGAGTTGGTTTCGAGTGTTTGATCCCCTGAAGCTGACTACTAACATTACTGAATTTGTCAGGCTTTATTCTGTACATCACGATGAGTTTGATTGCTGTTGTCGTAACTATAATGGTGGGCGGTGAGTGAATACCTCGGTGATCTGGAGTTAACTGAAACATCATGCAAGTGATCATGATCGTTCGGTTACACGCCATGTATCAGCGATCCAAACGGGTGCTGATAGCTCTCGTTGTCATCTTCATTGCTGCCGCCATTTTCATGGGAGTGGCCGTCGTAATAACAACGTGGGATATTTTAGCGGGTATGTTCAAATGTGGCTCAAAGAATTCAGTGATCAGGCTCACGAACAAATACCAGAGGAGGTCATTGTCTCCGGCACTTATCAGTGTATGAATAATTATGAGGGAGATTATTTTCTTCTGGATTTCATAACTTGGATACTCGGCACCGTATGGGAGGTCCTCGCACTGTTTCTCGCAGTCTGGATTGCCGTAAAACACTTCCGTCAACTGCGACAACACTCTATTATCGGTGACTGCTTCACGGTGTTGATGAAAACTCACGTGGTTTACTTTGCGAGGTAAGCTCATAGGTGAATGCGGGTCCCTTTGTCTGTTGACGTCCTGGACGTGTTAGCGTTGCTGGTCTTTCGTCCCTTGGTCTCGGTTCTTGTTTTTCGACAATTTCAGCGGTATGCCGATTTGACACTGACCTCTGCATGCGACCACGATTCATCATTTATATAGAATCCATATTCCTTGAGAACCCAGATTTATACTGGGCTTCTTGCAATTTTCCGATCTGTGCAGATGTTTGTACTAGGACCGCGCCTGATCCTTAGCGTTCGAGAATATCATGCCAAGCTCGTGGCCGACTCCGATGCAGCAACCAGTATGACTTCAATTGCTTTCCAGGAGCGGGTGCATGTGTCAACTAGCAGTAGTGTGTAGCGGGAGATGCTCGATGTGACCAACACTCGCCAGATACTCTGCAGGGAGTGGGAGAATTTGTTTTTGTTCGATGTTTCATTTGGGTATTTATATATGTGATTCTGTGTTCTAAAGTATATTTGAAAGAGAAGTAGGTCTGGAGAAACCAATATTTGTTGTATTACTGCTCAGCGCTCATCCACGCTTGCACTAAGTGGTGTTATTCCCTCCGGCGCAATCGGCACCCCAGAGATGTCGGCAGCCACGCTTAATGCAGCAGCTCAATTGCTTTCCAGAAGCGCCTGCATGTGTCAAACTACCAGTAGCAGTACTGTGTAGCAAGAGATGCTCGGTGTGATTCATACTCGCCGGATACTCTAGGGAGCGGTAAAATGTGTTTTCAGTTCGAAGTTTCATTGTGGTACTTTGGTGGTACTTGTAAGTATTATTAGTCTCCTGTAGACCAAACAAAAGATATAGTCGTTTTTTTGATCACCTCAAACTGATAACCACGTATGAGTCGTGAGGCTGAAGGCATACATTGCTCTGCTCAACCCTAGCTCAAGTTAGGAAGACACGGCCGTTCTTTGGCACTCGCCCCTTCACATCTATAAGTATAAACCCCACAGAACGTCGGGCCAAACATCCTAACGCGGCGGATTATGATATACTACAACTGCAAGGTCTCCAGTTTTGCCGATCAATATCGTTTGTTCTGCATGTTAGTACATATATATGAGACCGAGAACACTCTGTCGAACGCGGAACGGGTTAACGTTTCCGCTTCCGTTTCCCCTTCGCACTACTTGGCCAAGAAAGCGCGAGATCCTTCGGCTTCTTCGTACTGCTTTGTGCCTCAGTTTGAGCTTCCATGATGACATTTCTGCTCAGACAGAAATCAATATGTGCATTCAGCCCTTTGTTGTCCGTCTCCAACAGCTTCCCGCATATAGGGCAGTCCTGATGCCGAACACGATCCGCTTGTCTGGCGCTCATTGGCTTTGACGTAGTTGCCGGGAACGATGAATCACTTAGCCTAGTCCGTGAGGGCCCTGGGGCTGACACCGGCGGTCGTGTTCGTCGTTCATGGTGTGGAGAGTTTAAATCATGAGAGATATCAGTCTGCTCCTCATCATCGAGAGCATCGAAACCTCGCCCTTCTGCGTCTTCTTCTTCTTCATGGAACCCCGGCATTGATTCATGATCTTCTCCAGCGTCGTCTTCGTCGTTGCAATCTTCCGCATTGTTAGCAAGTCTCGGTCTCTTTCTTGGCGACGAATTTGCAGGTTCAAAGAACTAGAACAGTCAAGAACCTTTCTGTTAACATTGTTGACGATGTAATATAACAAAGCATACCCGCTTAATGCCTCCCGCCGGCTCTGGTGCATGCAGGTCTTTCAGCTTGGTGACTCGCAAGCCAATCAGTCGGAGTGTGAGGGGCAGCTCAGGGAGTAATAATTCTTTCCCGATCTGGTGTACCTCGACGTGAGACTTGTAGATGGGAGTTCTTGGTCCTTCACTCACTGTAAAAAGGTCTTCCTTCTTCGAACTGACCCAACGGTCAAATGACTTTGCTCGTGTAAAAACTGCGAGACGTGAGCAAGAAATGATATGCCCAGAAGTTGTGCAAACTATGGCTTACCTTGGAATGTGTCCAACTTAAACTTGAGCGTCACTGTTTTCCCAGTCCAGCCCCCTCTGACCATGTCGTCTTCAAGTTCCCCCGCCACCTCCTCCAATTTTCCCAGGATCCGCGTCTTGTTACTTAATGCGTGAAAAGTCCTGAGCGGTTGTTGGAGCACGATGCTGACGAGAGCGACACGACACTTGCCTTTCCGCACCAATGCTTTTCCTTTCCTCTCGTTGAATGGGCTGTACAACATTGGATGCGATGCCGAGATACGTTCTCAGTAGGAATACCAGGCCAAACTGCTTGTCCATTAATTGCAGTGTCGCTCTATGCTTGAAGATATCACCACATGTCTATGCGAAATCAGTGCATATTCAATGCAGCATTATGAGCACTGACCTTAATGCCTAGAGCCTCAATAAGGCGTTCGTTGACACGTCCTACCCCTGGCACCTTGCGGATTGAGAGATCGTGCATGAAAGCTTTGATAGAAGTGCAGTCGAACGGCAGATGGTATTGACCATTCGGTTTGTTCTGTAGCAGAAGTCAGCGCTGACACTTAATTTTGCGACGTTCTTAGAACCTTGTCTGAGCATATCTAGACAGCGCAAAAGTTCAATCAGGGACAAAACCAAAGTAAATTTTATTAAACGACCTTTGCTAGCATCTGAGAACCGTAAGCTACGGCTTTGTTGAAAAGAAAAGAAAAGACAAACGCGCACCTTGTTCGGAGCAATCCCAGCGCTTACTGTCAATGATGTCTCCCTGAAGACAGTGTCACGAATCTCTTGTACACAGGTATCCGCATCTACCATGTGTTCCTCGCAATATTTCGTGATGCTGAGTAAACAGACGATTAGTGCCGACATGCTCAAATATAGCTACCATGACACACTTCAAGTACCCTTCATCGCATCCGGCCGCGAGCATAGTAGGATCGTATCTCTCGAAAATGTCCATGACTTTATCAGACATTTCTGAATAACGTTCGAAATTAGATTTCAGGAGAATGAGGTCGGGGCAAAGCTTCTTGGCGACGAATGCTAAAAGGACTGCAGTGAGAATGATACAATGAAATACAGAAAACGTAGACGGACTCGCCATCCCGGAGCGCACGCCGAATTTACGTGCCTCGTAGGAAGCAGTGGAGATTACCCCACCTCCAACCTAAGGAAACGTAGTTCACGATACAGCACTAATATAACATTGCAAGCTCACGGCAAATGGCTTCCCCTGCAGCGATGGGTCATCAAGTAGCTCGACGCTGCAGTAGAATGCATCCATGTCAACATGTACCACGGTTTGACTCAAATCGCGTCGTGACTCGAGTTCTTCAAGCTATAATCTGGCTTGTCTTAATGCGCTCCCTGAGTTGTAATTGCTGCTCACGAGGTGATCGATGTTTCTCTCAATTTGACCTGGTAAAGTATCATGATCGAATCCAACTTTGACTTGAGGCAAACTGATTGACGCACGTATATCAACGCCTCGCAGGGCTTCGTCACGTTGCTTCAGGATTTTGGCAATGCGTTCCGATAATTCCTTGTCTTTGCGTTTCTCATTCTATATATCTTTCTGAGTGATGTGCAGTGGGTGGCTCGAATGATGGGCTTGCCTCATAGAACTTGGAGCCCTTGGAAGCCTCGGCAATGATGCGATTGATCGCAGTCTGGTCATGAGAAAGGCTGCAAGGTGTCAAACGTGTTCAAGGTGCAAGTATTAATAGGAGGTGACAAACCCGGCTTTCGTGGAGGAGGGACCAGCCAATCGTTTGAGTAAACTAGCGGAGTCTTGAGAGGGTTCAGGTGGTTTTTCTGGCTCCATAACACGTTGAGTCAGGGGAACAGACAACCTCGCGTTCGCCGTGTGGTTCTGGTATATGCCGCCTATGTTCAATATTCAATATTCGAATCGTGAACTTCGTGACTTTGCTGCAGTGGCTGTGTAGCTCCTGAGAAGCGTTCAACAAACATCACATGTAAGTAATCGGCTGTTGCAGCGCTCAGTGCTAGTTCCTTGGGAACTTCCTACCTGCTACTTATTACGACATGAAACCATAGATAGCCCGTTTGTAGCACCATAAAAAATCAATAAACGACCTAAATAGTGCATGCCAACTTGAAGCCCACTCCGATAACTTTTCCACTCGTGATCTACAACAAAAGCAGTTACGATTCATACTCAGCTCTTTGCCCTCGCCCTTTTCATGACGATGCACGCGAGTGCAGTGTCCCAGTTTTGTGGTTGATTCGATTCCACTGTGGGTGTAGGAGGCGGGACGGGTGTGGACGGACGGCTATATGCCGAAGAGCTCTGCTCTAATAAACCCATCGAGGTGTACGAAGTAGAGACGAAGAGCTTCAAGAATGCAGATTCTTGCTGCTGGTTATCAGGGAAAGGGAAATTCAGAGGGGGGATACCACTGCCCGTACAGCCTATGTCAAGATAGCTGCGCTTCCGCAGTGGGGGCATAGGGTACGACGGCCGAGGGTGGTAGAGTAACTGGATGTCAACTCCGTTGGAATCCATATAGGCCAAATACGGCCAGAGATCTGTATCTGAGTGATTGTGGAGGATTACGGCGTAGCGTGCACCCTCACTATGCGATATTGCAGCTGTTCCATCAACCAACATGTTTGGGCCAACCCGTCGCTGGGTGTGAGGGTCGACCCGGAAGATTTCCATGCCTAGTGATTCATGGAACGGCTTGGCGGGATTGGTTCGGTGGAGGTGCATATGGAAGCGTGCGGCTTCGCTGAGGATGACACCAGATCTGGACCTATCTTTCTCGATGCGTATAAGCGGGTGGGCAGTGGAAGGAACGAGGTGATCAAGATTTTGGACCCGTACGTCTCGAGTGTGAACGCCAACCGACATGTCCGCCTTAGCAGAAGTGTCGACTTGCACAATATTCAACCCCTCCTTCACAGGAATGCCGTCCAATTCTGCTTCTGAATTCTTGCTGCAGCCGAAGAGGCGCCTGAGAAGAAAGGAGCACGTTCTCTTGACGTAAACCCGGAAAGGAGTGCGGCTGTTCCATCGAGTAATGCGTGCCCATGAACCACGACCCCCAGGTTTGCTCATACTCTTGCGCCTGGCGAGTGACCACGTAGGGTGAACTTCATAAACGCGGAAGCTGTCGAGTGACGGATTGATAGAGCCAAAGCGATTGTGCTCGTGAACGCTGAATTCGGTGCCCTCAACAACGCCATGTATGGCCCCCATTTCCAGACGAATACGTTCCTTTTCGTCGTTGACGGGAACAAGGGAGGCATCGGCAACGAAGGGGACACCATTCAAGAAAACTCTGTCCTTGCGTTGGCCAACACAGACTGGATGCTGCTGGATATGAGTTAAGCCTTTTGCAAGGTGCTCTGATAAATCAGAAGATTTCATCTGATGAAGAGGAAGTGCGTCTTTCACGGTCAGAAGCTCTGAGGTGAATTTCCCTCCTTCCTTCCATTCCAGTGCCTTCTCGCCTGACCGGCAGGCGGCAAGGAGGACGTGGCTCCGGCAGTCATCCTGGAAGAAGCCGAATTCTCCTCTAAACTTCCGCCCGATGGCGCCTGGCCACAAGCCCAAGAATAGGTCTTCGGGTGTGGCTTTTGATGTGGGCGTATAGCGGATGAAGCGGCGGTCTCTAGCATTTGAGCCAAGCTGTGCCTTCAGAAAACAGCAGTCGAGAATGAGGGTGATGTTATCACCCTTGATGAGGCTGAGCTCTGCTAGCATCGCGAAGAGTGAGCGGTCAGATATGCCTGCTACACGTCCTTCTGGTCCTTTCGAATCATGGTCGTAAGGACACAAGACCTGGACGCTAGCAGGCTTGCCCTCGCACCAGTCTGGTGGTGCGCGCAAGGTGCTTCCATGACCAGCGAAATATACAATCAACGCGTCGCCTTTTGCAATGGCAGGATTGTTAACAAGATGGCTCATAAACGTATCTTCAATACGGTGTTTCGTGGCTTCTTGGTTGATAAGAAGTGCGATGTTTTCTTTGGGTACTTGGAGGTCTTGCATGAGCCATTGTTTCATGCGCTGCGCATCATGGGCGCACGCCTCGAGGTTCCAGATTCTTCCGGATTTGTAATCGTCGATACCAATTAACAAAGCGAATACACGAGAAGCCATCTAGGCACGATTAGGAGGTGAGTAACATCTAAAATGAGGGGGTCACTCACCTCTTGAAGATTTGACGACGGAGAGGAGCCGAACTATAGACAATATGTAGCAGGAAACGATAGCTTAAGTACTTTTACTCAAAGTACACCACGCTAATGTATCTTTGGCAGCGCGTAAAACACGCGTTCATTGACGCGGCAGAGGTACCGCTAAACCAAAGGACGGGCATCAAATACAGTAGCATGCGGAGTCGCATCAGCTTCGGATATGATCAGTGTGAAACGGAACATACCTGAGCCTTGCCTAGCTGAGAACAAACATTTGTTCTTTTCCATGTGCTGGAGCAATCTGAGTAGAAGGAGAAAGTGCCACTGGATCGGATCGGCTCCTGACAAATGTCTGGCAAGATAAAATGACTACGGCGTTAGGAACGTCTATCTTGTCATGTTTGTGAAGATGAGGTGGAGAGACGCGTGTTTGACGTAAACTCTTCGTCATTCATAACGCGTTTTTTCATTGAACTGACTACCGCAGCTGGTTCGAGGGCGTAAATTTGTAGGTGAGATTCATGTAGGAAAGGGAGAGAGCATTAAAGCACGATCGTTTGTGCGCACAGGTGCGCACTGCGAATTGTCGATTGGTCTACAGAAAGCCATGGACCACATAATTATGTAATGCATTAGTCCACGAGTCCGTACAATTCAGCTACACCTTTGCGCAGTGACGTCTTGTCGTTGATAAGCTTTACGCTTCCCAAGTTTTCATTAACAGCTGGAGTTTGCCTGGACTGCCATAAACCAATAGGATCAATCGCTTTGGAACCGATCCATCATCACGATGAGCTACGTGTGCCAACAGTGTAAAGAGCCACTCCAGGTGACAATTTATCGTTCATTGAAATGCAAGGCCTGACTGATGAGAATACTAGCTTGACGCATCATTGGTAGATCTCGCACCCTCTGCGTATGACATGATCGTAGCCTCTTTGCCTTCTGTGCCAGCCTCGCGCGGGCGCTATGTGACAGACTCGGAAGCTGAGAAAGTAGCTCAACTTCCATCTCCATCCGCAAGCAAAGCAGCATGGCAGCAGGCCACACCCTCAGAAAACTTGAGGGCCTCACCACCCCTTTCTACTCGAGCTCAGGGGAAACAACCCCAGCGCAACTTCCCAGCTCCGAATGAGTCATTTGTGCTCCTGCAGGAGAGCATGATACGCAGTATACCTTCTCCAGTTCCAGGAGCCGCAATGCCTAAGAAGGCTGCTCTCGGTAACCAAAAGAACGTCACAGCTAAAAACACTAGTCCACTACCTGCCCACCAGCAACCTGAGCCAGACCATTCGAATCCAACACCTATCTCACACCACCTGCGCTCCACTATGAGACTTTTTAATGTGCTTTCTACCCGGTCTGACATTGATCACCCTCTGTGCGCGGAATGCACACAAATCCTTCTTTCATCACTTCAAAGGCAGCTTGATGAGACAAAGAAAGAGCGTGACGGTTATATCGCATTCGAAAAGGAGGTTCGGAAGGAAAGAGAGCGGGAGAGCTTGGATCTCAGTAGACAGGATGCAGAGAAAAAGATCGAAAGGCTCAAATACGACGAACGGGCTGCCATTGAACAATTACGCCTTGCTGACAGGGAGAGGGAGCAGCTTGATGAGGAGCTCAAGTTGTTGGAGGCGGAAGAAAAAGCGCTGGAAGAAGAAGAAGCTGAGTAAGTTGGTTATTGGGCTACTGTGATCGCAAATTAATCTCCGTTGTAGATTTTGGCGATCGCACAACGAGCACCTCCTAGTCTTGGCTGAACAAGCCTCACGTTTAGCGTCACTGCGTGCTGCATATGCTGCAGATTACGCCACGCTCGAAAAGCTGGAGCGCACAAATGTTTACAATGACGCGTTTTGCATTGGTCATGATGGCGTCTTTGGAACAATCAATGGCCTCCGGCTTGGGCGGGTTCCCGGAGTCCCAGTATGTTAGCCTTTCTCATGATGACCCGATTGCTGACAACGTGCAGGTTGAATGGCCCGAAATTAATGCAGCATGGGGTCAGACCCTTCTGCTGCTATATACGATTGCGCGGAAGCTTGACTACACATTCGAGAGGCAAGTCAGAATTTATATTGCCGTTTATACATACTGAGGATCTTTTACAGCTACCGTTTGATCCCAATGGGCTCGTTCTCGCGTATTGAAAGAACTGTAGGAGACAAAGCGACATACGAACTGTATGGGTCAGGGGATCTCCACCTCGGTCGCCTACTACATAACCGTCGTTTTGATTTTGCTATGGTAGCATTCCTAGAGTGCTTGAAGCAACTCATAGATTTCGTCAAGTCTCAGGATCCTACGGTTGAATTCCCCCATCAGTGCGTGAGCGCCTTCTATATTAATCCCACGCCAAGCTGACCCTTTGAGGGCAGAATTGCCAAAGATAAGATAGGGGAAGCGTCTGTAAAACTTCAGTTCAGTCAGGAAGAGGCATGGACTCGAGCGCTGAGGCATGTTCTGCTTGCGCTGAAGATTGTCTTGAAGTGGACAACCAATGGCGGCAACGGCTAAAGAGAGTCCATTTTACATCATTTCCCTGTAACTGTAGAACGTGCTCGTCCAGTTGGCGGGGATGTGTGATTATTCTTTTTTTGGAGCGGTGACCAGAATACGATGCTTCGCACGACAATGTACACGTGCGCGTGAGGTGTGGGCGTCTATTCGCTGGCTTCTATGCCTTTCCTTTTCCTAAAAGGACGATCGGAGGATGAACTTGAACCAGGCTGTTGTGACATTCGGACATCCCGGCTCAAGGTAGTAGTACCTGAAACTTCCAAGCTTTGGAGTCTTGCGTGATACTTATATGCCATAACGATTACACGATTTGAACTCATCCCTATCTTACAAATCGTTATCGTACATGTGATCCAATTGGTAAGGTAGCCTTGCGACCATCCCGGATTCCAAATCTTTGTAATTGTAATTGGACTCCGGAGTCATCCCGGTGTATCCTGTGTATCTCCCATATATCACGCAAGCTTGAAGCAGCTTGGCACAAGCTTGTGCCTACAATACGCCATGGGCCTCCTCTACCTCGGAACACCCTTAACATGGGATGAGGCAAAGCTGTATGCAGACCATGTTCGAGAACATGGTATCGCGCAGTTTCTCCATACTTGGGATCGAGTCAAGGACAGATGGGGCGATGAGTTGCTCTGGGGAGACGAGGTAAATATGATTGACAGTCCCAGTTTTTCCTGCTTACACTGGCATATATAATGAAAGGTGGAATACCTGGTTGTTGCATTTGACGACGAGGAAAAAAATGCAAAGCTTTCCCTCCGCCAGACCGAGATCCTTGCAAAGCTTAGTCAGGTCGTAGGGGACCTCACCGACGACGATACACCCGCCTTGTGAGTATTTGGATCCTCAGGGGAGGCGCCGTAATAGAATTGTCCTCAGCATGACTGTTCCGACTTTCCACCCAGAGTATGGAAGATACATGCTGGAGTCGACTCCTGGCTCTCCATACACAGGCTCTATCCCGGACTTGCTATCCGTCGAGACAAACATGCACTACAGGTAATGTCGCCCTTCAATGTCTGCGGGTATTCTGCCTGATATTGAACCTTGGCTTTAACAAGACGTACACTCGCAAGAAAGCACCTGAAAGCAAATGAAATCCCATTCACCTTCACATCTTTCCCTCGCCTGGGAACGCATGGCGTCTTCACTGAACCTTATTTTTCGCCAGACGATGCCAAATCTAGCCACAGCCTCTTTTTACCGGAGGAGATTACGAACCCTCACGCACGCTTCCCGTCAGTGCTTGACCATCTTGGTTGTATATGGGCGCAGAACTTACTATCCAAATTATTTAGTACCCTAACAGCCAATATCCGTAGTAGACGGGGCTCTAAGGTCGCAATCAACCTTCCCATATTCATTGACGAAAGAACACCTCGACCATTTGTCGACCCCACTATACCATGGCAACGTTCGATATACCCAGAAGACCCGGGTAAGTGCAACCCTATCCCATTTATTAAAACGGATTTAAACTATCGGTGAACAGAGGCGAAGAACGGTGCGGCATTGATCGATCATATTTACATGGACGCTATGGGCTTCGGAATGGGATGTTGCTGTTTACAACTCACTTTCCAGAGTTGCAATGTAGATGAAGCAAGGCGTATGTATGACGCTCTTGTCCCCGTTGGGCCAATTATGGTGCGTAGGTGCTTTAGCGAGGTAATCATTGGGTGTATCAAGACGTTTTGCAGCTTGCCTTGACAGCAGCTAGTCCCGCATGGAGAGGTTACCTCGCTGATGTAGATTGCCGTTGGAATGTCATTGCTGGCAGCGTCGATGATCGCACACCAGAAGAGCGCGGTTTGAAAGTTAGTATCATTTCAGTTCCTTATTAGGGTTTCTGAAACGAGTATCCTAGCCTTCGAAAGACAACTATATAATTCCAAAGTCCCGTTACGACAGCGTTGACCTCTATATCGCGGACGATTGGACCAACAAACCCGAATATAACGACGCACCTGTACCCTATAATGAAGGCATCTTTCAACGTCTTCGTAATCACGGTGAGCACGAAGCCTTTGTAACTTCGTTACGACTGACTCCCTTGGACTTAGGCTTAGATGAGGTGCTTGCCAAGCATGTAGCGCATTTGTTTATTCGAGATCCTCTCGTTATTTTTTCTGAAACCATCAATCAAGATGACACTACTAGCAATGACCACTTCGAGGTGATATCGCTCTTCGTCCTACTTTCGTTGCTCTGAACGTCTTGGCAGAATATCCAATCCACAAACTGGCAGACTCTTAGATTCAAACCGCCCCCACCAAACTCTCCCATCGGCTGGCGTGTAGAGTTTCGTAGCATGGAAGTGCAAATGACAGACTTTGAGAACGCAGCATTTGCTGTCTTCATTGTCCTCCTTTCCCGCGCCATCCTAGCATTCAACCTTAATTTCTATATTCCTATTTCCAAGGTTCAAATCGGATATTTCTCGTCGATGTCATTTTGACTAATATTGTAGTAGGTTGACCAGAATATGGCCCGCGCGCAGAGAAGAGATGCAGCTCGTTCCGGCAAGTTTTATTTCCGGAAGGATGTTCTCCCCCCAGGGCATACCGCTCTTACCATTAGTCCACCTTCGTGCTCTGTATCATCTTCACCTGCGGAAGGTGCTCCAGCGAAGGAGAAACTACTTCGCAATTGTTTCCCCGCTGTTCCTCGACCGTCGTATGTGGAAGATGGACCGATTGAAGATGAGTATGAGGAGATGACTGTGGAAGAGATTTTTACTGGAAAGGTGGTTATGTATTTTTTGCTTGCGGCCTTCAAAAGTTGACAGCTTGTCTCAGGGATCCAAGTTCCCCGGTTTGCTTGGCGTCGTCGAGGCTTACATCGACACCTTAGACGTTGATGAGGGAGACAGGCTGCAAATAAGCAAATACCTCGACCTTGTTCGCAGACGCGCAATAGGCACGGATATCTTTTCTTATTCTTTTCAGACGTGTTCTTACATCAGTCTTAGGCTCTTTACAGACGCCCGCGACTTGGATTCGTAATTTCGTGCGCTCTCACCCAAGCTACAACCGTGATTCTGTTGTGAGCCAGGAAATAAATTACGACCTCATGGTCGCTGTAGATGAGATGTAAGTGATTTACATGATGGATATATTGTAAGGCTCTCAAATCTTTTTACGACAGTGAGCGTGGGGTGCGACGCGTCCCAGAGCTGTTACCAGAGGATTACACGCCCGCCAACGGCTACCATTCCAAGCCTAACAGTCGTTGACATGTGACGACCTGCATTGTTTCTCTTGATGTGTTTTTGACAATTGTAGATCTAGAAATTATTGTTACTGTCATTTCTGTAGAACAGGGTGCATACAGGTCTGGCAAGAAAATCTCTGCCATCCCGATGGTTGTCAGCCACAAACTCGGATAGTATTTGTCACCATGAATTGGGCTCTTCGTCTCCTTGGTGGCATGTGCTCCCTTGTTTTTCTCGTTCTTCTCCTTGTTGTCTTCATCGTTACGGCTCCTGGTTCGTCGCTTGTGCGAAATCATGCTGCATCCCGTGGAGGAGGGGTGTAGTGTCGCTGGGAAGATCTGTCACAAGACAGAGTACGACAGCTGTGCGATAGGTAAAATCTACAATCTGGTGAATGGGGCAGGCGGATGGATATCATCATGATCCATTGGAATTGCGTGATAGCTCTAATTTTACAATTTCATTCCACGGACGTCATGAATTACACCACAGCAGAAGGCATCGTCAGCATGAATCCCGAATGGAAGTACTTGTGGGAGAAAGGGAAGCACGGAGCGCGGGTTCAGATCATATGCAGACCCTTTCAAATTTGGGCGGCATGAGTACAAGACGAGCACACATTTTCCGCGTGCTATGCAGACAGCAGTGCATGATCGGATGTTCCATTAGATTGTTAACACGGGGATGACCTTAAGGACGGCGACGGTGGCTTGAGCGGACATGCCGATCATGGTATTGTCCCTTGGAGGTCGCGAATGCCAGCAGAGAAGTGACAGGGAGGCATTGAGTTATATTTTGGTTGTGGCGTGATATAAAACCAGATTGAAAACGAACAAAGATAGTAGCTTGGCTTGGTGAACAAAAATACTCTTGAGCGAGGACTAGCATAGATTGAGAAGACATTAGTAAATTTTACAAAGGTACATACTACAGGTATGCCCAGAGGCCAACTGAAATCATGTGACATCAGATCACGTGGCCGTGAAGCGGCTTTATCCGACCAAAGAACGTATCGTTCCTCACTTCATCTTTCGGTCACGTCCACAAAATACTTTGATCATGTCTGCTTTGCGTCTGCTCTCCTCTGCCGCCCGACGTGCCCCATCAACACTCGCACAGCAGCGACGAGGATATGCTGAAGTAGCTGACAAAATTAGCCTTTCCTTGGTCCTTCCTCACCAGGTGCGTCCGCTGTAACTCCTCCCATTTACTCGGAATTGAACACAGAATATTGCGAAGGCTATCTTCACCTCTACAGATGTTGTCCAGGTGAACCTTGCTGCTGCAACAGGTGACATGGGTATCCTTGCGAACCACGTTCCCTCCATCGAGGCTCTACGTCCTGGTATGATCGAAGTCATTGAGTCGGGAAACACTTCCAAGAAGTGGTTCGGTGTGTTGAAAAATTTGATATTATTCCACAAATGATATTAATGCAGCGTTAGCGTCCGGTGGCTTCGCAAATGTACACCCCGGTAACAAACTTACCATTAACGTCGTTGAGGCTGCGCCACTGGAGTCATTCTCCTCCGAAGTAAGTTCCGTTCTTACACGCGTCACTGTGTTCTTAAATTTGTCTTCTCAGGCTGTTCGTGCAAACCTACAGGAGGCATTGAAGGTCGCTGCAGGGAACGGATCCGAGGAGGATAAAATGGAAGCACGGATAGAGGCTGATGTGTATGAGGCCTTGCAGCATGCTTTGGGGTCGAAGTAAATTCGTGATTCCAGTCGCCAACAGTATCGTTAGAGTATTACTTATTCCAGCCTTGTGCTTATCTTTGAGTTGCACTGCGTTGCGGCTTCTTCACGCCTGAAAGTCCGGGTATCTCCGCGACCCTTCTAGTGAGAGCGTACGCCGTAACCTTGCGTAACGCATGAGTGCGCCTGGGGAGTATGCGTGCCGCTTTCCCTTCAAGGATTCTCTTCTGCGAGGCATAAATCGGAAAC